CACTGTTTTGTTTTCAGCTGCTTCAATAGTTTCCGCCTTCTCTGCTTCCTCCTCAGCTTCTTCAATTGCTACTTCCTCCACTGGTTTGTTTTCAGCTGCTTCAATAGTTTCTGCCTTCTCTGCTTCTTTCTCAGCTTCTTCAATTCCTACTATCTCCACTGGTTTATCCTCATCTACTTCAACAGTTTGTGCCTTCTCTGCTTCTTCCTCAACTGCTTCAGTTGCTACTTTCTCCACTGGTGTATTTTCAACTGATTCAACTTTCTCCACTGGAACATTTTCAATTGTTAGACTCTCATCTGCTTGGCTTTCAACAGCTTCACTGGCTGAGTTTTTTGTGGTTGATGCTTCTGGATCCTGATCAGAACTCTGAACCTCTTTTGCGCCTGCTTCGACTGGAACGTGATCAACCTGGCCCTCAACAACGATAGGATGCTCCGTCTGGTTATTCTCTGGTGTTTCTTCAGACATACTTGAAATTAACTGAGACTCTGAACCATCAGATTTCTCTGCTACAACTACAAGATCTTCCTTTTCATCCTTTTTTCCATCATCCTTGGATGGAAGACTTTCAATCTCTTTGCTTGCATGTGTTATTTCTTCACGCACCTTTCCCTCAATTGGCTGCCATAAGACAAAATGATATTAGCTGCAACATAACATGACCAAAGAATAGAACACAACCAATTTCGAATCATAGTAACAGATTGGTAAAAACAACATCCACAAATCAAGAAAGCCTCATGAGACCTAAATTATTAACATATTGCGAGTTTTCTACGTATTGATCCGTGAGTTAAATGAAATGAAAGTTGGAGCCAGACAAATTGTGAACAATTGAACTGCCAAAAGAAATAAATTAAAGAATCTAAGTTCCATAGAAAAAACACTTACATATTACAAACTAATCATACATAGCCGGAGAAGGGGGTGCTCTTCAAACAGCTTTAAAGCAAAAACTCAATATGTTTCTTCTACCAATATCTACTGAAGCACAGTGAGTTGCAAGTAAACTACCAAAATTGGAAGGTTTCATACACAGAAACAAGTTTGGTCATGGAAGAACAAAGCCAGTCTAACTGTGGCTTGAAAGTGCTTGCATATCTAAACAAACATGCAAAGAGTTATATACATATCATGCACTAAACCTACACATATCAAGCACTAAACCTACACATATCAACTCCTCTGTCGGTAAAAATAATGAAATACACACACACACACACACACACAACATCTAACTATAGAAAGAAATAGAACAGTTGTAAAAAGTAAGCAGGTTTACCTGATCATCAGCAGGAACAGATGCAACAGTAGTCTCAGTAGACATGATGGCTATGGGATGAGATTCAAGAAGAAGAAGAAGAAGAAGAAGAAGAAAAAGAATAGTGCTTTACTTTGCCAGTTGAGTTTCAAGAAACAGAGAGGCAAATAGAAATGAAAGGATAAAGAGCATGCATCCTATATATTTATATATACATAAAAATATATATTTGAGAAAAGCACTTGACAGAGGGGTTTGTCACATGAGCTGGTTAGGCATGTATGAAGGCGTCACATATCACACTAATCCCAGAAGACCCAGCCTTAATCATATTTAAATAAACACATAATCTTTCATAATAGAATAATACTTTAAATATTATTCAGTCTCCTTTCTTCTATATGTACATGGTGGCACGCACAAAGCCAACCCCCCCTCTCTCAGTCTCAGACTTTATCATTTCAGGTGTATTAATATATTTATATTGGTAAATAGTGAGGATATACAAAAATTTACAGATCCAAAAATCTACCTAGCATTCAGGCCTTGGCATGCACCAGGCTTGCTGCTGACAGCTTGTTGGTTGTTTTTGGGAAGTTTTGATTTTGACCAGAAAGTTAAAAGCTTCCTCCCCCAACTTGGGCTTGAAGGTTCAGAAAAAAAGTAATAGTCTTTGGCATGTTATCACAGAAAGTGATCATGACCTTCTACTTAAATGATTTCTTTTTTCTCTTCTCTAAGTACAGTTATTTAGATGTTTAATTAGTTCCCATCCCACAGAATGACCAGCCTAAAGGGTTTCAAATAGCATAAAATATATGATAAAGTCTTGATCAACAACCGCCTTTAGAATTGAAAGCAAAGCAACCAATATTCTTAGGGATGCAACAGAGAATGTGAAGTTGTTGATTGGCTTGCCAGCTTATGAACAGATAGACAAATCAACCGACTATGGAGTTGTATTCTTCAGGGATATTTAATCAAGATTTTGTAATCTAAATAGATATGGGGATTGTTTTCTTATAATTATATATTATTGATACAAGTAATAGTCTAAACTAATTTAAGTTACGGGAGAAAACCGAACTTGTGTGTAAAGAGGCGAATTCATTGTCCTAACCCACCTCTGATTCTTATAATTATTAATTATCATTACCAATGTGACATAACAGAACAAAACATGTAGAAACTTAGTGAAATACATTATTGTTTGGGGGGCGAGGATGGATAATAAAAGCAAGTTCCAAAAGCTTCTCTGAGGGAAGGGGTGAGGATAGACAGAAAGCAGGGTATGCCAAGAACCCCACGTTGTCAACTGACCCAAGAGCATGTGGAGAGGCAGGGGCCAGTCCACCTTTTCTTTTCTCAAGAAAATGGACCACTCACTTCTCCCTCCTTGCTGCTTTATATCTAATATATGATCTTTCTATAACCACGTTATAATTGCCCAAGAGAAAAGGCAAGTGATTAAGCATTTGATATGTGTCACTTATTAATGTTGACCTACTTGTACATGTAGCATATGACCTTAGTTTAGACGTGAGATTGTAGCTCTTGTGGGCTAAAGGCCAAATACGTTCATTCCCTTTGCAATTGGGACTTGGAGGGCACTGGTCCAGTTGTCCAGGCAATTGGCCAACATGTTTTGTCAGTGTCCCTCTGAAAAACTTCGATACACATATATTTTTATCCGTCTTTCTCAAGTCAAGTGATGAGAGGGATATAATAAGGAGGGTATGAAATAAAATCAGGATACGTAAGTTTTTCTCCATCTAGCTCTCATAGCTCCCAAGTTTGGCATATGCTATGGCGCCAATACGCTCATGAATCATGTTGCCCTAGATCTCAAGTCAGTTTGTCAATGCAAGCACATAGTTTGAATATCTACATCTCAATAGCTGTAAATAGCTCTCTGGCTGTGGATACAGGGCCCATTCATTCATTGTGCTTAGGGCGTGCCTTGAATTCAACTCTGTTTTGCTATTTGGACAAGTCCTTTCGACTTCATTTCAATTTTAGAAACAACCCAATGGGCCAATTGGTATCACTATCGCTTTTTGTCAAAAAGAAAAAAGAAAAAAGAAAAAAAAGGATCAGTGTAAAATCATGAACTAGACAAAACACAACTAAATCCTAAGCTATTATCTTATTTCTAATTAGTTCTAAATTTAACATTGAAAATGGAAAAGATTTCAAGTTCGAATTCTCACTTGTAAAAGCTATTATCTTATTTATCTTACATGAAATAGCATATTCGAATCTCTAAAAGGAGAAGGCCAATTGGTACCACTAGATTATGTAGTTGGACAAAACACAACTAAATCCTAAGCTACTATCTTATTTCTAACTAGTTCTTAATTCAACATTGGAAATGAAAAAGACTTCAAGGGAGTTCTGGCGAGTGAAAGCTGTGATCTTATTTATCTTACATGACATAACACATACGAATCTCTAAAAGGGTTGGCAGTGACTAGTGAGGCAGCAAGTCCAAGAATCATGGATGTACAGCATGCAAGCACAGAGGCAGGCAATGCATGACGCGAGAATGGTTCCAGGAGCTGTGAATTTTGTGGTCTTTGACATACCAGTACTTTCTTTGTCTGTAAAGTTAAAGCAAACTAAAGCAAAGCTTTCCAACTTTTTGACTTGCTCCATATCATATTTATTTACTATGCTCTGGGTATGCGGATGCGCACCAGGACTTGGCCCACCATGATTGGTTGAATTGAAACTTGAAAGTGAAAGATGTGATTATAGAATATTGTTTAATAGGAATTTGGATGATTTCATTTGTTTGTTGTTAGTTTCTTCCATAAACTATAATAAAATATGCCTTTGAAAAATTATATACCAGAGCATAACATGTTCTAAAATATTAATGTACCACATTAAAAGAGAAAGAAGGGAAAGAGGAGGAAGAGTATATATAGTTTTTATTGAGGGATCTTTCAAATAAGTTTATTTGAGAGACATTCTTATAGGGCTTACTCTGCATTGTATTTTACTAATTCAAACTGTCTATTTTGTAGATATTCATTCAAAGATCATCTCTATAAAAAATACTTGAATCCGATGTCATTAGACCACTTAATTAAATTAATAAAATTTTAGTAATTTCTTGAAGCACCATATTCATTGATTTTATAGGACACAATTAGATGTCTAAATAGTTTTCAATTTGTCTAATTTTTTACAAAAATGATCTATGAATAAAAACCTAAAAAAGAAATGGTTTGGATCGTTGAAAAAACATTCGTAGGGTATCCTAAATGGTGTCCCTCAATATAAGGGGACTGATATACAGAGAGATTCCATTGATGGTGTCCTTTTTACAAAGCAATATTCTAAACTACTCTAATATACGAATAATGGAATCAAACTCAAGTACGAGGCAGACACTGCCTTGCTTGGCGTAACATACATCTGCAAATAAAAATATTTTTTTAGTTTGGCTGTTATTGGAGAAAAAGAGAAAAAATGGTTGGTTGTGTGTTGTTGTGGTGAAAAGTGGAGCGCGGTTGTGTTTATATCAACGTGTTCCTTCATGAGCCAAAGCTTTGCTCACAACACAGGTCTTCATATCCCATCATACTGCTTTGCTTTGCTTCTCTGCCTCTACACTCAAAAACCCAAACAAACACACACATAAATCAATATTAATTTATTCATAACCTCTTCATCGAGAGAGAGAGAGAGAGAGAGAGAGAGAGAGCAGAGCTAGCTAGCTGCTAAAGCCATGTCAGTCCCCATCAAACCAGGAGATGGTAAAGCCAAAAACCCCATAATGCCCTCCAGTTTGGACCAACAGCCATCTGGGTCTTCTTCACTGAGGCCTCATTCTCTTCTTGTTCATCAAAACAATAAGAAGAGCAAACTAGGTTAGCTATTTTTAATTAGTTTTGTGATACTTTTTTGGTGACTGGAAATTAATAATGCTGCACATTTTTCTTTTATTTCTATTAATTGTTGATTTTGAATGTATATTTGTATTGTATGTACTGGGGTCTTAATTAGACGTTCCTTGGTTTTGGTCATTGGATGATGATGATGATGATGATGATGATGATGACGGTGGTGATGGTGATGATGGTGATGATGTGAATGTTCCAGAAGAGAGCGATGAAGATATGTTCACGGTTCCTGACGTGGAGGCTTTACCTCCTCCTTTCAATAACATCACTTCTAATAATACCTCTTCCACCACCAATGCCACCGGCAACACCACCAACAACAACAACCCAGAAGCTCAGTCTGGCTTTCCGGCAAAACGCCGCAGAGGCCGGAACCCAGTTGATAAGGAGTACAGAAGACTCAAGAGGTACTATTTATGAAATATTGTCAAATTAATATCTTCTATATTTTGTTTTACACAAGTGTTATGTATGTACAAATTGCATGCATGCACTATAGCTGGGAAACAACTTGCTACTATATAAAGGCATGTACAGGTATGAGAAAATTAAATGTTGATGTGAAATAGATATAAATATATATGGGTCGATCTGATCATATCAGCTTAGTAATAAGTTCATTGAAATGTTTGTAGTGACTTGTCAAAAAACTTGTCCAATTTAATTTGGTTTACAGATTGCTAAGGAACAGGGTGTCTGCTCAACAAGCTCGGGAAAGAAAGAAGGTTTACGTCAATGAACTGGAATCAAGAGCCAAAGAATTGGAGGATAGCAATTCAAAGTTGGAAGAAAAGATCTCTACACTCGTCAACGAAAACGCCATGCTTCGAAAGGTGAAGTTTCTCTCTTACTGTTAAATTAGTACTAATTGTGGTTTACAAATGTAAACTCTGTGTGGTTGCATTTTATTATTTTGACATAATTCATTCTCTGTCCGTCAGGTTCTTATGAATACAAGGCCGAAAGTGGACGAAAGCATTGAGCCAAAGGCAGGATAAGTAAGAGCAGACAAGCATAAGGTGCTGTTTTAGGCATTTTAGATGAACATATTTAGAAATTTTAGAGTCCCGTTTCGACGAAAATGTGAATCAGGGCCTTCAGTCCCCCCACCACATATGGCAGTTGTGCGTCAGTATGTGTTCTTGTTTCAATATGAACTTTTATCTTCGCCGTTTGCCATGTATTTATTTAGATACGTGTTTATGTTTTGGATGAACTTCATTTGAGGAGTTGCTTCTTATCTGTATACAACACATGAATGACTTCATTGCTGATGAAAGATAATCAAGATGCGAACATTTATATATTGGCTCATAAAGTCAATAGATGAACTTGCTGATCGCTCTTCGAGCTTCACAGCGATGACTTGGGTTTAAACATAGATTGTTACATGCCCTTGGCAATGTAATTGGGGAAGAGAAGACGTAAATAGATGATACATAAATTTTCACCTAAACACCAGATTATGGCAGCTCTTGTCACAAGGGTATGGACAATCTATTGCCTTGATATTAACTCGATCGAAATACCAGTTTCCAACTGATTTTGCTATCCCCTGCAGATATATAATGGATTGCATGAGTATACCACACAGACAGACACTCATCCATAACAAAAAATAATGTGAAAAAGAAATGACAGGGAATTTGTTCTTTATGTAACTTATGAAATAATAAGTACACAATAGGGCATACCTTATTTCCAATATGGGGTGAATTTTGAGAAAACCATGTATCTTGTCTCTCAGTCTGGCAATGAGCAAAGCAAGAATTTATGAATAAACCATTTTTACTGGCCCTTGAGAAGCCACTTACAGCCCTGAGCATTTGATTCCGGAAACCTGATTTATTGAAAAACATAAGACACAATTGGAATCAAACCTGAAACACAGCATTGAGCTTATAATTAATCATCATTAGGAACACAAAGCATAAAGACGCTAACAAAACTAGTGAGATCACCTTGCAAAAAGTTCATCTGCCATGCAGCACAACGCGCATGATTTTTTGTGCATTCATGCCAAAGGCCATTAGGATCTGCTGTTGGTGAAGCTAAACTGGCCTGGATCTGATTAAAGGATAACAAAGATTCAAATTGATCATTCGGTCATCAGGTATTATAGTTCTACTGCAAGATATAAGGTCATTCATGCAGAATGAGAATATACAAGCTCATAAGAGACCTTTTATGAGCCATATTAAGAGTCATATGGTAGAAGGGACTTTAAAATAGTTTCAACTTTGAACAAATTAGTTCCTCAGGGGATACAAAGGATGCACACTGACAAATCTTAACTCACCTGCCATGTATCATAAGCTGCATTGACCAGAAAAAGGGGGGTCTTGACACTTGCAATTAAGTGCTGTGGGAAAAAGCACTGAAATTCGAATGATATAGTTAATAATTAAGACTAAAGGGGAAACTTCATTTCTGAAATCGGGTTCATTGTATAATTTTTTCTTCTTCTTTTGCTTAGAGAATTTCTCTAAGGATTAAATACGAGAAAAGAAATTACCAAAGTCGGGTTGAGGCGATTGGTACAACTCCATGGAAGACTCTTGTATGCTCCCTGCAAATAATTATATCTATGTTCATAATAAGTTCCCCAGATGAAACCAGTAAAAACTTGTAGAAGTTCAACAGTCAATGACAAATTGTATCTGTCTTCTGCTTTATTACCACTTATTATTACCATAGCTAGTTCATACTATCATCATATCCAACAAACTTACATCCACATAGATACAGCCCCATCTTTCTGAGTTACCTATCTGATTATTTTGTGGCCACTTGACTCTTCTAGTTACCATGTTACTTTTTAGCACAAATCAGGAGACTTAGAAATCTACTGATTGGAAAAGTAATTAAAATCACTTGTTTGGCTACTTTCAGCACACGCCTCCATAGCACCCATTTACATTTGCGGATCAGCAAGAATGTAATTTGGCATCTATAATTAGTCATTGCAGTTTCAATTCACAATAAGGACATTAGAATCACCTAGATTTTATCCCTTAGGACTAGAAATTTAAAAGGTGGATAAAGAATAATCTATTTTACAATGGATAATACCTGTAGGCTAACCACTCGTCTAAACATATTTCTCAATGTGCGCCTACCAGATACATCAATTCTGCCATTTCAGAGAACACCATTATTAGCCTAGTAAAATCTGAAGGGCATGTCAAAAACTGATAAAATGAAAAAGATTATTACACATCAAGAAATAATCCAGCATCACTCAAGCACTTGACTCTAATAGTTCCACGAAACATGGCACGAAACTCATCACAATGGAGTACAGTTGCAACACCACCAGCAGAACATCCAGAAAGAAGAGCCTAGAAATCCAAAGTAAAATGCATAACGTTAACAGAAGAAAGGAACAATATAATCTCCGAAAAGTCAGTAACAAAGACCTGATTAGCATAGCGCATTCCCTTTGACATCAAATCTGCCATAGCAGCTTCCCAGATGCGTTGGCCTCGAAAATACAATTGGGCTGCCTGAGCATCAAATAATAAGCAACTATATTTCAGTCATAAGCAATGCAAGGTTGACCTGGCCAATCTATAAAAAATGGTCCTCCAGAGTGTTGGCTTTAGCTATAAGAAATACTGCTTGGTTTGAGTGCAGCAAATGTCTAATAATAGAAATCTTAAGAATTTGTTACATCAAAACTACCAGTATCTACATCAACTTTATTTTATTTGAGTTCCTCACATCTGGTGTTTGGAAATTAAGCAACAAAAAAATCTTCTATGAGAAAGTATATAGAAGCCTGTGATCATTGATTCCCACTTACCTCATTTTGACTGTCACCGCCAAAAGATGCACCATCACAATATCGAACCTTGACTCTGTTCCAGTTGTAAAAGTCTGCAATTATTTTTGTCCCATTCAGAATATCAGATTACTTATTACTCCAGAAAGAAATATGAAGGGCAAGTAGAGCTTTATGTATAGATAAATAAGGATGCAGCCAGATATGCCACCGGGGTTTTCTCCAGCTTTGTTGCTCAATATCCCTGCAAATGGTATCTGCTTCTCCATATATGCTGATGAACCACGACGAGTTTTCTTTCGATAGACACAATTTCTGATTGTATCACACCATCCTCCTCCCTGTAAATGAAAGAAGTTTAACAAAAGGCGAGTTTAACAAGTAAAAGAGTTGGGACAAGCACAAAAAGTAGGAATTCCCCATCTAATTCCCAGTATAAGAAATGCCACAGAAATGTAAGGAGCCCAGTATGATGCTGCTGATATCCAATCCTTTCACTTTGCACTAAGCTGTATATGGTAACTCAGGCTCCCAAGTCTCCCTCACAAGTAAGAAATTGAACTTCAAAATGAAAGAAATTCTTCTTAGCTCCAATCCGTGTCACCGGTGAGCTACCCAATAAAAGAAACAAAGTGATACCAAGCCTCTTCCCTGATAGCTCAGGATAAGACCTATTTCCTGCATCTCTTTTAGACCCATACAAAGGCAAAGACGAACAAAATAACTTAGGCAAGCGAGAATCTTTAGATGGTAATACAACTGAACAATCACCCAATGATCTCAATTGTGAGGATGATAAAAACAGAACTATCATATAGCTCTCTTTCAACTGCATGACAAGTCTTAGTTTGCTTCCGATGACATACCTCCAACTGAATGAGCCAACTGTTTGCTCCTGACCCATATCCACGGTGGATGTGGTAACCGGGTAATGTTCCATCTAGGCAGACTGCACATAGAGAACACAGAAGTCAAGAAATCACTAAAGAATTTAACTAACAGTCTGCAGGGCATGCTCTAGTTTACTGCAATTGAAATATTTGAATAAGCCCTGGTTTTTATGCAAACATGATAATTACCATGAGCACAAAGCAGGCAAAACATTATATGAAGACCAATCATATGACTCAAGGCATTCAGGAAACAGGGTCAGTTCCTTTTCCATATCACTGTGAAATTGGCCACAGGAGCATTCAAAGAAACAGATGAGTTTTAACAGAAAAATAAAATGCTCTTATCATGCCATTGAATCCATCCAATGATTTGAGAAAGAATCAAACTTTAAGAATAAAATATCAGGAAGGGGTATGCCCATCAAGACAAACCGTAATATGCAATAGATAGAGCTGATAAAGAGAACTTTTTATTTCTTGTTTCTCTTTAGTAATTAATACTAGCAGTCTAGTAGGCACATGGAGGTAAGGTGAGGGATAGAGGCAAACCTGCTCCTTTGGCAGCAGCTCCATTGATAAGAGTGAGACCCACCATCAAGGGTCTGCTGAACACCCCATAACCATTAGGTCCATAACCATAGACATTACTCTCAGTATAATGCAAGTCTTCTTCTTTTGTACCATTCACATCCGCAAAACCATCCGTCCTTCTGCACAAAACCATCCCCATAAACCCCAAAACCCACAACAGCTTCATTTTGGCTGGACCTCTCACTCTCACTTGCTTTGCCCAGAAATCTCTTTGCACAGCGAAACAATGGTAAAAGCTACACCTAAGACAATGTTGAGATTTTAATAAAAAGAACCCAAATGCTGATTAGAAAACTAGAGTTAAATTCAGAGCCTTTTCTTTAATTATTTCACTGTATTTCAGCTGGAGAAAGGGGGTGGTGCATAAGAAAAGAATAAAGAAATAGAAGGGGGGTGACAGAGATACAGAGAAACAGAGAGAGAATGTGACTGAAGGCGGGATGGTAATAATATGAAGAGGAATGTTGTCGTAAAATGAGGAAGTGAGCAACCCAACAGTTGGCAGTGGCTAAAAATCAAATCTTTTATGAACAGCGAGATTTTAGAATTCAGCAAGACATTGGAAAAGACAAGACAGTCAAAGTTATTTACTAAAAATAAAGAAAACGGTGGAGAAGAAGCGGGAGAGAAATGGGTTTTTCTCCATTTGGTCAGGTCAACTTGCATTTTTTCATGAGCTCACAAATTCTAAATTTAGGGTGGATTTAATGATGTTTTAGGCCAAGTGCCAAGATAAACGCAATCCACAGGGTAGCACCTAACTATTGAGAATGGCCGCCGACACTTTATTTAATGACCAACCATACCCAGCAGAGCTGTATCACACTCTCACACTTCCGCTCACTCATTTGGTATCTATGCATGAACATGACCCCATACTTATAAATATCTAACATTATCATCCCTAGTAAGTGACATTTCAATGTCATACATACCATCATGAGTTCTTATCCTGGGCCTGCTAATGCATATATCCATGTCCCACTTTCCCACCTGTCTTGACAACTTTGATTTTATGCATGCACGGAAAATTATTGTATGGCACTAGAACACTGTCATATATGAAGAAAAATGACCATATAATAATTAGTATCCGTGATTGATATAATATTCATACTAGAAATTCCCAAATCAAACCTTCTTTCTTTTTTCCTTAATTGTGGGGTGGTACAAATTACAATTATACATGATGTTGTGGTCCATGCATCCACCTATATATATATTATATACTACTACTCTTCATAAAAACAGCCTTTCATACCATGATTGTTCCACGTTTTTAGACACAGAACTCAAAACATTCTCTATGCATGAACTCAAAAAAGACATAGTAGTTGTCGTTGGTGCCATCCAATTTTACTTGGCTCCGTTCTGTTTTTCTTCTTTCTCTTCTGCCTTGGACACAATGCTTACACTTGCAGAGAAAGATTGATCATCTTTTCGTCCACCGGCTTTGAGCAACATTTCCTCATCGAGTGAAACATTGTTCTTATACTTGTACCATTTGGCACACCAAACATAAACTGCAAAATTCAGCACACTGAGAATTGCCAGGAACCAATAGAAAAGGTCCGCGTGGCTTTTGTTCATGTCACGCCCTTCTAGCCACCCTGTCTTGCTCTTTGTAAGCTTGCTGGTGATCAAGTTAATGAGCTCAACAAAAACCGAGCTCAAGTAGTAGCCAATGGACAGAGAGAGCCAAGAGAAGGAAGTGGACAGAGACCTCATGCCAACAGGAGCCTCAGTATAAAAGAACTCCATGAGCCCCACAAGTGTAAACATGTCAGCAATTCCAAATATGGCATAATGAAAAGAGAGCCAGAAGAGGCTGATTTTGTGATTGTGGTGAATGATTTCATGCTTTCTCTTCACTTCTACAATCCCTGCTATGGCCATTGAGATGGCTGAGAGGACAAGCCCAACACCAACTCTCTGCAGATGGGTTATGCCATTGGGGTGACCTGTGATTTTTCGCAGAATGGGAACGAAAGCAAATTCGTACACGGGTATGAGAAGGGACATGAACACTAGAGGAATCACTGGGATTGAGGCTGATGGGACGTCAAAACTGCCGATGCGTGTGTCCATGAGGGTGCCTTGCTGGATTGAAAGGGTTTGCAACTGGGCTAAGCATGTGTTCATGAGGATTGTGCTTAGAAGGATAGGCATCATCCTTGTCAAGACCTTCACTTCTTCAACTTGTGTGACTCTGCAAACTTTCCATTTTCCTGCTCCGTTCGTGCCTTTAGGGAGAACGGCTGCCTTGTCTAGCAATCTGCTCAAGTAGATATGTGGGACTTGTCAGTCAGTTTTGTATATTTTGTTTATTTTATCGGGCATGCTTGAATAGCAAGTAACTGTCAAAGAGAACGTGGTGATAACAAACTAAAGCTTTGAGGAACCTGCCTGAATTGATTGCTGTGGGGGATGAGCTCTCCTCGAGAAACAGATTCACGGTCGTGTATTTCATACAATTCATCAGGACTCTGGGGTACCACCAACCTCCAGTTCTTTACAGACACCACCAAAACCTGCACAAAGGGTCATAGAAAATCAGTACTCTGTTACTGGCATTACTAATAATAACCCTGTTATTACCTAAGCAAGGGAACAAAGAGGGGAGGGGGGGAGGGGGGAGAAGAGAGAGAGAGAGAGAGAGAGAGATCAGACCTCTAGAACCCTTATCAACGGGCTTTCTCCTGGCACTCGAACACGATAATATGGCTTTCCCAGAGCAACAAAGATGAGACCAACAGCAGCACAGGACAAGGAGATGATAAATCCTATGTCCCATCCAACATTTAAGCTCACATACACCACAAACGTGACACCAACCACAGCACCAACTGTAATGCTAAGCAAAAACCAATTGAAGAAACTGGCTATGTACTTGTGCTCCTCTGGATCTTTGTGGTCGAATTGATCAGCTCCTAAAGCAGGGACAGCTCCTCTGATTCCACCTCCTCCAAGTCCCACTAAGCTAATCGAAGCATAAAACAGCAGGGCTTTTGTGCCATGCACGCAGGTTGATTCTCCACAAGGTAAAGGTTGCAGTTTTGTGTCATGGGATTGAATTATGAGCAACATGTATCCCTGCAAGCCAAAACATATATATGCATTGATTAACATAAGAAACAAACTAATCAAATTAAGTATGTGGGAAGCTGGGAAGGAACAAGATTTACCAGCAATTCGATTACACCAAAGAGTAGAGTCGTGTTGAGGCGATTCATGTAGGCATCAGAGATGAACCCTCCAACGATTGTGAGCAAGAATGTAGTGCCCAAGTAATTTGTTGTGGTGGTTGCGGAGCCAGAGAGGTCAAAGTTCATGACGAACATAAAGTATAAAACCAGGCTTGCCATGTTAGCCACAAAGCCTATGTTATCCAGGAACATCATTGCTGCATATAAATGAACGCAGTTTAATTAGTTGCTGCCTCAAATATTTAATTTCCTCCAGTTTCCATATCGTACATTAATCGATCCATCACTTACCAAAGATAAAACGGTTGGCCTTAAATCCACCATGTTTTAGTTTCTTCATAGGTTCATAGGCTAAGTTTTTAGTGCCAACTTCACTGTCCAACCCCTGCAAATTGGAACTAACTAATATGAGAAAACCACATAAAATATGTTGTAGTTCTAAACATGAACAACCATGCATGTTATTACTTTACTTCTTTTGCTTTTGTTTAAAATTGTAATTACCATGGCCAAGGATGGTAGAGACTTCTGGGAGAAGAAGAGTGAGTGAGGAGAGAGACACAGGGCTCCTGGTGTAAATGGTGAAGGAGGTTCCAATTAGATATATCCATATATATAACAGAGTGAGCAGCATTGTACTACATATAATAATAGGCAAGGAATTAATGATTTGTTAAGAGCATAAAATATTACGCCATCATCCCAAAGCCAATGCCAATGCCATCTAATTAGTGGTGGCATACAAAAACAGTGTCACGACATTTGCAAGACCAAACCAGCATAAGCCGACGGACCGGCCGTGAGAGATCCAACACTGATCTCAATCAAGGTAGCTTCGACAGCGAATGGCTCTACCTTAATTTATACACCAATCATACGTTCTACTATACAGAAATTTAAAATATATATATATATGTTAATTACAAATGTCGTTTTCAAACATGTGATGTGCAACTACAAGGGGCAACATTAGAACCAAAGATAATGAGTTGGAGAGAAGTTCCCGAAGGTGACCACAGTGAGTCGTTGTTTAGATGCCTTTTTTTCTTTTTTTGTTGCTTTTGGGGGTGTGAGATTCTGGCTGCTCATGAACGGCCTTTAGGGCATCATATGCTTTGGTGGCTTTCTCATTTGAAGACCATAGCTTCCCAACAAAAACGTCCAAATCTACCTCCCCTTGCCCTCCACATGTCTCAGTTTACAAGCGGATCTTCCAAAATCTCTTTGCCTCCAAAGTTCATACAAACTGAGTTGCTTTCATCATTGATTTCACATCCAGTACTTATCACATTTGTATTTTTCGTCAATTTTTAGTGCGCTTGACCTTCTGAACCAATTTGCTGTTTATTAAATCTCTACAAACAAGAGCTTCAATCAAGTTGGCTGTAAATATTACACAATATTCCTTTCTAATAATGCCAGCATTTGGTTGTGAAGTTACAGCAAAATTTTCGATGCAGATTTCAACTTTACTACCTCACATGAATTTGCTACAATATTCAATAACAAATGTAGACAAAATTTTGGGGTTGATAACATGTAGGGTTTTTTATTTTTTGGTAGACACATCTTGTAAGGCATCGTCTTCCACTTGACTGAAATAGTAATGTGAGGCCAAACAAACGAGTATATCTGTGAGGATCAGACCCGCCACATCAAAAACAAACTTGGGAGCAAATAAACCCCATACCTGCAATTTAAACATGTGTCATGGGTTTTAGCTGTGCAAAATTGTTGAGGAAACAATAATAAAGTTGTGTTAGAAAAACGGCTTTACCATCAAATGCCGCCTATGCATCGTAACACATATTATGGTGGCTGTGACTGAAGTTGCCATGATGAGCCCATAAATCATGTACACCTAAGACATCAACAATATCAACAATGACCAATTAACTTTCAAAAGGATCCCTTTTACAAGAACAAAGATTACAACAATTGTCAAACATATGATCTATACGCACGGAAAAAACTTACCAGAGATAGTCGCGTGAGTATGAACTTCTTCCCTTTCTCGCTCTGACCCAAGCGTGCGACAAGAAATGGAACTCCAAATATTGGAAGGATGAGAGAAAAACCAAATGTGTCCATTGTAAGAAGGATTGCTTGGGGAACTAGGAGGAACTCTTCAAACCTGAAAATAATATGGGGTTTTTAATAATCTACATCTACAGGGCAATGGATATAAGTCCTAGAATGTGAACAGTAACAAGGGCAAAAGTGGGAGCCAATCACTACTGAATCTTAAGCTTACAAAAGATAAAGGTCTAAGTGAGTGCTGAAATCTCTAATGACACATGTTGAACATGACCAGTGTGTGGGCTTCCTCAGTCCCTTGGATGTTAAAAAAAGTTAATAACTATATACATGAAAGCGGATGCCCATGACTCACCCAGTAAATGCAGCACCATATCGGAGGCCATCAAAAGCACACCTGAAGAAAAGTTTGTTTCTGGGTTATGAAACATAAGAGCGCAAAAGATGAGAAAACAAATTTATTACAGAAAGGTTCAACTCTAGATAAAAATGAAACTACTACTTTTTGTAGGAACAAAACCAAAGGAATACAGAACCTAACACAAAATGTGCTGAAAAGAGAAATCAGAAAACATGAAAGCCTCAAAGTGGGAAACAAACAACAAACCAATGACCAGTGCAGAAAAACAGGCACACAGCAAAAAGGCTCCACTGTGTTACAGGAACAGGATCAAGCATCCTATTCCAACTGCCTCCATCTTTGACATCCACCTCTATGTTATCCAGCCTCATTATGCAATAGCCTGTCAAAAGGTAGAACAGACTTCTTACATATACCAAAAGTTTCAGAAAAAGAGCACAAATTATTTTTAAAAAACCTAACCAGTAATCCAATGAAACAACTTCTATGACTGAACAAATATCAAAATTTAAATAAATAAATAAAACAAGTCATGCAGAAAGGTGAATGCAAAAGTCTTGCATTCATGCAGAAAGAGAGTTTATTGGCCAAAAAGATTCCATTCATTAGAAAACTAAAGTACCAAAAATGTAAATACACGCACCTCCAATTATGAATGCTAAAGCAACCCAGGGCCCCTGTTTTCCCAACAGAATAATGATTGTTGAGCTCCATGCAGAAAACATGGCGACTGTTTTAATATACAAGAGATTGCTGTGATCTGAGGATTTCCTTTTACTGAACAGCTGATTAAATGTCAGTAATAACAATTGTCCAAATCCAATGGCATATATAAGTCTAGGAATATAACTTCTTCCAGTGCCTTTAAGCACCCAAGCCAGATTCAATCTGTCACTTTCTGAAGCCCAATGCACTGCTATTAGCATATAACTTAAATTAGTTCCCATGATAATATACTTCCAAATACCCTTTGAAGAGCTTCTAGTAATGGCCTCACGCAGCAAGAATGCCAATAAAATCAGGGCAACTACCGGTAAAGCTTCAGCAACAAAATTCCAAATTGGAAACCCAGCAGCAATCCTGAGCATCCACGAAGGATATGCATTCATAAATTCAGAACTAGGAGTCTGCTTCGACAATCCAACTTCAATAGTAAATCTGCAAATGGTGATCAGAAGAAGGAAAACAAATGCCTGCAATTATATCAGTGAAAAATGATCATTACAAGAAACCATATTTCTATTTTTCTGTCAGTTACACCATCACATATTTCTTCATATAAAACAGTATGTTCGCAATATTTAATGAAAGGGTCTCGGTGGGGGAACAATTATAGAAAGCTGAGGTAAATAAACAACTTACTTCTAATATCATCTTCTTCTTCATGATTGAATATCGCATCTTAACTAGTGCAGTTGTAGCCAAAAGAAAGCACGCCACTTTTCCTTCTCCTCCACTGCTCTCAAAGTTCACAAAAAAAGAAAAAAAAAAAAAAGAATTAATTTCCCAATGTGAGCATTAACCCATGGATTCTGTGCATCATACAGAAATGAACAGTACCTATTACTTACAGATGAAACTATTCGAGAGGAAGCTGCATGCACGTATGACCACCATAAAACAAGAAAAAATCAACCCGAAGGAAATCCCAGAATCTCCAGATGAAGTAAAAGAAAAACCATATTGCTCCTTCACTTTCTTAATTGCAAGGAAGTGGATAAGAAGTGATATCAACATAATGCCAAGTCCAGTACCCATCATCTTTAAATTAAACTCAGTCCATTTGGAGCGGGCAAGTTCAGCAACACTTGCTAGGAATTCAGAATACAAATCAATTTGCCTCCTTAGAGCAGGCAATAACTCATTGTGGCTTTCCTTTTTATGTAACAGCAACTTCTGTGTAGTATGTGACCATTTTTCCTCTGCTTTAGCATACATGCTTGCTATGTGCAACACGTCTTCATTGGAAAATCCAATAACAGATGAAGCTGAATAAATATCTATATATCTTTTTACCTAAACAAGAAGAATCCAACTGTTATTTAAAATAAATGATACCGGAGGGTCAAAATTTTCTTTTGAAACTAAAGGTTGCGAAACAAATGTATGCTGACAAGTCATATCTTTTTGGAGAGCTACAATGCCCGTCTCCAAGTCTGAGTCCAGAAAATCATAGAGTCAAATGTGCTTCATTTTGTTGAGCATATTCTAATGAATTTTGATGTCATGTCATCTGACAGGTTCTTATACTATTTCTGGATGCCCATCAAATGATGAGCTTTCTCTTTCTCAAAATAAAACTGTCAAAACAGCTGCTTTATATTCTGATAGACATGCTGTTGGCGTGATATATTAGGTTTAGGGTTTATTTTTATTTAATATAGTTGACTTTTTGTACTTTGTACATCTTATAAATACCTCAGAATGAGAAGAATAAAAGATTCATTCAGATTTCTAGACATGCCACTAATCTAGTCAAAGTGATACCCACTGCCTCTCCTCCCTTGAGAGGGCCGGGTGGTCAGAGGGTTCGGCAGTAAAAGGGCAACCCATTTACTGCGTAACCTAATACAACCCGCGAAGTGGTTAGTCAAAAAGGATCACTCATCCATTCCTCAAAGAATTAATGAAGTACATTGACATAATATAGAATAAAAAGTAAATACCTGCCAAGAATTGGTGCAGAGTACATTGGCATAATTCAGCATCCATTCTTCCAACTTTGACTTATTTTGGTAATTTCCCCCACTGTCTTCAAAATTCCATGTTCCAGCCCCTAAAGCATATAGCTGCGGATTAACACGCCCAATACTGAAAAGAAAACCAATGTCATAAGTGATATTAATTGCATACAAATTCTTGGAACAACAAAAAGCTAAAGACATGAAACAGCGGTAGAGATGTGAACCGTCCACAATACATTGACAATTGTGAGACCTACATAAAAAATTTGGAAATGCAGGAAGCCAATATATGCTCCAGGATATGTAGACTGGAAAAATTATCAGAGTCCATAGACATTAGAAATAAAGTTTTCAAGCACGTTAAGCTTGTGAAGAAAAACACGAGATATTGACAATTGGACACAGTGAATGGCTGCATTTTTAGAGTACCATGTTAACAATCCAAAACAAAACCATATAAATCAACCACATGATCATTTGATTTCCTAAAAGGATACTAACAAAAACCAATTTGTATGCCATCTTGCGTATTCATTGACTCAGTAAGGTTTGCTACACTGACAGATTTATCTAATAAATTGCCTTATGGTCTTTTCAAGTTTAAAAATGAGCGACCTGGTTGAATACTGTCCTGCGTGTAAGCACTGACTCAAATAAAAGGCACCAAGTTGACTTCCTGGACATTGTTTTACATAACAATCCTGAGGCTAAATAAATGTTTCATTTCATTTTCACCAAAAGTACAGAGATGCCCATGGTATTATAGAGTTTAGGGAAGAATAAGGAGCTGAGTCAGTTATTTCATGATCAACATAATCAATAAGTAATGACATGTATAATGGCGAAACTTATATCGACAGGATGCTTACACTACACCTTCCAAAAGGAAAGGGGATACCAAGCAGCGCTGATACTGTCACTGCAAAGTCAAGCTGCAGAGAGTGACTTGGACTAAGGATGGGTGTTTGGAAATATATCATAAATTACATCGAGTAAGATGAAAAAAAAAAAAATGTTAACCCATTCTAACCTGCTGGATGGAACTGAAGCAAATATTCCTCCTTCCCTAAAACCGTACAACAAATAATTAATCAGAAGAAAACAAATTGGCTTATGACTCATAATAACCTAATTAAAAATGACATTTCAACGAAGATACTTTCTTCTTTAAAATTCTTCAACAAAGATATCTTCTATAAAATTCTTCAACCGAGATAACTTCTATCAAACGTCTGGAAGACAAACTAGTTCTGTTGACATATCTAATCAAGTTTCATTCACCACTATAATATGAAAACTATTTTCTGTGAATTTAAATATATCACAGTCCAACCAATTTAAATGTTTCTTTTTTCTGTTTCAAGGAAATAAAACTGAACCTCAACTGAAGTAGAAAAGGATGGCAAAGGGAGTAACTAATTCAAAGTTGGAAGATCTCCACATAATGTATAAGCCACAAGCATATATGCGTACTTTGGGAGAGAGGCAGTACCAAATCTAGTCCACAAGATGAAGTATCAAACTCTGATGGTAAGGGAGATGGGGGATTCTTAAAGCTCACAGCAAAAATTGATGTCTCAACCTGCATTGTGTTTAAGTTAGCATTAGCGAACATAATATGAAAACCCTTTAAAAACAATATACTTCTTATACATGTAATATACCTCTTCAGCACTCCCCCCACCATGATCTCCATTTACGGTCTGCCCATGATCACCCATCACAAGTAGAAGAGTATTCTCATCTAGTCCCCCTGGTGCAGACTGGCTCTCCAGTGCTTCAACTACTTTCTAAAGCAAACTGATCAGTTTGTTGAGGAAATTAGGGAAGCATAGATAAAAAAAGCTAGACCTATAGCACATTTTAGGTGAACATGACGCTGAGTAGAAAGGGTAACACCCAAACGTATGTTCCTAAAACAATATCTTGCATGTCAACAGCCTATTGGGAAAGTAAAACCAATGTCGAAAGAAATACGAAGGAAACAAACCTGACTATTCAATTTCAATTTTCAAAACAATGACAAAAACTGGGTAGTTTATCACATGGACCCAAAGTAACAAGCCAATCAGTATGTGAACAAGAATTAGGAATCCATTGAAACAGAAAGTCCAATAAAGAATACTTTCTATGTGCAATTTCCATAAGTAAGTTTGAGGGTTTACCTGCAAGATGCTATTGTATTGCTCCAACTTTTCTATCATTTGCACAGAATCAACCCCAAAAATGTGCCCAGCATGATCCTGAGCCAAAAAGAAACCAAAATCAAGGAAACAAAAATATCCAAGTGTATTCATCACTGCACAAATCAAGGAAACAAACCATACCACACCAAGAAAGTGTGCAATAAGAACATCCCAATCTCCTTGGTGCAAGAATGGAAGAAGGTGCTCAATGCAACCGTTGTCCACCTGGTACAGTAAGACAAATTACTTTTAGCCATCTTTATATTCAACAATATGACCTCATTCAAGGAAATGCTACTAAAAGTTTAGCATATAAGGCATACCGTATCAAGATCTCTAACATTAAAAGAGGGATAAGGAAACGATTTTTGAAAATGATTTGGAAACAACTGCATCCATGTATCATCCCCCATCATCACAACTCGCTTTCCATTTTTAGCCAACTGCAAGTTGGTCCACATTTCAAATTTATGACAACAAGAAGTTATATAACTTGAAAAAAAGGAAATACAACACAGGACATGATGCAAGTAAAGGGGTGGGGACGGGGACAGATAGAGATAGAGCAACCTGATGTATCAAGTTATCTTCAACTATTGCTGGAGCACCAAAGCTGTTCCCAACATCAATAAAAGTCGGCAGTCCACCTGTTGTCAAGCCCTAGAAAATATTGCAAAGGAAGAAATTGATGAAGTTAAAAAACTCATCCTTGACATAAAGCTGGCAAGCAGGCTCTAATTTCACTGAAGTTAGAATATCAAAGCATACTGTGAGACTAGAAAAAGCAAACCCAAATGTAACGAGCAGAAATTATAATTCATAGAAGCCATAAACTAAAAGTGGTGCATGAAGCGTTCTACGGAGCAGCCATGTTGAAGCTAGCATTAGAATTCAGAACAAGGAAGTGATAAGCAACCTTCAAACGCTGCAAACTTGTCGTAGGTGGATCAGCAATGGCTTTGAAAATCCGAGCAGATGATGCATTTTTAGCTGCCAGGTCTTGTACAAACTGTAATTTGTCCATCCATGGCTTTGATTCTACAACATATGATTTATTATACATTCGAATTTATAAACGTAATTGTATTTGCAGGCACTGAGTTGTGAGGTGAGAATGCTAACCTTGAAAAAAGTACTGGGAGCTACAAAATCAAACCTGAGAGAAAGAAGATTAACAGAATGAGATGCCCACATGCTTGTCTTGGATAAAATTTGATATAATGGAAATGGGTTACCTGAGAGCATCAAAAACGATGACGACAAGGCGGCCAATAGCAGGTTTGCTCCAACAACGCTGCTGATTCTGATCGACGGTGTCGTTTTGGTTCTGGTTTTGGTTTTCGTTGACGCTGAAGGAGCAAGGGGATTGCAAAACGTCGGAGCAATTGCTGTAAAACGGAAGCTCCGTTCGAGTGAGCAGAAAGCCTCGGGTGAAGATGACAATGGCGACGACGTGAAGCGCCATGATCACCCAGTGAACCCATATTCGTTTTCCCATCTTACAAGTAATTACACGAAGAAGAAGAAGTAGAAGAAACGAAGACTGGTTACTGTGTTTCTTTACAAGGAACAACCGTGGGCCGCCAATTTCAGGCAAATCTTATGAGATCCTCTATTTGAGGTGACTGATCAATCACAGTGCCCTGAAGTCTTAGATTCATTGGGCTTTCACTGGTCTTTAAATGTAGGTAGCTATTAATTTTCCCCAACTCCCGCAACTTCTTTCTTATAAGTCAGATCAGAGTAGACTATCGAATTACCAATTTTTTTGCCAATGTGCCCCTGCCCTCTAAAGCCCTTTAATTCCCACCCCAATGCACAACTATGTAAAACTACTTTGTGTAGTTCTGTTTTTTTTTGTTTTGTTAATAAAGTATTTAATGGGGTTTTGGTTACTCATTCTTACTATTTTCTTGTTATTGTGGGAAAATAGTTTCCCTATTATTATAGGGTTTTGCTTTTTCCTTGTGTTTCAAAATTAAAGTTTCATAAGAATAATTCATTATCATGTCCAGTTGTAAGTCTAATAAGAATCGCAGCTGTAAGACCACGGCTGTCAGCTTCGGCAGTGGGGAATGGGCAAGTCTTCCAATACTTGTCTTTTTTATTCTGGACAAGTTATTAGAACCCATTGACCATGTTCGTTTTGCTTCCGTTTGCAAAGAATGGCGTTCTATGTCCAAACTCTATAGTCATGAAACGCAGCGGTGGCGCAACAAACAACTTCTCCCCATGCTCTTGATCCTGAACCATGACGACAACCACCAAAGAACAGCATTTGTGAAGGAAGAATCTACAACAATATTCAACTGCCAGTGCCTTTTAGCAGGAGGTGTTGTGGCTCTAGCCATGGCTGGTTGGCCACAGTAGATGTAGATCCACATTTTCATAATCCTATTCAACAATATTCAACACATTTGTAATATCAATTGGGGGAGCTTGAGCCTTTATAAGATGCTTCACATTTTCATTTGTATCCACATTCATTTTTTAACACCATTTGCATTAGGCTAATCCAATCCTTCATTTGTATCCACGTTCAGTTTTTAACACCAAATATGATATTGGATTAGGCTAATCCAATCCTACTACTTATCCTATCCACCAAACAAGGCCATAGAATTCTATGCAGTGATGGTATATATGCACGCATAAATGAGTGCTATACATACATTCAACTTCTTGTTTTTACTTTATATACTGTTTTTTAGTATAAGCGATAGTCTAAACTATATAATTTTTTTTACTTTATATACTTAAATCAAAACATCCACGGTAACACACTTCAGTGAAGTTTGTAACTCATAAAAGAATTTGATTGTATAACAATTCTGAATCACAGCCAAGCACGTCCCCTTTGGCAAATTTGAGTAAATTCTTCCTATATGTTTCCACTCTCCAGGCAAGGCTTTTCTAGTCAGTGCATCAGTTAAAATCACCCCATTTTATGATCTTCTCAGACACTATCATCAAATCTCAGCCAATTCGACCAAAAAAAAAATCTCAGCCAATGTCACATTTAGTCTTAGAGGCTTGCCATTGAACAAAATGCATCAGATTTCAGCATATACATCCCTTTTTCAGCCTAAAACCCTACCTTGGGAAAATTGAAGATTCTTCTTCCATGGACGCACACCCTATAACAGTTCCACGAGCGGACCCAACCATGGGTCTAGTTTCCCTCCATTTCAAGGGCTTAACCAAGGGGTTGCAAACTCTCACCAAACCCAACTTCACAATGTCAAACCTCCCAGCACCTGACTGTTCCCACTTGAGAGCCTTCCCTCCCAGAACATAAAGTTCGTGTCTTAGTGCAGCAAAACCATAACCAAAAGCCTCCAGCTGCCGCGAGTGATCAGGAAGATTCACCGATGGAACTGAGCCTATGTTGTACCACTCTCCTTTTTCGGTATCCCTTGTTTTAATCAAGCTCTCACCCCAGTCTACAACAGTATATACTCGATTATCTCCAATCACCTGAACTGCAAATTGCATTGCCCTTGAAAAAGGCCAGATGTCTTCAACTGTGCGCCATGTTCCATCAGATGGACTAAAAACCTCTGAGGTATTTTGGTCTGGCAGGCCTACTTGGTCACTCAGAACATGAAATTTGCCCTTGTATGATAAGCCCAAGCAGTCCATTTGAGGGTTGCGCATTGGTGGCAACTCCTCCCATCTGCAAAATTTACAGTCATAACATAAATAAAGAATTTTCAGTTTAGGAAAAAAATATAGAAGAAAGAAAGAAAGCCAATTGAATCCATTCGCTATAAAATTTATATCACAAACAAACATCTAAACATACGCATACACATGTACGTATATGAACACACTACGCTATCTGCAGTAAATACCATCAGGCCACACTTCTAACAAAGGAGGTCAACAGATTATAAAGACAAGTCTACCAATCCTCAAGGAAGATTGAAGTAGTTTGCCCCCACAAAAATAGTGAAAGATAATACAGCAAAACATGAAAATGAAAAACTTTTCTTCATGCAATGCAAGAAGCATTGATAGTACATCAGTACTCAGACATGTTTGAAGTGTCAAATATAGGAACATACTTATCAGCCTCCGGATCATAAACCTCAGCAAGAGCAAGCCCTCTGGTGCAGGATAAGTTGCGCCCCCCAGCAACATAAATTTTACCACAAACAGCACTGCACGCAAAATGAGAACGCGGTGTACGCATGGTTGCCACATTGGTCCACTGTTTCTTAAATGGATCAAACTGCATCACCTCGTTTGTTATAAAAGGCCTTTGGTGTGGAAATGCTGGATCATGTGGTGCATAGGACCCTCCAATGACGAAAAACCGATTTCTGACACTAATACTTGAAAATCCAAAGTGTTTCCAGTCAGCATGGACAGTTGGAATCTTTGGCAAAGGATGCCACCTATCAGCTTCAGGATCATAAGCAACCCACTCATTGTTGGAGCCTTCTGTCAGAACAAACAGCCAGTTGCCACACCATTCTTCTCTAGCCTTATAGTTGGCATAGTCCAAGTTACGGATTAAATCTCTCCACGTCTTTGAGACGGTTTCGAGCAGTCCATGATACCCATGCGAAACCATTGCCAAACATCTCAATGCCAAATCATCAGGCAATCCAGGAATGATAGATTGATGCACAGATTCCCTATAGCCCGCAGAATGACAAATTAAACAACCAAATACTTGGGTCCAAAATGGAAAAACTACATGCACATAGAATTAAAGATAAAATAAAGGTCGGTTATTCGAAACAACAATTGCAAAACTATAAAACCCAAAACAAAACAAAAACGCAAAGAAACACAAGAACAACAAAAGATGAGCATATGTAGTAACAGTCACATAGGAGTTCATTCATCAGCTAAAACTCTGATTGACTTATTAAATCATTTCTACATAATTTTATTATTGAGGGACAATAATGGGGACAGATATGTTAGTTGAGACTTGAGAGAAACAATTTCTTACATGAATCAATATATCCAGCAAAATTGTTCCTTTTTCTTATGAATCTGGCATGGGCACCTGCAACCCCTCTTTTGGAAATCAAAAATCAAACTGAAAAACAAAAGGGAATGGCTTGCACCGAATACCCTCTGATGAATTTCCTGCAAATTGAGTTCAGGTTCAGATAAATAGGCACAGACAAAGAAATTAATTATATATAATAGAAAATGTAAAAGGGTAAAGAGAATTTAGGGGAAAAAGAACTTACAGAAATAGCAGCTAGTCATTGTGTCGCTTTCGGGAGATGCATTGTTTGGGCCTCTGGAATTTGTGTCCAAATTTGATGGTGAGAGAGGTAGAAAATCAAAACCAAGCTGGTTGCTTTTGCATTGCAGCAGGCAGCAGCTCCAATGTCCTTGCCTCTCAGCACACACTTGACGCGCGTGCCAGAGATGCCCTATTGAGAGAAAAAGGAGAGGGACCAGTATGAACTGAAAGAAGATGGAGCTGAGAGATAAATGAATAATACTTTTGTCCGAGTCCAAAAAAGATGGCTAATTCATTCAACATGAAAAAAGAGGAGAAATTGGTTTTTTCTTTTTGTTTTGGCAGCAGGCTAATATTCTATGGTGATGTGTCAGATTTATAATATTTTATATTTGTTGTGATATAATTTACTATGGTGATCACTGATCAGAGCTTTTTTATTTATTTATAATCTATAAATAATGTATAGTAAGAGTTTTTTTTGTTATGTTGTCAAATCATTAGCAGGTGATCCAAAAGAAAATAAGCAGGCCATGAGTTAATGGGCCAGGCTATTTCTTTTTCGAACAGAAATAGCCCATGACACACTCCAATTAAAAACACAGAAAAAAGGAAAAGAAAAAGGAAAAAAGTAACCGCGAAGACGAACCGTCTTGGGGACTCTAGAAGGTGCTTTTCGTACGACCCAAGGAGGCAAATCGAGAGAAAAGGCTCTGTTGTTGCAGTTGCAGATCAAAATTATCAAACCCTCAACCGAAACGAAGATGGTGAGAACAAGAAACGGGCCGCGATCGAACGGAATGCTGCCGCTGTTAGCACTTCACGCGGCGAGCGAGTATTACAGACTCGACCGGAAGCCTCCTGTCACCGCCGGACTCATTGCCGCCAATTCTCTCATCTACTTACGCCCTGCTTTTCTCGACCCCATTCTCCCTTCCCTCCAAGAAGTCTGGTTCAACCCCCACCTCATCCTCAAGGTAATTTCTCATTCTCATTTCTAAGTTCACAAAAACCCCAAATGGTTGAAATGTTATCACTCGGTAATAAACCTTGAATTATTAGTTTTTGTTCTTTTGATTTCATATGTGAATTGGGTGTTTTATATATTGATGCGGGTAAGCTGTTTGTGAAATTGCTTGAACAGCATGGAGACTTGAAGCGCTTCTTCTTGTCGCCGTTCTATCATGTGGGAGAGTCTCACTTGGTTTACAACATGCTCTCCCTCTTGTGGAAGGGAATTCAATTGGAAAATTCAATGGACAGTGCTGAGTTCGCTTCCATGGTTGCTGTGCTACTGGGCATGTCCCAAGGAATCTCACTGCTGATTTCCAAGTCCCTGCTCGCGTTCTTTGACTATGAATGGGCTTACTACACTGAATACTCTGTTGGGTTTTCTGGGGTGCTCTTTGCCATGAAGGTTGTGCTTAATTCCCAGACTGAGAACAGTTATGTTTATGGAATTCCGATACCATCTCGTTACGCTGCGTGGGCGGAATTGGCTCTGGTCCAATTTTTGGTTCCTGGTGTCTCTTTTATTGGTCATTTGGGTGGAATTCTTGCAGGGCTTGTCTATATTCAGTTGAGGGGTTCTTACAATGGCTCAGACCCACTTACTGTTATCATCAGAGGTCTTACTGGTGTGCTGAAATGGCCTGTGAGATTTTTACAACGCTTGTTTCCATTCCGAAGGAGGCAGATATCCGGTAGAGGACCTGTTGGTGGGGGTCAGAGAGGAATTTCTGTGTCTGGTTTCTGGAGATGCCATGCTTGTACGTATGAGAATTCTGCTTGGTTAGATGTATGCGAAATGTGTTCGACAAATAGGAGGGCCACTGGCAGTGCCAATGGCATGGCTTCACCTCCATCGGCACATTATTCCGGTGACCTTCCTTTGGAAGAATTACGTCGGCGGAGGATGGAAAGATTTGGGAGATGATAGGGTTCCTATTCCTGAAACTTGTTACAGATGATGTTGGCAATGCATGACCTGCAAATGCAATGCCTCTCCCTCTCCTCACCCCATTTCATTTGAATGTTCAATGTGGTTAGAACTTGGAACATATTGTCTTAGCTAACTGGTCTTTGTCCAACTATATGCTGAACTTTTATCAATTGTTTGTTGATCGTTGAGAATTTCTATGGCTCAGGATGGCCTGGGTTTATGTTTTGTGAATGAATGTTGGTAGGTCCAATGTAACATCTGGAATGGTTGATGAAAGTAACTTGATTTAAAGGGCAAACAATAAAGAGGGAAGCAAAATCAGACCGAAGTCTGAATAAAGCATCATCATCAAACATTTGTTGCCATTTGACAAGAAATCTAGTAAAAGAAAATGAAGTATGGGAGCATAGGCTGTCAAGAGAGTTTCCACAATAAAATTGGAAATAGTATAGTGAAAAAACATAAAGACGTGTATTGCAATAACCGCATTTTTACAAGAAGCAACTTTATCGATCTTGGTAGCAAGAAACGTTGCTAATGATATACAAGTATGTTTCTCTAACATTAAATTGTAGTTACTCTTTACAGAAGACATTTGTTAAGGAAACTTGGCTCGATGTTGCTTCCTGCTATTGCCTCTGTTTCTGTAGTTTTGCTCTTTTTGTACCATGTGATTGTATTCGAGCCGTAAATTTTTTAACTAAAATTCTGCACTTGTTCATAATCCTAAAATTTGGGCCGGTCCAAAATCAGCCTCTCTTTGGCCCGGTCCAAGTTTGTAGCAGACCTGTTTCGTCTGAGTGTTGTCGACTGTCGTCGAGCGAAGTAAACCGCGCGGCATCTCTGTCTGTGTGTGCAGCAGAACAAGTAGTGATAAGGGAGTGAAGAGATAACCGTTGTTTCCTCCACCATCCAACGACTCTTCTTCTTCTTCTTCTTCTTCTTCTGCTGGTTGAATGAGTTTTGATGCTCAACAATATATTATTGTTAATAAGTAACAGCCAATTAGCCATACCCAATTGCCCATATCCAGAACCAGAAACACTGAAATGCTGGCCAAAGCTCCTGCTCCAGCAGTAAACCACCACCTGAGGCCAAAACGCCTTGAACCAGAATGGACGGTGGCACTGGCACCTTACAACTGCAGGTGTCTCCATCTTCGTCAGATGAGAAAATGGGGGATAAGTTGTAGTTTCAGTCAGAGCCCCACCGATAACCCTGCACCTGCTTATGACCTCATGGACGATTTCGTTGTTTTGGGACCAGCCAACAATGACCCTCTCAACAGAAACACCACCCATAGAGGTCCTCTCTCTCTCTCTCTCTCTCTCTCTCTCTCTCTCTTCTTTTTTATTTCAATTTGGGTTTTGCTTATTGTTTCTGTTTGTTCATGTCCACCTAAACTTACTAATATTTGTGGGTCAAAGACTTCCTCTTTTGAGAATCAATTTTTATCTTTTCAAATTTCACAAGGTTGGTTTTTCCTAAAAAAAATTCTATTTTTCCGTGAAGCTTTGGACAAATTAAAGTTGTAAATATATGGCACATTGGTTTAGTAATCCAGGGGTTGGTTGAACGTGCATACATAATTTGTCCCATCTAAACTGCACTTATGTTTATCCTGTGGGAATTGAGCATGTGCCACACCATTACAGACAATGACCGTCAACCAGCACGTACTAGGAAACTTGCTGCAAGTTTTGGGAGATTGAAAGTACATAGAGTGAAATCCGTAGTCGAGAAAAATTCTAGGATGAAGCAAGAAGTAGATGAAGGTGATGATGAACTAAATGTACAAGATGCACCACCATTTATCAATTCACAATCTACACTTGAAGTTAGGGGGAACAAGAAGAATGCAAATGCCCCCAGTCATGGAGGAAGAGCTTCAAGTGCTTCTCGCTCAGAAGAATTTAGAAACATGAGGCGGAAGAAGGGGACAGCAGACGGCATTGACCACTCTGGTGTAAATGTGAAAGATGCTTTTGAGCCGCTCACTGACAATCAGACTAAACAGCATAAGCCTCATAGGTCTGACACCATGGTATCCAGACAAAAGGCTTCCGTTTCAAGAGGTTCTTCTGCTAAAGGATGGGGTAATGGAGGAGGGTCCATGTATGACTTGTCTGAGTTGCCAGACCTAAAGCAGCGAAGAAAATTTTCCACTGACAGTGATTTTTTCAGTCGAAAATCCTTTAGGGATTTGGGATGCAGTGACTATATGATTGAATGTCTAAGGAGGCAGCTTTTCCAGCGCCCGTCACATATTCAGGTACATCAATGTTGTTCCCATATTTACATCTGCAAAGAATTTGGTTTGGTGTTTGCTCTGAAATGTATCCACTTCAAGAAGTGTCCCATATATAATGTCCTGTAAAATATTATAAATAGTTATCCACTCTATGGACTTCATCCTGTTATTGTTCCTGTACTTTAGAACTTCTGACCTATTAGAAATGTGTTTTGGTTGATGCAGTTTTTATACATACCTGTACGACTCTGTTTCGTTACGTTTTCCTTTCAATCATCTGATCATATTTATCTGATTTGAAATCTAGTATATGTTGAGACTGGTAGTTTCACCTGTGGTTGCTACGTTGGATTCTGAAATCTCTATGTGCTTGCAATCACATTGTGATCCTTTAGGATTGCCTTGTCAGACATCTGGCATTATTATAGCTACTGTAATCATGGAAGCGTTCTTCTTAAATACTTTTTCTTTAGATTTGACTGAATGAATTCCATGATATAAATGTTGTGATAATAGTTTGATAGGTTGGGTTGCTAATAAAGTTAACACATCAGAAAATTAGTGGAATGTGCAATATCCAGCTAATATACTCTTATGAAGTTCATGTTTAGTTTACTTGTACAAGGATGCACCAACTCATAATTAATACTCTTGTTACACGTCCTACATAAATGCAGGCCATGGCATTTGCTCCAGTTGTTGAGGGAAAAACCTCTATTATAGCTGACCAAAGTGGATCTGGCAAGACATTAGCCTATCTTGCTCCAGTAATTCAGCGTTTAAGGGAAGAAGAACTTCAAGGACTGAGCAAGCCCCTGTCACAGAGTCCTCGAGTTGTTGTACTGGTACCGACTGCTGAGTTGGCTTCTCAGGTCAGTTTCTGTTGTGTTTCTAACTTGCTATTTTCATCTTGTGATCTACATGCTTTTAGTTCTTGTTGTCTGTTGTCACCTCTGCTCAGGTTGATTCGACAACAGTTTTCTGAGCTCTTCGCATATTAGTTCATTGCCAGCTCTCAGTTGTTTGACCTTGTTCTCTTTCAAAAAATGTGAACTGTTTTCCTATATGTATTTATAATTGTACTGTCATGCTGGCTGCAGCAAGTGCTTAATGCAAGTGTACTTGTGCAGGTTTTGGGTATTTGCCGTTCAATGTCAAAATTTGGGGTTCCAGTCAGGTCTATGGTTGTAACAGGTGGTCATCGACAGAAAACTCAGTTGGAAAATTTACAACAAGATGTTGATATTCTAATCGCAACACCTGGTCGATTTATGTATCTAATTAAAGAGGGCTTCTTGCAATTATCAAATCTAAGATGGTAACCCAGTTTTCCTTTAACTTTGCATAACTTTTTTCTGTCATATTGTCTCTGGGTTGATAAATTAAAGCTTCTTTGTAATTTGAATTTCGGTCCCATATATTTTGGACAGAGCATGAGACATGAATAAGTAACTAAGGATTTGCTGGGATGGGTTCTCATAGCCTGTGTTTTCAAGGAGTGATAAGTTTATGTAACAACTCTGGGAGGTTTGAAAACTATGGACCTTGATTTCAGTTCTGTATTCGTTAGCTATCTTGGTTGTTTGGTTGGTATAGTATTGTAACTGTCTTCTCCAGCCACAATAAACTGTCTTGAACTGTTACACCTTGTATGTTTCCTTCACTATGACAAGTAAATTCACTCAGTTATCCAAAATTAATCTAGATGTAAGTATAAATAATAGAACTTAGGAGTTCTTGGTGATGTTGTTGACTAGTCAATCTCTATATTTGTGAGTGGATCTGGGTGTGTGCTTGCATTCATGCTTGTGTTTGTTGATTTACATACATGGCACATCAATATGTGACAAGATATTTTACTGGTGCTAATGTATGAGAACCTCTTGTTGCAGTGCTGTGCTGGATGAGGTAGATATACTCTTTAATGATGAGGATTTTGAAGCAGCACTGGAAAGTTTGATCAATTCTTCACCTGTTACCACACAATATCTTTTTGTGACTGCAACTTTACCTCTTGGCATTTACAACAAATTAGTGGAATCTTTTCCTGATTGTAAAGTGGTCATGGCACCTGGAATGCACCGTGTAAGCCCTGGCCTTGAAGAGGTTAGTTCTTCTGTTGCTTATTATCTTAATTATTATATTTTGAAGCGTTGCACGATGGATTTAATTGTGGTCCTGGTAATTAGGTCAATACAAAGGCTCTTTTTTTATGGTTTACATAGTTTCATTATCATACTTGTTGACTATTGAGGACGAAAGAAAAAATGCTCCACGGGGAAGTCGATCCATTCACCAGATCATGTTGGGCTGGAATGCCTTCATTCCCATCCCATCTTTTATGATCTCTGGGCCTTCCCACTATCCTACTTAACTTTGATTGGACAGTCCTAAAATCCTTTTACTAATTTTATAACATCTTACTCTGATATAAAAGAAAAGAAAAACACCATCAGTTGTTGGAGAAAAGGGTATTCCTTTGTTATCATTGCTGCATTTTTTAATTCTACTTTTAATCAACTTTTTTTCCTATCTTCCCCTTCAAATCATTTTGATTAGAATTGAAGAGTTTTAATTACTCCAACATTATCGATTTTAATTATCATGATTCATGTCCAGGTTCTTGTAGATTGCAGCGGAGATGATGGAAGTGAAAGATCTCCAGAGATGGCATTCTCAAATAAGAAATCTGCTCTTCTGCAACTTGTGGAGGGAAGTCCAGTTGCAAAATCAATAATTTTCTGTAACAAGGTAAGGTGGAACCTTTCCTTCTGGATGGCTTACCATGTACCTGGGGATTGTGGGTTTCACATACATTTCTGACTTTCTTTTGAGGAAAAAGAGAGCATAGAGTTTTATGAATATGGAACTTAATTTCTCAGGTCGTTTGAGAAATTTTAATTCAAGTTAGCTTTTCCTTTCCCATTTGCAGATTGAGACATGCAGAAAAGTTGAGAATGTCTTAACACGTTTTGACAGAAGTGGAACTCGTGTTCAAGTTCTACCATTCCACTCTGCTCTGGCTCAAGAATCTAGGCTTGCAAATATGAAGCAATTCACCAATTCTCACTCAAAGGAAGTCTCACAGTTTTTGGTTTGCACTGATAGGTATTGCTCTCTGCGCATGATTTCCAGTACTAAACTCTGTTTGCACTACAAGTATAATCTGGTTAATTGTTTGTTCCATAAATGTGAGTCATATTAGTATATAGCAACTTGACGTTTATGAAATATCTGGCAGAGCATCTCGTGGAATCGACTTTTCCGGCGTGGATCATGTAATACTCTTTGACTTCCCTCGTGATCCAAGTGAGTATGTTCGACGTGTTGGAAGAACTGCCAGAGGTGCTGGAGGAATAGGTAAGGCATTCATCTTTGTGGTGGGCAAGCAAGTCTCCCTTGCACGAAAGATAACGGAAAGAAACCGAAAAGGTCACCCCGTGCATGATGTACCAGCTGCGTATGAGCTTTTGTATTAACAGCCTACTTGCCTGCTTGTAAAACATATGAGTTAGAATTTCCAAAAGAGCTGACACATGACACACAAGTTGCAAGGCTGGTGTGGGGAAAAATCACCAGCCATTTTCTTAAACATGTGCGCTTGGCATTCTGGAAAAGTACAATCTCGTATATACACTTTTCTTATAAGCAGATCTTATATGATTTAATCCAAGTTTGCTTCTTATTGTTGATAGCATACATTCAGCAAATTTTATCGGTTGGTTCCCCAGCATGGCCAGCAGCACAAATGCTAGGCAAGTTCTTTCCTAAAATAAGGCCAATGCTAAACAAGTTCTTACTCTAGTAATACTTCTTTTCCTAATGTCAAAAGAGTTCCTAGTTCGAATCTCTCTTGAGCGGATTAAAAAACAACTCCTTTAAGTGAAGGAAATTACCCTACCAAAAAAAAAATTCCAATCACACTTTCGCTGAATAATTTCAAAAAATAAAAATCCATCTTCAAGATTGGACAACAAAATGAGAAATTTGCCTAATGCCCAAAAAAAATATTTCCATTGGCAAAAGCATTTTTTTTTTTCATTTAAAAAAAAATAGAGAAATGACCTTAGCTTGTGCCCAAAAAAAAACGGAGTGGGTAATGTAGAGAACGGTGCGTTGTGTTCTGGGTGGAACGGGATAAGGTGCCAGATAGAAGAACGGGGCTTTAGAAATACAGTAGAGAGACGGAGAGACAGAGAGAGATAGAGAGATAGGGAGCTACAATGTCAGCGTCAATTTCGTTCCTTGGCACTGCAATTGCGTCTTCCCAACAGCTATGGCTGCGTCCCAAGCTTGTGGGAGTGACGACGACTCTAAGTCCAAGGCCTCAATCTCAGTCGCTTGTTGTGGAAGCCAAAGCCACCACCAAAAGAGAAGACAGAACCGCCCGCCATATTCGTATCAGAAAGAAGGTACCATTGCCAACCATCTCTCTCTCTCTCTCTCTCTTGTTTTCTCTATCTAATTTCTGTAATTTGGTTGCTTCGCTTTCAACCCACATAATGTAAGATGAATTTTACCGTTCAAATTCAAGGCATCTGAGTTGTCCCCCTTTTACTTTACGTGTTCTGAATTTCCCTTATCTTCTTCCCTACCTACCCAGAAACTCTTTGTTGTCAGTTTCTGAGTAATGGGTTCTTCTCCTTCTACAAGAGCATGTACTTTTTGCCATTAGATTAGACCAACATGCATTACTGGAGCTTAGCTTCTCAAGATAGGAAAATGTGTCTTCATTGTACATATACATGAACTGGGTTAGCCTGTTTTGGTTGTTTTGGTTTTGATTTACCTTATTAATCATAGATTATATTAGTTCCCGTGAGTATGCCTCCCATAATCTCTAGAGGTTCTTGTACTAGGTGGGTTTGGAAAAATTTAGTGTGTTTTCTCTGTTGGCAGTTTTCAAAGTGAAATTTGGAAGCTTTAATTTGGGTGCTTATTAGTAACACTGATACACTCTCCCTTTGCAATGCAAATGAACTTCTGTTCAACAATTTCCCTTTGATTGTACTAGTTTCTTCTATACACTCATCAAAGCATACTGGTTAAAATTACCAAATGGGATCATCTTGTGAACATTTGTTTGCTTTGCTGGTTCAAGGAGCCTCTAAATTTTAGTGGTTCTTTTGTATGATTCATTCCTCTAATAAGTTGAAAGATATCTCCTGAAAATGAGGGTTGCTGGTTCTGATTATGGATGACGCATTTGTTGTTTCTTCAGGTTGAAGGGACTCCGGAAAGGCCAAGGTTAGCTGTCTTCCGCTCCAACAAGCATATCTATGCCCAAGTGATTGATGATACCAAGATGCACACACTTGCTTCAGCTTCAACAATGCAGAAACCAGTCTCTGAAGAATTTGATTACACTGCTGGTCCTACCGTTGTAAGTTCACAGATATCAACTAAATAACCTGTTAAATATTCTTGCTTCGCCATGTGGTTTGTTAGTCTGAAAAGTTTATTTCAGTTGTACATCTCTATTATGAAAATATGGCCAAATAGGCTTTCAATAGCTTTATTTTTCTGAAGTCTATTGCTTAGTTGAACTGTTGCATAGAATCAATCTACAAGCTACTTCTATCATTCTTCTTTTACTGTTTTCCCTTCTGTAGGTCAATTCATATTGGATGAATCATAGATAAATGATGATTGTAATAAACTTAACAGTCGGAAAAATTACTTATTATTGAACTGAGATCTTGATTCGTCAATTGCTAATTTGGTAAATTTACCTACTAGATATTTTATAAAACTTCTTGCCCTTAGCTTTGATGTTTGTCAAACAAAAGTCCTGATCTACTTACGTTTGTGTCATCAGGAAGTAGCAAAGAAGGTGGGAGAAGTGATTGCAAAGTCCTGTTTGGAGAAAGGGATTACAAAAGTGGCCTTTGACCGGGGTGGATACCCCTATCACGGTCGTGTGGAAGCCCTTGCTGATGCGGCTAGGGAACATGGCCTTCAATTCTAAGATTTGGTCGGACTTAAATCTATTTTGGATTGATGTACCCCCTTTTTTCAGTTTTTTTGTAAAAGCTTGGGATGGTAGAATGTATTAATGTGTAAGCAGAGTTGTTTTTTCGTAGTCAATTGAACATTTGCCGAGGAGAGGCTTTCAACTTACTTTATTTATGCTCTTGGTTCTTCTCATCTCATTTTATGGCCCCTTTTGGTTCTTCTCATCTCATTTTATGGCCCCTTGGTTGCTAGCTTATCAAATGATCTAGTAGGGCATTGCATTCAAAGTTGAGATTTGTTGGGTCAATCCAAGACTGGAGTTGAAATTAATCTTCAAACTAACAAGAACCACATGTAGGAGGGGAAGAAGGAACTATCATGCCCTTCCCAACTCCCAAGCAAAGAAAGCGTTCAACGTGTTGTCCTCTTCTATTTTTAGCATTTTTCTTTCTCTTGCTATGCTATAGCTTCTTCTGTTCCTCCCCCGAAGTCCGTTGCGGAGCTGAATTACAGTTATGCACACGCACATGCAGAGATCGATCCATCCATCCATCCATCCATCCATCCACAAAGATTCGATCATCATATAAGACTTCCTACATCTAGCCAGCCTCATGAAATTCTCTTCACCAAATCAAAAGAAAAGGGAAACTGAATTCCTTCATCTCCTCATCAATTGATTTATTATTTGCCTTTTACATGTGGGTGCGTTGGGGTGAGGGTGCTGCTGTGGTGGCGGATCCATTGTGCCTGTTGGTGATTCCTTAAATCTTTGATTAATTAAGTTAGTTACTTAAGATGGCACCGCCGGCCAGCCCTGTTGCCCCGATGAAGGCAACATCCAATGGATCGTTTCAAGGTGAAAATCCTCTGGATTTTGCTCTTCCCTTACTCATCCTCCAGATCTGCTTGGTCGTAGTTTTCACCAGAACACTCGCATTCCTTCTTAAACCTCTCCGGCAACCTCGAGTTATAGCCGAAGTCATTGTAAGTCTTTTCTCAATTAATCGCTTAATCTTTGTTCTCTTCCATTGTCGACAAAAAATCACGTTATCAAATAATCCTCCAGGTTCACATCTAACAACATAAACGACTAATTTTACATGCATTATTTAATTTCGTCATGAAATTTAATTCATCGTGCATGCACACGTGCGTGTAATTGCAGGGAGGGATATTACTTGGACCCTCGGCATTGGGGAGAAGCGAGAAGTTTCTCCACACCGTTTTCCCGGCAAAATCAATGACCGTACTGGACACCGTGGCCAACATCGGACTCCTCTTCTTCCTGTTCCTCATCGGCCTTGAACTCGACATCCGCGCCATTCGCCGCACGGGCAAGAAATCCTTAGGCATAGCTGTCGCCGGCATCACCCTCCCCTTCGTCCTCGGTGTCTTCACCTCCTTCGTTCTCCGCGCTACCGTCTCCAAAGGCGTCAGCCAGGGCCCCTTCCTCGTCTTCATCGGCGTCGCGCTCTCCATCACGGCCTTCCCTGTCCTTGCCCGCATCCTCGCCGAGCTCAAGCTCCTCACCACCGACGTCGGCCGCATCGCCATGTCAGCCGCCGCCATAAACGACGTCGCCGCCTGGATCCTCCTAGCCCTCGCCATCGCCCTCACCGGCACCAACACGTCCCCTCTCGTCTCCGTGTGGGTCCTACTCTGCGGGGCAGGGTTCGTCGGGTTCTGCATTTTTGCTCTCAGGCCGCTCCTCGCCATGATGGCGCGGCGGTCCCCCGACGGCGAGCCGGTGAAGGAGCTGTACATATGCATCACACTGTCGCTGGTGCTGGCGGCGAGTTTCGTGACGGACACGATTGGGATACACGCGCTGTTTGGGGCGTTTGTGGTGGGGATTGTTGTGCCGAAGGACGGGCCGTTCGCTGGGGTGCTGATAGAGAAGATAGAGGATCTGGTGTCGGGGCTGTTCTTGCCGCTCTACTTTGTTTCGAGTGGGTTGAAGACGAACGTGGCGACCATCAGCGGCGGGCTGTCGTGGGGGCTGCTGGTGCTAGTTATATTCACGGCTTCTTTCGGGAAGATTGTGGGGACGGTGGCTTTGTCGATGATGTGTAAGGTGCACTTCAGGGAAGCTTTGGCACTTGGGTTCCTTATGAACACCAAGGGACTGGTGGAGCTCATCGTCCTCAATATTGGCAAGGATAGAAAGGTTTGTTTGTTTACTAATTAATGCTCTGCATAGCTAGCTGCTCTCTCTTTTTCAATGCAACGATATTGGATTGGATGTTAAATTCAGCACAAGTTTTACAATTTATTTATTATTTTGTTACATCAATATATGTTACAAGTTAATTACTTTTTATATTCGTCGCTACGTACGCATGGCAGGTACTGAACGACCAAACCTTCGCCATATTCGTTCTAATGGCGCTCTTCACCACCTTCATCACCACCCCACTGGTGATGGCCATCTACAAGCCCGCCCGCAGAGGAGCCCCCTACAAGAACCGCAGCGTTTTCCGCAAAAATCCCGACACAGAGCTCCGAATGCTGGCCTGTTTCCACAGCACCCGCAACATCCCCACTATGATCAACCTCATCGAGTCCTCCCGCGGCACCCGCAAGCGCGGCCGCCTCACCGTCTACGCCATGCACCTCATGGAGCTCTCCGAGCGCTCCTCCGCCATCTCCATGGTCCACAAGGCCCGCTACAACGGCCTCCCCTTCTGGAACAAGAAAACTGACGACACCAACTCCAACAATGACCATATGGTCATTGCCTTCGAGGCCTACGAGCAGCTCAGCACCGTCAAGGTCCGCCCCATGACCGCTATCTCCTCCCTCAACGACATCCACGAGGACATCTGCGCCAGCGCCCACCACAAGAGCGTCGCCATGATCCTGCTCCCTTTCCACAAGCACCAGCGGCTCGACGGCACCATGGAGTCTCTGGGGAACTCGTTTAGGTCCGTCAATGAGCGCGTGTTGAGGCACGCGCCGTGCTCGGTAGGGATTTTGGTGGACAGGGGTCTGGGCGGCACGGCACAGGTCTCGGCCAGCGACGTGTCGTATAATGTGGTTGTGGCGTTTTTCGGAGGGCGGGACGACAGGGAGGCACTGGCGTACGGCATGAGACTAGCGGAGCATCCCGGGATTGTGATGACTTTAGTGAAGTTTGTGGCCCCACCGGGGAAGACGTTGATATTTGGCGCGAAGTTGGTCGGGATCACGTCGGATAAGAACAAGAAGATTTTGAAGGAGGAAGATTGCGGCGAAGAGAAGGAGGACGACGAGTCGCTTTTGGCTGAGTACATGAGTGTGAGGAACAGTAAGAACAAGGAAGGCGGGGAGCCTTCGATGCTGTACGAGGAGAAGGTGGTGGAGAGCAAGGCGGAGATTTGTGTCGTGTTGAAATCGATGGGCAGAAATGTCAATTTGTTTGTGGTGGGACGAATGCCTCCAACGGCGCCACTGGTGGATAGCACGAGTGACTGCGCGGAGTTGGGCCCCGTGGGGAGCTTCTTGGCGTCGTCGGAGTTTTCATCCACGGCGTCGGTTGTGGTGCTTCAACAGTATAATCCCACGGCGTCGCAGCCGCTTGTGGTGGAGGAGGCTGACTATGAATTACCGGAAACGTCAATGGCTTAACTGTTGCGTGTGAGAGTTTGAGAAAATGTTTTATTTGCTGAAATTAATTAGGAGATGAGGAATAAAAAGTCTTGTTAGAAATTTCGATCCTTAATTACATCGATTTAGGAGATGATCCATAGAAACGATAATGTACTTAGTCAAATTATAATTACTTGTATTTCTCATATAAAATTTGGTTCTTTTTGTTTAGTACATGAATACCATTCTTATTGTTTGGTCAACTTATGAGTCATTCTTCTCATGATTATCTTCATTATAAGTTTATAGCAATGTGTTGCGACTCAAAAAATTCATGGTTGGTTCCGAATAAATTCCTAGCCAAATACGATACTTTATTAAAAAAAGACTCAATTTAGAGCATACGAGAATCCACCATGCACGAGTCACAGTCCACGTGTCATGCCAAATAAATAATCTGTCATGCAAAGGATTGAGATAAAGATCATAAAATACACTAGCTCTACGAGCCCATGCTAATTACCCCGTCAAACATCATAATAAAAAAATATGCCACGTCAAGCTAGAAATCATAATTTCTCACCCAACCACCAGTGGCAAACCTATTAAGACGCAAGGAGATGCAGCTGCACCTCTCCTTGCTGGAAAAACCATTGTAGGTGCTTCAAATTGTCCATTTGCTCAACTGGTGTACATACCTTATTTCCATTTTCAACATTTAAATAAGGAAGTACCCCCCATTTGGATTCAAATAAAAATACTAGAAAATCAAATTCCCACCAAATCAAAATATGAAAAATCGGTTTTAGTGCAAAATACGATTTAAGCTAAAAAGGATGCCTCATTAAGTCAATATATACTTCATATTAAAATCTCATAAAATCAAGTTTTCTTATTTGATGTGTAAGGAATAAAAGCCACCAAAATTTATTTTGAGAAAATAATTATTCCCAAAAACCATTTTTCATACTTAGTCAATATTGCACTTCCGTTAAAAAATTTCTGGGTCTGCCAGTGCCAACCATGCTACAAGCTTAAGTGGGCCCAAGCCACTCAAATGCCCGGGGCTTGCTTGACTGAGTTATGGTATGAATGGTAACAAGTTGTCACGAGGCCCATTAATGGGCCAAGAAATGGAAGTCTCAGATTGCTTGGGAGCCTCGAAACTCAAGCTCATTTCTTGAGCCCAAACATGTGGGTGAGCATAAAAGAGAGAGAGAAAGTAGCCCAATGTCCTAGAGAAATTAGCCCATCACCTTGACAAAATAGCCTAACACTTGGTGAAGTTAGCCCATTTATTTGATAAACCCACTTATTGTCCTAGAAGGCCCATGCAATTAAAATAACGATCTGCAAAAGCCCTAACACTTGGCTGTATAATAAAGGTCTCCACGTATGTAGAGCTGCTGGGAGGTTCCATCACATGGGAGGGAACGAATTTCAAGCAAAGGTATTCAAGGACCAGGGGATATTTGATAAGGTCATAATTTCACATATTTGCATGCCTTCTTTACTTAGTGACTTTACTTAGTTTCTTTTTATTTTGAGTCACTTACCTCTTTTTGTTTGTTTTGTAGGTTAAGACAGCAAGAGATCACATTTGATGCAATCCATGCTTATTAAGGGCTAATTGGGATAAGAAGAATATGAGCTTAAAGACAAACCCAATTTGGACCACACTCCTTATCAGTCCAGTTTTGTGGGTCATCTTGCAATCCTCATTTCAGCAACTTACGCAGGTCGGATGAGGAGACATCCTTGATAGAAGTTGTTCCAATGGGTGTCTATTATAACATATCCAAATTTCAGCCCAAGTGGATAAATTTGGAGCCCTCAGCATGTCAAAGACTGAACCAAGTTCACAGAAATGTCATGTTGGCTGCCATCACATTTAATGTGTCTACATCCCTAGAGCCATGTGCTAAGTATAGGCAGCCACAGACAAATCAGCTCAGGAACTCAAAAGGATGAACAAAAGTCAAGTTTTCCATAAAGAAACCATACCAAAGCATGTACTTGTCAGCTGGAGTAGTTGGCAAGTATGGGCAGTTTGGAGCAGTTGGGAGCAGCTAAGAGAGGTGTGCTTCACCAGCCAAAGGGGAGGACGAAATTGCACTCTATAAATAGAGAGCTGCACACTCATTCAAGGAGGAGATATAGGGAGTCAGATACACATTTTCACTTCATCCATTAATCTTATACACACATTCAAATTCACCACAAAGAGAGAAGAGAGCCTGGAGCTGTTCTGGGAATTCCTTGCTGCCATCATCTAGTTCTTCTCCTCTCTTTATTCTATCTATGTATTTCTTATTTTCTTTATTCATAGTTATGTCTAACTAATCCATTTAGTTAGGGCTTAGGATGAAGCCCTAGTCATGAATATTCAATGTTATGGATGATTTTATAGTTAATTGATTTCCTTGCTTTCATTATCAAGTTGTTAATCTCCAGTTTATTATGTGCTTGATGTATGTTTTCTTGGAGTAGCTAACTAGGATTTTATAAATCTAGCATAGGTTGGGAAGGGGTTTAGATTCACCAATTCTACTCTCCTTTCACAAGCAACATATGAATGGCTTAAGAATCATTCAAGGGGTTAATAAACATAGGTTGACTAGGACAGATACCATGTTCTAGGACTTGTGTGATTATCATATTCTCATGGAGCTTAATGACTCTTGTATGCTTTATTCTAAGTAGATACCATGCTTAGGTTGCATATTAGAGATCACGTGTTGTGTAGATACCATGCACGATTACATGCCTTAGGAGAATCATGCATCCTGCACTTAGATACCAAAGGCTTGTATGCGATAATCTATTGTTCATGAAGCTTGAGTCAATTTCTATGCATTCATAACTTGGATAGGAAAACTAGTGATGGATTCCAAGGCTCTAACACCTCTCAATTATTGTTTCACAATCTGTCCAATGTTTACTTTCGAGCACTTTCATTTCACTTTCTTCTTTTCATTTCAACAACAAAACCCCCCATTTCGAGTGCGTGTGTGGTGCTAGGATTCTATTCTAGACCTTGAGTAATTAGCAAGAGGAATTGTTGAATTCGACCTTGCCTTTAGCTAGTCAGTCAGTTTCTTTGTTCTATGTTTTTCTAGCATTCTAAGTAATTTAACTTCGAACCAAGTTACCATTCTCTGTGGGATCGACCTCGTATTTACATAAGCTATACTATAAACGATTCGTGCACTTGCGAGAATTAAAGTTGCTGTTTTTAATACTCATTTTAGTTGTTAGGAATTGAATCAACAATATTAGCTCGCAAGCTGCCAAGAGGGGAAGCACCCTTCGAACCAGCATGTATACCCATTTCTTTCCTTCATTAGATCTAGCCATGGAAGAAGGAAGGAAAGAAAAAGGGAGAAGGCTGAGAATGGGAGTCCCATACTAAAACAGCTGCGGGAAAAGCCTAGAGCTCCCAAAAATCCCTGTTTTTGTGCAATTGGGTAGAGAGAATTTCACCAAGATAGGATAAGTCAAGGGAGGAGAAGAGAAATGAAGGGAAAGATTTAGCCAAATTAGATAGAAACCATTAGGGTTTCTTGGGAAAGAGGAGCTTTTAGCAGCTATAAATGAGGCACCTCCTGCCCAACGACCAACAACCACATCCAGAGAGCAAGCTTCATCTCTTACTTCCAAAACCCAGCAATTTCATGCTTTGTTCATACTTCTCCCCTTTATTTTAACTCCTAGCATATTGTTCTGGTACTTGACAAAACCTCTGTCGAAACTACCGGATTATCACTTAAGCCACCAATTTCCTAACCTCTCCTCTATTCTCAGCCAAACCCTCTCATAATCCTTTCCTCCATTTCCTTAGAATCCCTGTTTTTTTTTTAGAAACTTACATCTCTCCCCTTTTAAGGCTAAACTCATGACAACTTTGCTTCCATGCCATAAGCCTCTCATGCCAAGCTAAGAATCTACCTGTAAGCACTAAGAACTTATCTGTAAGCTGCCATTGTTTTTGTTGGTGAATGTGACCAGGGTGTTTCCTAAGACTTCACTATCCTTTCGAAACATTTTGGGGTCTGATCTTTGAACTCAGACACAGGGGGGGTAATCTCATTCATTTTGCTCTTTACGCCAGCCCAACCCACTTGTAGCTGCCAGAAGAAAAAAAGCCCCTACATAAATTGGCGACTCTGTTGGGGATTACGCCCTTATCTTCATCAATGCCTCCAAAGAAGAATAATAGAAGCAATAACATGACTTCACAAGACGGGCTAGAACATGGTGATTCGGAATCAAGGCAAAATCCCTCATCTAGAGAATAACGTACAAGTGAGGGAGCTTTTACTCTCTCAAACCTTGTTGCAGCCATCCATGCCATGAGGGAGACCCGAAGGGAGATGGCAGACACAATCAAAGAGCTGAAAAGTTCAGTTTCTAAGCCAAGGGAAGAAAACGAGAGACTTCAACAAGAGGAGTCTGCTGCTGCCAGAAAAGGGTCTGAACAAAAGGGACCATCTTTTGTCACCCAAGAAGACACCATTGCTATGCTAGAAAAGGAACCAAGTCGAAGCTAGGGGGATTGGAAGTATATTCCTTAGCCACCATATCCATCAAGCTTACTCCAGTAGCCGTATCCCAAAGGCTATGAGGCACCAATCTTTGTTCTCTTTGATGGAAGAAAAGGGAGCCCGAAGGAGCATGTCAATCGTTTCATTGATGCCTTGGGACCACATGCTAGTGATTATAATCTCCAGCTTCGAGAATTTTTGAAAAGCCTTACTGATCATGCTTATACGTGGTATACAACGTTCGCACCAGGCTTTGTTCGTTCTTGGGAAGATTTTGCAAATAGGTTCTGTAAGAAATATTTCTAGCATGAGGAAAGAGTTACTACCACTCAACTCAACAACACTCACTAAAAATATGGGGAAGATCCCGTGGACATTGTATGCAGGTTTCGAGACCTAGCTCTGGATTGCTATGATGAGAAGGACGAAGAGGCGCTTGTTGAAATTTGCATCAGCAATATCGTAGCAGATTACAGAGTTTATTTGGAGAATATTGGCATCAGCCAATTTTCTCGGCTGCTAGAAGCAGTGAGGAAGATGAGACGGGATAGAGGACTTGGAAGAGTGAGAAGAATGAGGCGCACCAAGCACTAACTATGGATGACAAGCCATCTAGTGACTACAACTCATGTAAACAAAAGGATAGGGAGACATATCCGTCATTGCCTTGCAAAGACAAAGAATTCCACGCCATCCTTGATACAATGATTGCTGACGGTGCAATCAAACCTCTCAGACCTTACAAAGTCCTTACCAGAGAGGAGAAGAATGATCCTATATACTGCTGTTATCATCAATTTGTAAGGCATCCAACCACTGCTGATCAAAACGAAGGGGAAAAGAGGTAGCTGCTGTCATTTCATGCTCCGATGATTTGCTCGACGATGATGAATTGTGCCACCTATGGAAGAATGACCCAAAGTCGCCTGAAGCTATGTGGGAACCTTGCGAAAACATGGAGAAGGCATATTGGTGTAAATATTCGAAACCTTCAAGTTACAACACACCACGGCCGTTCGTTGACGGATGAGGTGATGATTTAGGCAACGAAGTTTTTACTTTAGACATATCGGAAGAATGCTACTTAGGGGCTTCATCGGGACAACAGGAAATAGCTGTTGTAACGTTTCACAATCTTACAGAGGTTGAAACAAGCGTGATAGAGCATTACCTAGGTCTGAAACAAGGGCCCACGGTTTCACAAGTCCTTTAAAGGAACTCGAAGTTCAAGTCACTCTTTGACCAACTTGGCTTTGGGCCTCAAGCAAGAGAAGTAGCTGCTGTAGCTCTCAGGAACATCTCTGCAAAGTCTAATCCTCATTGCTTTTGCTCAACTAAAAAGGTCATTCTTGGAAAATGACAATGTTATTGTCTTCATGGAGGTTCCATATCCGGATCATAGAAAGCCACTTTACTTGGAAGGATAGATCAATGATGTGTTTATAAGAAGAGCTTTGGTAGACACAGGCTCCTTTATCAACATATTGCCTATGTCTGTGCTTACGGCAGCTGGTATTCCATTAACCAAAATCGTGCAATCTCAAACAAGCATCAACGGTTTCGGGAATAAGAGTAAGGTCACGATCAGTCACATGCAAGTAAACTTGAAGGTGGGGTCGATCCGATCACTTACTAAGTTCTATGTAGTATACGTGGATGTAGCTTACCATGCTTTACTTGGAAGGCCATGGCTAAACAAACACAAACTTGTGGTCTCTACTTACCATCAATGCGTGAAGGGATTGGGCTGAGGCCACTTCGCATACCAGGAAATCAAGCACCGTTCAACAAAAACGAAGTCCATTACTCCGAGGCAGAATTTTACATCGAGTGCACAGGTGCCGGAAGTAACCCATCTAAGGATTTCGGGACCTACCTACCTTCATGGACTGAAATTTGTGATCTGAGCAACGAGGAACTCATAACCATTGTCGATCAAGAAAGAAAGAAACACTCGGAAGTCAACAACCATGCTTATGATCATCCCCAATGCTCAAAAGTGACGCTGCCAAACATACGCATAGTGTATCACTTATGACGAGTTTGGGGGCTCAACTGTGTTTTGCGGGAAAGCCCTGAGTATGGAGGAGAAGGGATGCAAGCAAACAACCATAAGGGTCCAGATAACAAGGCATCCATGCCTTGTGCTTTCCAGGAGCCAATGACGGCACCCAGGCATATGCAAGATGGTTCAATGGCGGTGGCTGAGCAGCTAGAAACAATTAAGTTGAGTGATGATCCCTCTGCCCAAAAGCCCATCTCCATCAGCATTCACTTAACGAGTGAAGAGAAGGGAGCTTTGGCGTCTCTATTAAGGGAATTCCGAGATGTATTCGCATGGAACTACGAGGAATGCCAGGCTTAAATCCAAACTTAGTAAGTCATACTTTGAATATTGAGCTTGGTACGAAACCTGTGGTGTAGCCAAGAAGGAATTTTCATCTTGAAATTGAAAAGCAAATCACAGTGTAAATTGAAAAGCTGTTAGCTGCTGGATTCATCAAACCAATCAAGCACCCAACGTGGCTGGCAAATATTATCCCCATGAAGAAGAAGACCGATGTAATTAGAATATGCACGGATTACCGGGACCTCCACCGAGCTTGCCCAAAGGATGAGTTCCCACTGCCTAACATGGATATCTTGATGGACTTAACCTCGGGGCAAGGCTTGCTGTCATTCATGGATGGATTTAGCGGCTATAACCAGATAAAGATGTCGCCCAAAGATGCTGAGAAGACAGCCTTTCGAACACCATACAGGAATTTCTATTACATGGTCATGTCATTCGGTCTTAAGAATGTCGGCGCCACATACCAAAGGGCCATGACAGTAGTGTTTCACGATATGATAGGAAAAGAGGTAGAAGACTATGTGGATGACCCTGTGGTGAAGTCAAAAACCAAAGAAAACGATCAAGAAGTTCTGATAAGGGTGCTGGAAAGGTGTCGGTTGTACGGGTTGAAGATGAACCCCAAAAAGTGCGCGTTCGGGGTTTCATCCGGTAAATTCTTGGGGTTCCAAGTGCACCATGTGACATAGATGTGGATCCTGAAAAAACCAGAGTCATAAACTCTCTTGCACTGCCTAGAAACCCAAAAGAATTGAAAAGCTTCATGGGGAGATTATCATACATTCGACGCTTTATCCTAGGCCTTGCTGTTACAATGAGTGTTTTTACTCCCTTACTCAAGAAAGGTAAGGCAAGTGCAACAATTAATCACCAGGTTGCCCACCATGAGAGCACCCATTCTGGGACTTCCACTAAGGCTCTATTTGGATGCAATAAACGTAGTGGTTGGGGCTTTACTCGCTCAAGATGACCACGGTGGAGAAGAAAGTCCTATTTATTATGTGAGTAGACAATTAAGGGGAGCCAAAACAAGATACTCAAAGACTGAGCTCTTGTGCCTTTCTCTTGTCTATGCTACACAGCTCTTGCGGCATTACTTTCTTGCTCACAAGCTACAGCTCATAGTGAAGTCTGACCCCATAAGGTACTTTCTCACAAGATTGGTGCTATCTAGACGTCTTGCACGTTGGCTACTACAGCTGTCTAAATTTGAGATCACATGCACAACTCCTAAGGCCATCAAAGGACAAGCCGTGATTGACATGCTGGCTTTATTTCCTGAAGTAGAAGGCACCACACGGTCAGGCGTCCCCGAACTCGTGGGGCAAAATAACTGACTGTACACTGGCAACTGGGGGGGTACTCTGTGGTGGATTTGAAAATCATACTCTGTTATTTACATAAACTTTCAATAAACCGATCCTCAACTAAACTTATTCAATAAACTGGTTCTCATCTGAACTTAAAATATATCTATATATATAATATATATATATATATATATATACCAAAATCTGATAAAAATCAAAAGTTATAATTCTTCCTTCTCAACCACTGAACATATGAATCAAATACTTAGCTAGCTGGTTAGCCATATCGGTCCCTGATTAACATATCAATCCAAAATCATATTTATAATCTTACAACACCATTAACCAAATGAACAAATATAAACATGTAATAACATGTTTTTCATATAAAAACCTCAACGAATTTTTCAAACCATTATGGATGTCTGTTTACTCAACCACACCAATAAAGTAAAATAACATAAGACAAGTCCAACAACTTTTAAATAAGGATGCACAAGTGATGCAATGTCTACAGGAAGTTAACCTAATGCTCTTATACCAATTGAGACGACCTGACCCAATTTCCACTTTGGAATCCGGGTTGAAACCTGTTTAAAACTGACACTTAGTAAACGTAGGTCGTAAATGACCAAAATACCCTGAAAACAAAAGCACAACTGAGGGACTCTGATTCGTGGCTGCACCTGATAACTGTAGGCTGCCTACGTACCCTTTCTGAGGGATCAAGCCAAACGTAGTTCTTTTCTCTGTTTATGATCTGCAACTGTTTGTTTATCTGTAACTGGTTTCTTTATCCGTAAAACTCGTTCTAGGGTTGACATTCCTGGAGTAACCGGGACTCCGGTTTACAATCCGTCAAATACTCTCCGATCCTGGCCAAGTCTAGATTAACATACTTGGAATTAACTACGATCCAACGGTTCAAACGTATTGAACCCGGAAATCGCACAGTAGGCGAGATCCGTTCGGGGTTCAAACGATATCTGAATTAAGCTCTGTGAAATCCTACGCGCCGGTGAGGATGAGAAGATCATTCTAGGACTGACTGTGGTCCCCACCTTGCTGCCCACGCCCCACCACAGGCTTTGGCAGCGCGTGGTGCCTAAAGCGATAACGCCTTGCCGGAAAAAACTCAACATTTAGGCTCAAGACTCCTATCCTAGGTATAACACCTCATTTGGAGCCACTTTTGTTCTTGGATCTGCCCCCAAAACTGGCCGTAAGTGGCCGAAACAGTGACCCGAAAATTGGCTGAAACCTAACTTGTAAATCGAGCTATCTACGCTAGAAATTTCTGAAATCCTACCCAACCCGCAGCTAGAGCATGAAAAATAGCTAGAAAACCATACCTCACTCGTCCGATTTGGTTGCCGGACGACGGAGAACGAACGCTTGGAAGTTCTGTCAAAAACTGACCAGCACCGCCTGTTTCATGGCTGTTTCTGGCGACTATGGCTGCGGATTGAGGCGGAGAAAGGCTGGATCTGGAAGAGGGAGGTTTCGTGGTTCATTTGGCACTGGTCTTGCCTGAATCGGGGGTCGGAACTGAGAGAAAACAGCTCCCAAAGTTGGCTCGTCGGGGCTCCCTAACTGCAGAAAAATCTGGGTTTATAAAAACTGAAGTTAGAGATATTTACGGTTATGCCACTGAACTTCTTTTGATCGTAACTCCTTCGTTACAACTCCGATTTGAGTCCACTACATGTCTGCGAACTCGTTTCATCGCGCTCTACACAACAGCATAACTGAAATCCCCAAATTTCTTCCTGGTCAAAAAGTCAACTTTTAAACCTAATAAAATATTCTAGGGGTATAAGTGTCTTTTACAAGAATAAATTAATAATTAAATATTAATTAAGGACCGGGTTATTGCAGCTGCGGAAAATGGTTGTTGTTGCTACAAAGGAGGAACTATGGACCCACTACTTTGATGGGTCTTCTACATCGAAAGGTGGAGGAGCAGGTGTAATGCTCATTAATTTCGAGGGGTAAGCCACGACCTTATCATTCAAGCTAAATTTCCCATGCACAAATAATATAGCGGAGTATGAGGCTTTCATTTTGGGAATGTCTACAGCAAGGGAGATATGTGTAGAAAAAATTAAAATTATTGGGGACTCAAACCTGGTGCTGAGTCAATTGCAAGGGAGCTTTGCTATGAATGAGGCAACATTGGCACCATATCGTACAGCTACTGAAAGGCTTGTCAATTCTTTCAAACAAGTCGTGCTGGAACATATTCCGGGGGTCACTAATAGATATGTTGATGCTTTGGCTACATTGGGGTCGAAGCTTTCATTTGTTGAAGAGCAACCCAACATTACTGTGATAAAAAAGATATGCCAGTAGTCGAAGGAGAAGAAAGTGACTGGAGGAAATTCGTGAAGGAGAACATAGGCAAGGGAAGTGACATCAAGGAATTAAAAGACTATGCGATCATCTTTGGGGAGCTTTACAGATGCCTTCCAGGAGGAATTTTGACCCGCTGCATAGGGACAACAGAAGCATGTGTGAAGCTCCAAGAGGTAAATGGTGCCACTTGCAATTTGGAACCAATAATCAGTTTGTATTGGCATCTGCAACGCAAGGGTTATTACGGGCCAGAAATGAAGAAACAAGCAGCCGAAGTTCAAGCCAATTGCCCCAAGTGTTCAACAATACCCTCCACCGAAGAAACATTCACCATCTCATTCGCAGAAGATTGGAAGGCTCCATACTAGCATTCTTTATTGACGAGACTTTGCCAACCAACTCCAAGCATGCTCGCAAGCTTAAAAAGACTGTAAAAAGGTACTTCATAGATGGGTCGACTCTCTATCATAAATGGTTCAATGGTGAACCATTAAAATGCTTGGGAGAGTCGGTAGCACAGCAAGTCATGCAGGAAATTCATGTTGGAGAGTGTGACGAACGCCAAGGAATGAAGAGGCTTCACTGGCAGCTGCTGAATGTCAGGTATTATTGGCCTACCATGAAGAACAATGCATACAATTTTGTAAAGAAGTGCCACACATGCCAAGTCCATGCCAATTTAAGCCACAAGCCTCCAAGTTATTACAGGACATGCGCACTCCCTGGCGATACTTGGGGGCTTGATTTGATCTGAACTATCCACCCACCTTCTGACGGCTATATATGGATCCTCATAGCCACTGAGTATTTCACGAAGTGGGTTGAGGCGGTTCCTCTTCGGAAGGCCACGGGGCCTGCCATTTCAAATTTCATCCGTGAATACATCGTGTGCAGATTCGGAATCCCATACAAGATCGTCACTAACAACGGCACCCAGTTTGTTAACAAGCAAGTGAGCTCGACACTTAGTGGCTATGGTGTCAAGGATCGTCGTTCCACACTGTATTACTCGCAAGGAAATGGTCAAGCAGAGGCCACAAATTAAACTTTATTGAGGATTCTAAGCAAAATAGTGCATGAGTATGAAGGAGGTTGGAGTGTTCACCTGCCGGATGCCTTATGGGATTACCGCACCTCTCCAAGAAGCACCACAGGCTTCTCACCTTATTCCCTTGTGTACGGGTCCGACCCCATCTCACCTGTTGAAATTACCATCCCCACCATCATAGTACGTTAATGACCTCGAATGGGATACAACGTCATGCTCAGATTGGCACTTGCTAGACCTCGAGGCCTTGGACGAAAAAAAGAGCAAAAGCAGAAAGGAGGACAGCGTTGTACCACAGAACTATAGCTCAAGCCTATAACAGGACAGTCAAGCCTCGCGCCTTCAAGTAAGGAGACCTCGTGCTAAAAGTTGTGGAGCATGTAAGAAGACAAGTGTCGGGAACTTCCAAGTTTGCCCCGTAATGGGAAGGCCCATTCGCAGTCAAAGAAGTCTACAGCAGTAGCTATTATCGCTTGGTCTCTGTCAAAGAAGGCACGCTAACGGATCCCATTAACAGGAAGTGGCTCAAGCCTTACTACTGCTAAGTTAATCTTGTGTCAAGCACTTTTTATTATTGCATTTCCTTTCGTTTTAGACATAAACTCCTTTTGTCTTACTTTCATATTTTGAAAAAAAAAAATACACTTTTGTGAGGTGCACCATCATGGTAGCAGGGGTTTTGCAATGAGAATGAAGGATTATTTTGAAAAAATATATATGTCTCTGGAGTTTTACTATTCCTTTATACATTTTAAACCTCATTTACACTAAAACAAAACAAACAAACAAAACCAAAACAAAAACAAAAAACACGCTACTTAACAGTAAAACATGATAAGCAAAGTCAATTGGATGGGGTCCCGAACCATCAACAAGCAGCATGCCTATGCAAAATAATACGGGGTATGCAAAGCCAAGCTATCAAAAAAAAAAAAGTGCAGGCATTCTTGAGGTGCTAGAACAACGAAACCGTTGTCCCCTTTTGATAAATAATCAGAATATGCGAAACATTTGGGAATTTTACAAAACCTTGGTGAAAACCATGCACACACTAGTTTGGCCCTTTGAAGGCATGTCAAGAAGGTGTTTTTCAAGCCTAGTAGTTAGACAAGCCTTGCAAAAAAAAATCTAGGAATTCTGTTTCTGCCAAAATTTTGGCAGCATGTACCTTGTTTTTAAGAATATCCAACGTGTCAGAAAATCTCAAGCAGATCACAAAACAAATTTTGCCAACCAAGTAATATATATATATATATATATATAAGACATGCGGATTACAACATACCTCAAGCATTCAAAAATTAATACAAGCTCCAGTGATTCAATACTACATTACAAAGTCATAATGACATAGTCGTTAGAGTTAGAGTGTCCCAAAAAAGAAAAACTACAGTCAAAGCGAGATAAAATTACACATGCCAAAGACGGTAGTCTCAAAAGGAACATAATTATGAGCCAAGATAATCAATCACCAAGCCAAGGAAGGACAACCTGCAAAGTAGAAAGAAGGTAGGTGTCAAGACTAAGTGACGCTAGGAGAAATAGCCTATCAATAAAGAAAAGAAGAAGAGACAAAGGAACTATGTACCTTGAGGCTATGAAGAATGCCCGAAAAGAACTAAGGAAGCCCTAGGAGACGATCTGGTTGTTGCTTCCGCCATGCATTCAGCGCTATCAGCAGAAACACCTTTAGTGAGAAGAAGGGCATGTAATTCTCGGCGCTGGTCCTCTAACTCTCGCTGCTTAATGTTCAAAGCGTCGGTTGCGGGTTTTACCTTATCGAAACCAAGCGATGATTTCATCCTATGAATGGCACGTGCTAAGTTCCTCACTAAATTGAGGAAGAAATCCACATGAAATCCCAGAGTTATGGCCTCACAAATCGTGTCTCGCCAACAAATCAATCTATGATCAGTGATATCTAGGAGCTGCATGGTGTCTATCCCGTGAAGCACCAAGCCAATGGCTTGGAAGGTAGCACTCCTTGAGAAAGAAGAGGTGATTCCAATAATCTCTATGAAGCTCCCATATTTGTCCATGAATTTTCTCAAGACCACAACCGTCTTTGGATACACAAGAGCGCCTTGGAATGTCACATAGCCATTGAACCTATGGCAAAGCAAAAGAAGCTCATTGATGGACTGGAGAATTGTGACGCCACCATCAAAAAAGGCTTTGAATGCTGTGAAGGAATTTTCTCAATCATGCCAGGACATGCTTTTCTCTGATAAATGCCCCACGGGACCTTGCTAGCAACCTGCGTGGTGTCATTGACAGCAACAGGAAGGCCAAGGCTAGCCTCCGATGAGCAACCTATCGTGTCCTAGACAGTGGGCACAACCTGCAAGAGAAGTTCGGGGCATGCGTTGTAAGTCACAACAGGCAACATGCAGCACGTATATACCAAGTAAAACAAGCGAGAAAATTGTTTGATATCGGTTCAATGTCAACATGCCGCTCACAGTCACTAACGAGTTCGGGAGGCATGTCTGAGGCATCCGATTTCTCCAAGTGAGTATCGGGATCCAGGTATGTGTCTTCATCACGGCTGTAATAATGGTCTTCGTCAAGGTCCTCATCCATACCACTTGTGTCGTGAATGCTCTCTTGCTTGTGGATGCTAATCCCAGTTTCTACAGCATCATCTTTGTCACTTCCATTGTCATCATCATCAATTGTCACCACTACCTTGGGTCCCGAGTTTTCACCCTTGCCTTTGCGAGCACTAGCGAACCTTGTCTGAAGTATGCGCATGCTTTAGCGCTTTGGAATCACGGGGGCTTCCTTGCCTTTGCCTTTTATTTGGGGAGTGCTTGTAAAAAAAATATAAAATAAAATAAAAAATAGGAGGCAAGGCAAGTAAAACAAAACAAAAAAAATTAAATTTAAAAAAAAAAAAAAAAAAAAAAAACAAACAAACATGAATTGTGAGTAAGTGGTACTTACTGTGAGAAGACAGCTTCTGGCACCTCGCGAACCTGCTTGATGCTGCCAAAAGCTGCAAGTTGCTGCTGCAGTAAGGGCACTGTGGGAGTATTCCCTTTAGAGCAAGGGGGACCACTTGCTGCTACATTGTGGATAAACTTTTTCAGTTCCTTTACAGCTTGCTTCTTCTTCTCAACAATGCAGCTTTCCTCTCGCTTTCGCTTTCCATGTGCAACACTTCTCCCGGTACAGTGAGAACCCGACTTTTCCAACTTTTGTTTTAGCTTAGAAAAATCACCAACAATTTCCCCACTTTTGGAAGTGAAGGGCAAGTTTCGCTTCTCACTCAAGGAGATGGCCTTCTCTTCCGACACTAAGCAAGCATGACGAACTATAATGGAAAGTAATATATCGCAATGAGCAGCATGGAACCGACTAAAGTAAAACAGCAATTCCAATAATGTTGGCCACATCATCAAATTGGGAAGTGAAAAATGTTGGAATCTTGGAATCAACATGACATGGAAGGGATCTTGGCCGCCGCAAATTGGGAAGTGAAAAATGTTGGCCACATCCTCAAGTGTGGGAGTAAACTCTCCCCATGAATAGATGAAGGTGTGCGTCTCGGCACTCCATCGCCTAACCACATGACAAAGCATCTTGGCTTCAATGTGGATGTCACATGCTTTAGAAAGGAAGGTGGCGTCCAGCACCCTTGCCCGGTTTAGGATGTCACAGGAAGACGGGTCCTTCAATTCACGGTCAACCCACTCTGACCAACCCTTGCTGATGCCACATGGATATTGGAAGAATAAAGGGATTGTCGGAAATAGGCCCTTCTCTATACAGCACCTCGATATAGAAGCAGGATCAACCACTGGAGCTGTTTCTGGCACTAGGTCTCCATCTATGACTATGTCTTCACCAGAGCTCTTAAGCAAAGGAAGGGGCCTTCCTCTCTTCAACTTGTCATCCATGGAATAAAGATGATCCCTGATAATGGACGACGGACCGATAGATTTCATGACAACTCTTGGCAAAATGACAAATCCCTGCACACGAAAAGGTGGAAAGTAGCAAAAGAAAATTAGCACATATGAAATACGTGTCAAGCACGGCAAGTTGAGCTCATCCAAGCAAACATGTAATTTAAAATTCAAACCCATGACAAGCGAAAGTCTCACCCTGTGATTGATACGCATGACAAGCAAGTTCCTTCTCAAAATAAAAATAAAAATCAAGCATTACAAGACCTGCGTTCTGTTAGTCTCTATTTCCCACAACAACAAAAAGAAATCCACGATCAATCAAGCATGTGATCACAAGGGGAGTAAACCTAGACCAAACACCAGCCTATACTTATTCCTAAAATGCTTAAGTTGGCATAGTTGCTTAACAGAAGACGAATACAAAGGTCTAAATGCTTAAGTTGGAAAGCCGGAGCGCTTGAAGATTCTAGCAATAAGGAGTGCCATGCAAAGCTTCCAGCACCTGCCCCTGCTCATGCCAGAGACGTATATACCTGCACAGAAATTTAAAGAGAGAGAGAGAGAGAGAGAGAGAGAGAGAGAGAGAGAGAGAGGAAAGAGAGAGAGAGAACACATCATGCAACGTTCAGCGCTTTCATAAACACAGAAGAGGTTGGTGCAAGATAAAAGTGAAGAAAAGGGAAAAGGGGAGGAACCGTACCAACAGTTTCTTCTCACGAAATTTGGTACCCTTCCAGCAGCTTATAAAAGGAACGAAGCAAAGAAGAAAGAAACTCAGAAAATTGACCCGAGCCCTTCTTTGCTAGCACCCACGCAATAAGCACCCCCGTTACGGCAGTAACAAAATAGGTCAAAAGGGTTTGATGCTTGGCTGCCAAAATAAAGGGCAACATCCATGAGTGTGAGGAACCCAACAAATTCCCCAATAAATCCAAGAGAAAAGGCATACCTTGTTAATCTCCCAAGGAAAGATCTTGAATACACCGAGAAAAGGAGAGAAATTGGGGATTTTGGAAGAAAAACCCGCATAAAGGTTCCTCTTCCAACAGTGGCGAATGGACTCCTTCAAATGAGAGAGGGATGACTGGGTAGAGTTCGATTTGGGCTCCTTCCCAATGGCTGGAGGCAGGTGGTTTCTGCCTGATCTCACTCTCTCACTCAATCGGGGTTCGTTGGAGGAATGGAAGAGAATGAAGAAAAGAGTAACGGAGAAAAGTTGGGTCTGGTGCGCGAAAAGAGGAAGAAAAGGGAAGATAAATAATAATAATAATAATAACAATAATAATAATAATAATAATAATAATAATAATAATAATAATAATAATAATAATAATAACGAAGAAAAGAGAACAAAGAAAAGAGTAACGGAGAAAAGTTGAGTACAAAAATTCGATAATTTCACCGAAATATCGGTGAAATTATCGTTTTTTTGGGGCTGCGAAATTTTAGCACAATTCCAATTATATATCGTGATTTTTTCAACATTTTCGTCGATAATTTCAAGGATATTTCGGGCAAGATATTTTCGTCCAATTTCTCATTATCGATAATATCACGACTTGAACTGTGTCAAAAATGAAACAATTTAAGCTCCGCGCATGATGGGGTTCGAACCTCTCCCAACTCGAGTGTTTGCAGTCACTTAACCACCAAGCTGCTGATGACTTTGTGATTGTAAACTACAGAATCTAGTATATATAATATCCCGACTTGAACTTTCAAAAATTAAACAATTTAAACTCAGAGCACAGTGGGGTTCGAACCCCTCCCAACTCTGAATTTTTGGAGCCACTTAACCACCATGTCAGTCATCATTTTGTGATAATAAGCTATGGAATATGTATTTATAATATGTGCGAGCTGTTTCTCAAAATAGAAATTAACATAATTACTTATTGTTTTATATTATTGATCAGTTACTTAATTACTTAATATAATTTATTTCTTTTCTATTTAATCTATTTAATGTTATTGATTATTTTATTATTCATTATAAGTACTTACATTACTAAATTCCCCTTCAAATTGTTGCTTAATTACTTAAATCTCTATAATATTTATTTTCTTTGTTTACTACTTAATTCTTTCTTTGATAAATTTATTTATGTTCTTAGTTAATTTTCAATCTTCACTATTATTTTTTAAGTATGGTAAAGTGCCTAATTTTCATGAAAAGTCAAGTTGGTTTAATTATTTTTCAATTTTTGATAAATAATAAATATAAGAATGTGTACCATGTCCAATGAATAATGTGAAATAAGGTTACACATGTATCTTACCATGTAATTTATAAAGTGTAAAATATTGTACTAAAAAATGATAAATAAATTACTATGGGGTGTTTAATTCTCTTCATTAATTACTCCATATTTTCTAAGTCACAGAGTTTGTCAGCTCGCAATATAATAAACTTAAATCACTCAAACCCACTATGCAATGCATTTCCTTCCAATTTTTTGTGTCAAAATAATAGATGATTGACTAAATAAACTTCTTCTAAAGTTTCATTAAAAATTTCCATGTATTTATCACAATTTCCGTGGTTTTTATCCAATTTTTATCGATATCGATATTTTCCCAATATTTCCATCGATATTTCCGTGTTTTTGAACCACCGATATTTCCGAAACTATCGATATTTAAGACCTTGATCGCAAGTAACTGTTGGGGTCTATCATGACACGCTGTCATTTTGCACGCAGGAAGAGGAGAGGTTCCCTACAATTACAAATCTGATTTTTTAGGATGGGTTTAATTATTCGGCCCATTCTTGCACCAGTCCATGGCCCTTATAATTAAGGGGGCTAATGTTGAGACCCAAAAAATCCATAGTTGGGCCCAAATAAATTCACGGTCCAATACGACACCGTATGAAGAAAAGACCCAATTTAGAGCACACAAGAGTCCACCATGCACGAGTCACAGTCCATGTGTCATGCCAAATAAATAATCCGTCATGCTAAGGATTGAGATAAATATCATAAAATACACTAGCTCTACGAGCCGATGCTAATTACCCCGTCAAACATCATGATAAAAAGCATGCCACGCCAAGCGGGAAATCATTATTTCTCACTCAACCACGCTACAAGCTTAAGTGGACCCAAGCCACTCAAATGTCCGGAGCTTGCTTGAGTATGTTGTGGTATGGATGGTAACAAGTTGTCACAAAGCCTATTGATGGGCCAAGAAATGAAAGTCTCGAGTTGCTTGGGAGCCTTGAAACTCAAGCCCATTTCTTGAGCCCAAACATGTGGGTGAGCATAAAAGAGAGAGAGAAAGTAGCCCAATGTCCTAGAGAAATTAGCTCATCACCTTGACAAAATAGCCTAACACTTGGTGAAGTTAGCCCATTATTTGATAAACCCATTTATTGTCCTATAAGGCCCATGCAATTAAAGTAAGGATCTGCAAAAGCCCCAGCACTTGGCTATAGAATAAAAGCCTCCACATATGCAGAGCTGCTGAGAGGCTCCATCACATGCGCGGGAACGAATTTCAAGCAAAGGTATTCAAAAGACTAGGGGATATTAGCCCGCAGGCTGCCAAGAGGGGAAGCAGCCTTCAAACCAACATGTATACCTATTTCTTTCCTTCATCAAATCTAGCCATGGAAGAAGGAAGGAAAGAAAAAGGGAGAAGACTGAGAATGAGAGTCCCCTACTGAAACAGCTACAGGAAAAGCCTAGAGCTCCCAAAAATCCCTACTTTTGTGCAATTGGGCAGAGAGAATTTCACCAAGATAGGACAAGTCAATGGAGGATAGGAGAAATGAAGGGAAAGATTTAGCCAAATTGGATAGAAACCATTAGGGTTTCTTGGGAAGGAGGAGCTTCCAGCGGCTATAAATGAAGCACCTCCTACCCAACAACCAACAACCACATTCAGAGAGCAAGCTTCCTCTCTTACTTCCAAAACCCAGCAATTTCGTGCTCTATTCATCCTTCTCCCCCTTATTTTTCCTCCTAGCCGACTGTTCTGGTACTTGACAGAACCTTTGTCGAAGTGGCCGGAAATTCACTTAAGCCACCCATTGCCTAGCCTCTCCCCTCTTCTCAACCAAACCCTCTGATAATCCTTTCCTCCCTTTCCTTAGAATCCCTGTTCTTTTTAGAAACTCACAACTCTCTCCCTTTAAGGCTAAACTCAAGACAACTTTGCTTCCATGCCACAAGCCTCTCATGTCAAGCTAAGAATCTACCTGTAAGCCCTAAGAACTTATCTGTAAGCGCTAAGAACTTATCTGTAAGCTGCCATTGTTTTTGTTGGTGAAGGTGACCAGGGTGTTTCCTAAGGCTTCACTATCCTTTCAAAACATTTTAGGGTCTGATTTTTGAACTCAGACACAAGGGGTAATCTCATTCATTTTGCTCTTTACTGCAGCCCAACCCACTTGTAGTTGCCGGAAGAAAAAAAGCCCCTACACAATGCAAATGGCATTTCTACAATTCTGAATCCAATTTAGGCACTGATTTCAAATTCTGAACTCTAGATTTAAGACTTTGAATTCAAATTCTAAATCCAAAAAATGAAACCTCTAGCTACCTTCTATTGTTATTTCATCGATTATTAGCTTATCAAAGGGTAAGAATTTCCATCTAATTGTTTTACATTGTGTTGCATTTCATAATGTAATAAAGGGTAAAGTCATAAAAGAAAAGGTGACATGTGAAAAATGACAGTGAATTACTTCAAACAATAAGAAAATTAAGCAAAAAGTGAAAACCGTGAAGGAAGAAAGAGAGGAGTAGGGGTGGATGCGTTTTGGTAACAGCGCTTTTTGGGGAAAACCGCAAACTGCTCAAGTATTTGCGGTAAGGCTTATTTTGGGACCGCAAACCGGCCGAGTTTTTGCAGTTAACCGTGTCTCGTGAAACCACAAATCAGTCGGTGTCCGCAAAAAATGCGGTTTTCTCCGATTGGGCAGTTTTGGGCCTAAATTTCAACATTTTACGTCTATTTAAATTTGGTCTTTTTGGGTCAAAAAATATAATCTTTTCCATACTTTGTAGGCCTAATTTTTAAGCTTATTTTGAAGCCTTTTGAGTCCAAACATTTTAACTTTACAAATTTAAGCAAATAAGCTCACAACCCAAATAAGCAAATTTAAATTCGAGCAAATAAAGTTAAAATTTAGTTACAACCCAAAAGAAAAATGCAGTGCAAATTTAATTAAAGTTACAATCCGAACGAAAAATGCAATGCAAATTTAAAGTTACAACCCAAATGAAAAACGCAATGCAAATTTAATTAAAGTTACAATCCAAATGAAAAATGCAATGCAAATTTAAAGTTACAACCCAAATGAAAAACGCAATGCAAATTTAATTAAAGTTACAATCCAAAAGAAAAATGCAATGCAAATTTAATTAAAGTTATAAAACATAGAGAACTTAAATGTTGGTGGTAAGTGGATTTGAAGGACTTGGTTGTGTATGGCCACCATCTACAAATAAAACAACACAAGTTTAGTAAAAAAAACATCGAAAAATTGCATCAATACCAGGTGACCTTTTAAGCATGTGCACAATTACCACCTGAACTTTTAATTTTTACTATTAACCACCCGAACTCTATAGAGTGTAGTGATGTACCACCTCTGTCTAACTCCGTTTAACTTTACGTTAAATTTAAGGGCATTTTTGTCAATTCTATTTAACTAAAAACACATAAGAAAAATTAAAACTAACATAATTATATATATATATATATTAAACTTAACCTAATTATCCCACAACTTCCCCACCCTTCCAATTCTCCCCCAGTGCCCAGTAGATCCCTCCCCCACTCTCTCTCCATTGAATAAAAATAATAATTATAAAATATAAAAAAAAGACTTGGAGATCCTAATGTTTGGAATTTGTTTTGGCAATTCTGGCTTATTATAATTAATTATTGGCATTTTGGGATATCTAGTAAGACTAGTATATGGCAGCAGGAAGCCAACTAATTCATTCCCAAAGGCTCATAATAAAACTTAAAAGTTCATATGGTAATTCCGCACTGACCTAAAAGTTCAGGTAGTATTTATGAAATTTCCCAAAAAACATTATAAGAAGCATAAAGAACATGAAAATAATAAACTAAAAGTTGTAACATGTTCCATTTCCTTGTAGAATTCAATCTCATCATCTGTGGGTTCCTTGTAAAATGAAAATTCTTCCGCCCTAAACCAATCACAAGTACACACTAATGTCTCTACCATTTTAGGATGCAATGAGCTTCTAAAAGAATCCACAATCCCTTTGCCTAGGCTAAGAGCATTCTCACTAGCAATCATAGAACTTGGAATTCCAAAGATATCCTTGGCAACTTGTGAAATAATTGGATATCTTGTTTGGCTCCCTTTCCACCAATTCAAGATATTGAATTGTTTGCTCAAGGGGCTCTCAAAAGGATCTGCTAAGTACTTATCCACTTCATTGGATATCTCAACAGATGGCTCATCCTTCCTTCTTTGCACAAGTTGTTGCATTAGTTGAAATGTGGCATCAACATCCTCACCAATTTGTGCAACCTCATCCTCATCAATTTGGTTCACAACACCATCTCCAACCCCTTCATACTCATTATACAAATCATTCAAACACTTTACAACCTCATTAACAATCTCATCTTGCTTTCTAGCATCCGCCCCAAGATTGCCAAAGCTTATTTGGAGCATTTGAAGCTTCGTCCTTGGATATAGCACATTGCCCAAAAATATAAGCTTATTCACAACCTCAAAGCTCCTCCAATATTTGTCAAATTTCAACTTCATTGAATATGCTACCCGTTGCATAGTAGGATTTCTAAGATCCTTCATTTTCGTTTCTATTATAACTTGTAACCCAACCAATTCTAGGAAAATTATTATGGATGTACAAGTTTTGGTGCACTAAACTTCAATGTAACATCATAAAACTTTTTAAGAAAATGCACAAAAGCTAATGCCTTCTCCTAATCATCATTATTTGGAGGTCCCACTCTCTTAACCATCACTTTCTTAACCTTCTCTTCCTCTAGAAAGTAAGCTTGAGACTCTTCACAATCATAGGACATCCTCTTAAAGACTTGCCTTGAATGCACACCTTCAAGCTCTTTGTAGATTGCATTCCACCTTGTAGGCACATTTGCCATCTTATCCATCCTACATGCAATGGCAAACCCTCTAAACTTTTCCAATCTCACCGGAGAAGAGTGAATAAACTTCACACAATTTCTTATACCCTCAATTGAGGCACTAAGCTTAACAATTAAGTTAAGAATGTGGCAAGCACACCTCAAGTGCAAGTACTTCTCATCCAACATTAAGTATTCATTGCCTTTAGGCTTTGTGCCATGTACTCAACTACCCCATCATTGGTGGAAGCATTATCAACGGTAATTGTGAACACCTTGTGTTTACCCCAATCCGTCAAACATACATCTAGGATTTTCCCTATGTCAATGCCCTTGTGACTAGTGATCTTCGTGAAGCTAATTATTCTTTTATGCAAGTTCCAATCACTATCCTTAAAGTGAACTATCACAACCATGTAATTTATGTTTTGGATCAATGTCCAAATATCGGTTGTAATACTAACTCTTTGCTCATTATCTTTGCCTTTTCAAACATGTATAACTCCCACACCCCCTTGGCAACCTTCTTTTTACTTGGTACCTTCAACCGAAGTTGCACCTCATACATCATTTCCTTAAAACCCGAGCCCTCAACGACTCTAAAAGGATGCTCATCCTTAATGATGAACCTCACAATATTTAACTCACTCTTTTTTTATTATTAAATGTGTGAGGGACCAATCCACTACCCATTGTATCCGAAGTCAAGGTAGGTTGATTTGCATCACCTTGTTGATATAGAGGAGAGAGTTTGCATCTCCTCTCTCTGTGAGTTTTCAAACTCATTGTCCCATTTTTTCTAGGGTCCACGGGCATCTCCAATTTGCAATCATTGCAAACCCCTATAATCTTCTCTACTGATTACCATCATTCTTCAATTTTCGGGTTTTCCTCCTATCTCCCACAATAATCCCCTTGTGTGTGGGATGTTGTGTTTGAGTTGGAGGTTGTGTTTCAGGTGTTTCGGTTTGTGTTTGGGGATTGGAGGTATTAGGTATGTTAGAGTGGCTAGGCTCCATCTATTAAACACAACACAACAAGAACAACATAGAAGTATATTAATATATTAAAACATAATCAAATTAAAACACAAAACAACAAATTAAACTAAAATAATAGAAACCAAATCAATTGAAAATCATAATTTCCAATTCCATTCCCAATTCGAAGCCCTAATTGAAACCCTCAAAATTAGCCTAAACAATGTAAACATAATCAAATTAAAGGTCCAAAGCAAAATCAATTCAATTGAACTATTTAATTACCCTAAACAACCTAAATTCTGTCAAATTAAACTCAAAAATAGCCTAACATAATCAAATTATACTTTATAAACAGAATCTATTCAATTCACATTTTAAAACATGTCCAATCAAATCACATTAACCCTAAACCCTCAATACCGATCAATTCACAATTTTATTAACCCAAAAACATATCCTAAACATAATTAACAAATTATTTATAAACATAATGAACACAACATAATTGCTAGATTAAACTCTAAGTCAAAGTTCAAAGTTTCAAAGTTCAATTTCATAAATTGGGTAAAAAATTTACCTGAAGAGGAGGAGATAACGATGCAGAGACGATGATGAGCAACTGAGAGAGGCGGCGAGGTTGATGAGTGTCCCTCCGAAAAGAAGAGACGACACATAGAAAGACTGAGATGAGAGACTAGAGAGAGACTGAGACGAGGCGGCGAGGTGGACTAAGAGACTGAGAGCGGCGACGATGATGAGTGACTGAGAGAGGCGGTGACGTTGCCTGAGAGAAAGAGAGAGGCGACGACATTGGTTGACTGAGAGAGAGGCGACGAGGTCTGTGGTTGCGAAGGGTTTGAGAGAGATAAGTGAGATTGACGAGTTGAGAGAGAGAGAGATGAGATGTGCAAGTGATTGATCTAACGGCTAGGATTGATCGAAACTAAGAAATCCTAGTTGTTAGATTCATCTAATATCTGTTAGTGAATATAAAATGTTTATAAATATTTCATTACACTATTTTGCGGTATACCGCAAAATTGAGATTTTCATAATCGCATTGAGACAGTACAGTCGGTTCAAAAAACAACAAATTGCGGTCGATTTTGCTGCAATGACGATTTGATTGCAGTGAATAGTCGGTTGGTAACTGCGGTTTTGCGGTATATCAGTCTAAAATGTCAGCCCTAGAAAGGAGAGGAGAGGGAAAAGAACAATGGCTTCCTCCACGTCAAAGTGAAAACGGCACTAAGAGTGTTTTCAGGAAGAGAGGAGGCTTAGGATTTTGTTTTCCTCTCCATTTGTAACAAGGTGAGATGTTTTCTAAAATAAAATAAAAAGGGAAGGTGAGACATGGAAGATGGGATGAGAGTGAATTACTTGAAAAAATAAGAAAATTAAAGCACAAGTAATAATCAATTGAAAGTATATTATTTTTAGCTTTTAAGGTAAATATTAAAAATTTGTATTCATTTTTTTTACTCTTGATGCTGGTAAAATTTGTGCAAAATGTTATGAATGAATTCCTATTTACCAAAGTTACTTTTGTGGATAATGTTTCTCAATTAGTAAATAAGATCCCAAAGAAAATGAAAAAAAGGACAAAAAAGAAAATAGTGTAGGATATAGATTACATTCGAGAAGGTTACGGAAAGCGGGTAAGTGCTGGAGTGTTCGGTGAGAGCGTGGGAACAATTTTAAATACGTGTCCGATTCGGTAAATTCCCATCCCAAATCAAAATCAAAGCAAAGCGAAGCAACGCGGTGGTGGATTTTGATCCCTCTGCAGCGGAGGCAGACGAAGGAGGAGACAGAAACTGAGAAATTGAGAGAGAAGACAGAGATGGCTGTGAACCCTCAACTGTTCCCTAATGGCATGCCTGTTCCTTTTGTGAACGAGATGTTCGTTCTCGCCAGAGACGGCGTCGAGTTCGAGGTCGATAAGATTCCTGGGTTCGTTCTCACTTCTCATTTCCCTTCTCCTCAATCATCTTCATCGTCATTCAATTTGCCATATTCTCTTAAAAGTTTGATTTAATTGATGCCTCTCTTTCTCTTTGAAACATGGCCTTGCGCTTTAATTTGATTTTGCCAACACTAATTCATTCATTCATTCATTCTGCTCTTTCAGTACCCAATTTGAATAAATAAAAATTATGGGGTATTGATTTGAAATTTGATTGAATGAATGCCCAAAATCGTAGCTTGATTGATTTGTGTTGGGAGGGTGCAAGAATAAAAATGAGTAAATTGTTAATTTAATCCCATTTCCTGTTCTATTGGAGTGGGAAGATGGCAGTGTAGCAATTGCATAATTTGGTGTTGAATTGTGTATTGCCTTCGACTTTCAGATCTGATGGTGGTCGACTTAAAGCAAAGGGGACAATCTACTTGTCAAATATACGCATGGTCTTTGTTTCAAACAAGCCTGTTGGAAACTTTATTGCTTTTGATATGCCCCTGGTATGTGATACTTAGTTTTACCTCAACATTGCTTTCCTTCCATCGTTATTTTGCTTTATCTTTTGAGAGGTTCACTTGTAACTGAGTCAACTCGCAAAGTTTCTTTGCACCTAATGATTCCTCTGTAACCCTTTTTGTGTGATTGTGGGGTTTCCATGACTTGTGGTTTTGATTTCCTGCAAAGTGAATGTATCTTGACCAAAGCTTCTGACTTTTATTTTGATGCCAAAATACGTTAACAAAGGAAGTTTTAACATTTATTGTTCTCTGGTGTAAGTCTCTGGACTTTTGTTCTTATTTTAATTGTGATTTTAACTGTGGAAGGTGGTCTCAAGAAGAGATTGGGATATTTTTCCTACGATAGATTTAGCATGTACACATGGGAAATGTTCAGGGTAAAAAAAAAATGATTTTAGGTTAAGATTAGAGTATTGTGAGCTACATTCAGACTTTGTTTATGTCAAATACTTGTATTTGATGTTACTTCTGAGTTCTTCTTTCCCTTTTATTATAAGTGTGATTTAGATGAACTTTAATATATGTTACTTTGGGCTATTTAACATAGTTTGTAAAATCCTTGATACGATCTTATGATTGGATCTCAAGTGCTCTCTTGTGGATCTTAGGTAGGATCCTGATTTTGAAAACCCAGCATCTAACTTCCATTATCTAACAAAGAGAAATTCAAAATTATAATATATTTAATCAACCTTTTATGTCACAATTTTGTCACAAACCTACAGCCAGCCATGATCCACCACTACAACAATCCTAATTTTCCCAGTGAATCACTTTTATCCCACAGCAGTAATTTGCCACTATTTCTAACGACCGTTGGATATTATCCTATCCAACAGTTGCTGGGTTTCAGGTGCTCGCTGGTTCCTAATTCTAGGGGCTCAGGTGAGTGCTATTATTATTATGTGTAAGGCTAAAAAGTGCTGTTGTCTGTGATGATCGGCTTGCTTGTTTGAAGCTTGTAAGGATTCTTTTGTCTTGGTGCAGTTTTGGCACAAATTTGATGTCTTTTGCTATCGCTCTTTTATATCCATTTATTTGCATCTCACTGACCTTTGTGTTGATTCATTCTTCAGCTTTATGTCCATGGTGAAAAGTTCAATCAACCAATTTTTTTCTGCAACAACATTTCTGGTCAAGTAGAGCCTGTAAGTATATCGGTTAGAGGATTTCAATTATTGTACATAAACCCTTTTATGATTTTGGAGATCTTATTTGTCTTGATGACTAATTTTAGGTAGTTCCAGAAAATCAGCATGGGGCTCTTTATTCCACTCACTCATTCAAGATTTTGTTCAAAGAAGGGGGTTGTGGAACATTTGTTCCGCTTTTTTTCAACTTGATCTCCTCAGTGAGACAATATAATCAACATCAACACCCCAATGCAGGACCACAGCCTCATGTTGATCCTTTACAGGCAGCGCAAACTCCTGTTGATGAGATGATGAGACATGCGTAAGTGACATATTTTGCACAGAATTGCCATGTGTGCTTGTAGTCAAATGGATTTAGAGAAGGATCGCTGGTTAAACTATGATTTTTTTATTTTGCAGGTATGTCGATCCTAATGATCCAACGAGGATCTTCTTGCAGCAGCCTACTCCAGAGTCTCAGCTGAGGCGGCGCACATACCAGTCACAGCCCGCAGGACAGTAAATGTAGTTTTAATTATAAATAAACGTACATGTTATAAGAACCTCCAAAAGCGTGCTGTGTAACTGAATTATAGAATACTGTTTCTACTTGTATATTCACTGAGATGTCAATTTACTCTTTTATTGTGAAGAAGAATCTGTTGAATCTTTCAGTGTGGATGGATTACATTTTGGCCTTGAATATGTGATTCAGAATATGGTGCAAGCCATACATGGCATGGCACGATTTTATGCTTCACAAGTGTAAAATATACAATTTTCAAAGCCTCAACCGTTCAATTAGGAAGACATACGCAGGGAGCTCCTTTTGAGCCACAACTGGTAAGCAGTCATGTAGAAAGAGTCGTAGCCCTTGGGAGTCTCATGCCAAACAAAATGCCTACGAACTTTACACAAATTATGGTACATGCTCATGTACTTTCGTCTTGTTATCGACAACAATGTCCTCTTCAACAAGGCAACATCGCCATTGTTGACAATAACTGAAAACTTGCTCCAGTCCAATACATTGGCAAATGGAAGCTCGTAGTGGTTGGAAATTATAACAGGAATGCACCCATAATGTATGGCATCGCTCACCCTGGCAGTGTTGACCTCATAGCCTTTAACATGGAGGCAATACTTGCTCCTCCTAAACCCCTCCTCATAAGGGTAAGATGGTTGACTTGGGAATATATCCATGTATGTGTCATTGCCCCATAAATCTACCAGCTGCTGCCGGATATTAGAGTTTTGAACTCGCCCCGCAAAGTACACAAGCTTATCCCTGCATCCGGAAAAATATCACACGTTATGTTATGTTGTTAAACTGCGAATCTAAGCAATCCAAACATAAAATAAGCAATCCAAAAATAAAATGTATCAACTAAAATGTTGGATTACAAATACAAATCTCAATTGAGGAAAGTGAGTGATTTAAGGGTTACCTGGCATGTGGGGGGTTGAGGGCATGCTGAGGAGGGCGAGGCCAAACTTGGGGCAAGGCAACATCTTTGTGGGTAACATAGAATCTTTGGAAGTAGCTGGAGGAGCAAGTGAGCTGAATGGCATTGTTGCGCAACCCAACATGTTTGGAGGAGGCCTCTCGACAAACAGAGTGACAGCAGGCATAGAAATGGTCAGAGCCTAGAGAGGCATTCCAGAAGGGTAAATCTTGGCTGATGCTGGTGGTGTATCGGGCGACAAAATCTGCAATGGACGGCTCAGAATGGACACGTGGGTCGTTTCTGAGGAGATTGACTGAGAAGGGTAGGAAGAAGAGATGGGCTTTTTCTGGGTTGGTGGTGATGAGGGAGCTGCTAAGCAGAGACAGCTTGAACATGTGCTCACTGAAGTAGTTTCCGAGTTTTGGATCGAATGGGTTTGGATGGGGAAGGAAAATGGAAGCAGAGGAAGCAAAAGAAGAAGAAGCAGAAGTGGTGGGATAAACATAAATCTTGAAGCTTTGGATCATGTCTTCAAAGTCAGCAGCAAAGAGCTGCCAGTTGTGGTAAGGACCTGAATCAACAGTAAGAGTGATGTGTGGTGTGGGAGGAGAAGCTGAGAGACGACCCAAATTGGAAGGGCTGCCTTGTTCTTCTGACGAATGGAGGAGAAAGATGGCAAACCATGAAGCTGAAGAGACTGCCAACAGCAGCAGCACGGTCAGGAGCAGCCGGCGTTTGAGTTTAGGCATTTTGTTCAGAAATAAGCACACAGGCTTCATCTTCGGTTCTTGTCTGTCGATCCAGACTTGCTGCTAGCATAGAGAGGCTCGCTGACTGGTCACAAACCGACGGTAAATAATGCAAAGGATTATAATAAAAAAACATAAAATCCACCTAAAATTACAAAACAGGCCATTCATTTGTTTTTAATTGACACCTTCAAAGATTTGGTTTACACATGAATTTATTAACTTAAATATGAATCTCTAATTAACTGAAATCTACAATATTGAAATCCTAATAAATGCATTTCTATGTGAAATTATTCAACCATTTTTTGGTATTTCGTTGAGCAACCCGAAGTTGGCATACAATATAGAGGAAAGAAAGCAAATTTTGATACACGAAAGTAAGAATATACTCCAATAAGAATTTTGGGCATGTTTATGTATCAGTAATGGGTATGGGAGTGTTGAGGCCCAAAAAATCCACAGTTGGGCCCGAATATATTCTCAGCCCAAAACGATATATTATTGAGAAAATACCCAATTTGGAGCACACGAAAGTCCGCCATGCACGAGTCACACTCCACGTGTCATGCCAAATAAATAATCTGTCATGCTAGGAATTGAGATTAAGATTATAAAATGCATTAGCTCTACAAATCCATGCTAATTATCTCATCAGGCATCACAATTAAAAACGTGCCAAGCGACATGCCATGCCAAGCACGAAATCGTTATTTCGCATCCAACCACACTACAAGCCTAAGCGGGCCCAAACCGCTCAAATACTCAGGGCTTGCTTGAGTGGGTTGTGGTATGGATGATAATAAATCAACATGAGGCCCATTGATGGGCCAAGAAATGGAAGTCTCGGGTCGCTTGGGAGCCTCGGGACTCAAGCCCATTTTTTAGGCCCAAACACATGGGTGCCCACAAAAAGGAAAATAACTCAACCAAAAATAAGCCCAATCATAATAGCCTATTGACTCAACCGAAAAGTCCAAACGTTTTAAATAGCCCACTTACTTAAGGAACCACATTGGCCCATACAAAACTCCAAAATAAGCCACAAAAACCTCAGCCCCTTGCTAGAAAAATAGAAGCCACGAAGGGGGAGGTCTCAAGATTTATTGAACAAAGCTGTTGGAGGTTCCAGCACATAGGGGGAGCAAGTTCCAAGCAAGAAACATTCAAGGAACCAAAGAATATTAGCCTTCGAGCTGCCAGAAGTACCCTTTGAACCAGCATGTATATCCACTTCCTTTCCTTCATTAGATCTGGCCAAGGAATGAGGAAGGAAAGAAAAAGAAAAATAGCTAAGAACGGAGCCTCCCACTAGAACAGCCGCGGGGAAAGGGGCCTTGAGCTCCCAAAGTTCCTGATTTTGTGCGAATAGACAGAGGAAATTTCACCAAGATAGGAAAAGCCAAGGGAGGAGAAGAAAAAGGAAGGAAAAAACTTAGCCAAAATGGGTAGAAACCATTAGGGTTTCTTGGGAAGAGATGATTTCCAGCAACTATAAAATGAGGCATCTCATACCCAACGAAACCAAACCCAGATTTAGAGAGCAAGCTTTCTCTCTAACTTGCAAAAACCCAGCAATCTCGTGCAATGTTCACCCTCTTCTCCATTCTTCTCTTCTGGCAGACAGAGTATCTGTCAAGCTGCCGGAAGAGCATTGTTCTTCATTTCTCTCTTCCTAGCCCAATCTCCTACAAATCTCTCCTTTCTCACCTTAACACTTCCCTTTTTCCCCCTAAGAAAGCATAAATTTCCCCTCAGTGCTAAACTCATGTTGATTTTGCTTCCATGCCACATGCCTCTCATGCCAAGCTCAAAAGTTTATCTGTAAGCATGCAAAAATTACATGTAAGTTGCCATTGTTTTGGCTGGTGAAAGTAACTAAAATACTTCCTAAGGCTCTACTGCCCTTTCGAAGCATTTTTGGGGCTTAATTTTCGAACTTAGACAAAGGGGACAATTTCATCAGTCTGCCATTTACGGCATCCCAACCCATTTACAGCTGCTAAAAGGGAATAATTTCCATTCCGGACTTCCCCTGCGTTTACTTGCAATCAGGAATGAAAAAATAAGTGGGCCCCACCTCAAAATCTGTAATCACATCCCCTCAAAACTAGGTATTAGATTAACAAGGGGGGAGTAGTCGATACGATTCTCATTCTCTCTTTTCTCTTATTAACTTCCAAAAATATCCTTACCACTTTAAAACACACATTCCACAAACACCTCAAAAAAAAAAAAAAAAAAAAAAAAAAAAAAAAAAAACCAAGAAGTTCCAAGACGCTCCAACTTCTTTTTCACATTAGCAATGCAAACACAACCTCCTAGAAGCAGCAGCAACGCCTTATGCTATGAAAGTCGTTCTATCTATCTATCTATCTTCTTCTTCTTCTTCAACTTCTTCTTCTTCTTCTTCTTTTATCTTATGTCTTCACATTCATCATAAAACAAAGTACGATCATGTATAAAGGCTTTTGTGGAGATTATATATCTCTTTTTTGGTAGTATGACGATTATATATTTAATTGTATGAAGATTATGTATGTTATTATTATTTGATTGTTTACTAGTTACATAGGTGAAAGATATATATTTATTGGAGTTTATTTTTTCGTTTGAAATTGGCCCTGGACAAAGGTGTTATTAACATTATCATTGAACTGAGCTCTTGTTGTTCATTTTGTTCAGCATATTGATTCCTCATGTTTACACCGCCTTACTGGTTTGCTACAAGATTAGTTTGGTCTCGTTAGCCAATTTGAGAATTATATATGTGCTGTGGTGAAAATGTGCAGGACATTTTAGTAATCAAATTAATTTGGATTCTGATTCATGCAAATTAGTAAACAATAACAATGGGAATCAACCCCATTCCTTTGCTAATTCCATATGTTTAGTAAACAACTTAATGAGAATGATTCTTCCCATACCGATTCAGTAGTTCCCCGATTCCTAAATTCTCTTATTCCTTACTTTCTCCATTAGTGATACGTAAAGGTGAGATGGTTAAGGATTTCTAATTTCATTAATTGGATTGCATGTATGAGAAATATGTAACTTACTAACAAATCTAATGAATGGTTAAGATTAATAATTACTAAAATATCTCTAATAATTAGAGAGAAGAGATATTTAGTCATACACCCATTCTTAGCACTAAAACTATAAATAAACTCTACACCATTTAATTTCTATAAACAAACCCAAAAAAAACCTAAAAAATGATAGCTGACCCTATTGAATTTAAGAGTAATGCTACACTTACCACATTATTATCCCACATTTCTATACCACATGATGTGGTATATCCATATCATATGTCACATCAATTAAATGAATGAAGTGTATTTTAATAAATAAAATTAGAAAAACAGAAACTAGTATTTTACATTATGTGATATAAAAATGTGGTATAAAAAATGTGGTAAGACTAGTATTATTCTGAATTTAATTTTAATTATTAAATTACTTTGATGTCCCATTAAGTGTTTTGGGCTTTTTTATGAGGTTTTTGAGTTAGATTTGTTTTAAGAAATCAATGACAGTTTTGTAATTTAAAAGAAGTTAAAAACATTTTTGTTATGTTGTAAATGGGCTTTGAGTGTGTTTCTAAAGTCTATTTTATATAGAGTTTTTTTATAATTTGGGCTCCTATATTGGGTATTATAGTGAATCTCCCTAAATATTATTATTAATCAATCATTACTCAAAAAGCTCCCAATAGGAATGAATATTGAATAATTTACCAAGAAGAACAAATCATGTAGAAAATAAAAATGTAATACCTCCTTATGACGACCAAACATGCTAAGTGAATTGTTAAATTGTAAAATGGAGAAAGATACCACGAAGTGACAAAGGGAGATGGAAGAAGGAAAAGAAGACAAATGACCAAATAAACAAGCAAATTTCACACTCCATGCCAAAAAGAAGAAACATATCAGAAAAAGAAATATATATATATATATATATATATATATCAGCATTAAATTGCACCAAAATAATTGAGTTGTAGGAAATGCCTAATTTTCTTATTATTTACTAAAACTTGTTTATTTATATTGGCGTTTGACTTCATCATGATGAACCAATGAAAAGGGGCGTTTGGAGGGTGTGGGGCTTCAGGTTGGGCCACATCACCATATTTTTTGATTATTTATGTTGAAAGCTGAAGAAAGAAGATGAAACCAGCTTCCCCATTTTGAAGAAGAGTGACAGGAGAGTGGAATTTGCAGAGAAGATACAAGCTTTCGTTGTTGGGTTACAACAATTTGACATCTTTCACAAGAAAAAAGCATGGCCAGTTGGGTAAGGAGCCCGCAGCCTCATCCCCATCTCCACTCTCATCAATCTTTCAACAAGCGGCTGCTAATTCAACCGCAAAGTCGTACTTTCAGGCTTTCAAATTCCCATCGCCATCTTCGGAGGAGAATTTACTGTAACTATGATGACGATGCCACCAAGAAACAATCACAACCGCAAGCTCCACAGCCGACTGGGATTCAGCTCTACTCTGAGATTGAGAGGTTATGTTTTGTTATGCCCCTTTCTTTCAGCTCTGTTATAATGGCTGATGCAATTGTTTGTTTGCCCTCGCGTTAAATCTACCCTCCAATTCAAAGCTTGTTGTTTTATCTACTTCCAGATTACTTACAGAGACTGTGAGGCAATCCCAAGGTCGCTGGGCTGGTTCAAGCGACTGGACTCAAGTGGAGGTGTAATTTCATTTCATTCTCTTATAGCTTTTCAGATGATCACACGTTTACATTTTTTTTTTTAATGCACAAAGCTTTTCTGGATAAGTTGACCAGTAACAGGATTTCAAATTTTGTTCTCTTATGTTTATTTGCTGTGATGAATTATGTCTCGGGAATCATTTACAGGTTGTTTATTTAGTTAAAAGTAGATTATGCAGGTGAATTCTAGATGCAAATTGGCTTTAGGTTGAAACTTGACCAAATTTGCATATTCTTTTTGTTGAGTTACAAAAGCAAGATTTATAATATTCAAAACCATACAAACAAACAATATATGTCAAACACCCCACACAAATTATGCTATCATTAATAAGGACTGAAGCAGCCTGAGAGTTAATCTTAGTGGACATTGAACATGAAAGACGACTAGACCAACCAGGTAGTGGCTGCGAGTGTTAATCCAAGAAACTTTCTCGAGCATTTCATAAAAGTCTGACTTGAAAGTCGGCTAACAATGTTTCAAGGAATAAGGAGTATATGTTGGACAGTGTCTATACTCAGCCACTCTCTCTCTCTCTCTCTCTCTCTGAGTGAACGATTAGTAACCGCACTAAACCAATCTATCATTATCTATCTCAGGGGGCATGGGTTCTCAAACCAAAAACCTCAGAACCCAAGGCCGTTGTACATTTTATTGGTGGCATATTTGTTGGAGCTGCCCCTCAACTTACCTACCGCATGTTTCTAGAGCGCCTCTCTGAAAGGTGAGATTCAATTCAAACTTTGATTGTCTGATAATGAGCTTGTGTAGTCCATATCATGCTAGTATAGCTATGTATGTATGTACACTTTGGATCCCTATGTTACATGATTCAATCTGATTTTTTTAAAGGTCCAGATCATTGTGGTTGTTATAGAAAGTTGTGTTTGGTCCTAGTCTATCTACTATTGGTAGATTATGATGGAGTTTTCTGCTTTTAAGAAAGAAGAAAAATATGATTCAGCCTTTTCTGTGCTGTAGGGGTATTTTGGTGATTGCAACACCATATGCTAGTGGATTTGATCACTTCTTCATTGCAGATGAAGTCCAATTCAAATTTGATCGGTGTTATCGGTTCCTTAAAGAGACGGTGTGTGTCTATTTATTATTTTCAGAATCTGTTTGTTTGTTGTTCTGCTTAATTTTCTTCCCTAGGTAAACAAAACCTAAGATTCTTGATTATACAGGTTCAAGATCTTCCTACTTTCGGCATTGGCCATTCTTTGGGATCTGTCATCCACCTTCTGATCGGTATTGCCTTTTAGTTTTTCCCTAACAAATTACTGGTGCAAATGATTGGGGTTTTAGAAATTCACTACATTAGTGACTCCGGTCAGGTTCAAGATATGCTGTTCAAAGAAATGGGAATGTGTTGATGGCATTCAATAACAAGGTATTTGACCTCCTGAATTCATTTTATACATGTCAGAACTTGGTGAGAAGAGAAGAAATTGAGATAACTAGAGGTGGAATCCTCTCTTTTAAAAATTTAGAGGTGCAGCATTTCAGCTCATAATTCTATAGAAAGAAATTTAGCAGCACATCCTTTATATTCCCCCTTGTTTTTGCCTAGTTTCTTTGTGTGACCAAGTGGATAGAAATTTTCAAGATTATTTCTTTTTTAACTTTTACATTTTTCTTCCAATTCTTTTTTTATTTAGGGAGAAACCAGTTGAATTGTACACATTCTTTTCTTATCTCGTGCCCTCAACACATGCATCATAATTACTTCATGTAAAAGGAACAAAAAATAAGAATTAAAACTTACATGCAGACACCCGCAGAATCACTCTACATATGGCTTGTCAAACTATTTCTGTAGAACATTTGAGATTGAAAATTTTTGTTCTTCCTTGATTTAACAGGAGGCAAGCTCAGCTGTTCCTCTGTTCTCACCTGTTCTTGTTCCAGTGGCTCAAGGCCTCGGACCAATTTTATCACAGATTGCATCATCACCAACAGTCCGCTTTGGGGTGGGAGTTCTATTATTAATGTCTTATATATGTGCGTGTCTATATATCTGTATATTTTAGTTTTTGAACCATGCCACATAAAGCTCGATTATATGATCATCTCATCAAGCAAGTGCATTTATTCATTTCTAGTGATTAATATGTTTAGTAACAACTGTCTCATCAATTCTTATGAAAATGCTTGCAGGCAGAAATGACTTTGAAGCAATTTGAAAACCTTAGCCCTCCCATCATGAAGCAAGTTCTTCCTTTAGTTGAGCAGCTCCCTCCCTTGTATATGGACTTAGTTAAGGGAAGAGAAGATTTTGTTCCAAAACCTGAAGAAACTCGGCGACTTGTAAGCAAACCTATAACTATTTACAAGTTAATTCTATGCTTCCCTTAATCAAATCATTGTACTTTTTTTATTATAAGAATTCAAATTTGAGTTAAGGTTTACAACTTACATTTTCCATTTATTGACATTTTCTTCAGATAAAATCATACTATGGTATTTCCAGGAATCTTCTGGTGAAGTTTCAGGATGATGCAATTGATGAGACTTCAATATTAGCACAGTTGCTAAGTTCAGATTCAGCCATCAGTTCTATGCTAGACATGTCAATTCGCTTATTGCCTGGAGATCACGGGCTTCCTTTGCAACAGGTATTTTTGTGCCAACCATTTAGTGGGGAATATATTTCCGTAGCTTTTACTTATGGAAATGTATGCTTAGAATCCCTGAGTGCAGTTCCAATTTGTCCGTCTCTGTCAAAGAGACAAGCAATTTAGATAATATTTCTATCGTGCAGGCTCTCCCAGACGTGCCTCCAGCAATGGCAGATGCAGTAAATCGTGGAAGTGAGATTTTGGCCAATCTCACCGTGGGGACACCATGGGAGACAGTTGCTAAAGAAGTAGGCAACTCATTAGGCGTGGATTCAAAGATCCTTCGTGCAGAAATATCTAAAGACATAGGCCTGCTTGTGGATGTGGTTGTATCTTGGATAGCTTCCAACACAGGTCCAAAGCTTTTGAAGCCGTGAAGAGTTGGACAAACAATAGCATACACATGAGAGACAGCAATTGTTATCTCACTTAGACAAGTATATGATATTTAACAGGACAATGAAAGGAATTGATTTGGAAACAAAGTCTTGTTCATATTCAGTTTTATCCTCATGTAATTTCAGAGACGCCCAATTATAGAAGTAATCAAACATGTTTTTACACACCAAAGCCTTTGTTTAAATGCAGATGTACATCATTTGTGGTTTGTAAGGTGTAACAGAAACAAGAAGTATTTTGAAACAAGGAGAAGACTGTTCCATTTGATTCATAAATATCTAACTTTGTATCTAATGTCTAGAGCATTAGACATGAATGGATCTGCAGTGTTCGCACCATTATTTGTTTCCCACAATCTGAACCATATAAATATGAGACCAGTTTATAAACTTTATATGACAGCTCATTTGTCAGATATTTACATCAACAGACAGAACGTACTATCTGACTTCATAACGAACTAAACAAAAAGATGCCACAGTGAGCAGGTCAACCCTCCTGCCGTCCTGTGTCTAATCTTCATGATACAGATAGAGGCCAAGGCCAAACCGAGCACATGCTCTGCAGAAAGCTATTTCCTCCGCTGCGGTAACTGGATCAGCATTGTGGCCATCACTGGGTGATATTGTTCCAGTTGACTCACGGTGTGCCTGAAATTGGTGTGTCAGAACATCTGTAAGAAATTAGGACCGTAATAAAACATCATTCATGTTCAACTCTATCGGCCTAGGGTCAAGTTGCAAATAGCCAAAGTAACACTGGATTGACTTCTTTTCTCTTTAATTATGTCACTCGTGTCTTGTTAACTGAAAGATCGAACTTGGGGCACCTTAGAGCATATGAGATTTACTACTGAACTTGTAGAGATAAAGGATATGAAAAGAATCCATGGCAGTTAAATCACATTAAACATGGTCAAAACCCCACTTCCCAAAAAAAAGCATCCAAGGAGTAATTGAACACCAAGTTACCTCACTGCCTTTAGTTTTCAACTGGAAGAGACAGACAAATTCTAATTATTTACTTCAGTTCATTCAGTTGCCTTGTTTCAATAGTGTATTGTCCAGGGTAAAAGGCTTGTGCCCCTTTAGCTATCATCTACTCGCCTGCAAAAACATTTTCTATCCCACCCAAGTCTATCTTAGAAACCATTATGAAAATGCTATAAAGCACATCAGCAAACAAAATTGACTAGAGGAAAGAGGTTCTGTTAATAATCCTCTTTACACAATCATCATCTTCTATGTCTTACTATTCACAAATAAGATCCCCACAACTTGTATGGAAGCAAGAGTATCTAGTCAATTGGCTACTCTCAAGACTGCAATCACAACTTCCCATAAAGACATAATTCAGCGATTTCCAGCCCTTTGCATATCATACACCTAATGTAGTACAAAAGGCAATCACCACACCTCACTCCCAGAATACCAGGATCATCATCAGAATAACCTTAGGTTTCAATAGACTGTCTCCCTAACCAAAGGAGCTCCCTAGATGTTTTAGCACTTAAGGAAAATTCATGGAGATCCCTCAGAATTAAATACAGAATACTCTGAAAGACATCAACAGATTCCCAAGTTCTTATGCCATCTCTTTTTCATCATGCTTAGCATCTTTCATAAGCTCGGATTCAACTGAAATCATTATTCAGACATGTGTACAAAATTAAAGTTTATAGATCATAACCTTCAAAACCAACACATTCCCCTCTTAGTGGAGTATAAAAGAACCAGCTAATACTAAGGGAACTTTTCATTAAACATAAGACCCAAAAGTGCTAGTCAACCACCACCAAAACTGCTCACAACAAGAGACAGAAAACAGATGTAATGAAGTAACAACTAAGGTGGAATGAGTATTGTTGAACAGCATTATTAGTTAATAGACATGATATAAGGTAATATAGAAATACACCACTCTATATGGAAGAAGAGCAATACCTCTCCATCAGATCCACGTATAGTGACACGGTATACCACAGTCACACTTCCATTGTCAGAAAATATTACATCACGGATTTCTCCACACCATCCTGCCAAAAAGAGTGTTAACAAGTAATAACACATAGAGAATTATAAACATTCAAAGGGTGGAGGAAATTAAAATAAGTTTACTGTCGGAAATCCACTCTAAATGGCAAGAGAGTAGTTGGCGAAGTTCCTGCTAATATATTTGAAATGGGTTGATAACCTTAAGACTCTGCCTCAAACTCATAACGCATTGGGGTTTGCAAACCAAATGAATTTGAATCGAGTACAATGCTGAATGCAATAACCATATAATGACTCACTAGTCACCGCTAGAGGGCCCAAGCATTTGTATGTGCACATAATATGACATGTCCTTGCCAAAATGCATGAGAAAAATGAAAATACAGATATCTAATTGCTTGTTGAAAGCAGACATGGATGGATGTATAAGTTGATGAATAGGCTATGGTACTATAGAACACATATAACAGTTGAAAACACACCAACTACTACGCATTGGTTATAGAAGGGAGTAAATAGATTGCCTAATATTGTCTGAAAATAATAATAAAAAAAGGTTGGATTTTTTACAACAATAAAATTGAAATGATAATAACAAGAAGAAATTGTGATGGTCAAATTGAGAAGCTGAGGTGAAGAGAGGACACACCAGGAGCGTAGAAGCTCAACATCCGGTTCGCATGGTACCTACCCAATACAAAAATACACAAACTTTACATGAGATTTGATTGGGAACAGAGAAAATCAACAAAAACAGAAAATGAAAACTACCAGGGAATTAAGGTGGAGTGATGGTGAGGAGGTGCTTGGATGATGTTATCAGGGATTCTCTTGTTGAGGTCTCTGAGGATTTCAACGAGAGGGCGGGTGATGCAGGAAGAGTTGGAAGACGAAAACGACTTGTCTAACGGCACCACATAGTTGGAATTGGGCACTCCCCCTGCCTTCTTACCACCATCGCTGCTGCTGCTGCTCTTGCATGCGATCATACAAACCCCTCCCGCTCTCCTCCGAGCCCAGATTCCAGCTCCAACCAGTCGGGTCCGGAGCCGGACCTCACCGGCCCGAGAGAAAACGGGTACGGACTTTGGGAGCAAGGCATTGGTGCTATTGGTCTGCAAAGCCATTAGAAAGTCCACGAGCAACAACAACAACAGCAACACAGAAAGTCTCTCTCTTTCAAAGATTCAAAGTCTGGGATGGACTGGTAGATGAAAAGATGATCGATCGATGGTTCAAATTCTAACAAAATTGCGAGACGTGTCTGCAAAGATCACACCTTTTTTTTTCTGAGTATTTTTCGTTGGTTTTGTGTTCTCATTTACTTACTAGTCTTCCTGTCTGAAACTCTCTGACAGTGACAAACCTACTACAATACCCGACCCGACCCGCAAATGGATCCAGATCCTAAACCCCTCTTAATCTCAAATTATTTTTTGGTTCTTGTGAAAGGACTAACAGCGTTAGTTTTTTTTTAAAGGGAATAAACTTACTGCAGCCGTTGTGGCATATCTATAAGCATTGAATTAGTTAAATCGTCCATATTTTACAAAGAGTGCTGTTATTTTTATCCACATGTTCTATTTTCCCACCAACCTTATCTTCCCACTCATCATATAAGAGATGTCACGTGAACTTATACCTCAATTTCAATTTGTCACCTTAAAGAAAAATTTAAGAGAAATTTCACCTTAATTTTTCAAAATTCATGATATTTTTCATAGATTTTAAGGGTATTTTAGTATTTCTATTTTCAAGGGTATTTTAAAAATAGAATATCACTATAAAAAAATTTATGCATGCTCAGAGAAAGAGAGAGAGAGGGGAAGGGGGACCTATGTGATGTGTTTTGGGAGAAGGTGTGTTTGGGGTTGGAGAGAAAGGGAGAGAGGTAACTTTTTTCTCTCTTTAATTTTCTTGAAAATGAAAAGACTAAAATACCCTTAAAATATATGGAAAACTTGATGGTGTTAAAGTCAAATGACAAATAATGGATTTTGAAAAATTAAGATGACATTTCTCTTAAATTTTTCTTTAATGTGACAAATTGAAACTAAGATAAGTCTATGTGACATTTGTACAAAAAATCCCTTTAAAAAAACACAAACCTATCTTTCCACTCACCATTATTCCTAAAATACCATTTACATATTTGCCATTATAATAAAAATAATAATAATAATAATAATAAATTTCTTCAACCCGGATTTGGTTTAGTTGGTTTGATTGGGCCCCAATTGTATAATATTTATAAACCATCGTTGTTATTTGCGGTACCTTTAAAATATAAAGTGTTCTATACCTACCCCGAACTAAATAAGCAGCAATTTAGTTGGACATTTATTTTCAATATAAAAATATGTTTTTGCGGAAAGAAAAAAAAATTGTTGATTGGAGGAGGTTCAACTACTCTACTAGAACCAAGCATCAAATTGCTACTTTTGTTTTTCAAGTCTGTACAGAAAATATCATTTCGATTAGGGATGACAAGACTAAATCTTTTTATTATTTTTACCAAATACTCAAATAAGCTTCAAATTTGCAGAAAGTAAATTTGAATGGTTCTTCAAAGACGGCCTCTTATTTGAGGACGCAAGAAAATTTTCTCTTTGTTCTGCGCTGGAGTAATTTTAATGGTAATCCGTTAGAAACTTGCTCACGAATGCTCAGGCCCAGCCGCCCAAGTCAAGATGCTTTTTTCGCACGACAAACTGAAGTTAACGTGAGGTCGACAGCGCTTTTTTAATTGACACCAAAAGTCAGTCGACTAATGAGAGTGAAGATCCTTTGATTAGTTGATCAGGTCAAGTGGACTTTTGAGCAGCAATCTACAACAAAGAGGAACTGAATCTTCTTTCTTACCTCATCAATAAATACTTGTTCAATTTTATAGAAAAAACATTGTTTTTTTATCCAATCTCCAAACCCATATTTCCCCCTCTATTTAACAATTTATCAAGAATTCTCCAAAAAAGAAGAAAACACAACAGAAGACACATGCAAGAATACATACATAACTGTGGATATGTGAAAAATGAAAAAATGATATCACATCAAACCCGAACAGGTTGAGACGAAAGCACACTGCGGAAATGACCGAACGTATATAAGCAATGCACATGTGCGAAAACGGAACGAATCTGGAAGGACATGAATGTATCAGTATCAATTCATTTTCCAAAAAGATCAAGTTTAACATATAACATTTCTGCCCATGAAGTTTCATCTGTCAATCTATGACTACGAGTTACAACCAAAACCTAGCCCTTGTATTTCTTCAAGGGAAAGACTACATCAAAATGTTCGATATATACAGATCCATGGTCAAAAGCATCACATAAACACAAGAGTAACAGACGTCTCCAAGTAAGTAATGTTGGCGAAGGATCGCATTCCCATCATGTGGGAACTCGCCGTGTTACCTGTCGTTCAGAAGAGTCTTAAGTCAAACAAAATTACAGGATACTTGTTCGGATAAGACCAATCAAATAGACAATTAGTAAACAGATTACAATCCGAAACCACTTAGTCCAGTAGCCACCTTTTCCAGCTTTCTATCAAAAATCTGCTGCACTTCACTCCGGAGTCTTTCCACATCCATCACATAATCCCTGTGCTCTTCCTCTACCATTAAATCCTGCAGCCGCTGCCTCAATCTCTCCAATGCACCATCCAACCCACAAAAGTCCTTAAAAACCAGAGCTTCAGTTGTCTTGAGTTGCAGAAGATTCTTAAGTGCAACAAGCGCCTGCTTATTTGCAAATGAAGAAAACCTGATTATCATTACTGGCATTACAGAATCACCTACGTTCTAGTCTAACCAATCAGCAAAGCAAGTGCAGTAATCACATCAAAATATATCTAGAATGACTCAGGCATGTCATAAAGATGATAATTGAAATTCAGCAACAACAACAAAATGCAATTACACTAATGCTTAAGAAAAGACCTTCTCTTGCAGATCAAGGTCAGCGGATGATGTTAGATCAACCAGAGACTTCAAGAAAATGCGACTACTGAAAAAGGGTAGCTCATCCTTCCCCCTATTTTCCAATTGACACTCAGAAAGATCACCCAGAAGGAACACAGCTTTTCTACGAAGTCTGATATCAATGCTTGATTCACTCATAATGTTCTACAAACAGAAATGACCGGTTTAGAAAAATAGACCACTCATTATAATGCTTTGCTTTATTCATTTTAATTAGTCACCTGAAGGAGTAAATGCCCAGCTTCCTCATAGAACAACTCTTGGCCAGCTACATTGTTTCGGATCAAGGCCGAAACAGCATACAACGCTTTTGTGGCTTCTTCAGAAAAGTCAGATTTCACCATCTTCATTAGCTTGGACAGTGCCCCAAGTTCCAGAACCTGATGTGCTTGCAATTTAGTCAAACAAGTCTTCTTAACTCCAATACCCGAAAGTAAAACCTCTACGCACACAAAACATAAAAAAATTCAAAAAGTTTATGCATATTGCAGAGCATACCTGCCTCTGGACAATTGGGTTATTTTGACTGGCCTTCCCAAGCACCCATGCAGCCATTTTCCTTGTATCTGCATCAGAATGATCAAGCTCTCGTATAACCACAACAAGCCCCCCAAGTTTGTTCAAATCTGCAAGACCCCAAGTCAACCATTTCACTCACTTCAATTTACAACCACACAAGACACAAAACCCAAATCACAAAAATCACAAATCGCACCTACCATTTGCATTATCAATTGGCTCCACAAGTATCAGAAGCTCCTCCAGCGCGCGGTGCCGATCTTCCAGAGACAAAGACGAATTGCTCAAGTCATTTATCGCAACCTGCATCAACTGCGCAGCAGACGGCGTCTTCAGCTCGTCCATGAGCTGCTTTATCTCGACCTGACGGTTGCTCAGGTCGGTAGGAGACAATTTATCAACATCTTGCGCCGTTTCTTTCAATTGAACGGGATCGGAATGACCTATGGCCCACTGCAACATTCCTTCGAGCGAGGAGAATCCGCCGTCGGCGTCCAGGTCGGCAACGGCGGTGTCGTCGTCCCGAGCCTTAGTCTGAGTCTGAGCCAGAGCCTCCTCTTCTGCAGTGGACCAATATACCCCTCCCGACCTGTTAATATTTCGCTCTGCCCTCACCGCCATAACCATCACCATCACCACCAACATCCATGAGCTCACGCGCTCCATCTCTTTCTTCTTCTTCTTCAGTGGACTGTGAAACAGACCTTGCTCCTCTCTTCCCGTTTTTATTCTAGAACAATAATTATACACATCATCGCGTACAACGTGCATCGTTGATCTTGGATCGGACGGTTCTTAGAAGTTTGATTGCGTGGCAATTCTTTTGCGCCTTTTAGCAAAACGGTGTGGATTGAAAACAAAACGACGCCGTAGCCGTCTAAGAGCGCAATTAACCAACAGTAGAGTGTGCCTGTGTGGCTTAGTTAGGTTTTCAACCTCCTCCGAGCTCCGACTAAAATACAGATAGAGGATAGGGAAAAGGTTTAGGGTTTAAGGCCAGGCAAATAGCGAAGTAGCGAAGAGCAGCGAACCGAGAGAGAGAGAGAGAGAGAGAGAGAGAGAGAGAGAGAGATGGTGAGGCTCACTGCAGACTTGGTATGGAAAAGCCCTCATTTTTTCAATGCCCTTAAGGAGCGAGAGTTAGATCTTCGAGGTATTTTCTTTTCCTTCTTCCGCCATTCCCAATTCTCAATTCCTAACCCTACATTGATTGTGTTAGGGTTTATAATTCAAAACTCTTTCCCTTCTTTGTTCTCAGGTAATAAGATAGCTGTAATCGAAAACTTGGGAGCTACAGAGGTAAGCAATTTACTCATCTGAATTTGTTATCGTCTCAAACCGTAGTTTATTTCATGTAGATGGTTGGTTATTTATGTGAAGCTGCTTCAAGTTACTGAATCTAGTTAAGTGATATATGTTTGTTTTCCCTCTAATCTGAACAGGACCAATTTGACACCATTGATTTGTCTGACAATGAAATTGTCAAGCTGGAGAATTTACCCTATCTTAATCGCTTGGGTACTTTGATTATCAATAACAATCGAATTACCCGTATCAATCCCAACATTGGAGGTAACTGAAATACTTTTTTCACCTCACTCTCATGCCCAGAATGTTATCTTGTGTTAGTAATTTTATATGGTTTTTGTGTGTTAAATATTAAGTGTTGAGTTGTATGTATTGCAGAGTTCTTGCTGAAGTTACACACCTTAGTACTTACCAACAACAGGCTGGTCAACTTGGTAGAGATTGATCCTCTTGCATCCCTTCCGAAGTTGCAGTTTCTTAGCCTGCTGGATAACAACATCACAAAGAAACCCAATTACAGGCTGTATGTGATCCACAAGTTAAAGTCACTTCGGGTTCTAGATTTTAAGAAGGTGAAAAACAAGGTGAGTCATTTTTAAGTTGTCAAACTCATGTTTTTTCTTTTGTGGCATGATGCTTCTTTTCTCTATGTTGGTACCAATTATGAGCTGGCATAACATACTTATGGAACGCCCACTACTTTGTGTCTTAAAGGTGTTTATGGTTGATTATCTTTTGCAATTCCAACTATCATTTATCCTAAACCTTAAGATGTCAGCCAGACGCGTAGTTTAGGTTACTGAAAAATAAGTTTCTGTAATGTCTGCTCACCCAAACTTTGGATTACACACTTTTATTCTTATTTTGTACCTTCAAAAAGCTTTGCTCCTTTCAAATGATTGATCTGTTGAATCAAAGGCTTCTGCTTATTTTCGACCTAGTTTCACTAAAAAGTGGAAATATGGAATGCTCCCCCAGGAAAGGTCCTGGGTTTGAGTCCTTAAAAAAGGTGGAAATATGGAATTCTGTTCTGACTATAAGATTTAGCTAGTTCCTTTTGTATCTATTTACGTGGATTGATTATTCTTTGGTCCTGTTCCATCAATCATAGGAGAGATTGGAAGCACAAACTTTGTTCTCATCTAAAGAAGTTGAAGAAGAGACTAAAAAGGTATCCGCAAAAACTTTTGTGCCAACTGAGGTTCCAAATGTTTCAGATGTTGCCGAGGAACAACAGACACCAAAAGTAGTTGCCCCCACTCCCGAGCAAATTATGGCTATCAAGGTAATCATAGCTATCAAGTTTTTACCTAGTTGCATCAATCATTATATTCTGTGACCAGGTGCTGGAAAACCATGTCTTTCTCACCTTGTGACTGTTAATGAATGAATAAAAATCTTATTTAAATTTACAAAGGAGAGGCAAAGTTCACCATTCAATTACTTTTATAATCAAGCAGTGATGGTTTTACTTAAGAAACAACATTGTGTTGAATAGGCTTGGACTCAATGAAAATGAACAATTTGTTTTTCTTTTGATAGAACCAGATTTTGGTTTGGGATGAACTCCTGTAAAGTGGTACATTGCATGTCCCTACTAAATTTTCTGCTCTTCACTGATTAATCAAATCCTACTAGTAAATGTTGTTTGTATATTGGAGTGATATCTCGTACACATTACATCAGTAGTCGCTTCAAGTAAAATTAGATATTTCAAGATATCCAATGGTGGAAATTCACAGAAAATTTTATTCCTTCTGGAAAAGTAGAAAATTTTATCCTTTGTGATATATTTATTGTTTTATATCTGGGGTTATTCCCCTATTTTATGGCTAATATGTGGGGTCATCTTAGGTTTTCTGTTGTTTCATGTATTGTTTCATCCTTGTCCAGGCTGCCATAGTGAATTCCCAGACTCTTGAAGAAGTTGCAAGACTTGAACAGGTGATTTTCTTAACCAGAGAAATTACTCATTGTTTTCTTGAATGTTTATTTCTTATTGTTTGTACATTGACATTATACTCGTTTTGCATGAGCAGGCACTGAAATCAGGTCAGCTTCCTGCGGATTTGAAAATCTTGGATGATGATACCGAGACAAATAGTGTTAACGTAAATGATGATAAAATGGACGTCAATAGTGAAAATGAGGCTAATGCACCAAAAGATGTGGATGAACAGAAGAAAGATGAAGCAGAACCCATGGAACAGGTACCAGTGTGCTTCCTATGACTTTTGAACTATCTTATCTTATCTTAATCTTTATTCTTTTCTTCATCTCAGTGATATTGTAGAAAGGTCTTGTTTTCTCTAGGTAAGAAGGTGTATGCAAGTTTGATGGTAGTAGTGTTAGTGATTCCAAATATTGCACCTGTAAAAAGAGAACCCTCATTTCGAAGCAAGAGGGACTGTGTTGGATTACAAAATTGTCATAAAGTAAGATCATCGGGACTGGGGAGAAGTAAATAGGATACAGTTATTTTGAGCCTATATCTGCTTATTTCTTCAGTTGAATTCATTTCACCTTAAACATACAATTATAGCTCCCATCAGTTTTGTAGGCTTGGGTTGTGTGCTGATTCTGTGATATGTTAGATTGTGTTAAAGGTTACAGATGAATCCATTTCAAGATGGATCTTTGTTGTAAATTAGTAGTATATCAGCATTTGTTATGCAATAATCTATTGTCTGTATGATCCTAAATGCCGTCTGTCAAGGAAAAGTGTTTGCACCTCAATGACCCCCCACCCCTCCATTCATTGCAAGTAGGTTGGTTAGTTCATATTGGTTCTAGTATTGATTTTTTTTCTTCTCCCTTGCAGGAGTAGAAGAATTGGTTCATATTCCGGTAGCATAAAGCTTGTCCTATTTGAATCCGTTGGCGGCGACCGGTGCACTTTATGATTGGGAAATGCTGCTATTTCTGGAACTGTGTTCGATATATATCAGGAACTTCTGCCTTTTAGACATGAGAACAACTCTTTTGCCGTAGTCAACTAATGCAAGTTTTTCCCTTTCTAACATTTGTCTGGGAGGAGAGTGGGAGCCCGAGTGTTTGATTCATATCTATGTATTCTATGATACAAGTTTTACTCCGAGATTCAAGTAGATTGCACCATTTTTAGTCCTGTTTGGGCCATTATATTTAATTATAAACTGTTTAATGTTATATATTCGTTTTTCTCTTATCTCATATTTTCTTTAATTATCAAAATACAAACAGAAAAATTAAAAACATCATCAACTGGGTAAACATTGGCCTTTTTTCCGTTTAGATCCAAAAACCTTTTTCCTATTGATATAAAATAAAAGGCTTGATCAGATTAAAAAGGAAGGAAAAGGGTTGATTTTCTTGGTTTGGTGTCTTCATATTCTTTACTTGGAGGGGTTTGCTGTTGCTCTTAAATTGAACTCCTACAGATATCGTATTATGATAACAATGGAATAAATATCTTAAATTAGGGTGCCATCCTTGGGTGATGGGGGAAGATAATACATGTTCAACCTAGTGCTGCCCATATTATATTCGTCACTTACATTTCAAGTCATTTCCTCTTGCAATGATCCCTTTCTGTTTCCCCGGTCAGTTGTTTCTTCATCAAGCTGTCTTGGAAAGAAGTGAAAACAGGAAATTCTTTGCTCCAGTGCCGGGGAAATTCTGTTTGTGCACATTGTGTGGTCTTGTGGAGAACAAGATGCAAAAACCAGAGCAGCCAAACAAAAATATGTAAACAAATAAAGCTGTTGCTGCCCTTTCATCTTATAACTGTAATTATGATAGCCCAATTGGCATGGGCTCTACTATGTCTTGTTGCAGCATGGATGCCACTTGTGTGCTTGAGTCTTCTAAAGGGATGGTCTTGGTCACGGACCTTATGTTCATGGCGCCTAACATTTCCCACTCTTTCCTTCAGCAGCCACAGGCACAGAGAGATATCATCCGAGTCTGTCAGCCGTCCTCGGCTCATAGCCACCACCTTCAGTGGCCAGTGCTGCACTGACCCACATCACGAACAAGAATGTTCTGAATTGAACGAGGATGATGTGAAGGTATTGGTTTCTCACATCCACGAGACCGATGGCGGTCCGCCATGGAAGCTCATGATGGAGCACTCTACCCCTACCTTGACATACCAAGCTTGGTACAGGGATCCACCGGTAATATAAACCCAATTATCATGTCCATTATTCACCACGAATGTGTCTTTTCTTTGTAACCTTGTTTTCAAATTTCAGTTGGGCCCTACGCAGTACCGTACAAGAACCGTATTCGAAAATGTATCACCTGAGTTGCTGAGGAACTTCTTCTGGGATGATGAATTTAGACCCCAGTGGGATAACACGCTCATTCACTTCCAAACTCTCAGAGTTTGCCCCAAAATTGGTTCCATGACCATCCACTGGATTAGAAAGGTACAACCACATCTGATTTTACACAGAATTTGCTAGAACTATTGTGTTTTTCTCCCAACCCAGATTTTTTTAATTGCAATTAGGGTTTTTCTCCCTAAATGCCACAGCTGCCATTGTTCTGCAGTGATCGAGAATATGTCATAACCCGTCGCATTTGGGAATCTGATTCTGGATATTACTGCCTAACAAAGGTTTGATTTTGTCTCAAATATTTCAAGCTCTCTTTCCATAGGTCCTGTCCTGTGACAAAATGCCATCTGCTGATTATATGTTTTCTTATATACAAGGGAACACCATATCCACCCCTACCAAGGTCTAAAAGACCAAGACGGGTAGATAATTATTATTCGAGTTGGCATATAAAATCAGGTACGTATTTTAGACTTTGGTATATTTCTGTTTACCCAGTAGAAATCTCTTTTTTGAGTGACAGACAGATACAGAAACAACTATTTCAGTGAAGCCTAGGAATGGAGAGCAGCATAAAGTGGCATCAGAAGTGCTTCTGTTTCATCATGAAGATATAGGGCTCCCGAGGGAGGTTGTGAAGATGGGTGTTAGGGCAGGAATGTGGAGCCTGGTAAAGAGACTGCATCTGGGCCTGCAGACTTACCAAATGGCAAAGGAAAATGATGGGTCTCCTTCGAATTATGCACTTATGGCAAACATAAACACAAAGATTAAAAATTAGATGATTTCTTCCCACCATTGTTTTGAGTGGCAAAAGATCACAAGTGCAAAAAGTGAAGTAAAATAATAGAGAGCTCCCTCAGAACTTGTAAAATCTTCAACATGACATTGATTTAGACAAGGCTGAAACTTATATATATTTGGCGTTCAATCATTGGGAGCTGCATCAAATCAAAGACACTCTTTTTCAAACTTCCAGTAAAACATTTTCTTTGGTCAATCAACTTTTTCAACTCAAACGTGATGCACAAAATGAAAAGAATGAATGAAAACGAAAGGGTACCCAAAAAAAACACATTGAATCAAATATATATGCACATACATGTCAGAATTTGTTCGCATAGGGGAAAAGGAAACGAAAGAATGGCTGAAAAGAAAAGACAAGCCACGGAGAATATCAACGAACAGAGAAATCAAGCAAACAAAGGGTGTTTGGAGAAGATGTCCCCTTCAAGTTCAGCCATTAGACGGCGGCTGCGGGATTGATTGTTATCGAATGAAAATGAAGGCCCCTTTTATAGCCTAAACATCGTAACCGTGATGAACTCTAGACCTAACCCGGGTTGTTTTGTTGTGTCATTTTTGTGGGCTTGTAGTTTTTGTTTGGTCTATTTTCCTGTGGGCTTCTTCTTTGGTTCATCTTTTCTAAAAAATAAATAAAATAAAAATGAAATGAAATGGTGTTTACTAATCAGGAATTTGAATTCTCATCAAGAATTAAATTCTACTTAAAGTGGATTCCTGCATTTACTTCACATCAAGGAATTGAAAATTAAGTGGGACCCACACAAAATTAGGAATTGAATTACTGATTTGGAAGGAATTCAATTCTTGATTGGAATGTGGTATTCTAATTATTGGGGAACTAACCCATTAGGAATTCATTTTTTTTACCAATTATATCATCACACAATTTTAAAAATTCCAAAATTTTCATCTATTTTAACCTAACAACGAGAACATTTTAGTAATTATTATCATTCATATCCCAATTCCATATGATTTAATAAACAACTTCCATAGAAATCCGGAATCTTACTTCTCTCAATCCATATGGTTTAGTAAATAACTTCAATAGAAATCTAGAATCTAATTCTCCTCAATTCAATTCCTCCTAATTCAATTACGGATTAGTAAACATGCCATGAAAGTATTAGAAATGATGTTGCTCACATCACACAAACTCATAAGATAATCTATTTTCATGTTTAATCATGTGACGGTCTGTTTGGCGAGTACATCTTAGTGAAAACTCATAATATACTTCAATGAATTGTGATTAATTAGAGAATGATGAACTTGTCAATTTAATAGCCACAACCGCTCATAGAACAAATTGTAGGAAAATATTTTATTTATTTATTTTATTTTATTCCTTCTTTCAATGATTTTAAACTTTTATCGAGAAAAAAAAAGCTGAATGCAATATAAAGGGAAGATAACCAAAATATATTATTCTTAAAAATAGGAGAAGATAGGGAACTTGGAAAACAAAAGGCAATATATTAACATTAAAGTAAGAAAAGTGACATAGAAGCAAGGTCTAAAATATAGATGGTTTTAGAAATATTAGTGATCTAAAAATACAGAAATTTAGATGAAAATATTGGGAAATTATCGAGATCGATAAAAATTGAATAAAAACCATGAAAATTGTAAATTAAAAAAATTGAAAATCTTTATTGAAACATTGGAGGATGTTTTATTTAGTCAATTATCTATTACTTCATTACAAAAAATTAGAAGGAAATGCCTTTCATGATGTTAACTGATTTAAGTTGATGATATAGCGAGTTGACAAACACTACGAGTGTAGAAAATATGTAGTAATTAATAAAAGAAAATTAAACTCACCATAATCATTTATTTGTAATTATTTACTACAATATTTTACACTTTATACATTTCATGATAAGGTAAGATACACGAGTGACTTAGTATCACATAAAGTTTCTGTGAGGTTCAAATTTGAGTTATTTACAATAACACCCCCTAAGGTTTTTGGTTTTGTTCACAAAACTCATTTTTATTGATTTTTCATTCAAAGATTGATGAATTTATTTAAAAAGAATCTCCAAATGATCAAGTTGGCTTTGAGATTATATTGCACATACTTCATTGAGGTTAATTTTGTCATTTGTTGATTTGCATAAGTTTTTTTCCAATGAAATCATCAACTTTTGGACAAACAATCAACGAAAATGGGTTTTGTGAAAACACAAGAAACCTTAGTGTAAATAACTCTTCAAATTTTTCACCGTCTTCATCATATCAATATTATCGACATTATAACAATATTATCACGATATTTTAGCCAAATCTTGTTGAAACATGTGAGAAATTATTGACATCAATATTTTCTGATATTATCGTTAATATTATCGATAATTATATGATATATGTATGAATATATTCCAAAATATCATAGACTAGAAAAAATAATAATATTGACAACATTTCGTCTATATTATCAATATTTTAATCCTTGCATAGAAGTATAGATTAATCAGATTACAATCACCTAACTTGCTGTGAGACGGCATAATGAAACCTTCCTTCAAGTCCGCTTGGCAAATTTCCACGGCCACGTGGTATCATCCAATTGCATTATGTATTAACTCAATTTTGGCAGCTACCGAACCAAATATGCATCCACTGAACAAAAATTACTTCAACAATTTGAATCCCCTTCATCTATATTGACCCTGGATAAATTGTCCCAGAGGGATTGATGGCAAATCCAAATTTATGCAAATATTCAATCCATACATACATTGCATATAAAAGCTCCAAAAGGTGTTCATAGCACAAAGAAAAAAGGGTTTATATGACAACAACCCTAGAACAGAATACTTTAGAAGATGACCACAAGTAGATAACGTAGTACTAGTTAAAACATGATTATTCAGCCCGGCTACATCTCACTGATGAGCCACAATGCTACTAGTAAATTGTTTTGACATGACACAACTGGAAGTCATAAGAAAACCACCAACAACAACTAACTTAACCAAAAGCACTACTCCATAGACCAGAATCGTTCATGGGGTTCTCATAACATGGGTGCATATGTTCGCAAGGTCTCGATCCAAAGGAAGCAGCTCTTAGCATCATGTCCTCATTCTGGATGATCGATATGCCCAGCCTCTTTTGCGATCCAGATGAAATCACCGGGTCAAGCTTTTCAGGATCAGATAACAATGTAATGTCCTTCAAGAGATAAAAGATGATAAGGGGACTGGTTATGGTAAAAGAATATAACGTTAAAAAATGAAAAGAGGAAATAGAAACCTGGATCAAGCCTGCGAAATTTCGTGAGCATTGCTCAGGAGCAGCGGCAGCAACGACGACTCCGAGCGCACTGGTGCAGGCTTTTCGCACCCCACCTTCCAGCACCAGTATTGGGGAAGAGTTGATTGATTGCTATTCAGAGTCATCATAAACTTCTCCATCATCAGAAAACTCGTCGAATGACCTCATATCGAGCTGGTAGCGAAGAATTCCTCCAATGCCACCAAAACCACGGCAGAACTGTGACCCCTCCTGTGATTTGTTGGTGACAAACTCAAGAGTACAACCAAACCGCCTGTATTCATTAGCAAACCACTCCAACAGTGCCATCTTGTCCTGAACCTCTAATTCAGAGTTGGCAGAATCCCGGAAGTTGCTCTGATTGTTTTCCTGGTCCTTGTTGAAATGTTTAACTATAATCTCACCAGTAGTGGTATTTTTTAGCACATACCTATTGATGTCCAAACTTTCCCACACAATAAGAATCTCAACAGCACCCATCTCCAGAGCTTTTAGTGTGTCATCCACACCAAAAACATACTTTCCTGTGTCCTGGCTAATCTCCTCAAAGTATTTGCCTATCAAGCGCTTTTCCTGTATAAACTTAACGTTGGACAGGATCTCGGATGACAGCTCAATAGCCTGGTTGAAACCATTCTCCCCTCCATAAGAAACATCCACCACATTCAGTATTTTGGCTTGCAGACGGGGATCAAACATATCTGACTGACTAAGCTCAGTCTTGAAGTCAGCTGACCCAGCCAATATTAATCCTGAAACATTGGGCTGGCTGGTGGCAGGATTAATATAGAACTGTGTGGCAAGCTCTGCTGTCTTCCTAACATAGTTGTGGCGCTTCTCCATTCGAAGACGAGCAAAACGTAGAGCTGACTGCCCTCCTCTTCCGTGTTTCTTTGGGAGGTCCACACTAAATTTATGAAGCACTTCCCTAGTGTTGCCACTTAATGTCCCAAAAAGTGTCCCATTACCATCCATGACAATGAAACCAAATTTGTCATCAGATTCTAAGAGTTCATTCAGAGCTTCAATATGAAACTTGTTGTCACAGAGGTAAAGAGATGCATTGATTGGCCTGAAAGGTTCAAAATCAATTGTGACCTTTTTTTCCTTCCCATCATCAGTTACAATTGTTCCCGTGTACAGCACCAGCCCATTAGGAGGAACCTTGTTGTAAAGCTTGAGCCTCTGCTGAGCAGATGTAATTGCACCAAGAACAGACTGACGATTCACCCTGCTCTTGATGTTTGAAGCAGTTCCAAATTCATCACCAAGCATCTTAGTAACACGAGAGATTTGATCCCGGGGAGGCATGATGAGAGAAATCATGCTGGTTCCATTACCCCTTGCAGCTTCAAGAGCCTTGATCAGTTTCTTAATCTTCCATATCTCGATGTTCTTATCAGTCTCATGACCATCTGCCATTCTGAGTAATCACAGCGACAGCTGAAACAAGAATTAATGGCCTGCAAGATACCATACATTTAGCACAAAGGTTTCAAAAACAATGAAACCAGAGGAAATAAAGCCAACAAAAATAAGACAGTAAAAGAAAAGAAAAAAGAAAAAAGGGACACGCAATTCACATAGATTTGGAGAAGAAGATAGAGAACCATGCAATTCACATTAAAAGGAGAAAGAAAGCAGACTACACAAACATGTTACCAGTAATTCTGAGAGTCATACAATCTAACTCGTAACTTTATAACATATCAGAAGGCCTCCACACCTATAAACTTCATACAATTTATCCAAAACAAGCCGTAGCATTTATGTCAACAACAAAAGTGAAAGGGACAAATCAAATGATTTCATCTACGACTATTATGTGTATGAGATGCATACACATGTCCCAAACCACACATCCCTCCACACTAATTAAGGACATCCAGCTAAAAAGGATATGTATGTGAAATCAAACAAAGAGAAAGAACAATTATATGGCAAAGCTAACATACAAATTTAACAGGAGACAAAATAATAGTCAAAAAACGCAATCATATCTGTGGATCCACAAGACTATCTCAACAATCATTTGTGTGAATCCGCAAGAACTATCTTATAAATAAATAAACGCCTATTGACTGCATAAATTTAAAGGAAATTGCCAATCAAGCCATGAATTCTCACACGAAATACATAAACGCAAATTCGGCAGAAAACAATCAGCAGATCCAAAACAATTGAGAGAAGAAATCGCATAAGCCTGAAAACGAAAAATCAAAATAGAAGAAAAAATTGAAGATGAGAAAAAGGGGAAAGGAGCACCTGATGGGAAAGCACGCAGCCGTGAGAGTCGAGAGTCGAGAGAAGATATCAGCGGACGATATTTTTTTTATATTAAGGGGGAGGAGAGATGAAGGCGGCTCTCTTAATATATAGCGCGTACCCTGGTGCTGGAGCCGATGGGCCTAACCCTAACCCAGGTTTTGAACCGTGGTTGGATTAAATCAACTCGTCCGGTCCACCACCCATTTGGAATTTTGGAATTTTAGAATTTTGGAATTCTATAACCGACGTTTCTTTCTCGCGGGGAATTTTCACTCGCTACACGACCAACTACTGGACTGGACTGGACTACACGCTACACCAAGTAGTCGTATGTTCAACTTTCAACGCTTTGGGTGGGGGTGCTCTCCATGTAGACACGTCACCAGTTTTCAACCAGGACTTCTCTTCGGCTTCATTTGCCAACTAAACCCAGCTTGAGTTTAATGGGTTTTCTTTTTCGTTTTTTGTTGGATAACGGGGCTTTTATTTATTTATAGGCGTGATGGAAGTTGCAGAGGAAGAATGAGGGCCCATGAGCCCATGCGGTTTTCCTCCAATTCCATACGTGCATGATGAGACTAGAGTTTGATATTTCATTATATAAATTTGTAGCAACATTGTTAGTTGTTAAGCCCACTTGCACGTAAGTTCGAATTCATTTTTCGATAAATTATATTAATTTAGATTATTACTTATATTTAAAAAAAATTATTTTAGGTGGTACGTGTAGTTGCAACTAGTAACAAGACTTAACCTATTAGCTTTTATTTTTTTTTTTTTTTTTGTTTTTTTTTTTGTAGGTAATTTCACTTTATTACTCACAAGTTTTTTGAATGTTATACTTTAATACCTAAAGTTTTTTTCGTGTCAACTTTGTACCCAAAATTTGATTTTCCTACCACTTTCATACATCCGTTAGTTAAACAATCAAATCTTCTGTTAAACGATGACGTGGTAATTAATGGGTCCATGTGTACTCACCATATTGTGGCACATGGATTAAAAAAATCATTAATAAATTAAATAAAAAATTAAATCATGAATATGTATTTAATTAATTTATTAATTAAAAGAATAAAATTTTCTGTCTCCTTCATCTTGTCACCACCCTCCTCTCTCTCTCTCTCTCTCTCTCTCTCTCTCTCTCTCTCTCTCTCTCTCCCTCCCTCTCATTTTCTCCTGATTCATGCCATGCTCGTCTCTCTTCTCTCATTTTCTCCTGATTCATGCCATGCCCGTCGCCCCTCTCTCTCTACCCCACCATCATACCTCTCTCTCTTCCCCAACAACACCTCACGGCCAAATACCCAAGCCCCCTACCTCGACATTCCCAGTCAAACCAAACCCTAAACCCTATTAAAAGAATAAAATTTTCTATCTCCTTCATCTTGTCACCACCCTCCTCTCTCTTTCTCTCTCTCTCTCTTCTCTCATTTTCTCCTAATTCATGCCATGGCATAATATGGGTGAGGCCACGTGTGGACCCATTATTTTTCATGTTAATTTATTAATAGAAGAACTGACGGTCAGACTAATGGATGTATGATAGTAGTAGGAAATCAAAATTGGGTGGGTGAAGTAGAAGTTGACACGCCACCCACCCCCCAACAACAAAAAAAAAAAAAAAAAAAAAAAAAAAAAAAAAAATATTTATATTAGTCTAAATTTCGGTAAACTTGCGGGTAGTAAAGTGAAATTTACCTTTTTTTTGTTGGGAAAACATAATTCAAATTGAAAGAAGTATGATTTCAAGTATTCATCCACAACCCAAACTTCAAAATCATTTGACTTGGCCATGGTCCACAAGAGGTATTAGTCATACATTTTTATCCTAATCGAGTAGTCGATTATTAGTGACGTTAATATTTAAGAAACAAAATATAAGTTTTCAATGGCTTAATGGATTATTAGTGACTTCGATATTTAAGTAAAGTATTTGCTTTTGCTTGAGCATATTTCTTAGGTTTTTACAAAATAATTTCATACAAAATTTTGGATTAATTGGGTCGACAAATAACAATAGATAATTTTATTTGTAATAAAAGTAGAGTGCTGGTAGACGAACCCTAAAATTAACTGAGTACACCCTATAATCTAAGTACATCATATTTAACTACCATAAATATCCCTGATTTTTTTTAGGGAGTTTCACTAAAACACCCAAAATGGGGGCTGAAATTATAAAAAAAACCCAACACCCAAAACACTTTATAAACACACCCAAAACCCATCATTACACACACTCAAAATCCATTGATAAACACACCCCAAAAATATACAATTGTTGATTTTGGGTGTGTTTCTATGTTTAAATAGTGTTTGGGTTTTGTTTATAAATACATGTCTAGGATTGGGTTTATTTATAAATTTGTATTTTTCTTAATACACCCTATTTAGACTTTCGTACGACTTTTTGTTGGAAGTTAAACCAAGCCCACTTTAATATTTTTAATTATTGTTGTAAATCTTTTTTTTTTTTTTTTTTTTTTTTTTTTTTTTTTTTTTTAGAGATTATCATTAAGATAAAGGCAACCAAACAGTACATACATGAAGCTATTGGGAAGGCAGGAACACGTACTTAAACCAAACAACCAGGAGAAGAGAAAACAAACAGGCTAGAGAAAAAAAACAAGCAAAGAAGCTCAATTAAATGGCCAGCCACTAGGACGCCACCAAAGGGTGCACGTCAGCCTCTAACCAGCAACAACCTACAATCTTGTAGGACAAGGTAATCCATCCACCTGCAGAACAAAAACTAGGGAAGATGGGGGTGTGTGAATCTAGACTTCCTCGCGCATCCTCCTCCATGCATTCGTCGCAATTGAATCGACTATTCCATTTAACCGACGAGGGATCCACTGCCAATTATAGAAGTTGAACTGGTTACAACATCTTCTAACAGTAGAAATGATAGGATAAATAGACCACACGCTCCTACCAATTCCGCCGTTGACATTTTGAACCAACTCCTTTGAGTCTGTCTTAATGATGATGTGGGTGGCACCCAAATCAGCAACCAAAGAAATTCCTTTTCACGCAGAATGAGCCTCAACCTCAAGCATAGAGGCTGCCAGTCTAAAGCCTTCATAACCTCTCAAAAAATTGTCATCTTCATCTCGAATCACACCACCCAAACTAGATTTCATGCAGACTTTATCCCAACTTGCATCAACGTTAACCTTGCACCATCCATGGGGAAAAGGAGACCAAATATTCTCAAATGTTACATTAGAAGGAGCAGGCACCATCGACAGAGTAGTCATAGGGCTTGATGCAAAGTGGAATACCCCAAGCATTTGTCTAATTCTCACTACAGATTGATTTGGACATACACCCTTACCTTCAAAAACTGCATCACACCGGCTGCACTAGATAATCCAACATGTATACACAATCAGAGCAAGAGTCCCCATCCTTTCTTGCTTATTTTGATTTTGATTCCCCAACACACTGAGTAGCCACTCTTCCATAGAGGTTATGCTCTAACGGTCAACTTTGTAATTTAATGCCACCAAACCAAACATAATTCACCCAATTACACAATAAGAACATATACTCCTTTGATTCCGGCCACTCGTGCCACGAAGGGCATAAAGGGCTGACTCCCAAGTGCCTCATAAATAAGCCCTCCTTTGTCGACAAACAGCCTCTAACAATCGTCCATAGAAAATTCTTCAGTTTAGGAATCAAGTTGGACTTTCATATAATCTTCCATAGCTCTGGACAATTTCCCTTGAGCTAGATGGCCGATCATGATATTGGGAAGGTGGAGCATTTGTCATAATATTATATCCATACTTTACTGAGTATATCTCATTCCGGTTAAGAGGCCAAATAAGTCTATCTCCTTCATCGTCATTTCCAAGTGGAAGAGATGGAATCATTCTAGCATCATGTTCATATATCATGTCTTATGCTTTCAATGTTCCAATCCTTGGCGATTGGATTAACAATTGTGGTGACAAAAGTTTCCAAATCCACATCATGGCCAGGATTGGGGCGAAGAATTAGGTCTTGATTGTAAGGTAACCATTTATCAACCCAAAGCCTGACTCAGTTGCCATCAAGAATCTGCCAGCGAACTGTAATACTTCGAAAAATTAAAGGTGGACTTTCGTATTTCAGTGAAAATAGTATTATAGTGAAGAATGATTATGGGATTTTATCAAGTGATTTTGGATTGAGACTATTGGATTAAGCGTGTTTAATTTCAAGTTGCACAAAAATGCCCTTATGTAACATTTTGTGAATTTTTCAAATGACATTTAAGACATTGAAGTGAGACCATTATGATTCTTAGGTAGTATGATAGTGGTCGACTCAACGAATGTGTAGGAAATCGTTTCTGAATTTTAGGCTCAAATGACCAAAATAACTCCTATGTGTAAAAATTACCAAAATACCCCCTATGTGTAAAATTACCAAAATACCCTTGTAGGCCAATAAAAAAAGTATATGAAATTTGCAGGGCATCAGCCCACCATTCTCCCATTCTTTCCCCCTTGCCTCAAGTTTTCAAATCCACAATCATTTTGGAGATGAGTTGATATAGGTGAGTCATTGGCCTAAGGGTGAGTTGTCCACCTATTAGGAGTGAATCACCTAGTCTAAGCTAAAGATAATGATGATTAATCTAGGATATTATTTTAGGGGGGAAGGAGATGGAACTTGGGTGTGGAAGAGAAGGAAGCATAGGAGGAAGAAAGGAAAAATCTTCTAAGGAATTGGATCAAAAGTGTAGATTCAACAAATCCAAGAACTTCCGAATGGTAAATTGGTACTTTAGCTAGTTGGACATGAGGTAGGGTTTCTTGATTTCCCGATGATTGGGCTATGTCACTTTTAATCTTGGTGCTTATATATAGTACTATAAATATGAAATTATTGTTGTTTTGCTTCGGTGAATATTATTTGATGTTCGATGAAATACTAATTGATGTTATGTGAATATTATTATTGATGTTTCTCCGTGGAAATTATTTGGTGTTGGGTAAATATGATTATTCATTTGATTAAACTTGAAATATTATTGTTATTATATGTATAATTATTTCGTAGAGATAAATGATGTTGGAGTTGCATTACGTATGCACCATAAAAACGGTTGTGTTTTGGATATTTGGGTCGAGGTATATCTAAGGGTGGGAGAAGGCCTTAGATATATCTGGAAAAAAAAATTGTGGATTATATTCAGGTGACGAGGGCAGGGTTTGAATATATTGAGGTGATGGGAGTAGGGTCTGTAATGAAAAGTGAAAGTTGAGACATTCATAAACAAAAGAAAAATTGGGTAAGGGACGGATGGGCACTAGTTTATATTTTAGGGTATTCATAGCCACAATAGTAAAATGTATGGTATGAGACATGAAGGCTTGGTGCCCTAAAGTATGAATTAGTGAGATTAGAAGAGAGTGACTTCTTGGCATCACCGCATATGCAAATTTATTTATATGGTATGGTTACATAACTTATGTATCTTGTGTTGTTTGATGCATGATACTATAATTAACTGTGATAGCTGACCTTGAGGTGTTTGATGGTACTCTACTGGGCATTAGAATGTACATACCCTAATAAATTGTGCAGGATTCAAGGCAAAGTTTAAGGAAGCAAGTTTCAACGAAGCTACTAGGCCTTTATTGTTGAATTGTGTAATTAGTATTTGTAAGTAGTCAACCGTTTGTTAAGGATCTTAGTGTGTATTTAACTATGAGTTAATGTGACTCTGATTATGTGTTGTTAAGTAAATTTGTATTATTTGTGACTCTATTTCTCATCATATCATGGTTGTAGGATTTTATTCTTATGACTATGGTATGACTCACATCCTAATTCGGGAAAATTCCTTATTCTCAAATCGGGTCGTGACACGAGCACCCTTCAAAATAACTTCCCTCCCCTCCAAGATGCTCGACTAGGCCCAAGCTCCTTCCAACTTATCCAGTGTATCTTCTTTGAATCACCCGTTTGCCCCCACCAGAAATTAGCAAGAACACTATCAATTTCCTTGCATAGACCCCCAGGGAAAAGGAACACTACCATCAGATACATAGGGATAGCCTGCGCCACAGATTGAATTAACACTTCTCTTCCAGCCTAACAAAGGAGTCTATGATGCCACCCTTGCACTTTGCTCATAATTCTATCTTTCACAAAACATAGGACATCTGTTTTTGATCTACCCCTCATGGCTGGGAGACCTAAATACTTCCCCAAGTCCATTGTAGTGTTGACTCCCAAAATGGCTTGCAGCTGGGCACGTATAGGCACATGAGTGTTAGGACTAAAGAACATGTTCGACTTCTCAAAATTCACCAATTGTCCAGAGGCTTGACAATAACACTGAAGAATTCTCTCCATTACTCAACAATTTTGATATGAAGCCTTGGGGAAGAAAAAGGAATCGTCCGCAAAGAAAAGATGTGACAAGGTTGGACCCTCCCTATTGAATTTTATTCCTTAAAGAAGGCCTATGCTCACAACACAGTTTATCATTGTTGACAGCACATAATTTATAATAATAAATAGATATGGGGAAATGGGATCCCTCTGTCTTAGGCCTCTTAAGGGTTTTAAACTATTACCTGTCTTGCAGTTGATAAGAACCACAAATTCTACCGAAGTGATGCAGCTCATAACCATTTGGACCCAAGCACTAGGAAAACCCATCTTTTCCAGGACAGCTCTCAGAAAATCTCACTTGATTATGTCATACACCTTATTCATATCCACCTTCAACCCCATTTCAAATATTTTTGTCTTCCTTCGGATCTTCAAAGAATGGAAAGCTTCGTGGGCAGTCACGATGTTGTCCTGGATTTGACAATTTTGAATAAATGCGCATTGTTGTGGAGAGATAATGTCAGGCAAAAGCAACTGCAACCGATTTGCAAGAAGCTTGGAGATGATTTTGTAAGAGAAATTGCATAATGCAATGGGTCTGAAGTGGGTCAACAACTCCCGCTGTAGTGTAACATCTCGTCCCGAAATTTAATTTAATTTTCAAAATTCTGAAGTGAAATGATGACTTTAACCTTAGGGTTCCTTTGTGGTTTAGAGTTGATTTTTTGCTCGGGGCTAGTTTTGCAAATTTTCTTGGTTCTGTTGCATAGTGCTTGAGCTTACGAGTTGTTAGACAAGCGGCACACCCAATTATGAGTTGTAATAAAGGAGGAAATGTCTAGAAACAAAAGGACGTAATGAGAATTTTTAAATTTATTACTGCTACAGTAACCGGGGCTGCTTTTTATTTTCTCATTCTTCTTTCTTCCCCCCCTCCTCGGGACATTTCTTCTTCCTTTTTTCTCTCGCGACAGTCACTATAGCAACAGTGATTGTTCGACTTCCCGACCACCAATCGACACCGTCCTTACACGAAAAATGTTCAACACACCCATATAAAGGCCAACGATTTTGGCCCTTTTTCACCCATCTCATGCCACTTTTTGGCTGGGGTTTGAGACCAAAAGTTGCTCCTCTTGTTAGTATGAATGAGTTGGTTTAGGTATTAGCCTATGGTTTGGAGATTTTCCATCGTCGGATTTAACAAAAAATCTCTCGAGCCACCCACCGCTGTCGATGGCGCGTGGGCCATTGTGTTCTAAAATGTTCCTCACGTCGTCCCGAGCATGAGGTATGCTCATATTTGAAGTTGGTTACCGTTTGACTATCAAATGGATATTGCACCTATTATGCAATATCCGAATTCGATAGGTTCGAATCGTTCAATCGGTTCCAATTTCAATTATGTTGTTCTATGTACCTCTAGGATCGTGTAAGAACTTACGGATTGATAATCGGAGTCTCGGATACCCCGAGTCAATGATTCTAGGGTTAGGCGAACCAATCGTCATCCAGTCTAGTTTTTTAAAACGGGCCTCCTAATGTTATAATTTAGCATCAAAGCCAAGTAAATTTACAAAACCTACCACTGACTCAACACAGCTTCAACCTCTGTCTCTCTTGATCATTGAACTACCAATAATTTTTTGCTTAGAGACTGTGAGTGGAGGAAAGAACACTTCAAAATCAAAGCTAACCAAACTCTCCCCCCAAGCCAAGCTCTAGCAACTCCTTTCACTAAGAAAATGTCAATTGCTTCTCACCTTGCTCTCTCAAATTTCAGAAAGGCAACGAATGATTTGTTGGTTGCTGAGGAAAATTTCAATGAAGCAATGAACATTGCTCTCTCATACAACAAATTTTTCATCAAATCTGAAAAGGAAACTCAATATGAAAGAGATGGACACTATTAGCATGAGAGAATTGTTCCTTCAGATCATTCCATATGTTGGACGCAACATCATTATAAATAATGCTCGCACCAATATCCGGGGAGATGGAATTGAGGAGCCAGCTCTTGACGAGATTGTTACAACGTGTCCACTGTTAGAGAGTTGTGGAAGAATCACGCAGAGGCTTCTTGAGGGTGCCATCGACGAAACCTTCTTTGTTCTTGGTGTTGAGCACCATGAGCATGGAGCGACTCCAGGTTGGATAATTTTCATCATTCAAGAGTTGTGTGACAAGGACAACCCCTGGTTGATTGGAGTGATGAAGGTAGAGAGGATTATTAGGATCATCATACTTAGGTTGCTCGGGCTTGGCTGAGGCTTGAAAATCATATTTGGGTTGCTCAGGCTTGGCTGAGACTTGAGGTGATTCGCTGTCGCTGATCACCATGGAGGTTAGCGAGAGGACAGGCTAGGGTTTAAGTTTGTGTAGGATTATTGGTAACCTTAAGCTGATGATAAAATGATAGAATTGGTAATTCGTATATGTTCATATATTTCATAATGTGGTACATAACCTTTATACAAATACAATAGCCAATTAAGATGCTTAAAACTAGCCTAAATGAGCTATTCCCTCATGTAAACGTCTATAAAAAAGGAAGGAAATAAACTAAATATCTATACATATCAATGATCAATATTTAGAATCAATCATGTTGATTTAGTTGGGATTTTATGCTCCTCAACATACTACGTTTTTAAAATTACATTTCCTTTTATTCAATAATGAATAAAATCCACATTTTTCATCTTCTTTCACATTTTTTAAGAGAAAAAACAAAGTTAGATATCGAGCAAACTTTCTTGGAAACTTTTTCCACAAAAGAAAACATAAGTCAAAACAAAATCAAATCAATTCTAATAAGAAATTGTCACCGTCTGAATTGCAAAAACATTAACGTTCATCCAAAACTACACTAAAATAAACAAATCCACAGCAATCGCACATTTATGCAAAATAATAATCAAAATCAAAATCAAATAAACAAACACTACCTGCTTGTTGTAAATATTGAAGTAGATGTTAAATAGGTACCAGAGGCCAAACAACGTCCCGAGCTCAAGCTTTTTAAACGCGCTGCTAGACTCAAAGCTCTCCTCGCTACCTACGTTTTAAAGGAACGGAAGTCTATGGCCTGAGCTTGAAATTAGAAGAAGATGAAGAGAGAGACCAGGATCGGCGAGGTAGAGAAGCAGATACGGTACCATTCGTAAGAGACATGAGATTGTTAGGCTTCGAAGAGGCTGATGCACGTATAGGATCAAATCTAGGATTCAAAGTTGTGCTGGATTGTCTCCGAGGCTTCGGAAGCGAAGAGCAGAAAGACAAAACGAAATAGGGAGATCGAGATAAATAAAAGAAATTTTCATTTCATTTAAATATAACCCCTTACATTTCCTTTTTCTTTCTTCTTTTGGATAAGTGATCCTTCTTTACAATGGGAGACCAGCTACAACAACCAGAAACTGCCTTAACCTAAGCCTTAAGCGGTTATTACAATGGCAGCAACAGCCAGAAACTACCCTAACCTAAGCCTTAAGCAGCTATTACAATGGGAGCCTGCTACAATAGCTAGAATTGCCCTAACCTAAGCCTTAAGCGACGCCTACAATCTACTTTTATTTCTATTTTTGTCTTCTCTTCTCCTTCATCCTCCTCTTACTCTTGGTACTCAGTTGCATTCATAGCCACCATCTTGAGTTTCATTTTCTTTACTTTGTTCTTCATGTGGCTTGGCTCCAAAGCATCCCTCTTTTTTTTCAATCACTGTGCGACTCATAGAACTTGTGTCCCATTTTGCTTTCTTCGCAAGTTCGAGACTAATTGGTTGGGAGGTGTTTGTGGCTTGGTTATTTGATTTTAAATTGGTATTTTGCTTCAAGATTTTTATTAATTGTTTATGGAACTATTATTCTATCGCCTTTACTTTCCCAGTACATATATTTATGTTTTATTGTGCGGATTTGGGTTGAGTTAATTTTAAATGCTTGGTGATATGTTTATGTTTATTTTTATATATGTGTTAAATCGTTTGAAATTGGAAATATTGTTGCCTTCAAAAATATTGATGTCTTAGGAAATATTGATGTCTTCGGACATACAGTTACCTTTGGAATGTCTTCAGACATACAGTTTCCTTCGGAATCTCATCGGACATACGGTTGCCTTCGAACATATAGTTGCCTTTGGATTGTCTTTGAACACCTCAGTTGCCTTTAGATTTGTTTACGCACATATGACTTGCCACACGAGTATCAAGGACGCCCGAACTGTATTGTCACGCTCCAACCCTCGGATTTACAAAACCTTGGGTTAAGATGTGATTCACACCTTAATTATAGAATTTAATAAAAACTATAACTAAAATGTGAAGAAAAACATTTAAATAATAAAATAAATATTTCACATAGAATATTCAACGGAAACGCGGAAATGACAACATTTGAAACCTTAAAAATTTTACATTATTTTACAATTTAGAACTACTCGAGAGTTCACTAAAGAGTAGCTCATTATTCATCCACAAGCTATAACACATTCTATAGACATGCCAAAATCAGCACAAGCTCTAGATTTCAGATTCGATACCTGCAAAATCTATTAGGGGGTGAGCGAAACCACAGGTCAGTAGGGACATAAACCTTTTTACGGTAAATTGATATAATTAAATTAAGTGACAAATAATCAAGCAGCCAAATTTCACATTAATAGTAACAATGCATGAATGTTCTTCATCTAAATCCCGTTAATTCATATAACTGGACAAGCAGACTTGCACGTCCCATACCATGCTTTTACCACTTGGTCTCGAATGCCCATTTATATGAACTAACACCCATGTCAACTGTCTCATAATTCCCCTTTTGTTAGTCATCTTGTCTAACTCCTTTTCGCCAGTCCCGAATCACCCAATAAAAACCATGTGCACTGTGGGATCCCTGAGACCTGGTACCTGCCAAGAGTTAGACTCAACTACAAAAGACTATTTCCATTACCCTTTTTTCCATCATTATTTTCTCAATCCAACAACTCCAACGATGATATAATTATATGCCGTCTATGTATCTGACAACAATTTAACATTTAAACATCACCAATGTACATATAATCATGCCCACATTATTCAAATAGTTAAGATTACATAAACACCCAATACAAGTACCACGCATAGTATAATGCTCACAAAATTTAATTAAATCAATCTCTGAAAAAAGGCCCCCAAGAAACCCCTGCCTTGTTTTGAAAGCTAACTCTAAGTTTAAGAAAACACACAAGCGATGACCTCTAACTCCTCCTGAGAATTTGATCACCACTTGTTTTCTTTCTTCTTTTTTATCTCTCTCTCTCTCTCTCTCTCTCTCTCTCTTGCTTTCTGTTTTATTTCTTAGTTCTATTGCCTCTACGCTTTTCTGAAGAAGGAAATGAGAATTGAAGAAAACAATGGTTGTATATATATAGGACTCCAAGGGCGGTATTTTATGAGATAACTTCAATGCTTTAGGATCATCTCCTTATTTCTTAAAGCTCAAGTAGCTTTTCCTTCACTCTAAGGCCATAGAAGGATAAGAAGAAATACAATGAAGACACGTATTGATGACTCAACCATTTAATTCATTGACATCTAATTAGTTTGCAAGTACATAAAACAAGTAGACCATCTAATGCATATTTGATTGACACATGCTAACTACGTGGAGTGTATAAACTCAATTACACAACCATGCATGAAATTCTAGATAGCTAAGGACAAAATCCTACTACCATTAAATAATATTAATATTAAAAGCAAGTTTTAAGAAAAATCATCAAAATTATTGAATTTGCATTAAGTGAAGCAAATAAAACATAGACTTCCATAAAATATTATAATTATAATTTAATACTTACCAAAATAAAATATTAACATTTTTAAGAATAAGGATTCTCACAATCTACCCCCTTTAAAGAAATTTCATCCTCGAAATTTATAACTTACTGGAATCAGAGAAAAAGTCTGGGTACTTCTTACGTATTTCAGTTTTTAATTCCCACTTATCTTCTTCTGTATTTCCATGTAACCAAAGAACTTTGACCAATGGTATTGTTTTTTTACGTAAAACTTGGTCCTTGTGATCCAAAATTTGTATTGGTCTTTCCTCAAATGACAGTTCTTCATCTCAATTGAGCTCTCCCCAATCTAGAACATGGGTTGGAACAGACTCATACTTCCGAAGCATAGAAACATGGAAAACATTATGTATATTCGAAAGTTGAGGTGGTAATGCTAGCTTATAAGCTACTTCACCAATCCTTTCTAAGATTTCAAATGGTCCAATAAACCTTAGTGCTAATTTCCAGTCTTTCCAAACCTTTTTACTCCTCTTCGCGGTGAGACTTTAAGAAATACATAATCCCCCACATTAAAACTTAGTGGTTTCCTTCTTCGGTCAGCGTAGTTCTTTTGTCGACTTGAGCAGTTAAGAGACTTTGCTTGATAAGTTTAATCTTTTCAGTTGTCCCCTGTACCAAATCAGGTCCTAGCAACACAGTTTCTCCTACTTCAGTCCAACATACAGGTGACCGACAAGGTCTTCCATATAAAGCTTCATAAGGTGCCATTTGAATACTAGATTGATAACTGTTGTTGTAGGGGAATTCTGTCAACACCAAATGATCTTCCCAACTTCCCCTAAAATCTAGAATACATGCTTTCAACATGTCCTCTAAAATTTGAATGGTTCTCTCTGACTGTCCATCAGTTTGGGGATGAAAAGCAGTACTAAAATTTAGTTGCGTACTCAACGCTTTTTGTAAACTTCCCCAAAATTTGGAAGTAAACTTGGAATCTCTATCTGAAACAATCGAAATAAGAATCCCATGTAAGAAATGTGCAAATTTTGTCAAACGATCCACTATGACCCATATTGCATCTCGACCCTTTGGAGATATAGGTAAACCTGTAACAAAATCCATGGTTATATGATCTCATTTCCACTCTGCTACTGGTAATGGCTGTAATAGACCTGATGGTTTTTGATGTTCAGCTTTCACCTATTGACATGTAAGATACTTTGCTACAAATTTTTCTATATCTCCCTTCATGCCGCTCCACCAAAAGTTACGTTTCAGGTCATGATACATCTTTGTCCCTCCAGGATGAATTGTATAGGATGAATGATGTCCTTCTTTCAAAACTTCTTTTCTCAGATCAGAAATTTCTGGTACATACAATCTATCCAAATATCTTAATCCACCGTCCGCATGGACATTCCATCCATCTGGTGTCTCTCCAGTTGTAATCTTAGTTCGAATGTCTTTAAACACATAATCAGATTCTTGTGCCTCAATTATTTTTCCAATCAAAGTGGGGTGAGTTACTAAATTACATAGATATGCACGATCCTGGTGCTAGAGAGATTCTACCATCTTCCACTACATTTGATCATATAAACTGGCTATGACTTTTTGGGGATTTCGACTTAAAGCATCTGCTACCACATTAGTTTTTCCTGGATGATAATGTAAATCAAAGTCATAGTCTTCTAGATATTCCATCTAACGCCTTTGTCTTAAATTCAACTCTTCTGAGTGAATAAATACTTCAAACTCTTATGATCTGAGTAGAGTTCAAAATATTCCCCATATAGATAATGTCTCCACACTTTCAATACATGAACAATGGCTGCCAGTTCTAGATTGTGCGTTGGGTAATTCTTCTCATGTGATTTCAATTGACGAGAAGCATAAGCAACAACTCTGTCAGATTGCATCAAAACACATCCTAAACCATGCAATGATGCATCAGTATACACTATATAACTTACACCTTTTTCTGGTATAATTAATACAGGAGCTGATGTTAATCGAGTTTTTAACTCTTGAAATGCTTCCTCACATTTATCATCCCAAATAAACTTAACTCCCTTTTGTGTCAACTTGGTCATTGGATTAGCTATCCGAGAAAAATCCTTGATAAACTTTCTATAATAGCCAACCAAACCAAGAAAACTTCGAATGTTTTCTACTTTTGCAGGATCCACGGCGATGCCTTCTTTTGAAATAACATGTCCTAAAAATTTCACTTCTGTCAACCAAAATTCACACTTACTTAGTTGGCAAATAACTTGTGTTCTCTTAATGTCTGTAGAACAATTGACAAGTGTTGTTCATGCTCTTCTTGAGATGATGAATAAATGAGAATATCATCAATGAACACAATCACAAATTGATCCAGATAAGGTCAAAAAACTCGATTCATTAAATCCATGAAAACTGCTGGAGTATTTGTCAATCCAAAAGTCATTACTAGGAATTCATAATGTCCATATCGTGTTCGAAATGCAGTTTTCGATACATCTTCTGCTTTTACTCGTAATTGGTGATAACCAGAGCGAAGATCAATCTTTGAGAAGTATCGAGAACCTTGCAGTTGATCAAACATGTCATCAATCCTAGGTAAGGGGTACTTGTTCTTGATGGTGATTCTATTCAGTTGACGATAGTCAATACACATCCTCAGACTTTGATCTTTTTTTCACAAAAAGTGCAGGAAAACCCCATGGTGAGGTACTAGGACGAATGAAACCTTTTCTTTCAAGTTCTTGAAGTTGTGTTTTGAGTTCTTTCAACTCTCCTGGTGCCATTCGATGTGGAGGTATAGAGATAGGTGATGTGCCAGGATAGATATCTATAGAAAACTCCACTTCACGTTCTGGGGTTAATCCAAATAACTCTTATGGGAAAACATCACTGAAATTCTTCACTATAGGAATAAGCTCAAGTTTCAGATCACCCAAATCCTTATCGGCCATATGAGTAATCAATCTCAAATAATTGCAATTTCTATTATCCAAGATTGATTCAGACTTACAACTATTCCTATTTCCATAAAAACTGAATGTTTTCCCCTCACTAACAGTCATAGTCACCATCTTTCTACCACAATCAAGAATAGCTTTAAATTGGGTAAGCAAGTCCATCCCCAATATTACATCATACACCATAAATTCCAATATCATCAGGTCAACAACAAAATTATGATGTAATATCTTTATTGGGCAGGATCTACACAACTTATTAACTTCAACACATTTACCCAATGGAGATCCAATCATCAACGAAGATTTCATAAATTCATATTCTAATCCAAGAAAAGATGCAAATGATACGGATATGAATGAATTTGTAGCTCCGGGGTCAAACAATATTCTAGCCCACGAGTTAAAAACTAGAAATGTACCTTCCACCACAATAAGTTCATTCGACTCTGTTACTTGTCCAACAACATATACTCGTCCTTGAGTGAGTTGTTCTGATTTCCTTGCTGTTCCTGGTGCCCTAGGCCTTTGTTGTGTAGGTTGTCCCCTCAGACGTTGTGTCTGTTGATTAACAGGACCTCTAAACTGATTCAGTGAATCTTGATATGGGGCTTGGTACGGAGCACGATACTGTGTTTGTGGAGCTTGAAATTGTTGTTGTGGTGTACGGAACTGTAATTGTGGTTGTGGAGTAACAGGTATCTGATATGATTGTAGCTGGGGACAATCCCTCCGGTAATGTCCTATCTACTGACAATGATAACAAAATCCTCAGTTTTGAGTTGCCTCAAATGATCTTGGATTTTGATATCGGGGACGAGAGGGAAAAAATCTTTGGCATTTGTTACTTTGTCCCCCGTAGGATTCTTAGTTTCAAAAACTCTCTTAGAACTAGGTATCCGTTGTTCGGCCATTAAGGCACGATCAACAACTTCAGCATAATTTTTTAATTTAAAAAGTTCCACTTTCTCCTTGACTTCTAGTCTCAACCCTTCTTCAAATTTCTTTGTTATTGCAGACTCATCAGGAATCATGTAAGGAGAAAAACGCATAAGTTCTTCAAACTTAGCTTGATATTGTCCCACAGTCATATCACCTTGATAAAGATTAGTGAACTCACGTACCTTCATGGTTTTCATAGTTTCAGGAAAATATTTCTCCAAAAATATTGTCTCAAAGGCAACCCAAGTTGCAACCTCAACATCAGGCATAGCCAAGACAGATTCCCACCAATGATAAGCTTGTCCTTCCGAATAGGTAGAAGCAGTGGTCACTTTCAGGTTTCCAGGAACTCTTTGTTCATTCATCTTTCTCCTCATTTGTCTTAACCATTCTTCTGCTACCATAGGGTTTGGATCACCCTTGAACACAGGTGGTCGTGTCTTATGAAATTCTCCTTGAATCCTCATTATTTGATAATCTTGAGTTTCTTGATGGGGTTCGTGATTATGTTGATTTTTCTCACGAATAGCAGAGGCCATATCTTGAATGACTAACATTATTCTCATACTATCACTCACATCATTCTCATTTTGTCCTTCTACTCCAGCCATCTTAATAATTAAACCTTGATACCAAATAATTCCACAAGATTAAAAAAAATATATATATATATATATATTTATATATAAATAAATATTAAATAAGCATACTTGTCATACGTACAGCATGAGACACACAATGATAGATGCCAATAATAATAAAAAGTGTCGATGCTAACGAAATTTAGTGTGGATTCAAATAGACTAGTGAATTGAAGAGTTAAGTAAATAAAATGACTGAATGCTATACGTGTTAGCAATGTATCAATTAAAATAATAACAAGCACCTTAACACATTCACAATACGAAGTATGAGAATGTTGCATGCTATATTTATGAAAACTCCAAACTATGCTAAAATGTACACAAGATTTTAATAGAATCTAACAAAACTAAAAACTGCCACTAGTCTTTGTAAGTTAAATGCAAACCTATATGATACAGTAAAAAGAATTGCTAGTGTGTAAGCTGATGAGTTGCACATAACTGAGTTTAGGTTAAATCACTCAATATATCAAGATCAGAAATACTGGCATGATACAAAAATAATTGTTTGAAGTAATACAGATTATGAAAAAATGAAATTGACACTTAATTAATCCATATATACACACACACACACACACACACACACACATATATATATATAAGCATTTATAAATTATACGAAAAAGAAATATTATAGAAAATCAAACATGCTTATTAAACATTTATAAGTTGTTTACAAACCAATTTCACAAAATTTAACAAAACAGTCACAAACCTATGTTACAAGGAACTTTCCATTTTAAAACCTCCATAAGGCTGCCTACCAAAAACTATACATACCAAAGTCAGCTGTTAGACTTACACTATCTTATTAGTCAGACTTTTGAGAGAATCTATTCATCATCAGAACTAATATCTATAACTTCAACATGAGGGATAACGGGCTCAGGATATTCATTTTCATCATCAGAACTTATATTGATGATAGTTGGACTAGGATTTTGTGGTTCAATGATAACCGCTGAAGCAGCTGACACAACAGATTCAACAGATAGAGCATCAAGATCCAGAAGTTCCAAATAGGCTTCATCTCCTGGGTCTGGCACATGGGGTAAGTTTATGTCCTGTGGTTCTGGAACATAAGGTAAGTCTATTCCTGGTGGTGGCCACATATCAGCAGCAATAATTGCAGCATATTCTAACACTTGGTTGTAAGAGTGTGCTTCAATATTTAATGATATTGACTCCTTATCTTATTGGCCTGCAAACAATGTCTAACCACAAGTCTTTGCATTTCTGGTGTATAAAACATCCTTCTATACCTTGTCTCTACAACTTCATTAACGACGTCCACATAGGCTTGGTTACGTAGACGACTATGGTATACTTCTTCGTCTATTGGGATAAGGCCTTCGGGTCCCATTTGGAACCCTCCCCATGTATCATTACTCTGATCGGGTTGCATCCTAAACAATAATTTAACAAGTCAGTGAATAACAAAACAATTTAATGAAATCATAAAACTATGCTCTGATACCAACTTGTCACACCCTAACCCTCGGATTTACAAAACCTTGGGTTAAGACGTGATTCACACCTTAATTACAGAATTTAATAAAAACTATAACTAAAATGTGAAGAAAAACATTTAAATAATAAAATAAATATTTCACATAGAATATTCAGCGGAAACACGGAAACGACAACATCTGAAATCTTAAAAATTTTACATTATTTTACAAGTTAGAACTACTCAAGAGTTCATTAAAGAGTAGCTCATTATCATCCACAAGCTATAACACATTCTATAGACATGCCAAAATCATCACAAGCTCTAGATTTCAGGTTCGGTACCTGCAAAATCTATTATTAGGGGGTGAGCAAAACCACAGCTCAGTAGGGACATAAACCTTTTTACAGTAAATTGATATAATTAAATTAAGTGACAAATAATCAAGTAGCCAAATTTCACATTAATAGTAACAATGCATGAATGCTCTTCATCTAAATCCCGTTAATTCATATAACTGGACAAGCAAACCTGCACGTCCCATATCATGCTTTTACCACTTGGTCTCGAATGCCCATTTATATGAACTAACACCCATGTCAACTATCCCATAATTCCATTTTTGTTAGTCATCTTGTCTAACTCCATTTCACCAGTCCCGAATCACCCAATGAAAACCATGTGCACTATGGGATCCCTGAGACCTGGTACCTGCCAAGAGTTAGACTCAACTACACAAAAGACTACTTCCATTACCCTCTTTTCCATCATATTTTCTCAATCCAACAACTCCAATGATGATATAATTATATGTCGTCCATGTATCTGACAACAATTTAACATTTAAACATAACCAATGTACATATAATCATGCCCAAATTATTCAAATAGTTAAGATTACATAAACACCCAATACAAGTACCACGCATAGTATAATGCTCACAAAATTTAATTAAATCAATCTCTGAAAAAAGGCCCCCAAGAAACCTCTGCCTTGTTTCGAAAGCTAACTCTAAGTTTAAGAAAACACACAAGCGATGACCTCTAACTCCTCCTGAGAATTTGATCACCACTTGTTTTCTCTTGTTTTCTTTCTTCTTTTTATCTCTCTCTCTCTCTCTCTCTCTCTCTCTCTCTCTCCTCTCTCTCTCTCTCTCTCTCTCTCTCTCTCTCTTGCTTTCTGTTTTATTTTTTAGTTCTATTGCCTCTATGCTTTTCTGAAGAAGGAAATGAGAATTGAAGAAAACAATGGTTGTATATATATAGGACTCCAAGGGCGGTAGTTTATGAGATAACTTCAATGCTTTAGGATCATCTCCTTATTTCTTAAAGCTCAAGTAGCTTTTCCTTCACTCTAAGGCCATAGAAGGATAAGAAGAAATACAATGAAGACACGTATTGATGACTCAACCATTTAATTCATTGACATCTAATTAGTTTGCAAGTACATAAAACAAGTAGACCATCTAATGCATATTTGATTGACACATGCTAACTACGTGGAGTGTATAAACTCAATTACACAACCATGCATGAAATTCTAGATAGCTAAGGACAAAATCCTACTACCATTAAATAATATTAATATTAAAAGCAAGTTTTAAGAAAAATCATCAAAATTATTGAATTTGCATTAAGTGAAGCAAATAAAACATAGACTTCCATAAAATAATTATAATTATAATTTAATACTTACCAAAATAAAATATTAACATTTTTAAGAATAAGGATTCTCACATGTATGGTGCCGGGATTTGCTTTCTCAAGTTGAGTATATCTCCCTGTGCTAGGATTGCGTTCTCAATTGACCATTTGTCCCTAAGTCCTGCTAGGTGATGGATTATTTGCGTTCTCAAGTTGAGTATATCTCCCTAAGTCTTGCTAGGGGAATTAACGGATTAAGGTTGAGTATATCTCCCTAGGTCTTGCTAGGGAAATTGACGGATTATGTTTGAAGTACATCTATGTGGAAAATAGTGCAGTACAAACGTGTGGTATAATTAACATGATATTCTTTGCCACCCTTCTCATATTATCTGCATAGGTTAGGCCAGGATCCTTAACCACCTACTCGACTTGTCTACACAAGTAGATAGCTAGTTTCCCCTTCCCCTGTTGCCTTCAGATTTGATGATATTCCCATATACTCCTTGATGGGTGATTGCACTATGTGGATGGTTGCAGGTATGACTTTCAGGTAAAAGGTATGGTTATGTAAGTGTTTAGATGTACAATGATAAACTAATTGAACAGTTAGGTAGATAATTTCATAGCATGATATTCAATTATATAGCTTGTTGAAATCAAGGTAAATAATGATTCTAAATTTTATTGTTGGTTTCACTTTGAACATTTATGTATTATCTTGATTGTGATTTATGGTAGAAAGAACTACGTGTGGCTTGATCCCTTAATAAGGGTAGTAGGCAACCTAGGCTAACCTAGGTGCAGCCGAAAGTTTATGATTTGTCTATCATGTTCAGTTATACCTTATGCTTGCTGAACACTTGGGAAATAATTATGTTTGCTGTGCATGTAGATTTTTGGGTTTTGAGCCAGTTTAAAGGGAGGCTCTGTCAATTTTTTTGGGTAGAAGTCAAGCCCTAAAGTTGTTTTGAAATAAGGGCAAAAAGGGTATTTTAGTAATTTGGGCCGACACATGCCTAGTGTCGAATAGGGAGCTGGTTCATCATGGATTCCAAGGGAGAATTCAGGGCGGGTCCTTTCATGTAGGGTTTTAGGAATCAAAGCAATCTCGTTTTGTTTATCCACCATATATGACTTATACTTGCAAAGAAACTCTGCACAATTCTATAGACATCCTCACCCACAATACTCTAGGATTTTTTATTAAAAAAAAATACCTGAGAAACTATCGCGTCTAGGGGCTTAGAGGGCACCCATTTGGAAAGCAATAATAGCCTTAATTTGTCAAGCGTGACAGGCTCACAAAGTTGCTCATTCATCTGGTCAGAGATAACGGGGTTCACAAAAGCTAAGGCATCACCCAAAGGCTTCCATCATATTGAAAGAGTTCCTGAAAATGGGATTCAATTGAGGCTCTGACTTGGGTATCATTGGTTTCCCACTCCCCGATGGGGTTCAGGATTCTTGTGATTCTGTTCCTCCTTCTCTAAGAAGTATTGTTGTGGAAAGACGTAGTGTTAGAATCCCATTCTTGTAGTCATTTTATTTTGGATCGTTGCCTCCAAAACAGTTCCTCATTCTTCCACAGGCAACTAATCTCTTTTCCAAGCTGCTTAATTTGATCACTATTTGGCTCCCAATTCTGTTGAGCAGCATCAAGTTCATTTAATAACTCCTCAACTTTCTTCCGATTATTCAGGAATTTCCACCTACTCTACTCTTTAAGAGCCTGCCTACATCACCTCAAATGAATTCCCCAATTTGTATAGCAGTTTTTCCCTTACAAACCACCCTAACTTTGGTTAACTACCTCCTTACACTTAGGATCAGCAGCCCAAAAGGCCTCAAATTTGAAAGGTTTCTTATAAGGAAAACTCACTACCTCAGTCTTCACCAAAATTGGGCAATGATTAGAACCAATAGTAGGGAGGTGAGTGGCCACTATGCTAGGCCACATTTCCTACCAAGCCACATCAATTAAAGCTCTATCAAGCCTTTCATACACCACGAAACCATCTCCTCTCCTACCACTCCAAGTAAAATCCTGCCCTTTATCGCCCAAATCAATCAGCCCCATTTTATTGGTGAAGTCTAGCAAGTACCTTCGTTAATTTTGGCTAAAGACCCTACCTCCTTTCTTTTTAAACGCCGACAGAATCTCATTGTAATCCTCAATACATAACCAGGGTAGACCATTTGCACTAATAGCTTGATGAATCAATTCCCACCAATCATATTACTCCTCCCTATTAGGGGTGCCATAAATCCAGGTTGCATGGAATTCAATTCCATAATCACAAAACACCACTATTGAGTCACTCACAAAGCACATACCTCCAACAAGCCCACCGAATCAACATAGTAATCATAAGGAAAACCCATCTCTTTCCCAAGCTTGGACAATCTATTATGTTTTTTCTTGGTCTCCAAAAGAAACACAATAAAGGGAATTTTTTATTTAATGATCTTCTAAAGAGATCGAATTGTCTGGTTAGACCCCATCCCCTTACAATTCCAGGAAATGTAACTCATGGTCTTCGTATGGATATTTGAGGCTAGTCACCACCACCATTTTTAGTTTCCGAAAGCTCATTGTTTCCACCATGAACGTCTGCTTCATGCCTACCCCAATTCAGGTGCAAGTCTGCCTCCACACGTACATTAGTAAGCCTCACTTCAAAAAAATCAAGAACCCTTGCCTTGGAAGACTTTGCCTCATGTTTTCTAAATGGTCTGGGGCTTTTGAACTAGCAAGTAGTTCTAATTTTTCTACCTGATTTCATTCTAGAACCCTCACTAGTCTCTTCCTTCTTTGAGAGTTTATCCCTTTTCCTCATAGACCACACTGGATCTGCATCTCTTTTGAAACTCATCCTTTCAAAAGCTAAGTCTACACACTTCTCAAGCCCATAACGATAAGGCTTAGGGATGGTATCAAAGAGATTTTTGAAATTAGGCTCCACTTCACTTCGGGTATCATTTGAGCCCAAATCGTAACTTTGTTGGCCCACCTCTTTATGCCCAGGGAGGGACTAATTAGTGACATAGTGTTGCCCAAAAGCAATCTGTGAGCATGCCCATTAGAGAATAAGTGTGGTCCTCCCTTCGAGCCAGGCCCAAGTGCTTGGGTTGTTCTCATTTACCAAAATAGCCTTATAATTACATTGGGAGTCTAACTCACCCTTGCCATCTGCACGTCGTCAGTTAAAAAATTGTAGTTCTAGCTCTTGTTCCTTCTCATTGACAACTTGCTTGCCCTTGTCAAACTGCTGCCTTCTTGGAAACCTACATATTGCAAAAGAAGTAACCATTAGGTTGCTTGGTATTAAACTCTGCCCAGCATTCAAGGTATGTCCTTCCCCAGTATTTACAGGTTGTTGGACTGTGTGCCCAGAGAATCTGGAACTGTCACCATCATCCTGCCTCTCTGCACTTACCTACTGAACACGTGTGATTTGGATGCCCTGAAAAACAATCCCAGTCGCACCCGTTTTTCGTCGAACACCACGGGGTGTAGGCAGCGTAGATGGTCTCTGATCATCACAAATCGCCCTCGCCTTCAACCAGTCACCATATCCAGCCAACTCATTTTCCTCCTCTTAAGCGACAATGAACTTACAATTGTTCTGATATGCCATAGTATGCCACAATTGAAGCAAAAGTCTGATTGTCTCTCGACCTTAAATTCCACCTAGGAATAAGGTCCCTCAGGCCTTAAGAGCCAGAACCCAGGGAGTAGAGGATGATGTGAATCAATCTGCACATGAATGCATAGCCCCTGAGGCTTTTCCTTCATGGGTCCTCCACTGGACCACTATCCCCAGCTTCTCTTATATCTTCAAAGCGTTGCCTATGGTTAACAGGTTCATGAGGATGTTGTGCTTGTATCCAATATACAACCAAATGAAGAGGCATTTCTTCATTTGCAAGATTATTTGGCAAGCAGTGGACAAAAAAACAACAACCCACAACCTACCACGGCCTTTCATCAACAATTGAATCCTCCATGCTTTCATCCTGTACCATTATGGTAAAGACATTGTCCTTTAAATATGAGATTTTAGCTTCATCATAGTCAGCCCAGGCTTTAGTGAGAATATTTTTATTGCACCACAGTTTGGGATCTTGTCAGCTATAATGGTCAAAATCAACTTTATCACCAGCTCTTCAGCACGTTGATCTGCCATCACATAAAAAGACACCCAATAGATTGCTGACAGATGTTTAGAAGGTTTTTGGAATATTAAGTCTGGCCTACTCTATCTAAACACCAGATTGCTTTGTGATTTTTCCTGCCAGGAAACCACTTCCTTCACCAATGGGCTCCAAGAGAATAAGAAATGTTTGTTGTCTTGTTAAAAAAAATTACTCCACCATTTGTACGAAGTTTGTCTACCTAAATTTACACCCAATTGAGCCAAATCATTGCTCAAATCAGGTGGGTGGCCCTCATAAATCTCACCAAACATTATCAATAGACTTGTCATAACACCTTTGTCAGACCTTAGTTGAACCACATTATCTTCGCCAAGTTTCGTTCGAGATATTGCGTAAGATTCAAATCTTATAGCAGTCCCATCAACATAAAACCCAACCTCACATTTGTTGTTTTCCCACTGTTTTTAAAACTCACACCTTGGTAAGGGAACTCTCATTGTAGAGAGAAAAGCTCTCAATGTCACACTACACAACTAAACCTCTAGGCCTAAGTATTCTAAAGAAGATAAGTTGCTGGTTAGTATTCTGAAGCTTCAAGGCTTCTCTCTCGTTTTTATTGCTCAACCATTCTTTATATAGGTGTTGCTGCTTCTTTGTATTTTGGCTCTGAACAATTATTGAAAGCCTTCACTTTCTTTTTTTGCTCAAGTTCATTTCTCCCTTGCTCTCTCTTTAATTGTTGTGTGAGATTATTGTATGTTGGTTTGATTCAGGAGTTAATCTGCCATGGGGTTGTGTTTCAATTGTTATTTCCTACATCTAGTATCAGAACTTAGGCTCAAGATGGATGGCAAAGAGAAATGAGTTTGTGTAGTGCCCAGTGGGTAAGTTTGATGGGAAGGGAAACTTCCAGTATTGGCGTTCTCATATAGAGCTTTTCTTCAAAGTCATGGAGTACACAGATGTTGTGATAAATGGTTCAACGATCCAGGAGATCAAGCCATCCTCACACAGAACCAGAGAGAAGAGATGGTGAAAAATCGAAAGAAAGATAGCAAGGCCTTGATGTATATCTTTGGTGGAATTGATCCATTAGTCTATGAGAATATTGCACATGTCTTTACATCTAAGGATGCATGGGATGTGCTAATGAAAAGCTATACCAGAAGAGAGAAGGTATACAAGGTACGGTTGCAGACCTTGAGGAGATAGTTTGAACTTCTGCAAATGGATATTTCTCACGTACCTTGTCCTTGGCTAATCAGATGAAAGCCAATTGTGATGATCTGAAAGAGCTCCAAATTGTGGAGAAAATTCTTCAAACCTTGACAGACAATGTTGAAAACAAAGTTACAGTTATTGAGGAGACACATGATTTGAGTACCTTACGAGTGGATGAGTTGCAAGATTCAGTGCAACTTATGAGCAAAGATTGAATGAGAAGTCAAAGATTGGGATTGAAGAAGCATTGAAGGCCCAAATGAACTTGAAAAAGAATAAGAATGACGCTAAGAATGAGGAGTCCATCTATAAAGCAATATCAAATGCAAAGAATCATAACTCAAATTACATAAGGGGTTAGAACATATTTGAAAACAGCAGAGGAAGAGGCAGAAATATGGCCACTACAAAAATGAATGCAATTCTCAGAGATTTGAAAATAAGTGGCATCATGCTAAGGTTGTAAAGGATGATAAATGAAATGAAGAGACTTTGTTGTTGGCTTATAATGTTGTTAGTGATGATGAGAAAAACATGTGGTTGCTGAAAGCTGGATGCAGTCATCACATGTGTGGGCATAAGGACTTGTTCAGTGATTTGAATGAGTCTATGCAATCTGTGATCTCATTTGATGATCAAACGAAGATTCCATCCAAAGGAAAAGGAAGAATCACTATCAAGTTAAGGGATGGGTCGTCCAATTCCATATCAGATGTTTATTATGTTCCGGGTTTGTGCCATAATTTATTGAGCCTGGGATAACTATCAAGGAAGGGTTACGACATTCGGTGAGTCATGGACTAATAGCTAAGGTAAAAATGACTCCAAACATGTTATTTCCATTATATCTTAATTATCATCAATTACCTTGCTTTAGTTCAATGATGGATGGTGATAATTGATTGTGGTATATGCGTTTTGATCACTTAAACTTTAATAGTTTGAATTTCCTTGCTCAGAAAAATTTGGTTGCTGGTTTGCCTCCAATTTATGTTCCTAATGAAGTATATGAGACGTGTGTGATGGGTAAAAAAACACAGGGAGAGTTTACCTAAAGGAAAGGCTTTTAGAGCTATAAGACACCTTGAATTGATACACTCCGATTTGTGTAGTGTGGAAGTCGCTTCACATGATGGTGGAAAATATTTCATCACATTTACTGATGATTTCCGCAAGAAGACTTGGGTGTATATTTTGAAAAACAAATAAGATGTTTGCGACACTTTCAAGAATTTCAAGGCCGTTGAGAAACAAAGTGGTGAGAATATAAAGGTATTGAGAACTGATAGAGGCCAAGAATATATGGTATGTGATGAATTTTTGGAGAAGAATAGGATAAAACATCAATTGATAGCCAGGTATACGCCTCAACAAAATGGCGTGGTTGAAAGAAAAATAGAATAATTATGGATATGGTGAGATGTATGCTGAAATTTAAGAATTTACCTAAGTATTTTTTGGGCAGAGGCTATTGCTTGTGCTATGTATATTTTGAATAGGTCTCCTAATAGAAGTGTGGATGGAAGAACTCCCTATGAAGTGTGGAGTGGGAGGAAGCCGAATATTCAACATCTTCATGTGTTTGGATGTATTGCTTATTCTCATGTCCCGTATCATATTAGAAAGAACCTTGATGATAAGGCAGAAAAGTGCATTTTTATTGGCTACAATCTAGTCACAAAAGGCTACAAGCTCTATAATTCGAAAACAAATATAGGTTATAATTAGTAGGGATGTCATTTTTCATGAGCAAAGTGCTTGGGATTGGTCCTTGAATGAAAGCACACCAACAACATATTTTCCAGCAGCTAATAATTATTATTTTGGAGATGAGCAACTTGTAAATGAACTAGAAATTCAACCCCCAATGGCTCAATATGTAGCAGCCCAAGTACCACAAGAAGTTGAGTCAAGAAGACCACCAGGTGAGTGTTGATTGCCATCTCACTTCCAAGATTATCAAATAGGTACAGACAATGATGCCTCGGATGAAGAAATTGAGAACTTCGCTTTATATGCAAATTGTGATCCTCTATCATTTAAGGAGGCATGTGAACATGAACATTGGATTAAAGCAATGGATGAAGAGATTCATGCAATTGAAAAGAATGACACTTGGGAGCTTAGTTCTCTTCCAGAAGGAAAGACACCCACTAAAGTTAAATGGGTGTACAAGACAAAGTACAAGCCGAATGGAGATGTGGATCACTTTAAGGCGAGGTTAGTAGCTAAAGCCTACAAGCAAAAGCTACGTGTTGATTACTTTGAGGTTTTTGCTCATGTTGCTAGGCTTGATACTGTTAGAATGATTATGCTACTCATGCAGTGTGGATGAGAGAATTGCTTGGTGTTTTGCAACAAGAACAGAAAATTCCAACATCTATATTTTGCGATAAGAAGTCAGCTATAGATCTGTCAAAGAACTAAGTCTACTATGGAAGGACCAAACATATTCGTGTGAAAATGCATTATATTCGTGACTTGGTGAAAGATAAGGAAGTTGAAGTTCAATATTGTCCAACTGGAGAACATATTGCAGACATATTTACAAAAGGTCTCAAGACAGATGTGTTTGTAAAGCTGAAAAAGATTATGGGAATGATGAACTATAATGAGCTTGGTTTAAGAGAGGCTGTTGGAAGTTAAACCAAGCCCACTTTAAGCCCAAGCCCACTTTAATATTTTTAATTATTGTTGTAAAACCTATAGGCCTAAGTAGCCACTTTTGGTTTCTTAAGAAGATAAGATGCCGCTTAGTATTCTGAAGCTTTAAGGCTTCTCTCTTGTTTTTTTTGCTCAACCCTTCTTTATATAGGTAATGCTGCTTCTTTGTATTTTGGCTGTGAACAATTATTGAAAGCCTTCACTTTCTTTTTTGCTCCAGTTCATCTCCCCCTTGTTAACTGTTGTGTGAGATTATTGTGTGTTAACTTAATTCGCGAGTTCATCTGTTGTGAGTTGTGTTTCAATTGTTATTTCCTACACTTTTCAACAACCAAATGGATTATAAACTTACAAAACAATACAACAAACTGTGGAAGGGGAAGACTTCAAGACATATTAAGCCCAGCTATTTAAAATTCAATTACCATAATCAGATTGCAGCCTCCAAAAAAGCATGCAAACCAAGCCAGCTAAAGCTGAATCTCAATTATAGTACAAATTATCATCCTTTGTTATCAAAATTACTTTCAGCAACCACAAATTTATTCAAAATAACAATCAAACTCGAATCTTAAAAAGACCCAAAAGCTAATCACCTCATTCTTAACACATACCTGACCCAATTGAACCAAAACAAAAAAACCTAGAAGAATAAACATAAAAAGGAAACGAAAAACATGTTCAAATCATCCCTAATTTCCCAGATCTCCATAAACCAAGAAAAGTCAAACATAGCAAAAATTATTTTTTTTAACAAAAATCAAACAAAACAACACCACTCAAATCAAAAGAAACAGAATTTAAAGCTCCGTAGAGAAAGAGTAAAAAGATTTTTCCTTTATTTCTTTTATTTCTTTTATTTCTTGTAGAGAGAGAAAGAGAGAGGCCAAAAAAAGTACAGCATTAGCATAGCTGGGCTTAGGGGTGGGCATCTTAAACATAAATACTGAAACTGTACCCTAACCGCACCGTACCGTACCAATTTCATACCGTTTCATTTGGTATGGGGAGATTTTCAGTACCGTACCGATATAGTATGGTATGGTAGCGGTATCAAGATTTTGATACCGGTCAATACCGTACCGTACCGAATAGTACTGAAATTTAATTTAATTTTTTTTGTTTTTCATTCTCTCGCTGTCTCTATCTCTCGCTTGCCTCTCAAACTCAAACGCCAAAGCCAAACCCTCTCAGACAGAAACGCTCTCACTCTCAGACTCTCAAGTCAGCCCGTGCAAACTCTCCTCCATACCCAGACCCAGCTCTCTGTCTCTCTCTCAATCTCACTCGATTCAAGCTCTCTCCAAGCCAAATCCTTCTCATCTCATCTCGACCTCTCACTCGATTCAAGCTCTCTCTGTCTCTCACTCTCTCGAACTCGATCTGTCTCACTGTCAGTCTTTGGATTTCTTGATCTGTCTTTGTCTCACTCTCTTAATCTCTCGATTTCTCTATCTTCCTGATCTCTCTCAAGCTCTCAGCCCTCTCTCAGCTCTCTGGAATAAGAAGCATCCCCAAATCGACGAAGGGACAAATGGTAAGTTTGTTGTGATTTTTGTTAATTTATTTAGGGTTAATAAAATACGAATGAAGTTGAGGGATTGTGCTGTGCTGTTGTGATTTTTGTTAATTTTTTTTAATTTATTTAGGGTTTATGTTGTGTTGTTAATCCAAGTATAAAATAAAAGGCATGTGTAATGACAAAGTAATGGTATGGAATGCAGGACCAACCCCGTAAAACTTTTGTTGTTGTTTTGCTTTCGGGGGTCTGAAAACCTCTTCAAACTTGGTTTTGTGACATGATATCTAGCTTTATACAAATAGCATAACAATCTAGAGCCTTGTACGTACATGTCTTCTCCACTATGCAACTGTGCTTTTGCCATCATCTCTTTCTATTAAAATACAATGAAGAATTATTTCCTGGAGGATTATTTGACTTGGTGCCTGATGTTTTTATTGGTTGTTGCTGCTCTGTTTTTATCCGTCACAATGGCCACATGAGCTAAATTGGTTGCTACTCTATTTTTATTTGCATAAATTGGTGCATGTTGTGTTATAACTTATATGCATTGCATGTGAAGCAGAAACTTTATCTAAGGGTTTATTTTTATTTTGATTTTTGTTAATTCTTGTCATGCAGTCTCGATCAAGTAAGCATTAGGAGCACAGTGGGCTTGTTGTTTCTTCAATGGCAACATCACCAGGACCACCACAGTTTGCTGTGCAGCCGGAAGCCCAACCTTCTGAAGCTCATGTGCCTGAGCCAATGCAAGCCCTTGAGAGTGAAGATACATAAATGGTTAGTGAACTGAACTTAGATGGCAAAGGTAGAGGTAATAAGAGAAGTTGTGTTTGGGATCATTTTACACAATATGATGATATAAAAAAACTGTCAAAAGAAAGGATGAGGCCACAGGGAAGATGGTATATGTAGAAGTTGTGAATAAAAGAGCTAAATGCAGATATTGTCCTAAATCTAAACTTGGTCTTGGAGATTATGCATGTGATAGTGGAAAAAATGGGACTTCGGGAATGATAAGTCATATTAGAAAATATTGCAAATACTACCCACATAACCAAGATAAAACACAAAAAATCATCACTGGTGATAGGAGTCAGAGTAACAAAATGGTTGCTAGGGGGTTTTTGCAAAGCGATGTTATGGATGCATATGTTGAAATGATTGTGATTGCTGAGCTGCCATTTTCTTTTGTAGAAAAGAAAGGTTTTAGGAGGTTTTGTGGTGTTGCTTGTCCGATGTTTAAAGTGCCTAGTATGAGAAAAACAGTGAGGCAGTTTCTTAAAATGTATGATGCACAAAAACAGCAGCTGAAGAATGATTTAAGTGCACATAGGATCAACCTCACGATTGACACTTGGACAAGTGTCCAAAACACCAATTACATGGTACTCACTGCACACTTCATAGATTGTGATTGGAAGATGCACAAAAGGGTTTTAAACTTTTGTGTTATTCCTAATCACCAAGGCAACACCATAGGAGATCTCATTGAGAGTTGTTTATTACAATGGGGTATAGAGAAGGTTTTAACCATTACTGTGGACAATGCCTCTGCAAATAAAGTGGCAATTGATTAGATGAGATATAAAATGAACAAATGGAACAATTCACAAGCTGTTTTGGGTGGGAAATACTTACATATAAGATGTTGTACTCACATCACTAATTTAATTGTGTCAAGTGGGTTGAGGAAGCTGCAAAAATTTGTTGTGGCAATTAGGAATGCTGTGAGGTATGTTCGGTCATCTCCACAGAGATTGGATTATTTTAAAACCTCTATTGAGAAGGAGAAACTGACCTGCAAAGGTCTTGTATGCATGGATGTCCCCACAAGATGGAATTCAACATATATGATGTTGGATGCAACCTTGAAATTTAAGAATGCTTTTACTAGAATGGCAGAGGATTTGAACAACCCATTCATGGCTTATTTCAAAGAGCCAGATGAGGTAGTTGATGAGGATGGTGTAGTTCAGACTAATAGTAGGCAGTGTCGGGTTGGACCACCAACTGATGTAGATTGGAACAATGCAACAGTGTTTGTGAGGTTTTTGAAGATGTTTTATGAGGTGACCTTAAAGGTGAGTGCATCTTTACACCCCACAATTCATAAAACATTTCATGCAGTTATTTCCATAGAAAAGGAGATTGACAAGTTGTTTGTGGCACCTCAATTTGCCACTGGTTCAGATGCAGAGAAAGTGTTGACTGTGAAACCCTATATTTTTAATATATAATTATCTTAGTTAAATATATATTAATATGTGTAATTATCTTGGTACATATATGAAAATATTATTGTTATACTAATTATTATAATAATACTTATATATTTATATCTTATTCTATTATATATGGATATGTATTAATAGACCTTGTTAGTTGTCTTTGTCAATTCATAGGCCTTGTACGTGTCAAAGTGAAAACCATGTTAAGTAGCAAGGTTAGCCAACTCACCAAAGAGAAAAGGATATGATTGGAGGAGTTGGAAGAATCACAAAGACATTCTTCCTTATCTGCTATATATATATTACTTGGTTAGGAAGTATAATCAACCGCCATTACACTATCCAATAGGAAGTGTTTTACTGCCGACTTATTTCCTTATATATAGGACATTATGTGCATAGCAAATGAACCAAGAGAGAGAGAGAGAGAGAGAGAGAGAGAGAAGAAAAAGAAGAAGAAGAAAGAGTGGTGGTGAAACTCTTGGAGCTTGGTTTAAGTGATAGTACATGAAGATAGGTAAATGGTTTGTCTTGCCAATTTATTTTAAGGGCTCTCATTATCGAGGTGAGTGGTTTATGTAATGTGTTCTAAAAGTTCTTATTTTGTGATAAAATATGAAAACCATGAATTATCGTGGATTTGTTCTATTTACAAATATCTCTCTATTTCAAGTCAAGCATGTCTAATTTGGTGCAATTTTTCACACTATATATATTTTGACCGGAATATTTGTGAAGTATGTATTATTCATGGAACATGAGAACTTCAATGTTGGGGTATCCGAGGGATAGATGTACCACACGGGGACATAGGATAGTAAGGCCAGTAGGGGTCACGTGGTTGGTTACATGCTATGAAGGATAACCAAGATATGAAGGGATGATGTGATATGATCTGGATTGGTGTATCTTTTCATGATATTTTCTAGAGTGGGTAAAACGGCATTGCTTGACTAGCATATTACATAATTACTCACTGAGCGGTGGTTGCTCATCCCTCACTCTGTTTAATTTTTCAGATGAATTAATGGGCAAGACGAGGACTAAATCGATTGAGGCTGAATTAGATGAGAGTAGTAGAGCTATTTATTTATTGTAAAGTTATAAGATTTTGGAGCTATTTTTATAAGAGAAGTTCATTTTAAACCCATATTTCGGCTTTCTTTTCATTTTATTTTATTTTATTTATTTTCTCACGCACCGGGCGCGGGATTTCCACCTACCCCCGGGTCCGGGGCGTGACATTGACTGACATGGTTGGAGCTATAAGAACAAAATACAATAAGTATTTTGTTAAATATCAAGATTTGAACATGTTGGTGTTGATTGCACTTGTTTTGGATCCAATGTTCAAGTTGAGACGTATCACCCATCTCTTTAAAAAGGAAAATTTTGATGAGGATGATGTGCAAATAAAGATAAGAGAAGTGAAAACTGTGTTAATGGCTCTCTATGATGAGTATGTACCAAAGGTAGATGGTGGCATTCACATGAGACAACATTCTACCACAGAAAATGTAGGATCTGCAAGTGGTAGTAATAATATGGTTGGAGAAAGTGTAGGTGATAATTTTTTAGATGATTGGATTAGGGAGGTGGAAGAGAGTGATGAGGCTATGGTGTCACCTAAAGTTGATTCTTACTTGACAGATCCTTTGGCATTTGTTTCCAAAGAGACTTTTTTTGACATATTGATGTGGTGGAAACTCAATGGACCCAAGTATCCTGTCTTAGCAGCAATTGCGAAGGATGTCCTTTCAATTCAACCTTCCACAGTGGCATCTAAGAGTTGTTTTAGCACTGGTGGCAGAGTCATAGATGCATTTAGGAGTTCATTAACTCCTAGATCAGTGGAAGCTTTGATATGCATGCAAAATTGGTTGAGAGGGGATGAAATTTCAAGCTTGGAAGATACACCTTCAATTGAAGAATTTGAATTTTATGAAACCATTGAATCAGGTAAATTATTTTAAATATTGTTTGTTATTTATATTAGTTTGCATTGAATTCTTTCTAATAGTTCTTTGGGTAATTTGCAGAATATGCAAATGATGGGGATACTTGAATTCAAAGCTAGGGGCTGCAAATGAAGCTTGGATTGCATAACTTTATTTTTTTGTCATTTATGTTTGGATTTGTTTGTATTTTTGTAAGCCATAAGGCATAATTCTAACTATTTTGATTTGTAAGCCATAAGGCATGAGTTTTAACCATTTGGATTTGATGAATCTCTTTATGGATAAATATTGATTTGGTTGATTTGGATATTGAATATGTTGATGGATATTGAATATGTAGATTTGGATTTGGATATTGAAATTGAATATGTTGAATTGAATATTTGAATTTGTAACTTAGGCATCACTTATTTTGGTGTTGAATATTGAATTGGTTCATTTTTTAGTTGTATTATTTTGGTACCGATATCAATTTGGCACGGTACGGTACGGTACCAATTTTGGCAAACCATAATCCCATACCGTACCATATATATTTAAATTTCCTGTATCGGTAGCTGTACATGCTCAATACCGTACCGTGCCCACCTCTAACTGGGCTATCAAAAATAGTTTTTTAGTAAGGTGTACTCAGTTACGTTTAATTAGAGTTTAATATAGTAAGTATGATGTATTTATTAAAATTATATTTGTTTCACAATTCAATATATATTTTTTATCATTTTATATTAGAATAAATTAGTAATCTATCTATATATAGAAAGCAAGCAGAAAATGACGAAACATTCAAAAAACCTGATAATATCCTTGGTTAAGAAAAAATTGCCACGAGAAGAAAACAAATAACATGAGGACAAAATGGAAAATTCAACAGTTAACCAAAATATTAAAATATTAAATAAAATAAAAGATGATAACTGCACAAAAGAAGTTGTGATGTTGGTAATTGACACTTTTTACCACAAAGTTCTGAAAATCAGAACTACCACAATATATCTTCAAGCTTCAAACTCATTTGTTTATCTTCAAGCCTGATATCATATCCCATTAATCAGGTACAGATCTCTCTTTTCTGCTTTCTGTTCAATTTTATTCAAATATTATATTTTCTTTCTGCAGATTATTGATGAAGCAAGCATTTACTTTTGATTTTAGGTGTACGGGTCTCTCTTAATTTTGGGTTTTTTTTTCAGTGGAATCTTTCTTCAACTTAATCATATTTGTTAAATTATTCTTGCATGTTGTTGTGTTGTTTGTTGATCTGCTATCATGCTTGGGATTTTTTCTTATGATATTTTCATCTGTGCATACATGACTGAAATCAGATTTTTGGTTTCAGCCGCAGAGTGAGATATCATTTCGAGGGCTCAAAGCGAAGAATCTCATAAGCTTCTAAAATTGTGGCGGTGAAGAAGACCAAGAAGACACATGAGAGCATCAACACCAGGCTCGCTCTGGTGATGACGAGTGGCAAGTACACTCTGGGGGTACAAGACAGTCGTAACTCCAAAGGTGCGATTTACTATGATTTGGTTTCTTTGTATTGGGTTAGTTTTTTTATTTTTTTTTACTAAGGATTTGTTTTGTCTTGGGGCAAAATATTGCAGGGAAGTTAATTATAATTTCAAACAACTGCCCTCCTCTGCGAAAGTCCGAAATCGAATACTAAGCTATGCTTGCTAAGGTTGGGTGCACCACTACAAAAGAAGTAAGTGCTATATTGCCATATTATTTGGGTTTGCGTTATACTGAAAAGTTTAAAATGCTTTAGATGTTACCTGTTTGTGCAAGACTCTACCCCATTTTCTTTTCTGCTTTCTATTAAATTTATTCAAATATTATATTTTCTTTCTGCAAGTTATCAATGAAGCAAGAATTAGTTTTGATTTTAGGGGTACGTATCTCTCTTTAATTTTGGGGTTTTTTTTCTTTTTGAATGGAATTCTTCTTCGAACTAATCATATTTGTTAGATTATTCTTGCATGTCGTGTTGTTTCTCAAATAAGGGTTCTTCATCTGCTATCGTGCTTGGGATTTTTTCTTATGATCATTTCATCCGTGAATACATGACAGAAATGAGATTTTGATTTTGTAAGGATCAGAGAATTGTGCAGCAGAGTTTTGGTCATTCATTTCTTTTTGAATTTGCAATAGTCATGTTAATTGTATCAAGGTTTCTTCTTTCTGTTGGTGTGCTATTCATAGTTTTATACCAGTTATCGCACATCATTGGTCATGAATCTTTGCAACCTTTGAGTTGGATTTCTCTGATTACATCAAGTGCTTATTCAGAAAATGGCAATTGTCCTTTACACAAAGAATCCGACTGGAAAGAAGCTGGATATCATGACCACGGAGTGAGACTCCGTTTTCAGGCCACTTTTTTGGTGTTACACTCCAAATAACACAGTGCTTCCAGTTTTTTATTATGTACTGACATTGAGTCAGACAAGTTATCTGCCATTCATAGATGACATTTGGAATGTCAAGTGGTATTTTTGCTTTTCGAGTGTTGTATTAATTTGTTTGAGTTTTGGATAACATGTTATTTGTGTTAGATTTAACGTGTCAATTTCTGTTACAGAATTTTGAATCGTGCATTCTTTTTCCATGTAAGAGTATTGGGATGGATGCTTGGGCATTCTTCTCATTCTTTTTTCCACTGCAGATTATAAGCTTAGATGGGTCTGCTTCAAGAAGCTTTGTTATATTCATAATCAGCAGTTCATTTTAGTTGCTTGCAGTTTTTCGGTGCTCTCCTCTTCACCTCTGCTATTCTCATTAATTTATTTAGAGTTGTGTCCGGATTAAGCTTTGATTTTTGTTCTTTGTCTTTTGTTTTCTCAGGGGATTCTTTTGGCAGAGGAGTTGAAGGGTTAGAAGCAGTTAGGTGAAGAAAATGCTTTCTTTGAGTTACTTCTATTTCAACTTTCTGTGAAATTCCTTTTTCTTTTGACTGAAAACGCTCTGACCTTCTAATGCAGATCTTCTAAGAAAGCATTGAGTCTTTGGGTGACTATGCCTTTGTTGGTTTGTTTAAACTTATTATCTGTTTTGCAGATCAATAGCTTCAATTTTGGTTTATTAACAAGTGTCCATTTGGTACGTGATTTGGCAATAGAACATAAATTCAGCCACTATTCCTGTTTTCATTAGTTGATATTAGTTTTGTATGGTGACAGCAATTTGATAGGAAATTTGGTGAAGTTGATACGAGGAAGTTCACATTACTAGCAAAGGGTAGCTACGTCCTCATCATCACAATCTCCTCGTAATTGTGAACTTTTGTTCTTTATACTATCTATTCCATTTTGTTGTGCATAATGGATGAAGTCAAAAAATTTCAGAGAGGAACAATTAAGAGATAAAGCTGTGAAGCATTTAAGGTATATACATTACTAATATGATTGTCTTTTTGGTGATTTGGAGAAATAATTAGTATAGCTCTACTTTGTTTTTTTTAATTTTAAGAAAAGCGATAATTTTCTTTTTTAGTTACACTTAGAATTCTGAAACTTTAATTATTTACGTCAATTTGGGTAATTATCATCATAGAATTTGATTGGTTGTATTTTGAGGATCTCTCATTATTTGGTTGTTGTAGTTCATTCTAATTACTGTTTTTTTCTTTCTTGCTGTTCAAATTTTTAGATTGCGTAATTTTACGATTTCTCTTGCTTCTAATTTTTTCCATTTTTCCTATTGTAGGCGCATAAATTGCAAGGAAGGTTCACATCACTGCATTGGTTACTGAAAAGGAGTATGGATACATGTGAAAAAAACAAATAAAGGAAATTTGTACTGGATAATTTGTCTTTGTGCCAAAATCATGAGTTGCTTAGGTGAAATACAAATCTGTTTTTATTATTTGATTGTGTCTTCTGAGGGGTGGTGCCAAGTTTTGCGTTATTCACTGTGAAAGGAAAATCTCTTTGAGAAACCAAAGTAATTTTATATTTATTATGTTCTTAATAAGGGAAGCAAATTTAACCTTTTGGTGAACCGTAATTCTAGTATATTACACCACCTAACCTCACCATTTAGCTAACCCTATGGGCTTAAACATATGAAACAATATATGACAATTAATATAACAAGATATAACTAGTGGTGCAAGTGGTCTTGATCGTTGTATGTCTTACTACTATATGCATATTACGTAAATATTTATGTACATAATCTAAAACTAATGTTGTGTAGAATGAAAATATTATTTTACTTAAATTATTTGAGATTTTCCTATTAATGTTGGATTTGCTTTGGATAATATTAATGTGTGGGTAATTAATTGAATAAGAATCCCCCTAGCCCCTAAAGTTCATTAGACTAGCCTCCTTGCAGGGGCTTCAGTGCATGCGAGAGACTTTTTTAATCAGGTGCGCTACGCGCGACTTCCAAAGTTTTTTTTTTTTCACAATTGTATTTAAATAGATGTCAGTTTCAACAGTTTCATATTTTATATATATGGACGATAAATCGTCTTCTTAAAAGTTTTCCTTTATTGCCCGTATTTTTCTAGAAGTCCATCTTAACAGTTTCTTTTTTTTTCTTTTGTAGTGTGAAAATTGTTAAGATGGATGTCTAAAAAGATACGGGTGATGGACATCTAGAAATATACGAGCGATAAGGGAAAACTTTTAAGACGACGATTTATCACACACTCGATATTAAAATATGAAACTATTGAAACGGACATCTATATAAATACAATTGCGAAAAAATATTTACAAAACTTTGTAAGTTGCGCATAGCTCGTGAAAAAGCCTCTCGCACATTCGGAAGTGCATGCATAGAGGCGAGTTCAATAAATAATTTTATAGCAGAATTTACTCAGTTAATTTTAGGGAGCTTTAGTAATATACCCAAAATGGGACCTGAATTTATAAAAAACCCCCACATAGAATACACTTTATAAACACACCCAAAATCCATTTATTATATAACAAATTAGTGTTCAAGTTCCTATAAATTACAGGTCTGCCACTACCAAGCCCAACACCAAACAAACTCAAAAGACACCCAAAACAAACCCAGCCCAAACTTATAAACAAGCCCAAACCGTAACTTTCGTCCAAAAAAAAAAAAGTAAACCGTAACTTAAAAAAAAGTAAACTGTAACTTCCAGCACGCGCACTTTCATTAAACGTTCTCTGCAAAACGTCTCTTCACTTCACTCATCGTCTTCATCAAGTCAAATCGTCTTCATCAATTCGTCTTCATCGTCGTCGAAACCGAGACTCCATAACCACCACCAAGATTGATCTCGTTTCAAAAACAAACTCCAGACACTGACCAAGACAAAATTTCAGAGAACCATTTCAACAAGAAAACGCTTCAAAGGTAAGACATTTACAAACCAAACCTTTACTGTAATATTGATTATTTGCTATAAAGATCCAGTCTAGGGTAATAACAGTATTTTAGATTCGAATGAAAGACAAAATCTTGAAACTATATTGGATTTCACTATAGGACTGACTGCATAGGACCATTACTCTAGTCACTAATTTAGCGGCTAGCATGCTGATTAATGGCTATAAAGTTCCAGTATATGGTAATAACACTGATTGTTCCCTATGAAATACTATTTCTAAGGCATGTCTACCACTGTCAAGTTCCAGTATAGATAAAGTTCCAGTATATGGTAATAACACTGATTGTTCCCTATGAAATACTATTTCTAAGGCATGTCTACCACTGTCAAGTTCCAGTATAGATAAAGTTCCAGTATATGGTAATAACACTGATTGTTCCCTATGAAATACTATTTCTAAGGCATGTCTACCACTGTCAAGTTCCAGTATAGTTCCAGTATATGGTAATAACACTGATTGTTCCCTATGAAATACTATTTCTAAGGCATGTCTACCACTGTCAAGTTCCAGTATATGGTAATAACACTGATTGTTCCCTATGAAATACTATTTCTAAGGCATGTCTACCTCTTTCAAGTTCCAGTATGGGGTATTAACACCGATACTTTACTGTCGTGTTCCTATTTCTAATGCAGGTATACCAATTAAAAGATGAAGAAAGAAAGAGCCAAAAGAAACTCCAAAACAAAAGGCCAACAGTCATCATCCAAAACAACAACAAACAAGAAGCCTAGCAGATGGGAGGACCCAAATTATGTGCAGATCAAGAGCAACATGCTCTCTTTTGCAACAACAATTGACAACATCAGACAGAGACTTGAACGTCGGCACGATGTCTTAACACTGCTATCAAAGACACCTTTTGGGCATTAATAGAAGCATATATCCAGAGAAGGTTAACAAAGGTAGAGTGCATGAAGTCTAACTACGACATTGTGAGACTCATACAAGTTTATGACACAAAGACAAAGAAGTTCAAGTTTAATGATGTTGACAGCGAGATGAAAAGCAATGATGTGGCTGAAATTTTTGGCTTGCCAAACAGTGGCAAGAAGTTACCAAGCACAACAACCTCAACAAGGCCAAAATTGCAGTTTGTAGAGAAATACTTCGCGCGGTATAAGAAGATAACAAAGACTTCAATTGATAAGTGCTTGAATTTAGCACTTGAAGATGAAACAGAAGAGGGTGCTATGGATGTAACAAGATTGATAATCCTACAACTCTTCATGACCAATCTATTCTGCAACTCTGGTTGTACACTTGCTTGGACATATACAACCACAATAGACACCTTAGAAGAGATGGGGAAATATAATTGGGCTCGAGGAGTTTTGGACTACATGTATTTTGGATTAGAACAAGCAAAGAAGAACAAGAAGGACAAAAAAAAGCAGCCAAGCGTGAGTGGCTGCCTAATCCTAATACTGGTAAGAACACAAATCTCCAAACTGCAAATTCGTAGCATTATTCTAATGATATGAATTGACACGTGATATTTCAAAAAAATATTGTGCAGTATTGGCTGTGTCAAAGATCTAACCTGCTCACTCCAATTCCTGGAAGAGAACAAATGACACCAGCTGCTGTCAAATGGAGTCTTCAAGAACTCAGCGCGAAGCTTCATCATCTAAAGAACAACCAGATAAAGGTACTCTTTCCTTTCAAATAATCTGCAGCTGATATGACAACATTGTTAATACCATGTCATGTACATACTTGTTAATACCATGTCATAGAAGTAAACTATGAATACCATGTCACAGAGGTAAACTATGAATACCATTTCATAGAAGTACACTATTAAAACCATGTCATAGAATTACACTCTTAATACCATGTCATAGAAGTGCACTCTTAATACTAACTCTACTCAACAAACAGATAAAAAGCACTAAAGCTCAAGAGCCAGATGATGATTCTGAAGAAGAGAATGAAGAGAATGATGATGATTCTGAAGAAGAGAATGAAGAGGAGGATGATGGTGCTGAAGAAGTGAATGAAGAGCATGATGATGATGCTGCTGAAGAAGTGAGTGAAGACAAGGATGATGCTGCTGAAGAGGTGAATGAAGAGCATGGTGATGCTGCTGAAGAAGAAAATGAAGAGGAGGAGGATGCTGAAGTGAATGGAGACCATGATGATGCTGCTGAACATCAAGTCCAGCAACACCACCAGGTACAAGAAGACCTCCAAAATGAAATCCCAGAATACCGGAATTCAACGTTGTTTGAGGAAATTGTTAGATCAGTACCAGAATACAAGGAGGATGAAATACAGCTTACAAAAGAGTATATGATGGCGATCAATAATGCTGCTGAATATTGGACGAAGAAAGGAGAGCATCAAAAGATCCGTGATGCAATAGCATCTTGCATTAAAAAGAATAAATTGATTCAGATGCTGTACAATGAAAAAGAAGAATTATTAAAGCATCAGCAGCAACTGCAGAAGATGGTTAAGGAAGCAGCACATCACAAGAAAGTCATACAATTAGATGTTCATCAGGAAAAATCCTACATGACAAAGCTGCAGCTAGAAAATGATCAACTTCTTGCAGAGAAGATTTCCTACTTGGACATTATTAATGAAAAGGAAGTTGTTATTGTCTCGTTGAGAGATCAAAAATTAGCGCAAGAACTGCAGAGTGAAGAGGATAAAGAAGAAAAGAAAGAAGGTGAAGCAGAAAATATAAAATCAAGAAAACCAGATTCCTCATTCCCTAAAGCAGAGACGAGAGCACAAAAGAGAAAGGCACAAAAAAAACCAGCCAAATCAAAGAAGAGGGCCAAAGGTTCATTCCTGCAATGGAATACATATCAGGTCTACAACATGCTGGATGAACTCTCACAAGAAAAGCTGAGAAATTACTGGAAAAATTCAGTTGATGGGTAAGGCAATGTGTTTCATTCATTTTCAATGCAAGATGCTATTATTGAACATGCATTAGAAAATAGGATTTTATTGTGTTATTACCCTATACTAGAACTTTACAGGGGGTAGACATGCATTAGTTATAGGATTTCAGAGGAATCTAGCAGTGTTATTACCCTATATTGGAACTTTGCAGTGATAGACATGCATTAGATATAGGATTTCATAGGATACAAGCAGTGTTATTACCCTATACTGGAACTTTATTGAACAGTTCTTTCAATTTTATTGCCATTTTTTCTAACTACAAATACTGTTACAGCACTGCTTTTTGGCAAAGGACAAGCATTTTGTTCAAAGATGACATACAAAGCTTATTAGGAGATACTGAAATTTATGGACAAATCATAGATGCGTATGCCGAGATACTTCATCATGATGAAAAGAAGGACCCTAAAAGACAACAGAATGCATACATCACGTGCTACGCATACGTAAGATCATAGCTATCCCATTACTTCTAGTAAAAATCACAAATTATTCATCTTCCTATACTTTTCACATTCTCTCTAATGCCGAAACTATTAATTTTGCAGAGGTATCTCACAGATAAAATGCACCCAAGAACATTCGATGAATATTTTGTCAAACTCCTTGAATGCATAGGGAAAACTTCAAAGGTGTTCATACCAATAACGGATGGCGGACACCACACCCTGCTTGTCTTCGACACCAATTCATTGCAATGGACGCACTACAACTCATTGAGGGGGGAAACTGAGCAAACCGTTGAATACTACAACAAAAAAGCAATAATTTTGGTAAGACAGACTCCTACTATGAACTGTTAATACAAGGCATGAACAAAACAGTTAATCAGTGAAGCTAACAACATACTTGCCTACAATGCAGGCAGACGCAACAAATGTCTTCCTCAATAGTGTCAAGGAATGTGCTCCAACAATTTTAGAAAAAAACAGCTTCCCACTTCTTGAGTTCAAGAAGCCCGTCTACAATGAAGAATTGACCGACGAGATTGCAAAACTTCTTCGAAACCTGAAAGTTACACCAGCAATTGCTCAAACAATACAATATCTGATGAAACATGATCCCACCAAATTCAACTTTAAGGAGGACAGGGAATGCGCCCAACAACCTGAAAAGTCGTAAGTTTCACAATAACACTTTTCTTCCCCCAATTCAAATTAAACTATGATTCACTAAATGTTGCATATATATATATGTGTGTGTGTGTGTGAATTTGCAGAAACGATTGTGGAGTATTTGTCATGTACTACATGCAGAAGTTGTCACAAGGAAAACAAATTGAAGAAAGCTTGAGTACAGAGCATGTGTGGGAAATGAGAAAAGAAGTTTTATTGAAGACAATGGAAAGTGAAAAAAGTTGGTATTTCACAAAAGAGAATGAAGGATGAAAGCATGGATTTCACAAATTTTAGAACTATAAAATAGTAAATGTTCGGCTTCTAACTTCCAAATGTCAAATTGTTAATATGTAGCTTCTAACCAAAATCTTTTGATGCTTCTTAACTTTCAAATGTCAAATAGTTACTGTGTAGTGAGATTCAAATGTAAAAAATTGTTACTCTATAGCTGCTTCTATATTTCAAACTGCGAATTAACAGTGTTCAAAATGCGTATTAACAGTGACTTTCAAAAAGCCCAGCCCAAGTTGAGAAAATCAAGGTCAGAAACGAAGTAAAGCCCAAAACAAATCAACCAAGCCATAGAAAAATACAGAAAAAAGGCCCAGTCTAATTTGACAAAAAAAAGCCCAAACAAACCAAAAAAAGAGCCCAGAAAACTCAACAAGCCAATAAAGCCCAATTTCACTAAGCCCATTGAAAAAAAAGAAAATATCTCAACGCAGAGTACACGCACGCACCCAAAAAGCGAAAAACCCACTCACCCTCTCACTCCGATCTTTGCGACGCGACCCACTCCAAAAGCAGGCGAAAACCTCCATAACCACCAGGCAGGAGACAACCTCCATAACCACCAATCAACGACAAACTCCATAACGAGAAAGCCGGCGAATCGAAGTTATATTCTGCCATAGCCAAAAGTCTTCAAAATCGACACTACAAAAAGCAACTGAGCACAAGGACAACCAGGAAAAAGGGAAGAAAATTTCTTCCATAAACATCGACAGAAAGGTACAATCTCAAAAACCCACAATGGCTTTCCACTTTCGTCTTAAGATTCTGCTAACTAATGCAAGAGTACCACGTTTAATACAGGTAACCAACGAAAAGGTCCAACAATGACAGAAACAAACACTCAAGATTCTTCACAAATGGCTGACAAAGCATCACTATCAGACTCCCAGGTATTACAAAATCTCTTAACGTCAAAGTCCAATAGCAATGTTTTGAAAAGACGCATGTTTCGACTGCAAATGTATACGTTTCACAACTGTTCATACCATGTCATAGAACTTGAACTGTTAATACTATGTCACAACTGTTAATACCATGCATCTTGCTCTTCTAGGGCACTGCGAAGCAGTGCACTTGAAGACCAAAATATATAGCATCCTTTGTTAATCAAAATCTGTGACTGCTATGCATCTTGCTCTTCTAGTGCACTGCAAAGCAGTGCACTTGAAGACCAAAATATGTAGCATCCTTTGTTAATCAAAATCTGGGACTTCTATGCATCTTGCTCTTCTAGTGCAACATGCACTATAAATGTATATGAAAAAAAATCGTAGTGCACTAAAAAAGAGAAGCATGAGGTTCAAATGCATAGAAGTAAATGGTTAATACCATGTCATAGAAGTATTAATACTTATGTTTCATCTTTCTTTTGTTTAGTTAAAGTAACCTATTTGTTTCACTTTGCAGGTGGTCATATGGAAAAAGGTAACCGGGTTGAAATTCAAAAAAAAAGCATACAAAAGGATCACAAGCCAGCAAAAGCACAAAACAGCATCAAGAAACACACAAGGCACACCACCAACAACAGCAAAAGCCAAACTATCCACACCCAAATCCGCAAACACACTGAAACCAAAGAAAACAACGAAGACAAAAAAAACACAATCCCAAACACAAAAACCTCAACCAAACAGACGCAATAACCCAGATTATGTGCAGATCAAGAGCAACATGCTCACATTTGACAACACATTGCAAACGGTAAAAGACAAGCTTGCAGCAAGAAAGGATGTCCTCAAGATCCTACAAAAAACGCCATTCTGGAGCATCATCAAGGCTTACATGGAAGGTCAGTTAACCAAGGTAGAATGCCAGAAGTCTAATTATCAAATAATTAAACTAATCAGACTCTACAACCCCGCAACCAAAAAATTCAAATTCAGTGAAGGCAACGAGCATGAAATTACAAGCAATGATGTGTCTGACATCTTTGGATTGCCAAACAAAGGAAACAAGTTGCCAAGCACAACAACTTCCACAAGAACAAATTTGGCCTTCGAAAAGAAGTACTTCGAGAAGTCAAAAAAAATCACAAAAACTGAGATTGATAGGTGTCTGAACACAGCAATAGCAGATGACAGAAAGAAGAATGCAATGGATGTTGTCAGGTTGTTAATTCTAGAGCTCTTCATCACAAATCTCTTTTGCAACTCTGGGGCGACAATGGCTTGGACCTTTTTGACTATGATCGACACATTAGAAGCTATGAACAGCTACAACTGGGCACAAGGAGTCTTAGATTACATGCATTATGGACTGGACCAAGCCATAAAAAATAAAAAGGACAAGACAAATCAACCAAGCGTCAGTGGTTGCCTTGTGCTAATCCTGGTAAGAAACTACATCCATTTGTTAATCCTGTTATATTATTTGTTTTCATGTGCATTAACACTTTATATTGAAAAACATGTTTGCAGTATTGGCTGTGTGAAAGAACTAACCTGATCAGTCCAATTCCTGGAAGAGAAGATCACAAACCAGCGGCTGTCAAATGGAGCCTTCCGGAGCTCAATATCAAGCTGAATATTGCAACATATGAAAACATTAAGGCATTTTTCTTACTTCCATAAACATATATAATGTTAGTACACCATAATTACTACTGACTCCAATAATTCAACAGATAAAAGCTGCTGACAATGAAAAAGAAGAAGCAACAAAGACTGATCATGCAGACCATGAAGAACAAGAAGAAAATGAAGAGGATGATGACTTTGTTATCACACTTAAAGATTGGGTAAGATAACCTACAATGATCCAACATTTATATTTCAAAACTGAATTGATAGTGTACAAACACATATACATGTATATAAATTTGCTAATACTTTTTTTTTCCTTTCTAATATTTGTGACAGTTAAAGAGTCAAACACAAAAAGGAAAAAGCCAGACTGTTATTACCCAGAAACAGAACTTCAGCTTCCATGAAAATGTGGACCAAAGTGCAACCCAGACAAAAACTCCACAACAGGAGCAAAATGAAGACAATGCACAATCATTGGGATGCAAAGCAGATGATGAAATTGAAGAACCACCAGCACAATCATTGGAATGCGAAGCAGATGATGAAATTGAAGAACAAGCAGTTGACCTTAGTGCAGACTCAGTGACGGAGGAGGACACTGTTAATGTCCCGCAACAGAACCCAGAACTTGACAGCCAAGAAGAAGACTTCGACTCCATTTTTGTGGACATAGTGGGGTCAATCCCAGAGTACTACAAGCATGAAATAGCCCCTACCCATGAGAAAATCCAACAGCTGAAAGAAGCAGTCAACTATTGGATTGAAAAGGCAGATACTCGAAGGGATATGATGCAGACTGTTATAGAATCCTGCATAAAGAAAAATTCATTCATTCAACAAATATGGACTGAAAAAGAAGAGTTGGAGCAACAAATTGAAATACTGAAAAAGCAGCTTGAGCAAGAGAAAAAAGAAGGTGCAAAATTACAAGGGGAACTGCATGCACTCAAATCAAATAGGAGACAGCTACAGGAACAACATGAACTACTTGAAGGGGAAAAGTTGTCCTGCATTGAGAGCATGAAAGAAAAAGACACTGTTATTGCCTCTTTGCAACAAGTGATGGGAAAAAAAATCAAACAAGGTGAACAAGGAGAAATTCCGATGAAAGAACAAGCTGATAAGGAGAAAAAAGATGAGAGAATAGCAGAAGAAAGTGAATTGGAGATGCAAGAATCTCCTAATGATGAAGATGAGAACGCCGATGGAAAAACTCCTGAAAAGTTAGTTATCATGCAAGCAAAAGAAGTAGGAACACGGCAGTTGCGTTCTGGCATCAAAATAATCAAAGACAGAAAAGACAGAAAGCCTGCAAAGAAACCAGATTACACATACCCCAAAGCACATAAGAAAGGCCGAAAAAGAGCAAGCCAAAGCGAAGATGAAGCAGCCAACAAAAAAAAGGAGGACAAAGATACATACCTTCAGTTGCACATGTATGAGGTCTACAACAGGCTGGATGAAATATCAAAGAAGAAGTTGGAAAATTACTGGAAATCTGCATCTGATTCTGATGAGTAAGCCAATCTGTCACAGAATTACACTGTTAATACTATGCCTTAGAACTGTCATAGAATTACACTGTTAATACTATGTCATAGAACTGTCTTGTTATTAAACTATTATGAGATTATCATTTTTAAACAACATTATTGTCGCAGGGACGCTTTTTACCTACAAAATAGGACAATATTGTACAAACATAACATTGAAAAGCTGATGGGAGATGGTCCAATTTCTGCACTAATCATCGATGCTTATGGAGAGGCACTTAATGATGATGCGAAGCAGAACCCTCAGAAACAGAAAAATGCATATTTGTCCGCCAATAACTATGTAAGATCACATCTAATACATCAATTTTATATCATCAACATGCTCACTAATCACCAACACATGACTTTTGCAGATGTTTTTGCGAGGTGCCTCACACAAGCTGACATATCATGCTTTCTATATGCCACTCCTAGAAAATATTGGAAGAGTTGATAGAGTGTTCATACCAATTACAGATGAGAACCACCATACGCTGCTTGTCTTTGACACCGGTGCAGCAAAATGGACACACTTCAACTCATTCAGGGGGACATCAGAACAAACTCTCCAATATTATCACAAGAAGGCAATTGTTTTGGTAAGTAAGACTGGTGATTAACACTGTTAATACATAGGACACTAAATTTAAAGGAAACTAAGCACATACTTGACTATGATGCAGGTTGAGACAGCAAATATATTCCTCTGTCTTCTTAAGGAATGTGCTGCAGTATCACTGAAAACAAAACTCGTCCAAATTCCTGATTTTGATGCCAAGAAGCCGAGAGGGCTTAATGAAGCTTCAGCTAGAATGATAACAAAAATACTTGCCAGCAACGAACTTACACCAGAATATGCTCAGACAATGAAGTATCTGATTTGTCATGATACTACTAACTTCAAGCTGACTGAGAACAGAGAATGTCCCCAACAAGCAAACAATTCGTAAGTTATGCAATAACAGTGAAACTTTCATCCTATTCAACTAAAAAAATACTGAAATAACTCCTGCATGCGTATCTCTATTATGCAGCAATGATTGTGGCGTCTTTGTCATGCACTTCATGAAGCAGCTTTCCAAAGACCAACAAATAGAATCAGATTTCAACAAAGAAAAGGTCTGGCAAATGAGAAAAGAAGTCCTCATGAAAATTATGAGCAATGAAAGAAGTTGGATTTCCATCAAAGAAAGAGAAGAGAGAAATGCAAAATAATGAAGTTGTAATCAAATATTTTGCCAAAATTCTTGCTTATATTGTAGTTTCTTAGGAATTTTGTAGGTTTAGAACATTGAAGTAAAGTGATTTTCAAATTCAAGTTATGTACTTATTCAAAAACCAGTTTATTTACGTGAATTAACAGTGTATGTAACCTGAAATAATGGTCTCCATAGCACTAAAACAACTAAAAAGGTGAACTACAACAAATAACAACGCACTTTCAATACAATGTTAATGCTATTTGATAGAAATAAATTGTTAATACCATGTCATAGAACTATCTTTCAATTTCAACAATGGCATGAACAGTGAGCATTAAATAGTGTTCGTTCATTTATAGATTATTCAAACAGCAGTAATGCTTAATTCATATCAAACTTCAAAACCGAAATTTGCAAAATACCAAAAATGGTAAATATTATGTATTAATACCAAAAATTCAAAGTGTATTCATATGCAGTGACTGCTATTTCACCGTATTAACAACTTGCATATCAATTTCTATTCCTTTCAACTATGATTGTCATTAATCAATCACATAGCACTTTAACTAGTTAAAAACTAACTACTCTCATTCAAGTCTTTATACTCAGAACCTTTACATCAAATAGGAACCTTGCAAGTCCTCCTATTATGACGATCACAAGAACCGCATCTCTTGCACTTCACCTGCCTTTTAGTTTCACTGCTTGACTTGAAGCGCTTTGTCGGAGGTCGTCCCGGAGGCTTTCTTGTATGAGGAGGTAGAAGAAAAACATCTCCAGGAGGAGGCTTCTCAATATCAGGTATGGGAAATATAGGGGTTGCATAAGTAGCCTTATAAAAGTCTGCCTTGTAATACTCATCCACAAAGTTGTACAAACATAACCCGGAATGTTGGATAACTTGAATCGCATGCTGACACGGAAACCCAAGCAATTGCCACTGATAACAGGAGCAAAACCTCTCGTCCAAATTGACCATAACACTCAAATCAGCATGAACTTCAAAAACAGATTCACTCGCGCGACATATCCTCCAATGACGACCCTTTGCAGCTAAATTCTTCAACTCATCCTCAATAACAGGACACAAAACACTACTCCATTTCTCGGATGCAAGCTTCCTCCTAGAAATCATCTCCATCATTTTGATCCTAACAGTGTCAATCATCTCATAAATTGGAAGCCTACGCACATCCTTAATCCATGAATTAAACGACTCGGACAAGGCATTACTAACCTCCCCATACCTCTTTCCCGGAAAAAATGCATTAGCAAAATTTTGGACAGGGAGATCAGCCAAAAACTTATCAATTATTTTTGAACCGCCATCATCTCTTAATTTTTTCAACGTATCTTGATATTCCTCAACAGTCGGTGCATACAACAACTTACAAAAAAGCCATAAAATATGATCCTTGAAAGAGGAACCAACAGCATGCGGATACTTCTTTTTCAAGTTCTCTTTCAAATGATATAGACAAAAACCATGGGGAGAAGCAGGAAAAACAGTCCTAACAGCATCGATAATAGCACCATGCCTATCAGAAATGAATGTAAGTTGCCTACCTTCATCAACCAAGACTTCAGATATCTTTTGCAGAAACCACCTCCAATTATCCACAGTTTCACCGGATACAATCGCAAAGGCAAAAGGGAATACTTCTACAAGAAACAGAGAACTATATTAGTTAGTTTGAACTGTAACAGTGTTACCACATAAAGCAGAGTAAAACTACAATGCATAAAAATACTCAGATGCAGGGTATGAACAGTATAGAAACTGTTCATACCACTCAATGGAAGTCAACAACTACAGCATTTACATTTGCATAACTACACTGTTCATACCACTCAATGGAAGTCAACAACTACAGCATTTACATTACATACCTTTATTTCCATTCTTTGCAGTAGCTCCTAGAAGAGTACCCTTGTACTTGTTTGTGACGAAAGTACCATCAATGAACAACATAGGCCTACACCACCGAAAACCATCAATGGAGGCCTTAAAACATATAAAGATCCGCTGGAAACGAGAACCATCCTCGCCACAATCAAGCACACAATGAGATCCGACATTGCTGGCCTTCAAAACATTCACATACCAAGGCAGGTGAGCATAAGACAACTCCTCATCACCATGCAAATCCTTAGTAGCCGACTCCTTCCCATACCACGCAACATGATAAGGGATATCCAATCCATAATTCTCCTTCAAATCAGTAATCAGCTCAATAGGCCTTACCAAAGGATTGCTACGAACCTTATCTTTGACAATTGAAGACACCAAACGAGACCCCATTGCCTTATTTCTCTTCTCACGGATCAAACCACTGCAACTGTGTGCATTATTTAAGTTCTTAATATAAAAAAATCCATTTACATTCGACTTAACAACATGCACATGCCACTCACAGCCATTTGATTCCTTCTTAGCACACACAACAGTAACACGACGAGGCTCATTTTTCAAATATTTCATCTTAAAACCATTCTCAATCGAGTACTTAGCCAACTTATCACGGAATTCACAAACTCCACCCTCAAACTTCTGACCCTCATGAGTAATATAACCCTCCCAATCAGTAGACAAATACTTACGACCTCCACAACTACCATATTTGCCTAAATATTCATTTCCATACTCACTGCTAATACCATCAAAATCCATACTCAAAGAAGAAGAAGAAGCTGCATTTGAATCAACAATACTACCAGTTTGAATTGAATATTTACATGTATCCTCATCTTGTGCAAAACTGTAATTGTTAGGAACAGCCTCCAACAAAAAAGGAGAAGCAATTATGTTCGTATTAACAGTTTGAACATAATTCACTACAGCCTTATCCCTAACAGCAATGTGAATTAATTGATCCTTCGTCAGTCCACATACCATAAACATGATTTTCAAATCATCATCCAATTCCAATAAACAATTGGAGCAATCCGTATAAGAGTACCTCAACTCAAAATGACCTAACTTCAGCTTGAACCTACTACACAACTCGTTGGACAGCCAATCAAAAGTAGTAGTTGAAGACAAAATAAGCATTAAAGTTCCACCACCATAGGTGCACTTTGCCACTCTCGAATCATCCATATCTATACAAAAAAAACAAACAAAACAAAAATAACTACTAGCAATAACAGTGGATGCCGAGTATTAACAGTGAATTATAGTCGACTCAAAAACCAATAGTGCATAAACAGAAAAAACACGAATATACTCAGATTCAACTGAAAAAACCTCAATTAATATGAAAACCAAATCGAATATCACAAAAGTTTCACCACACCTCAAATCAAAACACAAGAGCAAATCCACAATCAAAACGAATCTGAAATCAATCCAAATTATAAACAAAAGAAACGAAAACCTAATCAGCAACTTAATTAATCGAACATGAAATCACCAAAAATCAGACTACAATATAATCGAATCCTCAAAAAACGAATATGAATTCACAAGAAAAAATCGAAATACCTCAAAATCGAAGATCACAGATCGCACCAAGCTCCAATCGAGTCTCTTGCAGCGCAATATCAACCCAAAAATTACCAAATCAAACAACAAAGAACAAAAAAATTGAAGCAATAGAACTCCAATCTACACCATACTGAGCTCAGAAGAATCCAAAAAGAAGATCTGAAACCACATCATACTGAGCTTCGTTCAAAGAGGTGAACGAAGCTCGCTTCGTTCGAAGAACTGAACGAAGCTCGTTTGGAATATTCGATCTGCTGAGGCTGCCAAACAGGTTTCTGTTATGAGGTCACCAACGTAAATTTTCAGAAATTCCTATCCTAGCTGGCGAATTTTGGGCCTGTTTCAAAGAATTCAGACCAAAAGGTCAAAACCGTAATCTAACATAGAAAATAAATCCAAAAATTGACAGCTGTTGGTTTTTGGGTTTATTTTGGGTGTGTTTATATGTTTTAAATAGTCTAGGGTTTTATTATAGTTTAATGTCTAGAATTGGGTGTTTCACTAATTTTGTATTAATTTTAAGGTTATTTAGCAGTACTCTTAAAATAACCGAAAGAAGAAGGAAAAGGAGGAGGAAAAAAAAACCGGAAGTGGGAAACAAAAAGGAGGAGAGAAAACCCTAAAAAAAACGGCGGTGGAACTCTCCGAGTGATTGAGACTGAAGCGACTGAGAAGCGTAGACGCAAATGGAAATGACAAAAGACTTATTGAGGGTAACAGAGACAGAAGGGAGAGGGAGGGCGTTGGTGGCGGCTCAGCCACTGAAGGGCGGTCAAATCGTTCTCAGAGACTCTCCAATCCTCCTATACTCTGCTCTTCCTCTCATCTCTCCTTCTCTTCACCCTTACTGTAACCACTGCTTCAAAACCCTAAAGCAACCTCAACCTCAAGCTGCTGGTTCTTCAGCTTGTGTATGTCCATGGTGTTCACACCATGCCTTCTGCAGTTCCAATTGCCTCTCCTCTGCTCTCTCCTATTCCCACTCTCCTTGGGTCTGCCAAGCCCTCCGCCGCCTCCGCGACTCCCCTTCCCCTCTCTCCGACCAACCGCTGGAGCGTCAGGTCCAGGCCCGCTTCCTCATCGCCGCCTACAACCTCGCAATCGTTTCCCCGTCCAATTTCCAGATGCTCTTGTCTCTCCAGGGCCAGCCAGACGACTCGGCCGCCGCCGACACCACCGCGGCTGCCCACTTTCTGCATTATCTCATCTCTTCCCTCTGCGCTCCTCCTCCCGCTCTCCAAGAGCAGCAGCTGTTTTCGGCGGAGCTCTCGGCGGCTCTGCTGGCCAAGGACAAGCTAAATGCCTTTGGATTAATGGAGCCCTTCTCGGAAACTTCGCAGAGGTCCAGCAGAGCCTACGCCATTTATCCAAAGGCCTCGTTCTTCAACCACGATTGTCTCCCCAATGCCTGCAGATTCGATTATGTCGACGCTGACGGCGACCGCAACACCGATATGGTGATCAGGATGATCCATGATGTTCCGGCGGGAAGGGAGATTTGCTTGAGCTATTTTCCGGTGAACCAGAGTTATTCTAGCCGGCAGAGGACTTTGGCGGAGGACTATGGGTTTGCTTGTCAATGTGATCGCTGCAAGGTCGAAGCCAATTGGTCTGATAATGAGGAAAACATTGAGGGTGAGGAAGAAGCAGAGGGCATGAACGAGGACCAAGACCAGGAAATGGAAGCAGCCTCAGAATCAGAACCAGAGTCAGGTAGCGACATTGAAGAAGCCCAAGCCCAAGTGGAATCTGATTTCCCGCACGCCTATTTCTTCCTCAGTTTCATGTGTAATAGAACCAATTGCTGGGGCACTCTGGCCCCTTTGCCCCCAAAAGATGATGGAACTCCTTCTAATGTAATGGAATGCAATGTCTGTGGCAACCTGAAGAAAGATGAAGAGATCAGTGGTCATGGTCGTGATGGGCTCTCAATCGATGGCTAAATTAACTGCTCTCTTGGTTGCTTGCTGGCTTTCTGTAAGTTTCACTATCTTTTTTCTACATTGACATCACTTTTTTGCTTTAAGTAGTTATTGTAGGCTCCAGTTCAGTTCTATAATATTTTTATTCAAATGCATCTGCTGTGAAGTGAATAGTTTGTAGTTTTGGGTTTTGACCCTCAATATGCATTTGCACCTTTTGATGACTTGTGACCAGACCTCTCTCACCAGTTCAATCGTTATATGATACTTGCTTGTAAACTTCTTTATTACTGAAAAAGCTTAATTGGTTGTGATTAGGATTCTCCTATAAGATAATGACACTTATCAAAAATGAAATAGATGCATTACCAAGCAAGCATGTTTAGTGATCCTCTGTTTTTGTCCTTGCTAGGCAATTCAAATTTATCTGACATGATTCGTATTATCTCTGTCTCATCCACAGCATCCTTAGCAAAATGTGTGGGGTTATTTGTGCCGTTGTTGCAAGATCATTTATTTATCCGTGATTAGTACAGGTTCAGACCAAAATTTAACTATGATAATGTATATGAAGAAAAAGTTTAAAACGTCTCTGTTTAAACTAGTAGAACAGGCTGAGAGCGAGAGGCATGGTAACCTGTTCTGAATGTGTTGACATTTTCAGTTCTCTTGACTAGAGAAATACTTCTTCTCTAGTTATTTTTCTCGTCGGGATTCTAGAGGGAAAATCATAAAAGAAAACAAGCAAAGAAAAAATAAATCAGTTGTCATATCTGGTTGCCAGTTAATAAAAGCTTCCTAATGATAATTGGGAACGTGGATTTTGTCGGTGAAAATTGACAGAAGGAAAGCTTAGACTTCCCGTGTCTGAATCGTGTGCCTAACGATGTAGTAGAAGAAGTTTGAGTAAAGAGTACTTACTTTAAAAAAATAGCAAGAGCCAATACTTTTAAGTGGAAAACGAAGGCATGCTTTCTTTGGCAACAAGGTGAGACATACAGCACACATATGTATAAAATTGATATGATCATGTGAACATGTATATCATTCCAGGATTATCCAACTTTTTGCAAAATGCTAATATAGAAGTAATGGATAAGACTCGGATAAATGGTAATATTCTGATTACAAACCATGCTTCTATGGAAATCAAGATGATTAAATGCATTAACCCTACATTAGGTATATGCTAAAAATACTCACTGAATGTTTGGTCACAGGCTTCAAGAGATCAAAATTGGTGCACCATGATCCTCTCAGTTAAAGAAATCATAAACAGCCGTAGAGGTTTTGGAGGTTTCTTTTGCAGTGGTTGCGCCTTTGTCTATGTGATGGGTAAGCTGGCATATTCTAGTTCTTGTTAAGAGATATTATGACCTAATGATTTCTGTGGGTGGATTGTTGTTGCCTGTGCCATAGTCTTGTAATCTAGGAAAAGTTTGTTTTCCTAAGTCAGAGCCAACAGCTTCTTGGCGGAAATTCTAGACTTGATACCAAACTGGGTTAGGAAAGCTTAGTTTTGTCCAAGGTTTGGTGACAAATGCGGGATTACAATGTTGACTTTTGGTAATAGAAGTTGTATCACAAAGGGTCGTTAGTTTGCATGTTGTTTAAGCGTGTCTGCAGCATTGGCCTGCAAATGCCCTCTCTTTCTCTCCCTGAGAGTGATGCTTGAAACAATCTGTCCAAAAAAGTACCAACCATATTCTTATTTCCTCTGATAGAGCTTACTTTTAATTAGAAGGTAATCTTTCTGTTCAATTACAGGAGCATTTGGTGAAACAGTGGGTGGCAATCGCCAACAGCAATCATTCAAAGTTTATGCCCCGATTACGTGGCGGATCGTATGCTTTAGGCCGTAAGATTTTGCTTTACTCAAAAGAAACGCATGGAAATCAATCCAATAGCAAGGAAAGAGGGAATGTGGACAAAGCACTACCAATTTTATGAAGCTAAAAGAAAAAACCACTGATTAGAAATTTTTCCTGTTTTTGTTGTAATATGCGTTATATTTGGTTTTGGTAAACCCACTTGCCCTTCCTTTAACTGCTCCAACCTTGATCGAATCTTAATACGTAGACACCTTCCTAATCACACGTTCACATTATATGGTGGCGATGGTGAATCAGCCCACTAGCTGCTTGGAGTTTTGGACCACCACCATGCTTATTTGCATACCCAACCAACCCCAATGGTTTTTTGAGGAAAGAAATAGGTAACATAATAACATGCTTCATATTATTCTTTTTTTTTTATCACCGCCTTGCGCTCTACACCCTCGCGTTGGTTCCAGCTTTTAGGCACAAAACCTGACTTACAGAGGTAACTTTTCTCTGTGTTTGTCTCTACGTGCGCAATGCCCTGCAAAAGAAATTAGGAATATTGCATTTCAGGACGTCATGAACGGTGGCCGTGGCAACGGCAATGGGATGGGCTTGTGGTTTTTAATTTTTACCTAATTTAATCACACGTAGGTTGTTATTGGGATATGGTTATTTAGTTTTGATGGTCGGAATGGAAGTCTCACTGTCCTGACCAACTGGCTTATCCTACGTATGTTCTGTTAAATTCAATTTAGCGTTCTAGCTAGCTGGCGTCACCTATTGAGGAGAGGAGGAGGAGAAGGAGGAGGTGCTAAATCTTTGGAATTTTTTATAACCATGCAAATTTATGAGTGGGCCGGTTTGCTTTGCGCTTATCTTTACCCGTGTCCTTCCCATAATAAAGAAAATGGGAATATTCGAATTTCTTCTTGCTTTCTTCTTGCTTTCTGTTCCGTCTCTCTTTCTCAACCTGATCACTTGTGCAAAGCAAAGGAGCTAGCCAGCCATCCATTACTGAATTTGAACGGTGAACGGACACATAACCCATAAAAAGAATAAAAAAGGATTAGGGCAAAAGATAATGGTGAACATATGCAATTCAAGCCAGCCCTTCATCATACGTTTTACCAACTTAAAAGCAGTAGATTCCGTACACACCAATAGCCGCAACTTGAGCAGTAGTAAATTTTGCTATTGCCATATACATAAAGTTATTATTCAAATATTCATCCCCATTAAATCATTCGATTCTCCTTCTTTTCGAGTAAGATTTTTAATTTTTTTTTAATTCACATATTTAAACCCAAAAAATAAAGTAAATGTTATTTAGCGAGGAAATCAATTAATCTTGGAAGGAATTGGGAAACTTGTACGAATAAAATACATATATATACGTTTGTTTATGGAAAGAAAAGAAAAAAGAAAGGGAAATTTGAAGTGTCAGATTTATGCACGATTATTCTAGAAGTTAAAAAGTTGCCACAAATCATGTGCAAAAAATCTGGGTGAGCTGAGCCTGCTGTATGCAAAGCTGTCTCATGCAAGTAAAGCAACAGTTTCAGTTGTTGGTTGGCGTCACGCCTGTGGCTGTGGCTGTGGCTGTGAAGGCCAGGAATTCATGTTTACGGCGCCTGGAGCCATGTGACTGGGTGCATGCAGATCGCGGCTGACAAGTCGGAAACAATTCAGGAAACCAATGTCGAAATAGATTGTGAAAATCTAAAAACCAATGTCGACATTTGGAGATGATGTGAGATCGTAGCCGTCAAAAGTAAATGAGGAGGCCGTAGGGTACGGGGTGCACAATATTTATGTACCACTTGGAGTTGGAGGAGAGACTGGAACTAGCGTAGTAGATGGACTCGGACGCAATTGTTGTTGTCAGACGGAGAGCGAGGGGGATACAGTTGGGAGAATTGGAGGGTAAATAAGGGGGAAAATCGAGGGATCAAAAACAAATATCTGTGTTGCCTATATAATAAAATAATAATAAAAACAAATATCTGTTTTTTTTTGCGATAGATACTTACCTCCTGAACCAACAAACCCATACCTGTTGTAACTCTTTCTATAAATATACAAATTATATTCCTTTTAGGAGTTGTCAATAAAGATATATAAAAGCAGAGACAGAGAGAGGGAGAGGGAGAGGCAGAAACAGAGAGAGAGAGAGAGAGAGAGGGGCAGGGGCGCAAAAGAGAAACCAGAAGAAAGGAAGGAGAAGGTCATCCAGCGACTTGGGGAGCCTTTACAAGTGCTGCAGGGTGCCTTCCCCTCACCCTACCGGCTGCCAAGAACAAACGCAGAAAAACAACAAGGCGGATAAGGAAGATAAGGTGAATATTATTCATATCTGGTGTCCACCCAATTCAGGTTTTGTTGTCATTCGCCAATTTTATTTCCATATTTTTTATTTTGTATATAGCCATTTACATTTACATGCACGGAGGCGAAGATGAAAGGATTATACTAACGCGTGGTGTTGGTGATGATAGGGTAGGGAGGAGAGAGGGAGATATGGCGGTGTACGAACCTATTAAAGGATGCGAACATGATGATGAAGAACGTGGTATGGCGGATCCTATGATGATGAGGAAGAAGAACAACATCAGTATTGATCATGATGAGGATGTTGAGATGGCCATTCATCAGATATCCAAATCGACATCCGCCTCTTCCGCCTCTTCCGCCTCCGCCGGTGGTGCCGCTGCTTATAAGAATGTTAGTAAAGAGGAAGCGGCAGCGGCAGCGGCGGCGGCCTCATTGCCTTCGAAGTTGCGGCAACAGCAACAGCAACGCCTTGTTTCCCTCGACGTTTTCCGCGGATTTACGGTTGCGGTACGTAACGTCGTCTACTTTCAGCCTCCTCTTTATGTTTCTGCTGCTTTTTTCATATTCCTTATCTTTCAAAACCCAGAAAAATTAAAAACGAAAACAGAAACAAATTTTAATTAAGGGGAATTCGTTCGGCGAAACGGCACCGTATCAGTTTTCCTCCTCCTTTTTTGCATTTTTCTTGTTTTCTAAGTAGAGGAGGAGAGGGTTTAGGTTTGCTTTTTTTCTTAGTTTGTTTGTAACCGTCCACAAAAAGGATGACTGATGAGTCGTAACTAATGAACTGTTCTTAAATAACTCATAAATTATTATTATTTTATTATTATTATTATTAACCATAGTATCGACGCCTCTTTATTTATTCTTATTTTTTTGGTGCGATCGTCTATTTTGTAAATACTCTTAAAATAGGAAAAGCCCAAACTAACCCCATTAAAATAATAAGATTGTTAGATTATTGTAGGTCTGAAGAAATCAAGGATCATCGGATCCAAAATCAAGGAAACAAAATAGCGACTCTTTTCGTAGGGAGAGATTCTTTTGTGCGACTGTCGTGGCACATTTCGGGTGATTCGGTTGCCGGACTAAAAAAAATTGATATACATTGCATTTCTTTTATGTTCTTTCCTTTCCTCCCAATCCAACACTCAATGATTTGTTTTCTTTTTCAAATCGTTTTTAGTCTTCAAAGTAGATCTCGGTTCAAATCTACAAAGATCAGATGCAATGTAACGCTTTACCCAAAAGAAATCATGATGTTCCCGACATTGATTATGGTACCAATGTACATTTGTCAGGTGCACCGACATTTGCAAAAAGCTTGTTTCATCACTTGCTTTTTGTATTGTATTTAGGATGTCCCCCCTGCACGTTAATAAATAACATCTGCTTCTTCTTCTTTAGTATGACATCTATGGACCAATTAATGGGTTGCTTAATAAAGTCCTCTTGGCCCGCCGTTATATATGTGTCAAATTATGATTCGTAAGAAGTATAACTCGATCTAATTATTTTTATTATTTAATTTGTTTTTGGTTCGTAAATAAGATGTTGATTTTCCATAATTATAATTTATATATATGGTATTATTGGTGCAGATCATGATATTAGTGGACGACGTTGGTGGGATCCTGCCTGCTATTAACCATTCACCATGGAACGGTTTGACCCTTGCAGATTTGGTCATGCCATTTTTTCTCTTTATGGTTGGTGTTTCCCTTTCACTTACCTACAAGGTACACCATATCTCATGCTCTTCTGCTCCCCTTAATTTGTTCTTTTACTCAACCAATGTTGTAAAATGTTCAAAGCTAACCAAAACGTGTTTGCGTTTCCTGTACAGAAAACGTCATGCGGAACCGTTGCGACTAGAAAAACAGTTTTGAGGACACTGAAGCTTCTAGCGTTGGGCCTTTTCCTTCAAGGTTAACTACTAAAACATGCCAAATTCTAAGTATTTGATGTATATCTATGGATCATGAAGATACAAATAGTTTAATTCTATATGTTTAGTGTAAAATAATTTTACTCTGCAATGCAAGTTTTGTTTGCAAGTATATGCTTCTGTAAACTAAATGTACGGTGTATTTTGCATCCAGGTGGCTATTTTCATGGCATCAAGGATCTAACATTTGGGGTGGATATTGAACAGATGAGATGGATGGGCATTCTACAGGTATGCTATATATCACTAGTTTTAATTTCCTAAGCTGCGCATTTTGCCTGATAGATTAGTCGAAACTTGGAGAGAAGAGTTAGAACTAATTTCTCTATGGTTTTCAATTTCATTTTGTTGTTTCGATATTAGCTCTTAAACACCAGTTGCCTTGTTTGTTTTCCAGAGAATTGCAATAGCTTATTTTGTAGCAGCTTTGTGCGAGATTTGGCTAAAGGGTGACGATAATGTCAACTCAGGACGTTCTCTGCTCAGGAAATATCGATTTCAATGGTAAGTTATATTCTTTTGCAATCGTATCGTAGTGCCTACTTTTTGTTTTTTCTCTGGACCATGATAACACTTTGTGCATTTGCTCAATTTTGAACAATGTCTGGAACCTCATTCTCAGGTCGGCAGCATTGATAATCACTGTGCTATATCTGTCACTCTTATACGGCTTGCATGTTCCTGATTGGGAGTACCAAATTCCTGGTGATTCCTCCTCCGCACCAAAAACATTTTCAGTAAGTTTTGATCATTTGTTTTTTAGTTGTCCCCTGATTTCTTCAAGTATGATTTTCTTTAAAAATTATGTGACGGCGTTTCTAACTCATCTCTGTTTGGAAGGTTAAATGCGGAGTACGGGGTGACACAGGACCAGCATGTAATGCTGTTGGGATGATTGATCGTAAGATATTGGGTCTTAGGCACTTATATAGACGACCAATCTATGCACGAACAGAGGTTAGTATCTATTTTGTTGGTTAAGTTCCTTTACTTTTGGTGTTCCTCACTTTCATTCCTAACAATTAGTTTTAAATTTTGTTATTTTTACAGCAATGCAGTATTAACTCCCCTGATAATGGCCCGTTACCGGCTGATGCTCCTTCTTGGTGTCAAGCTCCCTTTGACCCTGAAGGACTTTTAAGGTGTGTTAGCAATTTCGATGCACATCTTATTATGTGTAACTTCATTGGAGAATCCTTTTGCATCACTATGTGTAATTTCTGTCTTAATTTTGCAAAAACTTACTTTCATTGTTGCAGTTCCATGATGGCCATTGTTACCTGCTTGGTTGGTTTGCACTATGGACACATTATTGTCCATTTTAAGGTGAGAAAGCTTCATATATCACAAGTTTTATCTGTTTTGTTTTCCTCAGCGAAGTGTCTCTAACCATTACCCCCTCTAAATGCAGAGTCACAGGGACAGAATCCTGCGCTGGTCTATCTCATCCTCGTCTCTTATAATCTTAGGCCTCGCCTTGGACTTATTAGGTACGTGATTGCTATACAATTTTATTATAATATATAAATGAGTCTTCTGTATTAATAATTGAAGTTGCCGAAATTTTTTATATCATTAAATTATCTCCTTCATTTGGTTTTTCAGGCATGCATATAAACAAGCCTCTTTACACATTCAGTTACATGTGTATCACAGCTGGTTCTGCTGGCATTCTCTTTACTGCAATTTACTTGATGGTAGGATTTCTAGTCTTGTGATGGGAAAGAAACATTAAATTTTCAGTCTGCGTAGTTCTCTTCCTCTTCTTCTAAGTTGATAACGAATCTGGTTTTCCGCAGGTCGATGTGTGTGGCTACAGGCGCCCAACTATTGTGATGGAGTGGATGGGAATGCATGCATTGATGATTTTTGTGCTTGTAGCCTGCAATCTCTTGCCAGTTATCATCCATGGATTCTATTGGGGGAAGCCTCAGAACAACATTGTAATTCCTTTCTCTGTTTCTTGTGGTGTTAGATTTTATTTTCTCGTGCCAATAAAATGTTGAGTTATCTAGTGGTATTGTAGTCTCATAATCTACCTTATCTCTTGCAGCTTAGCTTAATTGGAATTGGAAAATGAATTGCTTAAGGGCAGCCCTGTTGGGTTATATGCGTTGCACCGCGCAAGTGCAGTCGATTTCTATCTTAGACTGCGGACCTAGATTGTTCGACCAATTTTGGTTCTTGCATTTTGAGATAAGAGAGAAGGTGGAGTTGGCCTTGATAGAGACTCCGGCAGGCAGTGTTTCCCCCGCTTTCCTTACATGTACAGACTGGAGCTTCTCTACAGAAGGTGGTGTAGGACCAAGCTTTCTTTATGATTTATGGGGCTTGAAAAACGTATGGAGATATTTAAAATTGGGGTATTTTGTAAATATCAATACTTTTTATTATTACAATAATTATTTATACGATCTTTGAGAAATCTTTTTCTTGCAACATGTCTCACTGATGAATATATGTATATACAAAATAGACCCAGCTAGCTTGTTTCTTTTGCATTGGTGTGGAACCTACTAGTTTATTGAAATGAATCTTGTCCTTCGTCTTATCTTTAAAAAGCTGGTCACAAAACTCAATTCTGTGGGGAAGAGCAATTTGATCTATCAGAAGGTCAAGATTGCTGGACATCAAACAAAGAATTCAATTAACCAATAGGCAAGATCAGTAAGGAAAAGAAACTGGATGAAAACAACCTCCAAACCCCACACAGATGATTGCTGGAAAGAAAATTATGAAATCCTCATTTTGTAAGCATCCATCCAACGGAAATAAGAATAGAAAGTATAAATTTTGATGGTGAGGTGGAGTATGCATGGTTTGAAGAAGCCGCATGGGGAGGAGCCACAGGTAAACATGTACAGGTGGGAGAATCATTTGGATAGTAGTAGGGAATTATGGAATATCCAGTCTGAGCTATGGTGAGCACAAAAAGGAAGACGCCGGCAATTAGAGATATAAAAGCCCATGGATTTCTGAAGTAAGTATGAATAAGATTGGCACGCCACTCGTTCCAAGGCTTCCGGCAGTAATGATAGACCTTCTTATGTACCGCATCGAGGCTGCTTTCTGGGTCCAGTGTTATGTCCTTGGAGAGGGAGTTGAACAGATTAGCAACCGCTTTGTCACTTCCTAGAGCATTTTGGACGATACCTTTGGAGTGTAAGAGGGCAACATCTCTAGCATTGTCTATGATGTTGTCCATGAAGAAAGTATAGGATGTCACCTCATTGCCTGCCCCAACATGGAAGCGCTCAAATGCTATCAGATTCAAGAACATCGACTCGGTGGTATCATCCACAAGAATGACTGGGAGCCTGAGGATTCCCCCAGAGAATGAGATGTCTTTCAGGCTACCAGTTTTGCTTTTCTTGAATCTGATTCCGGCTTCATTAAGCTCTGTTGCAGACCAGATAATCACATCGTGACGATTCAGGGGCTCTGGTGGGCAGTGACCTGTTTTGCACTGGGGCTCTGACTGAAGCAGGCTTTTCCTATACACATCCAATACGTGCAAACATTTTCCCATGTTGGAGGCTGATGTGCCAGGGGAGTAGAACTTGAGCAAGAGCCTGGTCACAGACAATTCATCCTGTGTAAAACAAAGTAGACATTATTGAAATAATTAAAATCAAAATCAACAACTACTTAATTACTCAGTCGGCACAAGAAACTAACAGTGGAGGATCCAGACTCTTATACCTTATTGCTCTCCACTTCCACCAGCTTGTTGAGAACCAGCATCGGCAACTGGTTCTCAATCATTAACATGTCGCGTTTGATATATGGTATGATATGGAGCTTCCCATGATTGCTGAAGACGGGATCATTAAGAGCATAATCATCCAATATATTTGAAGCAATACGCACGACCTCCAGCATGAAACAGCCATCCAGAATCATTAGTTGCAAGAATCTTGCTGTATCATCTTTCCACCCAGGATCAAGCTGATCATACGAGTCCTTCAAATCTTGCACCACTTCAGTCAGTGCATTGACAAACAATTCAAGAGGTTTCCCACATCTCTTCAGGAAATGAAGAAGCGCACGGTGCTTGTGCACCTCCGTTGTATTTAAATGATCGAAATGGTAAGGACCGAAGGTGGCTACCTGGGGCTTGTAGGCCTTCTTGTTTATGTCTGTGATGGAAACTGGTAATTTGTAGATTGACCCCTTGCTCCAGTGTTCCTTCTCCGTTGTAAGATCTTCCATCTTACTGAGCTCTTCATTGACTTGAATAACCCATTTCGTGTCTGCCATCACAACCTTCTGGTTGGAGCTCAACGGTTCGACAGGCTTGATACACCTAAGTTTGTTTTATTCCTTTTATATATGCCTGTTTGAAAATCAGAATCAAATCTCCAGTTCTGTACAATGTTTCCAATCTCTTTATTCTTGCATTACAAACAAGATATCCGGTCAGTAGACAAACTAAATTAGCAAAGCATAAAACCCAGTGATTTGTTTAATTGGAGGCTTTCTTTAAAGCTCAAGTGAAGAGGAATTCCCCTGAACTACAGAGACTGAAGAACAACACTACCTCTGTACTGTACAACATTCCTTTCTTGATGGAAGTGAAAGTTTCAGTCTCAAATTCTTACCCAAGAATTTAAAATAAAATAAAAGTATCAGTCGGAGATCGATACTTTACAAAATTTTAGTGTGACCTGATTCCTTCCTTGAACACCAAGTTTCAACCAGCTTTACAAAAATTTTAAATGATACATTTCGCATAGTAACATTGTTTAAGTTTTCTCACAAGTTTCAGGACAATAAGAATTGCATTGTCAAATTTGAAATATGAGTAGAACAGAGTTTACCCGGATACAAAAACAGAGTCAAAAACAAGAAACAATGAAAATGAAGACTCAATTACAAAAACATATCAGTAGCCACCCTTGAGGTCATTGACGACGTCGTAAGGAATGGGAGTGACAGTTTCAATGGAAGCCCCGCCGACAATGAAGCCTGGCTTAGGCCCCTCAGGCTGCCTCTTGGTGCTAATCTTCACCCCACGAGCTTTTGCCTCCGCCTTCAGCTCGTCATTCCGAACCATTCTTGCTCTGAACTCTTCCTCGCACCTCGACGGCTGAACATGCTCCACCCTCACGTGAATCCGCTTCTTGATGACCCTGTTGCCGACCTGCTTGTTCATCTCGACGCCGATCGCGCGCTTTGTGACGTTCCAGACTTGGCCGGTGCGGCCATGGTAGAACTTGTGGGGCATGCCCTTGTGAACGGCGCCGTTTACCTTCACGTCCACGTAGTCGCCGGTTCTGTAGGTCTTTAGGTAGGTGGAGAGTGGGATGTAGCCCTTCTTCCTGAAAGCCCGTGAGAACAGGTCCCTCGTCCGACTGCGCAACCCATGACCCGCCGGCATCGCTTCTCTCTGTTTCTCGCTTTCTTTCTTTCTCTCTCTCTCTCTCCATCAAAACCCTAAAACCCTTTTATTACCCACTTGTAGCAGGCCCAATCCCTCACTACAAGCCCAGTAGAGTGTATTACCTATTTTCCGGTTACGTAAACCCAACCCAATATAAACTTGAAGAGGTGGGTGTGAAGACTATGGTTTTCATTTTATCCACCCTGTTATAAGGGCGGGCCTGTATCTAATATATCACGTGACATGTTGATGTTGTATTTTGCACTTGTACTAATTTTCTTTTATACATTCACGCACTCAGTACGAACACATAAAAATATCACATTCAATAAATCATCGTGGCCCATTGAGTGGTACATTCTACCTTCGAAATGCTGCTACAACACTCAATGGGCCATAATAACTCGACGAGGGTGATATTATCATCGTTCTTCCCGCAACCAATATCCAAACCCCAAATCTTGTATTGTAAACATAATACATGTTATAATTTGGGTGAATGGTGTGTATCTAATACAATTAATAATTTTTGTCCCCATGCAATAGATTGTTGTTGTAACAATTCACATGTAAACATTGACGATTTACTTGATAATTGATGTGACGGAGACATCACTATACACTGTATACAGTTCATCTAACGTCTGTGACTTTGTACAATGACTAGTTTGCTTTTCCCCACTCACTGCTCTTATTCAAAACTTAATTGACTGCTCATGGTGTCTCAGTCTCCAATATTAGGGTTTCTCTGTCACTACCCAATTTCTTTGTTACTCTGCTCTGCCATGCCTCCATTCCATGTTAGTCAATTTGACCCGCGAAATCTGCTAAATATGCTAACTTTTGCATTAATAATCGGGAGTGAGTTGGCTTTATGTCGTTTTCTCTGCTTTACACTTCTTTCCCCTTTTTCTTTTCATGACATTTCCTATTGAGGGAGACGATAATATACTAAACTCACAGACTATACGAATGCTAAAACTTGAACCCAAAATCTTTCCTAAGAGAACAATTACTTCAAACTACTATACAACTGAGCCATTTGACTTTCCCTTCTCTTTTGGTTCTCTATAGTTCCTTACCAATACTTCAGACAGCAAAAGTTTCTCTCAAAAGTAGATACAACCACCCTCTTTACCTCCGTAATTTGTTCCATTTGGAGCAATCCAATAATGATCATAAATTTTGTTACATTCAGATACAACCACATGTACTCACATTGACCAACTTCTTATTGCTCGACTTATTTTATGATAATAACCCACAAAAGAAGTCTTAATTACTGACACCAATTGTGATCTAATAACTCTAATTAGTGACTTAATTTAAAATTAGTGAGGCATGTTATCACAGTTCTGGAGGGCCATTTCTCTGACCATTTTTAGACTTTTTTATGTACAAAAATCTTGGGAGAGATGAATCCTCTTGGAAGCATCATTTCTTTTTCTGAACAAGAAGAGATCACCTCAATCCAATTATTCCTTATCTTAGTAAATCCCTCTAAAATACTTCCAAAACATTTCGAAGTTCGAGCAACCCCTCGTGGCCTTGGGGTTACAGATGAAAACACACCGACCCATCTGCCCTCTTGCTGTTGGCAGACCACTTATTTTTTCCTTTTCTTAGATCATGATGCTGCGGGGAATCAATCAAACCAAGAAAACCATGTGCTCACATGAAACCATGATACGTGGACCAATACACAAAAACTATTATTATTATATATATATAAAATAGTTTTTGAAACCAGAATAACAACCGAATTAACGATAATAACTGAACAACACATTGAAATCCCATGAATTTATGAAAGCCATATGTGGAAGTAACCCCCCACTACAATAAGAAATTGAATTGATGTAAACGAACAGTGCAGTAGTTCCAAATTAAACACCGAGTAGGTGTTAAGCAGAGCTGCTAATTAATTAGGGGTGTTTAACTTTAATTTAATTTAATTAAAAACAGTGTTACTGTGTCTGCATGCATGGGTTTGATAAATTTAGATGTCTCTGTCTCTCTTGCACTCCGGCGGGAGAGTGGGGTATCTGACTCTGTCAGTGCAGTAGTTGTAGATGGTGAATTTCTGGCGTACCCACTTGAGCCTCCTCCATTGATAAGCATCAAGGTCCTGGAACTCCTTCTGGTCCCACCATCTCTGGCCCTGCGTGGCACAGAATTTGGCCTCCACCGAGGCCTCACAGCCGTCGATGTGGAAGCCCTTGTACGTGGCAATGAAAGGGGCCTTGGACCAATCGGTCTTTTCCAGCCCACCCCTTGTGGCCCAATCGTCTGCGTTCCACAAGCTAGAGTACAGCTTCATGGGTTGGTTGAATGGGAATTTCACTCCCAAATCTTTGCTGTTTTTGAACACCCTGATTGGTATGTCGTCCACGAAGAATCTGATTTCATGACCATACACAAACATAAAAAGACACATTAGCCCCATATGGGATCTTACCAAATATTATAAGACGAAAACATGATTTCATCATCGACCGTATCAAAAAAGTTGGAAAAAAGAAAAAGTGGGAAGAAAAAATGGACTCTCTCCCCCACCCAACAAAATAGGGTATTTGGGTTGGGTTGGCTACCGTGTTCAAAAATTGTCGGTTGAAAAAATGCACGAGTTTAGTCCAATCATGGGTGAATTTTTTGGAAAATCACTCAATCGTTCAAACTCGATAATTTAGAGTATTGCTTGTACCAAAATAAAAAGTAACTTCGATTTACTAGGGAATGGCTAGCTACGTTTTTTTTCTCTCTCTTCATTTCTCAAAGGAATTTTTCTAGCTTTTTTATAGATACTACTTTGGTTATTAATTTATACCGAAAATTGTGCATTAATTGAGACATGAAATTTGCTGAAACTAGTAGATTTTTTAATATGCATAAGAAAACAGAGGAAATTTAAGGCAGAAAGGGTGAAAGAGGAACTTACACAATCTGGTAGAGATTCCAGAGGACAGAGTAGGAGTGGTAAGCTGTGGTTGGGTCGAACCAGAGGAAAATCCTCTGTTCTCTATCACCCTTTCCTCCGGTGAACACATTGGTCTGCAAAATGTAAGGCTGCCCTGTCCTGTTTCCCAGGAACTCAAAGTCTATCTCATCGTGCTCAGCGTTTTGAGAAGATAGCTGCATTAGTGTACATACACAAACATATATACATTTGTGAGTTGTAACCCCAAAACAAAGGTTTTTAAGCGGAAATGAAAGAAACTGAGAAACAATACTCACATAGTAAGCAGTGACAGTTCCGGCAGAGTCACCGGGGACCAACTTGATTTGCATATGGAAGTGGCCAAACAAGTAGTTTCCTTTTGATTGGAAGCCAGTGCCTTTAAAAATGAAAACCCAAGAACCAGTAAGCATACATGAATATGAAAGTCGAAAACTTTTTCACAAAATAATACAAAAGATTCTTCTTCTTTTCTTTTTTTCCTACCTGTGTATTTGTCCAGTTGGAGCTGAATCTCATTGCCTCCATTGAAGTACTTGATGTGATCAAAAGCCCAGGTGGGCTGATAGTTTCTGCCAAATGGCACTGATATAGGCTTTCTTGGGGGAGCTCCCATTGTTGCAGAGACCAAACACAGCAAACTCACAAACAGCGTCCATTGCTGGTAAGAAGCCATTTCTCTGCACAAAAACAAAAGTTCCCAAAGATGAAATTAGCAAAGCTTGGGACTTTAAAAGCAGCGTTCTTTAAGTTCCTAACAACATAAAAACTGTATGGTCTTCAAGATTTTAGAGCATTACCTCCAGCACAGAGGGAGAGAGAGATACTTGAGGTATGATGAGGAAAAAGGGGGGGAGGGCAAGTCCTTTTGTAGTGTCTGATTTTATCTGCATTACATAATTCAAGGGTTATGTTAAAATTGTTTAACCTGTCGTCAAATTAATTAAAAATTATTTATGAGATTATTAAAATACTCCAGTAGCATAACAGCTGTTCAATTTTTTATTTTTTTGCCCTTTCGGCACAGAGGAAGGGACTTCAAGTTTTGGGCACAGATAAAGAATGTGTTTGAAATTATAAACATACAATTATGGCTTTTTCCTTTACCCTCTCTCTCTCCATCACTCCGTCTCTGTTTTTGTCTTGTGGTCAATGAGAAATGAGAGCCTGGCTGGCCATATTGAACCTGGGCCACTCTGAGGAGAGGCCATGGAGAAAAGCACTGCTCTTACACTTTTTGTCTTCGTCTCTTTATCTATGGGCTACATTTGGACACAGCTAGCTCTTTGCGTGAAACTGGAAACTGCTTGCCTGTATCCAAGCGAAGAGTCGGCATCAGCCATAATTAGGGCGATAAAATTGGCCAATTGTGGAATTAATATGTGGAAGCAACTAATTGTATTGCTTTATTTAAATCTCCCATCGAAGCCACCAATAGAAAGTAAATGGGTGAGGATTTTGATTATCAAAGATAAACTTTAAAAGTAAACGAGTTATAACTGAAGTGGTTTTTCAAATCTTACCTCTTTTTGATTATTTTGAGTTTGCAATTTTAGTTGGAATGCATATGTCAGAGTTCTTTCAATCCAGCGTTATTGTTAATGGAGACCTACTAAATTGTCTTAATTTTGATATTAGATCGCTCTGTTATTGTAACAGCTATTTGTGGTTAGTTTGTATTGGTCATTCATAGTTAATTTGTATTGGTTTTTTGTGACTAACGACTTTTTTAGTTGAATTATGAATATAATTCTAGATTTATCAACAAACAAAAAAAAATATTTATCATCTCATTCGAGATTCTAGATTTGATTTTCCCCTCATCTAATATCGGATATAATATATATATATATATATTAATAAAATAACAAGTGCATAGGATGAAGCCCAGATAATTGTAATGCACGTGCAGACTGCCGCTCAGAGCTTTGCCGTTAGGGATTGTGACACATACTATACATAAGAGCCCCTGATCTACGGTGAAAACAGCCTCTCCTCATCCAGAACAGTTTTCTTGGTTTATTTATTTATTAGTTTAGGATCACTTGGTTCACAAATTAGCAACTCAGCATTGGAAATGGACCATGCGAGGTGTGTTGGTTAGAGTGAGAAAATTTCATATGGTGTGCTATGCGCATGGATGGATGTGTCACGTTTGTGATTTTGATAAGGGGCCAAGTGAAAAGTGATAAATAGACCAACTCTCCAACCTAACGCTAGTCTTTATCTTTTAAAATATATATGCGCGCGTAAATAACTGAGTATAGTTTAAAAAACTGCTTATAAGCATAAACAACTTATCGTAGCAGTGTCTCATTAATTTTTAACCGAGGAGGAACAAAACAAAAGGATGAAAGAAGGAGATGAGGGAGGGTAGGGTGCGATGGGATTTGATTGGATTAGATTGGGGGGTGCACATGAGGTCATGAATATGAACAACATCATGTGGATGGTCTAGCAACAGTTGTAACCTGAGCACATGACATGAATCCCCTCAATCTACATAATGTTGTGTTAATATTAAATAATAATGCAGACTTAGACTTGGTTTTGACAGAGAAAGGACGTGTTGCCTAATGCCCTATGAGATATGTGTTGTTGTGAATTTGTTATGTGATGTGATGTGTAATGAAATAATGTCCTGCAGCGCATCTCCCCTTCAGTTGATTCCTGAAACAAAACTAGTATAGACTTTTTTGGGGGGTTGTGTTCCAGCTCTATCCAATTCGATACCTGTCCTCTTCCGCTCCAGTTGTAATCTGTCAGATTTCGTTGATGACCATATTGACTCCTTCATTCAAATTTAAACCCGCTTCTTCTTTTTGTGTTTTGTTTTGTGTACATGTTTTGTTGTCTTCTCTTCCAAGTTCCAACTAGCGTGTCAAGTAGGCTCCCCCTTCATTTATTTAGCCAACCCAACACCTTCTTGTAGGTATAAAATAATGAATATAATGTTAATGCACACCAAAATCTCAAGGCGGCATCCTTTTCGGTTTCGTTTTTCTGACTTTTGTAGTTTTTATTTTTTCAAGCATTTTAAATGGAATAGGCAAATCTTATTTATTTTGCCACATCAGTATTTTTCACGCTCGAATGAAATAGACAAATAAATAAGCAATGTATACAGACTCTCCCCAACAAGATAACGTTGCCTACTTCAAAATGAATAGGCATATAGCACCCCACATATTTTTATTATTATAAAATACAACTTTCTTTTGTTTTTTGTTGTAATAAAATTTCTACCTACCAACTACTCCAAATAAATATGATAATATTGTATTGTCTAGTTTATTTGCCTAGTTCATTGGAGTTATCAGGTTTTTTTCCCAAGAAGTGAGGGAACAACATGCCACATCAATCTGTATAGTACAATTTTGCCTACTTTATTTGTAGATGCTCTAAGAATAGACTTAGAGATGAAGAACGGGGGAGAAACCTATATATATATATATATATATATATGTGAGAGCATAATGTTGACACAACTTCTTTGAGCTTAATATTATAAAATAATTGACTATGGCCAACAAGGTATAGCTCCGTGAAAAAAGACTTTGATTGGCCGAAAAATAAGAATTTCTAGTTCTAGGAAAGGAGACAAGTATTGTCCTTATCCATCTGATATGCATTTAAAGACTGAAGCTGAATTATACAACTCAAAGTTACAAGTCAGCTCTTAACTTCAAGTGTCAGCGACCCCTTTATAATTAAATCAAATTAATAATAATCTGAAACCCCTCGTAGATTTACAGTTTTTATACATTGAATGGAAGCCTGGGATCAAAAGAAGTTGCCTCCTTTGGAAACCACTGCTCAGCTCAGCTCAGCTCAGCATCTCTTCACAGATCCCCATGCATGTCCAGAGCAAATAACACCGGAACCAGATACTTGTTTGATGTTGTAACACGAGGTCAGAATCAGTTGACTTTGTTAACTTATTATGTGCAAATTAATTAAGGCTTAAAAGGTATATTAATTTGGTAGCCAAAGGCCGAAAGCTGTATTCGATCCATGCAATTATTATCCTGGAAAGTCTTTGCCCTCTTAACTCAATTGAATTTAGGAGCCAAGACATGTGGCATTAATGAGTATTTGACGTGTAATCTGGTTCCAGCCTTTCTGATTAGGCTATAAGCAAAATTAAGCATGCATGAAGACGAAGATGAATCATACGATACGATTCCCCTAAATCAAAATGGGGTCACAATTACAAATAAATCACTCATTATGATTTCATGATATGAATTATATTAGCTTAGCTGTCCAAAATTGTTGGGAGGGAGGGGAGAGAGAGTCTCAATAATTCAAACGAGCAACTTACATTACATGCTGCACGCTCCATGTTCACGTTTGGTGCCTGCTGCTCTCACAACATTGCCAACGACGCTTTAAATTCTTAGGCGCCACCCACAGAATTCCTATATCTTCTTGCCTCACTGCCATATCTTATTTATTATTTTGCTACATGTAGTTATTTGGGTTTCAATTTCTATCTAAAAATATATAAAAATTAACCCAAGTACAAATTTGTGCATATATTGTGTGATTGGTGATGATAATAACAAATCTAAAATAGTAACTATAAACGAGCGGCGGACGCACAAAAGAACTAACGGAGTTAGATACAAACCTAGCTACTAGCTTTTTCATATGATCAACTTTGAATCTTCGGCGCAAGTACAATATATTGATGCATGGACTGAATTATTAGCATTAACCCCCTTTTTTTTTGGCTCATTCAATGTGGTAGTCCTAGTCATTTTTAGCAGTATTATTAGGAGATAACTACTTCTAACTAACTATTTCATGAACCTAAATTTGGTTTTAACTTTTAGCAGCCGTTACCCTATTAAGTAGACACGTGAAGAAGGTTAGCATATATTTTTTGGTATTAAATAAATCAATTTGAACATAAATGTTTTTTTTTTCCGCCAAAGTTAAGAAGGAGAGAGGGAAAAACTCACATACACACAGGTACCATGGGTTCTTAAACCCATGACCACTTCGGGGCAAACCAAATACATGTACCAATCCAATTAACATCCTATTAGTATTTGAAAATACATGTTTTTTTTTTTTGGGCTGAATTTGAAAATACATGTTGAGTAAGCCCAAAATAAATGAATTTGAAAATATTTGAAAAACATAGATGAAAGTCGCATGGATTATGGGTCATCATTGAGCTGGCCCAGTATTAAAATATTATGGTCGGATTGGAGATGGGCTGAGCTTGGCATCTAGGCTTGGCTTCGGCGCGGCCACCCAAATAAAGTTAATAAGTATTGGGGTGAAAATATATGCGATCAAATCCAATGGGCTTAGAACCCTTGGGCGGGCTTGATGCAGGCTTTTCAGACTGCAAAGGAAATGATGATCTCAAATATCAAATTTGTCACACTATATTTTGATTTTCCATGTGGTTTTTAGAGCTTTTTACTCGAATTGTCAAAAAAAAAAAAAAAAAAAAAAAAAAAAATCTTACCCAATTGACCATTTAGATCAATGACAGTCATATTTTTACTTACTTCTTACCTATTTGACCATTCAATTTAGTAACATCCAAATTTGTACGTCGTATTTAGTTAAAAGTTATCGTGAGTTCGGCTTTTGTGTGTCACTTGATTAATAAAATGAATGAAACTTGTTCTTTTTCAGCGTTGGTTGCCATATTTTCCAACGCACGTGAGTTGTAAAATGTAATTTATGAAATAAAATAAAGTAAGTGTTTGATTTCCCACCCTTCCACTACCGCCAATTTTCATATTTTCCCTTTCTAGAAAAACGCTTCCCCAACAACAATAATATGATAGACTAGAGGAGAGTTAGGAAAGATACTGACTGAATACGGAGCATCTTTCTGGATAATAACATGATTGATTGGATATGAAATTCGGATCCTGTTATGGTTTTGTCTTTTTCCAATCAGCTCACTTCCTTTTCCTTTATGTTGTTGCGATTATGCGACTAAAGAAAGAGGATTAGATTTCTTTAATCAAATAAAGACAAGGTGGAAATCATGCCACTATTGCTTTTTTTGTATAAACTTGAAAAAATAATAATAAGAATCGTGTACGTATGAAATTTAGTCAAAGTAAAAGTCAGTCCTGTCTCCGTTATTTATTTTTTTATTTTTACTTTTTTTGGTTGGTTAATGAAAAAATGAGGTATAATATCAGTGAATCCGCGTTCCACCTTCAAGCCGCGTCGCTCACTCCATTCTCACTTCCTCCGCCCTACCCGGTCAACCCATTCTCACTTCGCTCCATCTCATTCCCACGTATACACACATGGCCCCATAGTCTATAATATGGTCCTCCTTGGTCAATTCAACAATCTTGACTGCATCTGCGCATCTCCATTTTTTATTTTATTTTTTATACAAGCGATATTGAAGGAAGGGAATTGGAACACAAGACCTTAGATTCAAGTAGTGGTGGAGCCACTCCTAGGCCTAGTGTGGCCTTGGCCCCACAAAATTTTTATCTCTCCTCTATTATATTATATATAACATATAGAATTTGTAATAAACAACTTATAATTGAAGTTAAAATTTATTCTAAAACAAATTAGACATCTCAATTAAAAATATTTAGTTCTAAACATGTAATTATTAAATACTTAGGTGCTTTATATACTTGTATTTTCTACTTCGACCTCCCCAACTTTACAATTCTAGCTCCGCCCTTGGATTCAGGGTAGCCGTTTTAACCACTTGAGCTACAAGTCTCTTGCATACATCTTCAATTAAATCACAATGTTACATGTGTCAACTTATTTATTTCTCAAAGAAGTCAAGCGGTAATTTTGCTATATATATTATTGATTTCGCATAGTTAGGAGCAAAGACTCTTTGTGATAAACATTATTAATAGTTGGTAATCGTATTGTTATCGGCGGCAATTGTCAACAACAACAACAAAAGTAAACAGAATCAATCAGTTACCGTTTTCTTTATTCAGGTCACACATTAAAATGATAATTATAGTGTCAAAACAATATAGAATTAAAGATCAATTAAAATTACGGTTGAGGAATTAAACCGCTCAACAAATTATGAGCATGCCGGAGGAGACTCGGAATTAATTAATCTCCATGTGAAGTCAAAATAATTAGATTGTAATTACTTATGGTGTGTACGCAGTATTGAGTTAGTTATTGTTGTTCCTAAATCAGCGCAAGCAAACTATGTAGAATATAAATGAACGTCGACCACTTGGCGTCATATTTAGATATGCATGCTTACCTTGTATGCTACGTACATTTAAGAGAAGAAGAAAGCGACTGAATGAATGTTAGGGTTTGTATGGTCAAAAGTCATTCCTTCCGATGCTTTCTAAGAAATGGTCTTTTCCAAATTTTAGTTTAGTAGATGCCGGTGCTGCCGTGTGTTCTACTTTTTTTTGCCAATACATTCTTACCTTACTTAGTTACATTATTTCTTAGGATGATTCAGGACTCTTTCCTCAATTCTTTTTTTTAATTTTTGCGAGGAGCTTTTATTTAAGTCAATTCTTCAAATTACGTATACGCCAACCAATTTCCTGTAGAGTGGTTGGATTAATAGTCATCATCATAGAAAAAAATGCTTCATAATTTCTTAAATAGTAACTAAACTAATTAACTTAGATGACCCAAAAGATAATCTCACTTTTAACACAAATTCCTTGGTCGTCAATTCATAGTTATTTTCGCGATTGTATATAATCTCTACAAAAGTATTTTTGATATATTTTTTTCTTAACTTCGAAGGTTATTGCAAAAAAAAATTTTAAAAAAAATTATACAAGTGATATTGGAGGAATGAGGTATTGAGCCTAGAACTTTATATATTGGAATAAATACTCTTAATCACTTGTGCTACAAGCTCTTACATGATGTTGCAATACTTAATATATCTAGAACCATCGAGCTAATATCACCAAAATAATCATCATTAATCATTTGAGTCTTCCTCCATTGACTGACCAAAATTTCATACGCGAAAGTCGGAACATGTGAAATTGGGTGCAATCAGGTAAAAAAAAACAAAAAAAACTATAGCAAACGTCATTTGTTTTCGAAATTCAAATGTATACCTCAAAAAATGTCGACACGAATAGTCAGTTTACACTGCATGTACACAAAGAATATGACATATAGACGAAGTACCTCGTAATGTCACTCTCCGGCATCCCACTCATCTATTTTTGTTTGGTTCATCACCATTACCCCACCGCCCTACTCACCTAGGCTATATATATACGACACAGCATCTGCACATTGAATCTGACTACCACAGCATCTGCACATTGAATCTGACTACCATACATCTGCAAATTATAAAATGAGGTTTATTTATTTATTTATTTTTGGGGTTAAAAGAGGTCGGCAAAAGACAAAATTATAATGTTTAATTTACTTCGTTACTTAGTCATGATATTATCATCTTTATCTCAACTAATATCGTTACACGTGTCATTCTTTCTAATATTTAAATGCATGTTCAATTACTAGGCGAAGTTGGATGTTCAATAATTTTGATCCAATAAATTACACAACAAAAATTAAAGTAAAAATGAATTAAGACAAGAAAATGGGATCTATATCTTTATATTTTTATTCGGTATGTTAGAACAAAAATCACATTTACATTCTCGAAGATTAAAAGTCTTCGGTGATTAAATCAGTTTTAGTAAGTTGAGTTAAAATTTACACTTTACCACTTAAGTTGCTTTGACTAAGGCTATATAATTTTGGGAGGTAAAAGAAAAGGTAATGAAAAAAAGGAGGCACTCAAATCCTTGGTTGCAGGAATGAGTTGACCGGCATTGGCATTGCTTTCCTACAACATTCTCATTTTTACTGAGTTTTCCTACCACTTTCTCCATCGCGTCTGCAGCTCTACACGCAAATACCATTATCATCATTAAAATAATAATAAGAAGAGGAACCCGCATCATCTGTATACGTACATCAGTGTCTCTCTTTCCTGTGTGTGCTAGTTTTGAGAGCCAGCAATCCCCGCCTTGCTGTCGCTAATTTGCTTGCCTTATTTTTCTTCGCTTTTCTCACGCTCTTGACTTTTCTCAGTTCAAAGTCGCCTTCGTATTACTGCATGCTCTCACCAGCCATAAGCTCCTCTCTTATTTATACTTCCCAAACACCTTCCATTTTAAACCCAAAACTTCTCGCTTCAGCCAAAAACCAAAACTAAAATAATCTCGAATCTCGAATCCCAATCTCTTTCTCATTTCTGTTAGTTTTGTTTGTTCTTAGCGGATTTTTTGGATACCGGCGAGAATTGAATCAGATTTCAATGGGGAGTCGGCGTCACGAGGAAGGGCTGATGACCTCCTCGGAGAACAACTCGGACACCGAGTCGACTCAGTTGTCGACAGCCGCGGAAGCAAGCGGCTCAGCTGAATTTGAAAGACGAGCTTTCAGCGGCCCGCTCGGTGAGCCTCACAATAGCTACGCTCCTTCTTCATTGTCTTCCAAATCCACCAGAGCTTGGCGCCGGATTAAGAGCGCCAAGTTCGACAAGTCCGCCGTGGACAGCAACCGGAACCCCGGCACCGACCAAAACGAAGACGATGCTTACGTGGAGATCACTCTCGACATCCTAGACGACACCGTCGCCGTCCACAGCGTCCAGGCCGCCGGCGGAGCCAGCAACGAAGACCCCGAGCTGGCTCTGCTGGCCAAGAAAACGCTTGAGGGGAAGAAATCGTCGTCGTTTCGGTCCTCGCTGCTTCGCAACACGTCGTCGCACATCAGGCAAGTCTCTCAGGAGCTGAAGCGCCTGGCTTCCTTCTCCAAGAGACCGTCTAACGCGAGGAGATTCGACCGCACCAAGTCCGCCACCGCCCACGCTTTAAAGAGCCTCAAGTTCATCACCGCCAAGACCGGCGGAGGCGCCTCCTCCTCCGCCGGATGGGTTGCCGTCGAAAAGCGCTTCGATGATCTTACTGTCAAATCCAACGGCCTCCTCCCTTCTTCCCTCTTCGGGGAATGCATAGGTCCGTCCGTACGTCCACAAGTGTTTGATGTTTTTTTTTCACTCAAATTAAGTAGGAGCGGAATGCTAAATTAGTTAAAGTTGTTTTTAATCGATTAATGTGTTCGATCAGGGATGAACAAAGAGTCGAAGGAGTTTGCAGGAGAGCTTTTCCGCGCGCTTGCTCGGAGGCGTAACATAAGTGGTGATGCCGTGAACAAGGCTCAGCTCCGGGAGTTCTGGGAGCAAATTTCTGATGAAAGCTTTGATTCGAGGCTCCAAACCTTCTTTGACATGTACTACTCTAAATTTATTTTATTTTTATCATTACTTATCTATTTAATTCTCACTTACTATATTTGTTAATTTTGTTAATTATTCTCATTAAATTAATTGGACTATAATCAATGTATGTGTGCAGGGTGGATAGAGACGCTGATGGTAGAATCACAGAGGAAGAAGTCCGAGAGGTAGGTGAACCGCCGTTTGTTGAGGACTGGCCGGTCAAATTTTTTTAGCTTCTTAATTTTTAAGGTGGCTTGCTAAACATGCATTTAATTAAAATATCTGTTTTAAATTAATTGTTTAATGCAGATCATTAGTCTGAGTGCTTCTGCAAACAAGCTCTCCAACATTCAAAAACAAGCTAAGGAATATTCAGCTTTGATTATGGAAGAGCTAGACCCGGATGGTGCTGGCTACATCATGGTATGCTGGTGTTGCTGCAACAATGCATGAAACTCGGAAACTCTGTTTTTCAAATGTACAAATACTTTGTCCAATTTTCTTTCCTCGCATTGACTCCATAAGTATTCAAACAGGTTGAAAACTTGGAAACTCTGTTGCTGCAAGCTCCAGTTGGCCAATCTGTCAGCGTAAACGAAAGCCGGGTTCTGAGCCAACTGCTGAGCCAGAAGCTGAAGCCCACACAGGAGAACAACCCAATCACACGATGGTATGAGAAGACCAAATACTTCTTGTTAGATAACTGGCAGAGAGTATGGGTTATGATGCTGTGGCTTGGCATAGTGTCCGGTCTCTTCGTCTACAAGTTTCTGCAGTACAAGAATAAGGCAGCATTTGAAGTGATGGGCTACTGTGTATGCATTGCTAAAGGAGGAGCAGAGACGCTTAAGTTCAACATGGCCTTAATTTTACTACCCGTCTGCCGAAACACCATCACTTGGCTCAGAAACAAGACCAAATTGGGCGTTGTTGTCCCTTTCGACGACAATTTAAACTTCCACAAGGTAACAGAAACGAAATGTCACTCTGCTGATACTGAGAATTCAATTTGGTCCACAAAATTGAGTCTTAAAGTTAATTGATCATGCAGGTCATTGCAGCTGGAATTGTTGTCGGGGTTGGACTGCACGCCGGGGCGCATTTAACCTGCGATTTCCCACGACTAATTCATGCAACTGAAGAAGAGTACGAGCCTATGATACCGTCCTTTGGTGAAGAGCAGCCTCCAAACTACTGGTGGTTTGTGAAGGGGGTGGAAGGGTGGACAGGCATTTCAATTGTGGTGTTGATGGCCATAGCTTTCACATTGGCCACTCCTTGGTTTAGGAGAAACAAACTGAACCTGCCAAAGCCCCTGAAGAAGCTCACAGGCTTCAATGCCTTCTGGTATTCACACCACCTGTTTGTCATTGTCTATGCTTTGCTCATCGTCCACGGCATTAAACTCTACCTCACCAAGGAATGGTATCATAAAACGGTCAGTTCCTAATTCATTTCCTGAATAATAAAAAAACCCTCAAATATTTGGTATCTAAGCTGCATAATTGTGAGAGTGACTTTGCTTTTGTGTGGTGGCAGACATGGATGTACTTGGCAGTCCCAGTTGTCCTTTACGGTTGTGAAAGGTTGATCAGAGCTTTTCGATCAAGCATCAAGCCAGTCAAGATTCTCAAGGTAGATTAATGAAAACTTGCTCAAGTATAACTACTATCTCAAATTGTATCCTCAAATTTCCAATTAGTTGTTTGACACATTGCTAAAATCATCATTGAAGGTTGCTGTTTATCCGGGAAATGTGCTTGCACTGCACATGTCGAAGCCTCAGGGCTTCAAATATAAGAGCGGGCAGTACACGTTTGTCAACTGTGCTGCGGTTTCTCCTTTTGAATGGTAGGCAGGCAAATATTTATAATCTGGTTCATACAGTCTTCTTCTAATCATGTCCAATTAGACAAAACAAAACCACTCTAATTATGTCCTAATTATATGATCAACAGGCACCCGTTTTCCATTACCTCGGCACCTGGAGACGACTACCTGAGCGTCCACATTCGAACACTAGGCGATTGGACGCGTCAGCTCAAAACTGTTTTCTCCGAGGTTTGTTGTTCAACAATTCTTATTTCTTAATTAATTACATGAACTTGTTAATTTCAAAATTAATCTCAGTATTGTTTGTTTGCATTGGTTAATTAGGTGTGCCAGCCTCCAACTGGTGGGAAGAGTGGCCTACTCAGAGCTGATAACATGCAAGGAGGAAACAATCCCAGGTACATTTTAATTAGATACACACGCATCTTTACAAATGTTTTTTTTCTTTTCTTCAAAGGTTGATCTTAATGTGATGAATTGGTGGAACAGCTTTCCCAAGATATTGATAGACGGTCCATACGGGGCACCAGCACAGGACTACAAGAAATACGACGTAGTACTGCTAGTGGGGCTTGGAATCGGGGCCACTCCCATGGTGAGCATTGTGAAGGACATCATCAACAACATGAAAATGAAGGGCAAGGACGACGACGACTCGATATTAGAGTCTTCCCTAGAAATGGGCAGGGTGAGCGGCAACCCATCAACTCCTAACCATAGCAGCAGCGGCAAGAACAAGAGCAACAGAGGGTTCAAGACCAGAAAGGCCTATTATTATTGGGTGACGCGGGAGCAAGGCTCGTTTGAATGGTTCAAAGGGATCTTGAATGAGGTGGCGGACATGGACGAGAAGGGTGTCATTGAGATCCACAACTACTGCACCAGTGTGTATGAGGAAGGAGATGCCAGGTCAGCCCTCATTGCCATGCTTCAGTCCCTTCACCATGCCAAGAATGGTGTGGATGTGGTGTCAGGGACACGTGTCAAATCCCACTTTGCGAAGCCCAACTGGCGCCAAGTCTACAAAGATATTGCTCGGCGTCATCCTGATAGCCGAGTGGGTGAGTACAAACTTCCTTCACCTCACCTCACCTCACCTACTTTTGCCAACCACATTATACTTTGAAAAATTGAAAAATTCATACATATTCAGAAGATTCGTGCTCATGCGGGCGCTATTCATACGAATTCCACGTGGACGACTGGCTCTAACATTCCTCTTAATTAAAATCATAATGATTAAGTAATTATTATTTGCATCATTCATCATAATCATGACGAAAATGATGATGGCATATGTGTTTATGTATATTTATGATTTTGTGCAGGCGTGTTTTATTGTGGAGCACCAGCACTAACAAAGGACTTGAAGGAATTGGCTTTGCACTTCTCCCACAAGACAACCACCAAGTTCGAATTTCATAAAGAGAACTTCTAATTATATAATAATTATAAACAAAATGGCATTCCTAATCTATGCAGCCCAGCAGTGGCAGAAAGCCTCCTGTATATCCCTAGTTTAGCTGATCTAATGCATATGTAAGAAGTGTAGATTAGAGAGTAGATAATTTTTTTGCGCACACAAAATGGGAAATAAAGTTAAGGAAAGAAGGTCTCCACTCCACCACAGCCCACATGGGGTGGTGGGTGTGCAATAACGCAATAATGCAATAATACCTACCACAGACAGCAGCAAGCAAGTACCGTCTTTGGTTTCGAGGAAAGTGGAGAAGAAGGGACCCGCCGCAAAAGATGACCACCAATAATGGATAGAGTCTTATTAGTATGGCAGCTGTGAGACATGTGATGATTTGATACATCACCACAGCAACCAATTGCATATACCAAAACTATTCCTTTTTTGTTTCTTTTTCTTTGGGGTTTTTATCTCTTAGATAAAGATTTTGTCCACATTATTTATTGGATGTCATTCTTTGAATTGAGGAGTATAATGCCGTTTCAGTATTCTAAAAGAGTTGTTCTATTTGTTTCTGATGATGGAGAAGTTTTAATTAAGGTCATTATTTCCGTTTACTCTTTTTTAAAACTTTACGCATTATATGGGCCATATTTGCTTTTAAAATATAATAAAATAATATGATATTTGGCATTTCGAGTGGAGTTAATTTTTTTTTCAAAGTGTCAAATTGCCACATCAAGTTCAAATTTAATATTTAACATTTAACATTTGACATCTCTATAAGAGATGGTCTTAGAGCATCTCCAACCGATATGTTAAAAGTGCCACATAGACATTTAACGGCTATAAATAACATCTCACATCACTCCAACCGAATTGTCAAAGCTGATGTGGAATGAAGGTTGGAGGTTCAGCTGTTATTTTTGACATCCCAAAAGCAAGATGTCAAATAAATATTTTATTATTTTTAAAGATAGATGGCTATGACTTTCATTTATAATTTTACTTTTTAATTATTTTTTCTTCTTTATCTTTAATGATTTGACTGTTACAATAATTATTTATTTGACATATCGGATGGAGTGTAAAACTGTTTAAATATCAAATTGCCACATTAGCCATCAAATTTAAATTTGATGTTTGGTATTTGACATCTCCCTTGGAAATGCTCTTACACAGCACGGATGCCACAAACTTTTTGATAAGCTGGAATATGCTTTAACATCACAAACATCACAAAATAGAATTTGGTCTCTGATTTGATTTTCTGGTGTTGAAGTTGAACAAATACTTGTCTATTCCATGGTCAATGATTCATGCATGATGCTTTTTCCTTTAGTCTTAAGTCTTAACCTACCCCGCCCAAGGCCCCAAAGACAAACACTAACCTTCCTTTTTGACCATTTGTATATGCTTGTGTTGTGTATGAGTCATGCGTAGGAATTGGTTCAAAAGTAATAATCATTCCTTCTTCAAACTAATTACAACCTTAATATGATAATACTTCAACATTTTTATTTTATTTTGTGCAAAGAATAAGTACACATGTCACATCAACAAAAAGAGCACATTATCCTTTACTTTTATCATCATCTTGCTTCCATTCATTTCCAAATGGACCACAAATTCAGAAAGGAGCATTTCTGAAAAATAATGTGCAAGTGGCAGAATATATCACGGTAAAAGAGGCACCGTCGGTTTTTGGGGGTATTCAATTCAACGTTGCCTAGGTTGGAAGTGGACAATCTTGACAAAATCCGAAAGGGTTGTTAAGGTGGCCAAATCTTGAAATGAACAAGTGTGTCAATTTTGTGCAACGCAAATGGATTTTGTTTGAAATCCTTCAAATACCATTTTGAAATGGCAAAAGCTGGCTTGCATTTGGGTTTCCGACGTGTGGTTGGTTGGTGGTGTTGTTAAAGATATGTACATTTCAAAAGGAAGATAATCTTTTTGACATATTTAAATATCATTCCGATGTCGTTATAGAATAGATTCAAAATTTTAAAATGAATCAGGTTGAATTTACCTTACAAAGAAATAAGTCGGCATGAACGGATTTTATTAATAATGAGCCATATACCCCTCAAAATACATCTAATACATAAGATATTAATAAAAAACATAGATTCATCCCTATGATTGTTTAAGTTCCAATAGCCATGCTTTCAATTTGTGGTGTTTAATGGTAAAACAAAGCATTTTGATCTAATTATGAATAGTGCTAAAAAAATAAAATCAACGACCTTCGGTTTCTGAAGATTCATGCGTTATCTGATTAAAAAAAAATGATTCATCCATTAAGGCATTGACCTTGACCCTCGTATAAACGCTATTCACATTGTGCTTAATGATGATGGGTGTGAATATAAACAATGCTTTGTGTGGAGATTAACAGTTGTAATCAATACCTTAATATGTATCTTATGCCAATCATGAGGTCATAACCCCACCCCAACCTTAAAATCATCATGCATGATCATTTTCATCAACAGCAGCAAAGTCACATCAAGAATCGAGAAAAACAATGATCAATGCACATTCTGCCCAAAAATAACAATGACCATATAAAGATAATGATGAATGCACATCAATGCATGACGTCATGTAATATATGTAACAGGGTATATAGTACATATAAAATACATATATATATATATTATTCAGCGAATCTATTAAAAACATACGGAAAATATTCAAGCATTATACGGGAAAATTAATTATTTAATTTATTTTTTTGTAATTGTAGTCCTTTTTTCAATATACCTCTGGATAGCACTCAAGACACTTCACAATGTGATTATGCCAACGCTAAGAGCATTTTCACCCTAAAGTAGAGCCGGCCCATGGCATGTGCGACCCCACAGGATCTCAAAAAATGAGAGGTCTCAAATTTTATATAAATAATGTTGCATTACAATTTTACAATTATATATGTACAATTATTACAATTATTATAAGATTGCTTTACAATTCTCCAAGCACGTTTTTGTTCCCAACAACCTCTCTCTTTTCTCCTATTCTTTTTTTCATATTTTGGTTGAATCAATGTTCTCCTCTTTTTGATTAAATTTTTTTTTCTCCTCTTCTTCCTTCTACTAGTTCCAATTTTTTTTTTTACATGTTCCTCATATCAACATTTTCATTTTATTTCCATTTTTGGGTGGCTTGGTGTGGTATATCTGACCATTTTTTTCCCCATTTTTGTCTGACTTGCTTGACTTGCTGTTGTTTCTCTAGCTATTTTTTTCTTTCCATTTTTGCCTGTCTTGGTGTGGCTTGGTATGACGTGTATTATGTTACAATATTGGAAAACATCATATGGAATTGAAAATAGATATAGAAGACAATTGAGTGAATGTGAGTATTTGAAAATAGATGTAATTCATGCCACTAATGATGATTTTGGTTTAATTTATAAATTTTGAAAATTGTAAAATTTACGACAAATTTTTTTTATTTAAAAATTTTTAATTTAATATATAGGGTTTCATCAGTTTCTTTGCACAGGGCCTCCCAATCTAATGGACCGGCAGCAAGGGAGAGGTAAGGTCTGTCACTATTCATGTGAATAGTAGCAACCCTTGCATATTTTGTTTCCACCCCTATAGGTAAGGGTAAGAGCAATGACAATTACTATTCACTTTAATTTATTTTCTATTTTTTTAATATTTAAACGATTAATTTTGTTAAGATTTTCGGTTGTCACGTGTCACTATTTATTATAAAATTTCAGATAAGATTTTCGGATAAAATTTTAGCATAAAATTTTCAAATAAGATTTTCGATTGCCACGTGTCCGTATTTTGTTATAACATTCAGATCTCAAATTTCAGATAAGATTTTCGGTTTCCATGTGTCGATATTTATTATAAAATTATAATCTCATATTTCAAATAAGATTTTCACCCTATAAAGTTGCGGCACGTGTCATCTCTATCTTCTAAATCCCTCTATAAAACTACACCCTCAACTCAGACCTCTCACACCATTTCCTCTCTATCCTTTCATTTTTCAAATTTTACAAAACATATTCTACTCTCAATGTTTAACCCGAAGAGAGTGTTGGAGAGGCAATAGTGAGAAGATGAAGAAATCAGGCACAGACATGCTGAAGAAGATCATGAGTTGGATGAAGATGAGGATGAAGTTGTTTTAGCAGTGCATATGCTCAATCAATCAAGGCAACACCACCACGGTCGTGTCTCGAGCGTGGACATACATAGGCACTCTCGAGGTAAGAATCACTTGAAAGATTACTTTATTCCAAATTCATTATATCCTATTTCTTATTTTCGAGAGAGATATAGAATGCAGCCCCATTTGTTCAAAAAATATGCACGATGTTTGCAATTACGATACATATTTCGTTCAGAAATATGATGCTATTGGGGTTTTGGGTCTTCTTCCGGAGCAAAAACTTACAGCTGCTTTACGGATGCTTGCATATAGGGCATCTGCAGGCCAGGTGCATGAGATTGCTAGGATGGGGAAATCAACTATCTTAGAGTGTTTGGTCATATTCTATGATGTAATAGAAACTCTCTACACAAGGGATTACCTCCGCAAGCCTACGCCTAGAGACCTCCAAATGTTTCTACAAAAAGCTGAGGTTCGAAGTTTTCTAGGCATGATTGGAAGCATTGGCTGCATGTATTGGCAGTGAAAGAATTGCCTAAATGCTTGGCAAGGAGATTATGGGAATATGAATGGCCAAAAAAGTATAATTCTGGAGGGTTTGGCATGCCTTTTTCGGAGCTACAGGATCTCAAAACGGCCTCAATATGCTTGGTCAATCCCCGGTATTCAATGATGTCTTGAAAGGTCATTCCCCCCAGATCATGTATCAAATCAACAATACTGTGTACTCGGGTAGGTACTACCTATCCGACGAAATTTATCTAAGGTGGACAACATTCGTCAAAACAATTCAGAATCCCAATTGGAGAAGGAAAAAATCTTTGCTGCCTTTTAAGAGGGTTATAAGAAAGATGTGGAAATGTGTTTTGGTATCATGCAAACTCGTTGGGCAATTATTTGGGGTGTTGCTCGTATGTTTGATGAAGAGGTGCTTCAGAGCATTATGATGACTTGCATCATCCTTCATAATATAATTGTGGAGGATGAGTATGATTATGATGCCTAGAAATGTTCGAACCCGATCCCATGAACATGGCATTGACAAGAATTTATGAACGGTCCGTGGAAGCAAATGGACAACCATTGGAGCACAAATTGTTGATTAGGGGTGGTCGATACAACAATCGTATGATTGATCGTTATATGGAAATGCAATCTTCTTATGTTCACGAGAGACGTCAAGTTGACTTGATCGAGCACTTATAGGTGATGAAAGACAATCACGGTGGATGAAGTCAAGTTTAATGCTTTGTTTTTAATTATGGGTTGCTTTGCGTGTGGTTTGTAATGAATTCAGGTTTGTTTTTATGTATGAAATGTTTTTAATAAATAGCTATATTATTTAATGCTTTTTTTTATTTAATAAAAGAGAAACAATACAACAAATTAATACATATGACAACTCTTTCAATACAACCTAATGGTTTTGATAATTTAATCAATCTGTGTTGCTAGGTCCATCATTATGGAAAAACTTTCTTCTCATAACATCCCTTCGTTTTAGCTTCCAATAAGACTTTATTTCAGGAGACATATGGCTCATATCCATGGCCATGATTTTAATCTTTCTGTCCTCCATGTCTTGTTGTTGTGCCTATTGCCTTTCAATTGTATATGCTTCATATCGTGCCTTGTTAGCTTCTTCTCTTTTCAAGTCTTTCTCAATTCTCAGTGCGCTGTTCTTAGCAATTTGCTCTAAAATTTTGCACATTCAGTGTTCAAAGTGCTCCCTCTCTTGGCCTTTGCCGCCTTTCTCCCAATATGCCTCGGCTCACGTTGGATTGGTGATTCTTAATCCATTGGGAAGTCTAATAGAGAATTAGTTACTAGTGAATCATGGAGCGGCGTCTCATTCAACACAACCGTCAAACCAATGGAAACGCAATAAAATATTAATTTTTTTGGAAATGCAATAAAATCAAATAAAAATGGAAATGCAAGAAAATATTTATAAAAAAAATGTGACATTAAATTGAATAAAACTGCATTTAGAAATATTTTACCTTGTCACCAAGATTTTGATCGCTTCAAATGTTCTCCCTCACTTTTGCCAAGCATCTCTCCATTTCCCTAACTCTTTATTCAAAATTTTCTACCTACTAGCTAAGGCCATTTCCATACGAGCCAAACCCTATCTTTCACAAAATTCTCCATGAATTTTTCTCCACATATGAGAGGACTTCATCTCATTGCGGGCAATGACCAACTTTGACCCTACACTCACACAACAAAATATCTTCCATTGTTGTCCACGCACCTTCGGCTTCGATGGAAGAGACCCTTTGTATTTTTACACAAATGGAATTTAGTAGTAGAAAATTTTGTATGGAAAGTGAAAATATTAGAAGTAGATGAATTTGTATGAAGATTTTGGTGTGGAAAGTGAATAATATTGATAGGTATTTATAGAAAAAAATTCTAGAATTTTTTGATATTTTTTAAGCCAAAAAATGGAAAGCCGTTGGATTTGATAAGATTTTTGGATCCAAGACTCCAGGAGAAGCTACGTGGCTTGTTGCCATTGGTTTCTGACAGCAGTGCACACGCCAACGATAATTTTATTTTATTTTTTGAAATTCTTGCACTGACGCCAGCAACCCGAAAGCAAGAAGACTGGTAAGATCTCCTCGTAGGCTTGCTCGGGCTCGTGGGTCCCGTGCCTTGCTCGGGTTGGATCTTACGCGCTGGAGTCTCCTTCTAGGCCTAGGGCCCCCTCCTGTCTGGGCTAGCCCTGGCGGTGGACTTGCTCTAAGAAAGACCTAAAAGGGAAACAATAAATAGCACATCATTCAACAACAACAAAGATTGTATATAACAAGGAGGAGTCTCAACTGCAAAAATTCCATCAATTGGAGAAGACACAACCATTCTTTGGAGTTTTAGGGTTAACAAATCTATTATTGACCCTTTTTCAGGTCCTTCTTGTTAGAATCGGCAATGTTACTAGAATCATTAATATGCTCACTGGTAGGGGATTCAGTCACTAAATTTTCAGTAGAGTACTTCTTAATTCTCAAGGAAATAAGAATGCTAGAGCCAATTCCTAGTACAGGAAAAAGATATGACCAAATTTGAGATTTCCGAGAGCCAGATGCTGAAGAAACAGCAGCACCAGCCAAACTGCCAATCGATGTGTTCTGTAAAATCATAGGCATGCAGCCAATAACTGTTGGAAGCAGAAAATCGACAACAAACCGAACTCTTGTTGCAGCAAGGGCATAATTTATGATATAGGAGGGCATTGGCGAGAAGCGGGCAAGTAGAACAAATCTCCAACCATCTCGCTCAACTCCTCTGGAGAGGACAGCGAAGTACCTATTCCTCTGGACCCACTCCATTGCTGAACTTGAGCTCTTGAATATTAACCTGCAGAATCCACAACATTAAAGCATTCCTAAAAGCAATTATTGAACACGCACACGAACCGCAACCTAATCAACAGAGCATTAATCACAACAAATTGGCACAGGGGCAATTGGAGTTGTCATATGAAGAATGTAAAACGTTGCAAGCAATGCTGCTCATAGGTTACTAGGTTAGTGTATCATATTATTTTGATCATATTATGAATGGTATTTGATACCGGTACTATGCATTCCGCATTACAGGTACCAAGGTTAATTCTTCTGCAGAAGCCCTCATACTCATCTAAATCAGAATTTTAAAAAAACTTTTCTTTCACTCAAAAAGTTTAAATCACACTTCCAGTTCTAGACATTTGTAGTCAATGACTCAACTTACAAGATAACAATCATAACTCTATCTAATCCTCTGATAGAGTCTTAGATTCACCTCTACTAGATTCACAAAACCATACATTTCATACTTTATTCTTTCTCATGCTGTAACTCATCCGCCCAAATATTCTCATTTCAGAAACAACCTCTATCACAGAGCATTAAACATATACCTGTATCAGTAAACTGTATTTGACTATAGCTCTTTCATTTCAGGCATGAATTCATTAAAAAGGGAAAAGGGTAGTTAAATTTTTTTGTGGTGGGGGTGATTCCTGTGTAATTTTTCATTAAATTTCTCACCTTTCACCTGTTAAAAAAAAACTTCAAAAAGCACAAAACTTTATCTCACAGTAATTGACAAATGATCCCTGTCCTGTGTCTCTTTGATACAAAATCCAAATTCTAACAGTTATACCTACACTTTTATATTAAAATGATTCCAATGGCCCCCAGATCTTGCCGAACTGTTGATAAGAAAAGGGCAAGTATTGAATTTGAAGAAGTACCTGCCAATCCAAAAGGAGAGGGAAGCACCGAGCAGCTTGGCGGCAAAGACGCAGAGGACAGCCGGGAAGAAGCCGAAGAGAAGAGAAGCGGCGGCCTCGAAGAAAATGGCGTAGGGCAAGCAGAGAGCGAGAGTGAGGGTATGGATCGCCACGTACAACGGGATGGCCCATACTCCCAGCCGATCAGACAATTCACCAAACACCTTCAGCAGAGCGTCCTTGTCCCATCCGTACAGCTTTGTCAATTCCCTTCCTATCCCAATTATCCCCACCACCAATCCTATCGTCCACCATCTCTTCCCCATTTCTCCTTCTTTCTCTGTCTCTTTTCTCTCTGTCTCTGTCTCTGTCTCTGTCTCTCTCACTCTTCTGTTACACCATACGGGCTACGGCATTGAATACCCAGATAGATCTTCATGGGCCGGATCCATGTAATGGGCCCTCTATTTTATTAATGTGCCTATTTGTGTCATGAAGGATACTTAGTCATATTTGGCCCACTCACTTTTCTTTTTCTTATTTTTGTTTGGTTCGTTCTGGTTGATTTTATAGCATGTTTACTCATCGTGAATGAGTACTATAATGATTCTAATTCATGTTTCTCAAACTAACACACAAGAAATAAAAAAGGAGATGGAAAACTCTGTAATCAATCACCCTCAAAATCAATAACAGAATCAAATAGGGGAATAATTAATTCAATTTCAATTCCTTAATTTCTCCATAATTGGTACTTTGGGCTCTAGCAATCATGAATGGGGATGAACGGCCCCTATGGCTTTTTTTTTCCCAGCCCAAAATAATATACCTAGCCTATTGAAAAATATAAAGTCCCACGTCGAAAATTGGACTAAATAAATTAAAACTTATAATAAGTGGTTCCACTTCTAATAATAATGAGTCCTTTTGTGATAAAACTCGTCCCTATGGGCTGTGGCCTAGTGAGGTTTTTGGGATAAAGAAATATAAACCTATATATGTGCCTTCTTTCAAATATAGCCAAATATGTATTAACCTATTAATGTCCAAAAAATCCAATTCTTTATGAAATTAGTTGCATGACAACAATAAAAATACACATTAAAATATGTACATTTTCAATTCTGTTGTTGAACATATTTTCATTTTGTTAATATATGATTTTTTGTTGCAATTGATATAGATTTGTTTTAAGTTAAAGTTTATTGGAAATTGTATGGGGTTTATAGTTCAAATAGTAAAGACCATTTACACTTGCCTAAGGTTTGATTTTCCCTTCCCCAATATCGTTTGTATCCAAATATGTATATTTTATTATTATTGAAAATTAGTCAATTGAGTTATGAACTAGCATGGTTTATTATATGATTTATTGTTTACTTTTATTTCTACAAAGACTATAAAATTGTAAGTACCAAAAAAAAATTATCATTAGATTTTTAGCTAATAAATATAGATAGTCCATCCATTGAAAAATTCCCAGCTCATTCAGCCATTGAACACAAGCCCACCCAAAAATCTAAGAGGGGTGTATTTAATTAGGATTCTAGAGCATTTAAATAAATAAAAAAATTAAGTGCCAAATTTCATGGAACTCTACCCTCCACTTTTGGATGAGGGAAAATAACTCGAAATTTAGCTCAAAGTTGGGAATTTAAGAGGAGAAATTGACAATTCCCTTGTTTGACAACTTAAGCGTGTAATTTATTAAATTACACGTGGAAAAAATCGTAAAAATTGGGGCATCAAATTCCCAAGTTTAATTTCCACAAAAATAGGCTTCATTTCACAATTTCCATAATGTCATTTACAAAATTATGTCATTGACAAAATTCGACATACATAAGTCCAAACACTAAAATTTTCAATTGCCAAAAATTGAAATGATGGAAATCTAAATTCCATCATTTTAGAATTCTATATAATTTTCAATTCCTTCATCCAAACGGAGAGTTATGAAACTTTTAGATTTTACATAGACTTGAGAAGAGTTGTATATAATTTTATTATAAGATTTGTATAGCTTTTATTCCAGACTTCCATAATTTTTTTTAAACATATTTCTTTAGACAAATGCTAACTTTGGCATCCTTACCCAGACATTGTTTTTATTTCTTTGTTTTAATTTTTTTTTTTCTATTTTCAGTAAAAGTTCAAGAACTCTATGTGTATGAGATCAACGATAGAGACAGAGGAAGCCCATCATAAAAGAAGTCAACTCACTTGGTGACCTTGTCCCATTCAGCAACAAGATCTACCCTGGGGACTTGGAGAAAAGGTTGGGCGTAACAACAGGCCTATGTGTTTTGATCCAAAACTTACCGGAGAAGAAAGGAGATAGGTACGATGAAGGAAAATCATGCAAAAAGAAAATCCAACGAGGTAACGATCAAAGAAAAGATAGGGAGTGTACCTTCCTAGATGGAGGAAACTGTTCGTTTTCTGTAGAGAGAAAAGCTAGGGTATATGCAGAGAGAAAAACTAACGTATGATGGAATCTTTTGCTGGGAGGTTGGATTTATAATGATCTTTGTTATTTATATCTCTCACCTTAAAACCTACTAAAATTTATCACTCAATGAAATCATTCCAAATATATGAAATTTTGAATACACCTAGATTTTATTGAACTTTTTTATAATCCTAATTGAACACACGCATATTAGTATGGACTTTTTAAAAGTTAATACAAGTCTAAATTGAATACACTCAGACTTGTAGAAACTCTTTTAAGTTCGTATAAATTCAAATTAAATACACCCGAATTTTTAAAATCTTTTTAAACTATCTAGAATCTTAATTGAATACACCCCTCTAAAATATCATGGAGGGTTAATGGTTCTATTGGTCCCCCAACTTTGACCGAATTTTTCATTTGAGTACCTCAATTTCCAAAATGGTACCCACGGTCCCTGCAACTTAAGTTTTGTTTGAATTACTAGTCCCACCGTTACTTATGTTAGTTTTTTCGTTATATTTAGGGGTATATGGGTCTTTTCATGTTGGTTTTGAGGGACAAAAAAGATTTTTACCCTTTTAGGATCTCTGATACGAGTATAATGAAACTCTTGTACTTCATACCAAAAAAAGAAGAAAAGAACTCTTGTACGAACGAAAAAGTTGAAGAAGAAAAAGACGAAGCTTTCAGACGAATCTTTTCTGTTGAAGCTTTCAGACAAAAGCAAAAAAGCTGAAGAGTTTGAGTTGATTTTGTCTGGGTCATTGTGTATTAAGGTCGTCTGGTGTCGATACGTCTTGGTTATCTCATTGTGGGGTCAATAGGTGTTGTCGACAACTTTGATGGAGTTTGCATTCAAGACTTCTGGAGACCCCCCCATATACGGTATGCGATGCTAATGGAAGTACTAGGAATGCTTTTTGATATGTTAATTGCTTTTTGTTGTTTTGGAATTATGTCTGTGTCTACTCAAACTGTGCATCAATTGAGGGTTTTGTTATTGTCTTTGTTGTTTTCTTTTGTCTTTATGTCAACATGAACGCATACCTTGTGTTTTGGTCAAACATTGAGTGCATACTTGGTCCTACTATCCTTTGTTGAATTTAAGGGTTTGTGGTCCTACTGGTTTGATATATGTGAATTGATTGCACAGTTGCACACACTAGCACATTTGGTGGTCCTACTGGTAGATTTGTGGTATACTGGTAGGGTTTAGTGTGATTTGTCTTTATTTAGGTGAGTAGAGATTTTAAAAATTGGTGTTGAACTGAGACTACTGCTTCATTTGCAGATAAGGGTGAGTTCTGCACTTTGGAAATTCACCATGGGGGTGTTGTACAAGATGGGGTTTATAAGGGGGGGACATTGTGCTATTTGGACAACTGTGTAGATGATTATCTATCACTCTTGGATTTAAGGAAAATAGGTATATAGTTAGGATATGAAGTGGACCTAACTAAGAAGGAGATAGGTTTGCAAATATATTGTAAGATGTATGACAGTAATGGTGAAACTATTGTAAAGCTCATTGACAATGACAGTGTTATATGTAAGATGGTTGGCTGCATAACAAGTAACAAAGTGTTGGTGTTATACTATACTGACAACAAAACAAGTGAAAAGACATGGACTCAAACATCTGTGGAATGGCCTAGTTTGCAGAGTGAAGAATACAACTATGGGAGATTTAATGAAGACCACATGAAGGAGGATAATGAGGCTTTAGATACTGATGCGCATGTTGTTTCGCTTGGAGATTGTGAAGCTATAGTTGATGAAGAAGAAAAAGAGTCAGAGTATGTGGATAGTGATTATGAGTTTAGTGAAGATGAGGAGGCAAACAAAGGTTGTAATGTAGACATCAATATGCCTTGTGATGAAGAAGTGAATGTTGAGACTGAAACACAAACACAAGGGCTAGGAGAGATTTCTGATGATGGGGCAGATTCTAATACTTTAAATTTTGATGGGAACACCTCAGATGATAAGAATACCAGTCGACATTGCACAAAAAAGCAGAGGATTCGCCTACCAAAGTTCAAGCAATATAGGAGAGCTACTGACTTTAAAAATCCAGAGTTTCATTTGGGGATGCAATTTGCAAATCGGGAGCACTTGAAAGAAGCAATAAAGGAGTATGCCATTGTAAACGGCAAGCTGCTGAAATTTCAAAAAAATGACAAGAGGAGGGTGAAGGTCTTGTGTAGTGGATCTGGAAACTGTGCATTTGTTCTTTATACATCTAGGATTGATAAACAGGAATCCACTTTTGTAGTAAAGGCTATACATGCTGATCATACATGTGGCAGAGTAGACAGGTTGAGATATGCTAATTCAACATGGATTTCAGAAAGATTTTGTGATAAGATGAGAAGAAATCCTAATTGGACTGTGGGGCAACTTCAAGATGAGGTGAGGGAACACTATGCAATGAATGTTACACAGAACCAAGTGTATAGGGCAAAAAAATTGGCTAAGAAGGTCATTAAAGATTCGTACAAGGAACAATTCAAGAGATTAAGGGATTATGCATAGCAAATTAAGAAGACCAACCCTGGAAGTACTGTGGTAATTAAAACTGAACTAGCAGGTGATGATGCATTGTTTGAACAGATTTATATTTGTTTAGCTGGTTCTAAAAAGGGTTTCTTAGAAGGGTGTAGGCTTGTCGTAGGTGTTGATGGGTGCCACTTAAAAGGACCCTGCTCAGGGCAGATCTTAACTGCAGTTGGTGTTGATGGGAACAATGGTATGTTCCCTTTGGCCTATGCTGTAGTTGAAATAGAAAGCAAGGAAAGTTGGATATGGTTTCTAGAACTCTTAATTGCAAACTTGGGGATCCAAAATGGTTTGGCATAAGTGTTTATAAGTGATAAACAGAAGAGGCTAATTCCTGCTATGCAAACAGTTTTACCAAATACTGAACACAGAATGTGCGTGAGACATTTGTATAACAACTTCAGAGGCCAGTACACAGGACTTGCTCTAAAACATTTGCTATGGGCTACTGCAAGGGCAACCACATTGCCTTGGTGGGAAGCAGAGATGGATAATCTGAAAAGGGAGGATGCAGATGCTTGGGGGTGGCTAATTGAAAGGCATGCAAAAAATTGGTCAAGATCTCATTTTGCAACACACTATAAGTGTGATTTGTTGTTAAATAACCTATGTAAAAGCTTCAATGCAGCCATAAGGGATAAGCCAATCCTAACATGCCTTGAGAGAATAAGGATGTATATTATGATTAGGATGGCTAATAGAAGGGCTTCTTGTCAACATTGGAGGTGTACTGTTGGTCCTAGAATCTTCAACATAATAGAGAAAAATAAGTTGGCATCAAGTCAATGCATACCAAGGTTGGCTGGGGAGAAGAAATATCAAGTAAGTCAGTTGTATGAGGGAGAATTTGCTGTCGATCTAAGAGCAAAGACTTGCTCTTGTATAAGATGGGACTTATGTAGGATTCCTTGCCCACATGCAATTTTTGCTATTTTCTATAGAAATGAAGACATAGAGGATTATGTGGATAAATTGTACAAGAAAGATGCTTACTTAAAAACATATGGTCCTATCATTGGACCTGTTCATTCCATTGACCAATGGCCACGGAGTGGTTTAGCAGCTATTAAGCCTCCCAACTTCAGAATCCAACCTTGAAGGCCAAGGAAGGTAAGGACAAAAGAACCAGGGGAGGTGGAAATACCAGCTCCAGTACCTCCAAATCCAAAACCACCCAACTGGAAACCACAACCTGCAAGGCTCAGACAAATCTTTATCAAGATTTGGTGCACAAGATGTGGTCAAGAAGGACACAATAAAAGAGGGTAAAAGCTGCATTCAGATTGTAGGGGGTTTTTTGTTCCAGCAGCCTGACGAATGGGCCTGGGCTGCTGTAAGAAGACAACGAGTAAAATCCCTCAAATGCCTGAGTTCGAAACCAAGCTCCCAAGAGAGTTTTTAGAAAATCTGATAAGATTTTAAAAGAACACTCTCAGGATCACTTTACTAACACCCAAATAAGCATGATGATTTCACTAATGACTTAGCCTGAGGAGCATGTGGCATGGGAGCTAAGCTTTCACAAGTTTAGCAGTTTGAGAGAGAGAGAGAAGCATGAATTTCTTACAGAGGATAAAATCTAAACTGGGAACGAAGGAAAACTTAGCAAGGTTTTATCTCAGGGAAAGAAGAAAACAACGGGGAAAGAGGATTGGGTGGCTTGAGTAAATTTCAGGTTGCTTGACAAAGCTTGGTCAGGCTCTTGATGGATTTTCTGGGTAACAAAAGCCTCCTTTTATAGGCGTTAAGAGCCCTAATTTTGTCTGGTCTTCTTCCTCCTTTTCTCTTGGCAGCTCCTACTTAGTCCTATTTTCGTGCAATTCTCTTATCAAGGCATATGGGAAAGGAACCATTGTGGTTCCAACGAGTTTGACGCAGCTGGACCTCCCCACAAGGGTGAGGCGCCACTTTGCTTTCTCTCAGTGTTTTCAAAACAGAGCTTGTAATGGGGAAGGAGATGGGTGGAGCCTTTTGTCTGATGGGTATTTGCCCTTTACCCATGAATTTCTGCTGGTTCTTGCCTTGACCTTTTGTCTGACTTGCTTGGAGTCTTATCAGGGGTGGAACACAATGACAACTTTTGTATAAGCTGCTGGACTGGGCTTTGTGCGTGACTTTTGGGCTGCTGGCCTATTATTTCTAGTGAATTTTTGTCAAACTGCTGGAAAGGGCTTTTAACTCTATTGATGTGGGTTGGGCTAAGCATGTTGGTGGGTTTTTTTGGTGTCTTCCTAGAGCATGGGGCAATTTTTTCTCTTCTCTTTTATGCTAACCCATGTGCTTGGGTTCTAGGAACGGGCTTGAGTTCCAAAGCCCCCAAGTGGCTTTGAAACCTACGTTCTTTGAACCCTCAATGGGCCCCATGATTGCTTGTTTCCTTCCATACCACACAACCTTCTCAGTAAGCCCCGTTAATTTTGTGGCTTGGGCCCACTTAAGCTCGTGACGTAGCTCGGTATTAGAATGCGCATGATTTCTATGCTCGTGCTCGGGGTTTTATTATGCCGTGATAGACTACAGTTGGGCCAAGTAGCACTGAATGAGCATGTGAGCGTGATTTAGTAATATCGGTATGTTCTTGGCTCCTTCTGCACGTGCTTGTTTAGCATGATTTGTGGCTTGTAGCTTGTGTTGGCAACTCTTATAAATTTTCTTTTATCCCGATTGAGCTTATTTTGCATCTAATCACCCATATTGGGCTAAGGGTTAATTTGGGCTTAGCCCCTTGGATTTTTGTGCCTCAACACAGATTCCTTGCATTCATGTTATCACCTATAACCTAACCTAATCTAATTTTGTAATGATTCCAGATGCAAGCTGAAGAAGGCCAAGCTCCAGCTCCCCAAGCTCAGGCTCCAGCTCACTAAGCCCAAACTCATGCTCCCCAAGCCCAAGCTCCAGCTCCCTATGCCCAAAATCATGCTCCCCAAGCCCAAGCCCAATCCCAAGCTCAAGCCCAAGGCCAAACTGAAGCCTTTTATGAAAATATCCAAGCAAGAGCAGTAATTGGACCAAATCTAGTAGCCCAACATGTAAGTGTAGTTTGAAGATGGTTTGATATTCACATGTTCTTATGTCATTTGTATAACATCAATCACATATGTGAACATTTTCTTGTAGGTGGCAGCAACCAAGGGTGGTAGAGGTAGAAGGAGAATGAGAGGCTTAGGAAGATCATCATCCCAAGCTCAAGCCCAATCCCAATCCCAAGCTCAAGCCCAAGCCCAAGGCCAAACTGAAGCCTTTTCTGAAAATATCCAAGCAAGAGCAGTAATTGGACCAAATCTAGTGGCCCAACATGTAAGTGATATTTGAAGATGGTTTGATATTCACATGTTCTTATGTCATTTGTATAACATCAATCACATATGTGAACATTTACTTGTAGGTGGCAGCAACCAAAGGTGGTACAAGTAGAGGGAGAATAAGAGGCTTAGGAAGATCATCATCTCAACCTCAACCTCAACCTCATGCATTACCTCCAAATATCCAAGGAAGTGCACCAATTGGACCAAATCAAATAGCCCAACTTGTAAGTCATAGTTCCTTATGGTGTCATACTCACATTTTCTTATGTCATTTCAATAACCTCAATGTTTGCTTCTAGGTTGCATCAACTAGGGGTGGTAGAGGGAGAGGGAGAATGAGAGGTTTTGGAAGATCATCATCTCAACCAGTGAGCAAAGGCTCTATCTTTGGAACAACCAATGGTGCATCATCTTCACAGCCACCAAGATGAATGCTGTTTTGTAACTATTTTGGGGATACCTTTTTAGACTTAAACTATGTTGTAAACATGGCTCTTTTGATGATTCAGTGTGTTTTGTACTCTGTTTGAGTAACAAGTTATCATTTTGGAACATGTGGTGGATCTGGGGATGTATTAAACATATCATATGATTGCATTTTTCCAGAAAAGGCTTTATCTGTGAACATTTGAATTTGTAATGAATGTAAGTTTCACTCTTCTGCTTATGTGAAAGGTTGCTATACTATTTCATGTGCATTTGTATGCCTTAATTTGAACAAGTCTTGTATGCAGATTGAGGTCAATGAATCTGGAATTACAACATTGCAAATAACCAAAGTTTTCAAAATCCATAAGCCTTTTGCATAACTAATAACATTACAAGATTGCATAACTAATTTCGGGAATTACATTAGCTCTAAAATGGATTTCACTGCCCTTACTCCCATATATTTTCCAGACATGTTCGACACCATGATCATCATCATCACAATGGCCATAAATAAAACACAAGCATCCATACTCATCCTACATTCTCTTTGTCGATGCCTCATCATATTATCTTCCAGCAAAAGTCTAAGCCTTCTGTTGTCTCTGACTGCATAATCCAACTCCTTATTTTCTTCAATTATGCCTTCCATTTCCAAGTTTCGAGCTTCTAAGGATTGAAGTGTGTTGACCATAACATATTTTCTCTCTTCTATCTCCCTCATTTCAGTTTCCATCATTCTTATTCTTCTAAGCAAACCAAGCACCACATTTTTCCCTTTTGTACATGTCTCCTTGTCCAACCAACCACCTAAAATAATGCTCTCCAACTCTGTTTTTCTGCTTCGTTATTATCAAATTCTTCATCACAACAAAATCTGAACATAATACCAATTTTGTGCATAAACCCAATAGTCTAAAATTGTTTACCTGGTTGTTGTCACAAGCCTCAAAGCGTCTTCCTAGATTCATGTCCGTCCATGAAGTCCTCGATTTGATCAAACTCCCACAATGACAATACTTCACCGATTTGGGGCTTTGGTTAGATTTCATTGATGATGTTTCGGACATATCACTTGCCATCCTTCGAACTAATCTGCTCTCCAAGCTTCCAAACTTGACGATTCCAACTTTTACTCAGCCAATATGCGAGCTGCAGAAGTGGATTGCAACTTTTTGTTCTTTAGGCTTTCGGTGACAGGCTCTCTCTCTCTCGATTGTCTATTTCAGAGGGAGGGAAGACAAGTTGTAGAAGGGAGATAATATAACCAACCTGAAAAGACCAATATACCCCTAAATATAACAAAAAAACTAACAGAAGTAACAGTGTGACTAATAATTCAAACGAAACTTAAGTTTCGGGACTGTGGGTACCATTTTGGAAATTGAGGTACTCAAATGAAAATTCGGTCAAAGTTGGGGGACCAATAGAACTATGACTTAACCTTATTCTTCCTCCCTAGACCATGAGTGACTCACACACTCTTGTATTTATTCCTTCTAGATCTGATAATTATTCAAGGACACAATATACACATACAATAAAAATCAATACCACTATAGTTGCAGCAAATATTTTTATTATTATTAATGTGATGACTACAAGACTTGAGGATGATGGAGATGGCGAAAAGATTGAACCTTACTAGAATTACTATAACTTGCCTTGAAAAGTATAAAGTATAAATTATTTATAATAAATTATTATAAATATAGAAAAGATTAGAGTGTGTTTTAATACTCATTCCAAAGTTTGATTAACCATTTCTATGCTTTTCTCATAATTTTCGTTATTTTTTTCCTTCACGTACTTATCTTCCTTATTAAATTTGCACGTAAAGTAAACTTAACCAACCTAATTTTGAAATTATGAGATCATAAATCACATGAAAACACTGTTTGGGCAATTGAAACCGACAGATGTGGACTTAACCAATCGCCCACCTCCCTACCAGTCATTTTCATTTCCATACCTGAACACGTGCGTTTCCGTCCACGATCTTGGTCAAAGATGGAATAATCAAAATTGATATTTCCACACACGCTTGGTTTTGTTGTACTACGTACTTTCTACTATTTTCTTTTCCAAATTTGTATTTCTTTCTAAAATTAAAGAAAAAGAAACTAAGAACACCACCAGTTAGTTTCTCTTCTCTTATCATTTCTAATGCTCTGTTTTTGTTGGGTACTCGTTGTTTGACCAAAACTTGGTGGAACAAAAATGTTTCTTCTGTAGGGTCTGAGGCACTTAGGCTTTGCTGTATCTGTATCTTTATGGGGCATATTCTAGAAATGCAGATGGGCACTTAGGCCTTGCCAACTTTTCTTTGACTTACAAGTTTTTGGAGGTAATGCTGGGTCCAGGAGGCACCATCACAAATGAAAGGTGATCAAAATGACCTAAATGAGACTGTATAATATTCAAAATCCATATTCTGATTGATGATCAGATGTGACAGATAACCCACCAAAAGAAAAGAATCACTAAAAATTGTCCATGGCTTAATTCCACTGGAACTCAAACACTAGCAGTCAAACTCTCTCTATCTCTGCAAGTGCTTTCAGTTTGGAAATTAGTCAGCTATAGCCTAGGGTTGGAGGAAAATAATTACAAACTAACTTGGACGGGTTAGAAGATTCAATACTTATAGAAGAAAAAAGTCTTTTAACGATGCGCAATGTGCGTTGTTAAAGGGTTTCGAACATGTTTGTTTGTACTGTATTTGGAAAAACAAATTTTCAGCTGTTGATGAGATAACTTTTTGTCTTTGGACTAGAAATATGCATGATGGGATCAAATTAAACAGAAAAGATTATTTTTATCTTCAAGCCTTCAGAGCTAAGTGCATTATGCCAAGCACCAACAAAGAGACACAAATCCCTGTCGTACGCAATCTTAATTCTGAATTCTGATTTGTATATGAAGGGCAGCTGAAACCGAAGGAATCAATGTGTTGGTTAAAGTGAAGCTTATAGGGAAACTAGTTTGAATACCAAGTTACACACCCATCACATTAAGTACACAAACACAACCGTGCACATATTGGTACTACCATTTGCTTTTTAATTACTACTGCAGGTACTTTTTTCGATTATAAATCTGATAAGAATTAAAAAGATTACTGAAATTATATGCTAGCTAGCTAACCTACATCGAAAATAAGACCATGGTGTTATCTCAAGTCATTTTGCACACTGTCATGTAGTCTCGTTACATGAAATTTTTGCTCATGCACGATCCTTAGCATTGCGATCATATTTAAAATGATGTAGTTTTAAATAATTTGACTAGAATGAAGCCTATAAACAATGAGTTTGATTGTTTTGATTATGGTAATTCAGAGAGGCCAACAAGAAAAGATAATAATAAGTTTTTGTTTTTGGATAGAAATTAGAATGAATGAGAATCTCAACTCAACTCAACTCAAAGTAGTTTATTGAGAGTTGGGAATGGTGTGTGCGTCACGTATGGGTAGTGTTACTGTTACGCTCATAGGGAAACGTAATATGCTGTCACCCTTTGCTTAGACCACGCAACACATGAAGGACCAAACGCACACAAAATTAAAAGAGATATTCTTTTGTTTCTTTTCTACGCAACCAAATGAATCCCCCTTCAATTAATTAGCCTTAATTATATACTCATTTTGTATTTGCATGTAGATAAGATCATAAGATAGATAAGGCCAGATGCCTCTGGACTCGGGACTCTGGACTGGATATGCATATTTGATGCTTTTGCTATCCCCTCTCTCGCTCTCTCTCTCTCTCTCTCTCTCTCTCTCTCTCTCTCTCCCCATTATAATTTATGGTCTTTCTTCTGACCCATCTGTCTGACTGCAAATAAACTCGGTGTTCCCTCGTGCATATCGTGTCAAATATACGCGTAAAAGAAAAAGAAAAAGAAAAAGAAAAAGAAAAAGAATGAGAAATAGCGTAAAGCACATCCACAATTTAGGCATCTATCTCCAGCCAATTTACTATTACACCAATCTTTTTCCTTGTCTTGTTTTTCAAAGGGCATTTATGGGTTTTTCTCCACAGGGAGTTTAAAAAGGGTTTTGGACCACACAACCATAATTCATGAATGAAAGGCGGGATCTGAGATTTAAAATTCCAGCCTAGCTTTGGCCTCAATTGGCGTTCCAGAAGAAATTGCAGTCAAACCAACCCCAAACTGTCAAACTTTCAAAATTAATAAACAAAAAGTGGATGCAAACTACTATGTATGTGATGTGCCACAAAAGAAAGCAAAGCTTTACCCGGGTCTCTCTCTCTCTCTCTCTCTCCCTCTCTTCAGTCTTCAGTCTTCTACTCCTAAATGAGATATATTATTCTTTTACATTCGCCAAATGAGATATATATATATATATATACCCTAAGAAACCCACCTCAAATCTTGTTAGCTTGTAATCAATTCTCTCAACCCCACACCACCTGCACAAAAGACACAGCCCTTTTTGCTCTCCCCTCCCTCTCTCAATAATTTAATCAAACACCTTATCATCAATCGTCTTTCTGCCCTTCATATATATATATATGCTGAAAGTTCACAGGTGATTATACCTCTCTTAATCTCACACATTGACAAATGAGGTTGCGATTTTTCACTCTCCAGATGATCCCATGGTGTTTCCAGTTGATGGGCAACCACAATCTCTCTCGCGTGCAGCTTCGTCACACCCATCAACAGCGCCAGGTTGTGGGTACCATCAAGCTCGTCAAATCCGACGGCCTGGTTTTGATCTACCACAGCCCAATCTATGTCTCCGAGCTCATGATGGAGTTTCCGAAACACCTTGTGTGCCGGTCCGATTCGTTCTATATCGGACAGAAGATCCCGGCTCTCTCTGAAGACGACCAGCTTCAGCTCGGCCACAAGTACTTCCTGCTACCTCAACACTTGTTCCAGTCGGTGCTTTCTTTCGTGACCATTGCTTCGTTCAATACCAAAGACTCCTCAAAAACCGCGTTTCTAAGGAAGGCTGTGAATTGCGAGCCGTTTGATATTCAGAAAACGCCATCTGGGTGCTTGAGGATACGCGTTTCCGACGAGTTTATATCCCAGATGTTGGAGGAAGGGAAGCTCAACGAGGAAGCAGCAAATAAGGAAGATGAGGCAAATAATTTTGCCAAAGCCAAGAGCGGGGTTTGCACCACGGCTCAGTTGCAGAAAGACTACACGCAGCTTGTTGGGTCACGGCAATGGAAGCCGAGGCTTGAGCCCATCAGAGAGACGAGGGAGAAGAGCAGAAGGCTGTCTTCGTTTGGGATGAGAAGATCTTCCAAGAAGAAATCTCAACCCAACTCATTAAAGGAGTCCCAGAAGAACCAAAAGAGTTCTAGTACTGCTACTTCCAAAGCCAAGATCAAGATCAAACCATCAAGGAAATGATGATTCCGTGGATGGTTAATTAGTTAGGAGTTAAGTAGGAGGGTCCTCTCTTTGGATTTTGATTGATATGAAGTGAATATATGTTCTGCAGTTCATACTGATTTCTCACATCACACAGCGATGTAAATACATGACTCTGTTTTCATGCTCTTTTTCAATACAAATTACTCTCTTTCTCATTGCACTTTTTGCCTAATGATCACCATCTTTATTGCTAAAGCTATCAATATTAAATTCTTGGGTTCTTCTGCCATGTTAATTAATTAATTCCCATTATATATAATCATCCAGATTCCAAGTGCTTGATGCGAATCTGCAAATCTGATTGTGTGCATGTAAAAAATTAACCTAACTAACAAGAAACTTGTAACTTAAGTGATTAAAAGCAGTCATCGCATGTCTTGTGTTTGAATCCCCTCTTCCAATATCACTTGTATGTCGGAGAAATATAGCTGGTTTTCTGCAGATGTTCAGAGTGGAATGTGGTGGTGTTATTGGTAGGTAGGGTAGAGAGGCCAGATGCGTGGCTGGGTTTGGCATAGTTGGACTGTCTGGCCTAGATAGATGACGAACTGGCAGTGCCACTCATAACTTGCTGTGGATTGAGATTTGAGAGACGAGGGGGGGAAATGGACAAAATAACAGTCAAAAGGGTCAGCTAGTTTTCAATCTACACATTTCTGCAAACTCCCATTATCTACAATTGCGTTACGTGAATGAGAATGAAATAATTTGCAGACCAATCCTTGACTTGCACGTGTACTCTCATTCTCAGCTGACCCCACGAGTAGGCACCAGCAACAGTAGCTACCAGCTCAGCCGAGCCAATACCCATCGTCCAATTCCAAGTATTAACAGAGCATGAAATTTTGGTCAAAGTTGGGCTGGTTCTTTCCTTAGATCCATTTCCTGTTGCTTTATATATCAAATTCCCAAGTGGACCCTACAGCCCCTTTTGGCCTTTTTCTACTCCACTCGTTCAAAATTTTTGACTGGTGGTGAATTTTTGTGTGCCTTTCTTTTCTTTGTTTTTCTAGAGCCCCGTGGGATTCCCGCGGCTATAAATTTAATGCCGGTTTACTTGGAAGACTGTATTGACGTTCAATGTTTTGAAACATGGTATTTTTATATGCAGAGTACCTTGTTTAAAAGATTGTATAGGGTGGTATTGGGTTTGCTAAATCAACATTTGAATCATGTTTTTTTAATTCCATTTCATCTTCTAGTATGCTTGAACATTGAATCATGTTTAGCTAAGAAAATTTTCCCACATTAGCGGCTAACATAAATGCTTGTAGGCGTTTATTCTACGGCATGAGCAAGTCTTGAGTGTGGCTACCTTATGCGACAACACAATAACATGAAAGTAAAACTTTAAATTGAGGTTTACTTAGATCTAACCGTGTGTGAGCATTAAGCAGCCACACTCAAGACAAGACTTCCAAAAACAATGTTTGAATTTAATCCATCCATTGCAATTAAGACAAAAAACATTAGAAAAATTGGTTGCCGGTGGATTGGATTCAACGAAAGAAAGCATTCGCAATTTTTTTTCGTTATTATTATTATTACTTTTGGGTCAAAACTTTTTTTCGTTGATAGGTGAGCGCTTCTACCAAAGGTGTCGTTATTATGTTGAGAGAAGAATCCTGATAACGAGCACCACGACATGTCGTCGTTCTTCAACTAAACTTCAACTGAAGCCTATCTCCAGAAAAAGTCCCTCGATAACATCGTAGTAATCAGTGTATATTCCCACCAACAACACCACCAGGGTTCTCCAAGTTCCCAACAGGCAATGCGGAATTGGGTTTGATTCAATCATCGCCATGGAAGTCCTTGCATCAGCTCAAATTCAGCGTTTGATCGTCACCGAGAAACCAATCGACACTGCCCAGTACAAGCATCCCCGAAATTCCAAGACCAGCACGAAGGTGGCTGTGACCCGCAAGCTGCTCGAAAAAATGCCCCACTCAGACACCTTTGCATGGAACAAGCTTATCCAAACCCATATCGCCAATGCCCATTTCGACAACGCCCTCTCCACATACCACCAAATGCTACTCCGCGGTGTTCGGCCCGATAGACACACTCTCCCCCGGATCTTATCGGCCTCCCGCCTTTCCGCTGATCTCCCTCTCGGCAAACAGCTCCATGGCCACGCTATCAAGCTGGGCTGCTCCGATGACCGTTACGTGGTTGCTGCTCTCATCGAACTGTACGGCCGTCTCCACAGCGTTGACGCCGCAAAAGGGCTAATCGACAAGTCCCCTGTCAAGGACTCTGTTTCTTGGACTATGCTGGCCAGGTTGTACATCATGGAAGGTAAGCCCAGCATGGCGCTTCATGTGTTTGATGGAATGGTTGAATCTGGAGCTCAGATAGATCCTGTGGCGCTGGCAACAGCTGCTGGTGCCTGTGGCATGTTAAAATCGGTGATTGATGGGAAAAAGGTCCACCGGGTTGCCAAGGAACGTGGATTGGAGTTTGATGTGTTGGTGAGCAATACCCTCTTGAAAATGTACATGGATTGTGGCTGTGTTGATGATGCTCGGTCAGTTTTCGATCAAATGCCTTCGAAAGATGTCATTTCCTGGACAGGAATGATTCATGCCAACGTGAAGAGAGGAAGCTTCAATGAGGGTCTTAAATTGTTTAGGCAGATGATTGCGGATGGAGTGAAGCCGGATTCTCTCTCAGTATCTAGCGTTCTCCCAGCATGTGCAAGAATGTCTGCAAGTAAACAAGGAAAAGAAATTCATGGATACTTGATTCGAAATGGTATCCGTATGAATCTCACTGTCTTCAATGCTCTGATGGACATGTATGTCAAGTCAGGATTTATCGAATCTGCTTCGAAAATATTTGCCCGGTTGAAGCACAAAGATGTTGTTTCATGGACCGTGATGATATTGGGGTACAGCTTACATGGACAAGGGCAGCTCGGAGTCGATTTGTTCCGCCAAATGGAGGACTCAAGCATACAGATAGATGAAATCACGTATGCTGCTGTCCTTCGTGCTTGTGTTGCTGCGCTCATGGTTGAGGAAGGGAAGTTTTACTTCAACTGCATCAAGACGCCTGCAGTTGCACACTCTGTTTTGTTGGTAACTCTTCTATCTCGTTATGGGTTGTTTGATGACGCAAAGAACTTCATTGCTGACAAAAAGATTGAAGGAGATGCCGAGGTGCTGAGAGCACTGCTAGATGGCTGTAGGATTCACCAGCAATCGAAATTGGGCAAGCGGGTCATTGAGCAGCTCTGTGATTTGGAGCCTCTTAATGCGGATAATTATGTTTTACTCTCCAACTGGTATGCTCACTATGCAAAATGGGACATGGTGGAGGAACTAAGAGGAACGATTATAGATATGGGTTTGAAAACTAAAAGAGCTTATACTTGGATGGAATTGAGAAACAGAGTTCATGTGTTTGGGACGGGGGATATTTCTCACCCAAGATCACAGGGAATATACTGGGAGTTGCAGTGTTTGATGCAGAAAATGGAAGATGAAGGACATAGACGTGATTCGGATTTTAGCTTCCATGATGTGGATGAAGAGCGTGAGTGCATTCCAATTGGGCACAGTGAATTGTTGGCCATTTCTTTTGGTCTCATCAGTACACAAGCCGGATCGACGATACGCGTTACAAAGAATCTGCGGGTGTGCCGCAACTGCCATGATTCTGCAAAAATTATATCCCAGATGGTAGGACGAGAAATCATACTTAAGGACCCAAATTGTTTCCACCATTTCAAGGATGGCTATTGTTCATGTGGTGATTTTTGGTGATTTAGTTATCTATATGTTGCTGTTATCATATGGGCTCTTAAAGGCGATATGGTCCCAAAACACGAATTTCATAATGACAAGTTGACAACCTATAGCAGAAATGAGACATCAGAAACACAAAGCATTCCATAACTTATAACTGGGGGGGAGGGAGACTGGGGGTGGGGGGGGGGGGGGGGGGTGGGGTGGTTAATCGGGAGTACAACTGTAAAATAGTGGAACAACATCTACCTCCAACAGAACACATTTGAAAAAGTAAAATAACGATCAGCACATGCGAGTATAGCTAATCCATACTCATGCAAAGTGTTCTGATAAGAAGTAGAAAGAAAATTCTGGAAACGTACTAGTAACAGATCCAGCCATTTAGGTTCTATCTCAAAATTTTGCAAACATAACAAGCACATGCTACTTAAGTTTCCCTTCTGGTAGGCCGCCTGCGGGGAGGAGCAGCGGCATCTTCCTTCTCACTCTCATCTTCCTTCTCCTCACTGCTTCCTTGAGTGTTGGAAGTCTCTGCAGCTGCAGGCCTATCTGTTTCAGGAACAGTGACCTGAAAAGTCCGGGACAAAAGAGTTTACAAGTGTAATCATGTAATTACTGCAATATCAGAAGTCACAACCATTACAGTAAAATGCAAACATATGCAGGGTGTAATAGCATACCTTGGGTTTTTTGCCACCAAAAAGGATTTTAAAGACAACTGTCAAAAGAACAACCACGATAGACACAATGATACCAATTGTAATATTCGGCTGTTTTTCTCCCTTCTCAATTAGGTCCTGCATGAACATTGCATAAACATGCTCAATTAAGCATAATCCACAAGCTCAATTGTAATAGCATACAATGTTAAAACCATTTACAACCTCACCAGCAGAAATGACAAAGGCTGTTAGATGCTGCAATAACTCTCAATTAAAAAAAATGATGACAAGGCAAAGACTTACAATGATCTTGGGTTTGTATGCATCCAAGAAAGGAATGTCCGCTATTTTGTAGAGAAGGTCAAATATTTTCTTCTGCAAGTATTAGTTTATAAAGTTTGTTAGTTAGATAACGAAGTACCAAAAGTCAATAGAAATGAAGGAAACTCAAATATAAAGTAAAAAGTTGATTACCTGGTAGCCTGAGAGTCCGTCTGAAAGACCAGCAGCTTCTTCCTCAGCCTTCTGTTTCTCTTTCTCATTTTCAAACTTCGGCTTCCATGTTGTTAGCCTATAAGATTCAGCAACCTTCTCATCATCAGCTATGAGAATATTGTCAAACAATATGCCATCCTGCATTGTCCAGATCTCAATGCCAATAGCAGCGATGGCCTCAAAGTCAGGCTTCTCAGTCTCAAAGTAGCTAGGGTTTGGAATTTCTTGAGGTTTCCAAATACCCTTGTAACTGGGGTTGTCAATAAGAGGACGGCTCCATTTTCCTTTATAAGCAGGATTTATCTTCATTGGCTTCTTCCATTCTCCACAACCAGGTGCCAACGAACACTTGGGGTTATCTGTTTTTGTTGGTTCCCATACACCATCCTCTTCATCGTCCCAATCTTCTGGCTTTGTAGCTTCAGGGTCATCAATCTCTTCAGGCTCATCATCCAACCACCCTTCAGGTTTTACAGCATCCTCATCTTCGATTTCCATTGGCGCATCCTCATCCCAATCATCTGGCTTCACAGCATGTGGATCTGGAATCTTTGCCCGCTCATCCCAGTCCTCTGGCTTCTTATCATCTGGGTCAGGAATTGTCTTGGCTGGAATTAAGGCAGGCTCGAAATCTTTAGCTGAAAGGAAATTTGCCTTCTTCTTCTCCTCCCCATCTATTAAAATTCTAACTTCGTTGTTAGGTTTCAGTATTGCAGTGTAGACATGAGAGAGTTTGTCAGAGGGCACAGATGGAGGGTCCTTGAGATGGTGCTCAACATACTCTCCACTCTTGGGGTTCTTGTGCTTAAAGATGAAATGAACCTTGTTTGTGGAGCCACATTTGTCAGGTCCAAACATAATGGAGTAGGGAGAATCGTTGTCAAATTCCTCTGGTTTCCATCCAGCCTCCTGGGGCCGGAGGTATTTCAAGTAAGCACCGCCACATTCAAGCCCATTCTGGAACCTAACCTCAAACTGCAGGACAATGGTTCCATCCTTAAGGCTCACAGCCTTACCCAGGTCTTTCACTACAGCATACTTCCTCGCCTTCTCACTGACCAAAAGACCATAATCATCATGTCCCTCACTCTTGGAAAGTTTCCAGACACCTAAATTATATAAACATATCAGTACACAAAATTCACTGCCAAAGCAACACATTCAGAGAGTTCTCAAGTGTGACATGGATGAGGAAGTTGCCGAAACCATACAGCAATTAATCACAGTAGCATCAATTGATATGAGTTCAAAATGACTTGAATTACAATATGAACAAGTTTCTTGTTCACATCACAGAAAACCATTTAAACCATAAGGACAAGTTTCGACTATTTATTTCTTCAACAACGTAAGATTGTTACATAATAAGCAAAACAAAAGACAGTAAATGCTGAAAGGGAATACCTTTGTACTCATCCTTGGAAGAAACGATCCAGCGACCTTCAAATGACTCAGAAAATGGCTCGTAGAAGATCTGTCAATCATCAACTGTTTGTCAAAATTCTTTAAGGATAAAGAAAAGGGGGCAGTGGATTCTGATAATTTTGATAAATTATAAATAATAATAATAAGGAAAGAGAATATGATACCGCATCGGGTTCGTTTTCAGAAGAAGCTTGGATCTGAGAAGCAGAGCAACCAATCAGCAGCAGCAGCAGCAGCAGCATAAGCTCAGTGATCTTAAGCCTACCTTCCATCAGGACCATCGGCTTAACCCTAAAGCCGCCTTCGATTTTGCATAAACCACTACAAATGCAACAGTCGATTTGAAAGGGGCTTGTTTTTCTATGAAAAAGACAAAAGAATAATATATACTAGAAGTGGAAGATAGGAGAGAGATGGATAGGTGGCTGCACGGTCTCACCGTTAAATCAAGGTCGCCGGTGTATTGTAGTGTTGGGGTCATTTTAGACATTTTAAAGGGTTATAGTTTAGCCGATGGGAGCTTCTTTATACACCCATTAAATTACTAAACAAACCCAGCTTCCAAACTTTTAAGAACAAAGCCCCTCATTTCTTTTTGTTTTCACCTTTCCCTCTCCCATCTTCTCTGGCCATGGTTGACAAGGGGAGGAGGAGGAGGAGGAGGTGGGGTGGGGTGGGATGAGAAAGGGAATAAACTCGAATTTTATAGTTGTAATGTTTAAATAAGTCATCCATGAATTCTATTTAAGACAGGCTATTTTAAAAAGGCTTTTTATTTAATTTCTGTTGAAAAAAAGGCTGCTTAAAATGGTTACTCACACTTTCGAACACTGTATTTTATATGCGTATATTAATCAATGCCATACGTTGTATGACATGAAGCAATATATGAAGTTTCACCATAAGCTAGGTTATGTGTGAGCAAAGTTCTGACAGACGAATTCGGACAAGCAAAGCACATGCATATTGGGTAGACATGTATGTAAAGAACATGAGACTAGGTAGCAGCATTCAAAGCAAATGGAAATTGTAAGATTTATCCATAATCTATCTATAATTGCTAAATTATGTGGTTCATAGTTACTAATACAGTCTCCGTCTAACATAAAAAACTCTTTCAACTGATTCAAAATCGATACTTTGTTGCATTATCTTGGAAGGTGATGCCTAATCAATCCCTGCTGTTCATCCAACACAAAGCCAGCTGATGAAAAAAGGGCACTCGTAAAGAAGGGTTTTAGATCAAAGATCTCATGCTCCTGTGCCTGCACAAGATAAATCCAATGCAAAAAGCTCGATGGTTAACTGCCTATTGTTTATGCAAGTAAAGTAAATTTCCAATATCAGCCGTTCATGTTTGCATTACCAGTCTCTGTAAATCTCCAACTCTGACATCGATATGGGTGAGCGCTGAACTAGAGCCAGAAACAATTTCTTCAAAGTGAATTGCATCCTTCACAAGCTGACGGAGTAAATGGAGGAGCACATTGTTGTAATCCTTCTTGAAAGTCATGTACTTTCGGAAGCTCTGCAAATACAAAACAAATTCTTCAGGAATCGACCACTAAAGAGCTCCAAAGATTTTACCAAGTAATCTTCTACACATTCTAATACATGCCAGCATAAGAAAATTATCAGATTATAATGTTAGAGTAGGAACAAGATCAGGTATAGTTTAGTGATGCTTGATCATGAAAACGCAGACACATAGTTCTAGTCTTCAAAAATTAAGGGCGTCCATATTCAGCCAAGACCTACAGCTACAGATGATTCTCATGAGAACTTATTTTCTTTAACTATAATGTAAAGTTCCATTGCTATGAGAAATAATAGCAAAAATCAGAACCATTCAATGTGGGAATTAGACTTGCCATTTTGTCAAAATATTAGAAGCTTTGGAAGAATATCAGAACACCATAAGTAGGGGGAAAAAGTTAAGGGAAGATGTCACTCTTTGATACCTTTTGCAGAGCTTTCTGCACCCCAAATTTTTGGGTAGAGATAAACGAATCTAGTAATACACGAATTGCCATATCCACATCTTCTTGTATTACATGCTGTCTAAGGTGCATTCTTGCATGTGCTTCAGACATTCGAATCATTGATTCTATGTGCCTTACAGCTATGGGTACTCCTTGTCCATGCTAAACAAAAAATGAAAGAGTAAGTTTCCTATAAGACAACCCAAAACACAAACCTTCAAATAAAAAGACAAGAAATTAACTGAAGATTCTCTCCGCAGTTCAGCATAAACAAGTGTAAGCTTTTCCAGATCAGCGTCATGCAACCTTGGGAATACATTTAACTTGGCATAAGTTAAGTATTTCTTTAGCATATCTTGAGAAAGTATCTGAAAGTTCAGGCAAAAAACTCTATGAGATTAAAAAAGAAAGAAACTCAATTCCAGACAAACCAGGAAGGTACAAGTGGATAAACTGGGTAGATATGAAGTATAAACCTCTGGATCCACTGGGCTGTCGGAGGTATCTTCTTCGGAATTGCTTAAAGGCATATTATCCATGTTAGCTCCCTTGGCTTGCGACTTGAAATGACTATCAACAACAAACTTTGCAAGCATTTCATCAGTGACGGGGTCAACCACATCCTGCATGTCATCAATTTCCTTCCCTGTGAGAATGAACGGAAACAAAAATGTGGAGAAGAAGAGAGTTTGTAGGATTCTAACCTTAACAACACAGAGGATGTCAAAACGAGAGATGATGGGATCTGTTAACTCGACATTTTGTGAAAATGTCTTAGAGGAATCATATCTGGAATACAGACATGCAGGTTAGATTTGTTCCTAGAAATGCAAGTGAATGGCTCAATGGAGAATAGAAGATAGCGCCAGGTTTACAAATGCAACAAAGTATGTCCAGTTGGCTACTCTTCGTCATTTATCCTCTATCATACCTTCCACCAACAGGGTTTGCAGCTGCAATGACAGAGCAGCGTGCTTGGAGAGAAGTGACAATCCCAGCTTTTGATATACTAATACTTTGTTGCTCCATTGCTTCATGAATACTCACCCTAATTGAGATGAAAATGTAAATGCTCAAATACTCAAAATAAGCTGGAAAGGGGCGAGGGTGGGTGTCAGTTTTACATATATACTAGCATTGTCATACCTATCCTGATCATTCATTTTGTCAAATTCATCAATAAGGCATATTCCCTTGTCAGCAAGAACAAGAGCTCCTCCTTCAAGGGTCCACTCCCTTGTAACAGGATCCTTGTGCACAGCAGCTGTGAGTCCCACAGCAGATGCTCCTTTACCAGTAGTATAAACAGCTCTCTGCCCAGTCTTTTCAACATACCTTGTGGGACAGAAATTGATAAGTTAATTAGATCTTTAGAGCCAAGAAATTGATTCACTTCTAAACTGATGGTAGTAGCTCTTACTTAAGAAACTGTGATTTTGCCGTGCCAGGATCACCTAGGAGAAGTACATTTATATCCCCTCGGAGTCGGTGTTTTCCCTCAACATTTTTCTCTTGGCCTCCAAACATGGCAAGAGCTATTGCAGTCTTTATGTCTTCGTGGCCATAGATTGATGGTGCAATGGACTTGACAATCTGCGTTCATAGAACATATAGTTATTTCATGATAACACAAGAGATACTTAGTTGAGAAAGATACAAGGGTTTGGTAGCAACCCTTTCTCCTATTCTTGGGTCTTTAGACAACTTTTCGATCTCATCTTTATCTTCCTGGGTAAGTTTGTAAGCAGAAAAGAGGTCTTGCTTCTTTGTGATATAATTTGCTTCAACCACAGTGGCAAATACAGGAAACCCGTTCTTTGTATTCAAAGATAAGTCAAAATTATTTGAATAAATGCCAGTGACCTCCTGAAATAAATCAAATAGAACGGAAAACAGAATATTAGTAAGAATTCACTAAAACAAGTAACAAGAAAATATGAGCAAGACCAGGATGAGGATCCTACAATCTCTTCCCCTGGACGAGCACAATCAATTAGATCATTCAACAGTATCACTTCCTTGTATCTTGGAAGCCGACCTGCAGGCACAATTCCTGGGCTCTCTTGGAGTGTAAGCTTTTGATAGTTCCTGTATATGGTCTGACGCAAGAAAACGATGGATATGTATGAGGTTCAATTTGTGTTTAACTTATATTCTTGTCTGAGAAAATGCATGGAAACCCAAAACAAACAAAAAGTAACTAATTTTACAGAGATGCTGGACCCAAACAAAAAACCTAGCCTCTTACTGCTGTTTAGCATAATTGAGGTGCAATATTAATTATAAGTTCCCAAAACAGCCTCCACAACATTCAATGTTAATTCCCTTTCTTCTCTTCAGATTTTTCCAGCCAAAAAGAAAACTGAAGGCAAATGTATGTAAATTTGTAAAACTCACCTGCTCAATATTGACACTGAACGGTCCTTTTGATTGGCATTCAGGGCAAGAACCAACTTTAACTTCTGAATAAGAGTTCTGAAAGAATGGCCCCAAGATTGCCCCACATTTATTGCAATCGTACTTTACTTGTTGCAATTGGGGAAAGACCCCAGAGCGTCGGGTCACAACGCCTCCAATACGAATCATGGTATTCAAATGGATCTGCCTGCACACCATAAGAGCAGGATGACATTTACACCTCAGAGGAAAAAGGTAGCAAAGATGTAGCAAAAAAAGAAAAAAAACATCTCCACAATACCGAATGTTGCGAATCTGATCGTAAACAGGTAAGTTGGTTATCCTAACATAGATCTTTTGATGGATACGTTTGTAATTGGGGTGTAAACTAAAAACCACATTCTTGGCAACATCTTCCATGACTTCCAGGACAGACTGGGGAGCATCAGCCAACCAAATGGCAATATTGGGATGAGTACCGATGAATTGCTTGTAATCAATCTCCAGACTACACTTATTGGCTACAAAATGCAACAGTGAATTGATTCAAAATTAAAATTAAAGATCCGAGGCATTATGTAGCTTGCTCTTGCACAACACATTGAGATAAAAAGTACAAATGGCCAATGTACAGTTAACAGAGCATAAGAGCCGGTTAAATAAAGCTAAGCCCTTACCTAATACCATCTCATTAATGAGGCGCACATATTCAATGTCAGAAGAACCCTTCTTCACAAAGGTGAGCAGAAATTCTTTGAACTTCTTGGCTATAAATCTTCGCACTTCATCTCTAGTAACCCACTCCCTGAGTGTTCCCTGAACACGATACATCTCAAACTCGGCTTCTTGGTCATCATCATCCTGCACATGAAATTCATGTAAAATGAGAAAAGCTTGAAGATTTACTAAAGAAATTCATGTAAAAGGTCATCCAAGCCAGAAGCATGATTTGTATAACTAAACCTCATAGCCATCATCATCAGTCTGGTCAGTCATTGGGACATCCTCTCTGGAGTTTCCGCGCTGTGATCTTCCTGGTGAACTCTGCATTCCATCATTATCGTCGTAGCTTCTTGGAGGCCTGAAATCAGCCCTCGCCCTCTTTGAAGGCCTGTAGCTGTCATCATCAGTATCTGCAACCAAAGTGCCAACAGAATCAACATTAAACTAACATCATCAACATCATCATCATACAATCTAATACAGCTATCTTTGGTTCCCAATTGTACGGAGACATTAAATTTTGACGGAAATAAAGTTTGGATGAGAGCTTACCTTGGTCATGGAGAAGATGAGGGAGCTTGCGAGTTGTTTGTACGCCGTCGCGGGTATCGAGCTCAATTTCGGCGGCTCTGCGGTCGGCCATGATCTGATCCAAATCCCTCTCGTCCTCAACCGAGTCATCAAGCCCCAACGACTCGTACTGGTCGTGCTCATCCATTCTCCGATAATCACTAATTTCACATTCACATTAACCATTTCGTGAACACTAAATCACGAAATTTTATTTGAAAAATCCGATTTCAAAAGCATCATTATTATTATCATTACTAAACAAAAATTGATAGATTTTGAAGTACTGACTCCAGGAAATTGTCGTGGAAGAGATCCTCTCCCTCCTCCTCTTCAAGGAGGACGTCTTCTTCAGGCTCATCCCGGACGATTTCCGGGTCGACGGCGGCCTCGTTGTCGTCGGACGATGATGAGAAGTTCTCGGATGTGCGGCTCGTGTGCGGCAGCTGATCAGTGTTGAACCCCACTGACGTCGGCGAGTCGGGCGTTGACGGCGGGTTCTCAGCATTTCCGGCCATTTCTTGAAATTAAATTCCTTTCGTCCTCTCAACTTCTCTGAACTTATCTGTTTCTCTTTCTCTCTGCGGCTGAAAAACCGATTTTAGGGCTACTCTACTTCAGGCTTCTACTTTTTGGCGGGAAACTTTCCCTCCATTTTGGCTGACGTGGGCTGCCTGCCACGTCGCCTGATCATTCAACTTTGGCAGGCTGAGTTTGTGATGATGCTAGTTGACTGTGGAACCCAATTATAGCCCACGAATTGTAGCCTCTATTGGGCTCAGTTTCATCTCTCGTCGTCGAGAAATTTGAGATCCACCAATTATAAACCCACGGATGATTAGACGACTTGTCGTCTCGTCTATTATTAAGCCACTTTTTTTTTTAAATTAAAAAATTTAGGCTTATTTATATACATGCCCCTATACTTTCAAATTTGTCTCAGATTATCATATGTGTTTGCAAACGTCTCAAAATACCCCCCAAACTTTTAAAACAGTCTCACGTTACCCGTTCCGTTAGTTTTATAGACATTCTGTTACGTTTGTTGGGCCTCACTTCGTTTAAAATATATTTAAAAGTATAGCCAAGAGGCTATACCCCTTTTTAAAAAATTTTAAAAAAAACGGTTGCAGAAGAAGAAGAAGGAGAAGGAGACCTTCTCAGCCTCTTTGAGTCATATTGGTTTGAACATGGAATTCTGAGCAAGAAATCCCCTTCAAAACCCCAAGAAGCAACAAACCCAAGTCTCCAAGTGGGCCAATTAGCCCAAGAAGCATACCAACAAGAAGTACCAAATTTCCCCAGCCTTTCATGCTTGCTAAGGTCTCCAATCTTTAAAGGGAGCCTCTTCTCTTCTGATTCTCTCTCCCCACACTCAATCCTCATGAGCACCACACCAAAATTCCAAACAGTTTTCTCTGGTAAACAAGTCATAGAGTTCTCCAAACCCTATGAGCACCCAATTTCCCCCTTTCTTATAACTGAAAAACCTTTATTCGCAGAGGTTAAAGATTAAAATGAAGTGAGGCCCAATGCACGTAACGGAATGTCTATAAAACTGACGGAACGGGTAACGTGAGACTGTTTTTAAAAGTTTGTGGGGTATTTTGAGACGTTTGCAAATACAGGTGGTAATCTGAGACAAGTTTGAAAGCACATGGGCATGTACATAAATAAGCCAAAAATTTATTACTGTTTCTGCTCCCCCTCCAAAGATTAAAGGAAGATTCTTATGAGGCTTTTCAACACGAGTCCAATTTTCCTGTTACCAATTCCCCTGTGCCCTCCTGTTTCCTTCCTTGTCTTTTGAACATGTGTCCTTTCATTTAACATAAGTTAACTATGTTAAGTATAATATTATATTGTAAATATCAATACAATATTTTGATGTTTTCTTAAGGATACTTCATAGTAGAGAATGGAGACGATGAAGGGATGGTAATGTTGGGTAGTTACAAGGCTAACGGGGTCTTGTATGTTGGAGCATGGCAATTCTGTTGATGGTGTTCTCAACTTCAGTAGAACCTTAGAGGGTTGCCAATGAATGCAGCGGCGGTCGCCTCGGTGGTAACGATTTCATCAATCAGGAGAAAAAAAAATAACCCACAAGGAAACCTTGTGAATTTCAGGTGGATTGATTGATATTTGGGCAGCATAACTTGGTTTTTTTCTTTGGAAATTTTTTGGGTTATTGTTTGTGGCTCACCATGAACTGAACACCTTGAATGGGTTCAAAAAAGGGATCCGCAATTGATTGAGAGAATGAGCCAAATCTTTGGTGTTTGAAATAGAAAATTGAGGAAAAAGCACTAAATAAAGAAATGGGTGACCATGAGAGGCAGAGGCAATCAGTTAGATGGCAGTGGTACAGATGATGAAGGACAGAATTGGGGCTGCCATGGAGGCAGCGGTGGTAAGACTAAAGAGACGAGGAAGAGGAATTGGAGTTGGAGTGTTTTTGTTATTTCCATTTTTTTAAAATAATTTTATTATGTTAAAATAAGTTAATAGTATTAACTTTATGTTAAGTGAAGGGACACATGTCAAAAGATGAGGAAGGAAACAGGAGGGCATAGGGAATTTGGTAATAGGAAAATTGGACTCTTCCAACACATACTTTCAATTTCTTTTGGGACATCTGTAAACCGTCCAATCTCATCAAATTGTGCAAGTCATGTGCTATAGCGTAGGCCTTTAGAACTCCTCTTGTAAATAATAAAGCAACCCTTTCTAAATTAAACTAAATTAACCTAATTTAAGAGGAGGGCGGGTCACTATTCTGATCAACAGAAATATCTTTGTTCACCACTTTAATCAAATGTGTATACTCACGACTCTTTTTAATATTTGACACTTGTTCGTAGGCATGACTAGGATTAACTTTTTATTTTGATTTATGTAGCCATTGTTATGTTTATGGACACATGTTAAGGTGTTGAGCATACACATTGAGTTAAAATGGTATCAACTAACCTAACACATATATACTATAAATATAATTAATTAATATGTAAATATGCAATGCTGAGTGTGAATCATACTAATCATATAAATATGCATAGAATAGAAGAAAAGGTTAACTACAGTAAGCCCCCTAATATATTTTACTGTTTAAACTATTTTTAATAAAAAAATTTATTACCGTTTCTGCTCCACCTTCAAAGATTAAAGGAAGATTCTTATGAGGCTTTCCATCACATACTTTCAATTTCTTTTGGGACATCTGTAAACCGTCCAATCTCATCAAATTGTGCAAATTGTGCAAGTCATGTGCTATAGCGTAGGCCTTTAGAACTCCTCTTGTATAATAAAGCAACCCTTCCTAAATTAACCTAATTTAAGAGGAGGGTGGGTCACTATTCTGATCAACAAAAATATCTTTGTTTACCACTTTAATCAAATGTGTATACTCACGACTCTTCTTAATATTTGACACTTGTTCGTAGGCATGACTAGGATTAATTTTTTATTTTGATTTATGTAGCTATGGTTATGCTTATGGACACGTGTTAAGGTGTTGAGCATACACATTGAGTTAAAGTGGTGAACAAAAATGCTCCCCGTGATCAACTAACCTAACACGTATATACTATAAATATAATTAATTAATATGTAACAATGATCACCTCTTTAACATGCGTCGGTTCCCCTTTATTACACATATATATGGTGCAACCCACCAACCTTGGCCATTAGTGCAAGAATCGACTTGTGATCGAGAAAGTGAAAAAAAAAGTTGTGTTAACAAATCAAACTACTAAGCCCCAACTTGACATGCAGAAGGCTATAAGGCTTTAGAAAACAAGACACAGATCTGGCTAGCAGATGATTGGAACTTGGAAGGTCACTCCAATATTTTATTCCATTTCAAAAGTATACATTACAAATAGCTTTACAGCCATTTATGCATGTAAAAATTACAAAAGCCCTAAAGTTCTTTTCAGCCATGCTCAATATTCTCTGAAAAAGCCGGGCCAATAATAGATGCATGAGGCAACAAAACACACCACATACACACCTATTTATATAGAGGGTTTGATTCGATCCATCGATCCATCGATCCCTTCCCTAATGTAATTAACTAATGTAAACAAATCCACTTAAAAATTAATTAGAGGCTTCTCTCTAGCATTTCTTGATATCTCTTGAAGGAGAGAAGCTTTTGTAAGCGTATCTGTTTATGAAACCTGTTAATGAACAAATCCGCAACCTGATCAATCTCATCTTCCAGCTTGAAATCCTCCCCTTCCTCCTTGGAATTCCTCACGATATCAATCACCGACCCGCCATCCTTCACGTCGTCAAAGTTCTCGTCCTCGTCGAACATCGAGTGCCTCAGATCCGGGTACTTATTGTCTTCATCCTCGTCCTCCTCGGCCATGGCATTGTAGCTCGAACAAGCACCAGCCGAACGCGAGTACTCGTTGGTGATGGTGTTGTAGAGAACGAGGGCCTTGCTTCTGTCCGATCCCTCGTCGTCCTCTTCATCGCTTTGTTTGTGGCGGTGGTCGTGGCCGAGGAGGCTGTGGATCTTGTGAGACACCGTGTCCATCAAAACCTTCTTGTTCTTCACCAAAGAGAACATTATGAGGCGGGCCTTCACCGCGCTGGTTTTGCTCTTGATGGCCAAGGACTTGGCTTTGACTATGGAGCTCAACAAGGTCATTATCTGTTTCAAGAAAACAGAAGCCTTGTTCTTCATGATTTTCTAGCTCGATTGAGTACGTACACTCACAGAAACAAAAACAAACCTTTGAATATTAATTAGAAGGAAATTAAGAAAGATATAGTATGACTAGTGGTTTTGTATGAGATTGAAGCTCAATTTGCATGAAGGAATTCAAGAGGCCTTGGTGGGTTTATATAGAAAGCGAAAGGCTTCTGCTTTTCGGTCGTGGAGTGGGGCGAAAGTGAGTGAAAGCGAAGAAGAAAGTGAAAAAATAATTAGAAACACAAGTTCATTATTATTCTTATGGAACCATCCTCGCCGTACATGACTAGTAGACAAACAGTGGGTACGATTGTCTTTTGGAAACAAAAGCTTGGTGACTAGGGATATTTATATTAATTAATTAATGATCGAAGACGATTATACCCCTGAGCTTAGCCGTGCTGGTGGGATAAAGTGACTGCGAGATCTCTCAAGTTGGGGGTAAATATTTCACTTTATTATGGTGCTAAGGAATTAAAGGTGTTGAAAAGGGCTTTGGACGGTGAAAGTTAAATTAAAGCCAGTCAAAAAAATGATATTTAATTCGCAAGAAAAAAGCAAACTATTCGTTGCCTCGAGCACTAAGTTTCGGAGTTTCTGCCGCAAAATGCAATGCTGAGTGTGAATCATACTAATCATATAAATATGCATAGAATAGAAGAAAGAGTTAACTACAGTAAACTCCCTAATTTATAGGGTCATTTACGAGTTCATATCCGATTTTGGGGATATTTATGAGTACATACTCAATGTCGCAGAAATCTACAATTTGCCCCATCCGTTAATGAGATCATTAGAAAATTCATTATCTGCCTATGTAGCTTTTATGGGACCCTGTTGAACGGGAAATTTTCACAAAAGCAATCAGCCAGGAATTTGACTTGGGATATAATTGAAATTCTTGTCCCTGCAGTCTTATCAAGAAAAAAATAAAAATAAAAATAAAACAAAGAGATGTATTTGGTTAGATATGAAACACCAAGAGATAAGCATCTCAGTTGAAAAGTGGTCATCAGCTGGAATTCAAACTCGTCATAATATAGCCTCTATAAGAGGCATGACGCCTAGAAGCAAGGGGGGGCGAGGAGGCAGCCGTGAGGTTGTAGATACAAAAATAAAAGAGAAGGCTTCAAAGAGAAATAAAAAAGTCTGCAAGGCCACAAAGGCAGAGGAGGAGAGCCGAAAGGCTGGAGATAAAAAAAAGACAGAAGCGATCAAAGATGCATCTGCAATAAGGCTTCTCTCTTTAGGTCATACAAATCCATGGGTGAGTAACCCCGAAATCATTTGGATGCAAATTTATGGGTGAGTAACCCGAAAAATCATTGGATATGAAATCCATCTTTGGGTAATAAACCCTGAAATCAAAGCATCAGGTTTGCACCCCAGAAATAACGCTTGGGTATTTCACCCTGAAAACAAATATGGGTTTGCACCTTGAAAACAAATTTGGGTATTGCACCCTAAAAAAATCTAGGATACAATACCAACCTAAAAACAAATATGGGTATTTCACAACTTGCAATACCAAGCTATGCAAGCAAGGGTTCACGAGAATTAAATCAATTGACGGTCAAGAAGGCTCAATAAAATGCCTACAGCATTCGGGTTTATTGCCTCAATTTTCAAATGCAAGACGGCTACCAAACATGCCCACAAAATCCCAACAAGAAATATGGGAATCAATCACTAGGGCAAAGAAGCTATTTAGAAAGGAGTGTCAAGTGACTCAACCATGCTGTGAAGGTGACTCCAGTCCAAATACATGATTGGTCATGCTCCGAGCATCACGCTCAACTCCCAAAAGATACCAAATGAGCATCAATATGGATTAACGGGTTTTGTCGATCACGAGAGACCCTCAATCGTAAATCCTCCAAATCATGTAGGGATACAAATGCATGTGTTAATGATCAAATTAAATTAGTAGATTCATCAAAATTGCCCATTAGTTTTCTTTGACATTGACAAAAAGAAAAATTGTACAAAACCATCCAATTTTCCCCATGGGTCATCTACCCATGTAAATTTCATTGAGATTAAATTCCAATCTTTCAAACAGAAATTCTCAATTAGTGGGCTACACTTACCCATTAATTTTCAATTTCTCATGGGTCATGTACCCATGAAAATTCCAATGAGATTAAATTTAAATATCTCAATTAATGGGCCACACTCACCCATTAATTTCCAATATTTCTCATGGGTCATCTATCCATGCAAATTTCAATGAGATGAAATTCAAATATCTCAAATACAAATTCTCAATTAGTGGGCCACACTTACCCATTAATTTCCAATTTCTCTTATGGGTCATCTACCCATGAAAATTCCAATGGGATTAAATTCAAATATCTTAAACACAAATTCTCAATTAGTGGGTCACACTTACCTATTAATTACTAAATCTTGGAACTACATCGGTTTGATCCCGTCAAGAGTACGTAGGCGAATAGACGCAACTGCAACCCAATTCAAATCCCTAGTTTTATCCTAACCAAATTCGTCCAAATGTCAATTGTAGAGAATTAGTGAGTTCATCAAAATTGCTCATTATTTTTCTCGGACATTGACAATATGGAAAATGGTACAAAGCCATCCAACTTTTCTCACGGGTCATCTACCCATGAAAGCTCCAATGAGATTAAATTTCAAATCTCTCAAACACAAATTCTTAATTAGTGGGCCACACTTATCCATTAATTTCCGATTTTTTTCACATGAGTCATCTACCCATGAAAATTCCAATGAAATTAAATTCAAATATCTCAAACACAAATTCTCAATTAGTGGGCCACACTTACCCATTAGTTCCTAATTTTTTCCATAGATATCTATGAAAATCTCCAAATTGTCTTAAAGACACAAATTTTCAATTAGTGGGTCACACTTACCCATTAATTTCTAAGTTTTGGAACTACGTCGGTTTGATCCCATTAAGGGTACGTAAGCAGTCTAGCATCTCAATAGATGTAATCACAACCAAATTTGAATCACTGGTTACATCAACCAAATTTTCACAAATCACCACACAAATCAATTCCGAACTACGCCGGTTTCATCCCTTTGAAAGGGTATGTAGGCAATCTAGAGATTCAATCTAGATGCAACCATCCCAAACATAATTTCATATCGAATTCCTGGTTCATTCAGCTAAATTCACTCAAACACTCCTCAATCAAATTCCTCTTTTTGCAATGAGTCTTCTATTCATTGCAAATCTTTGAACTACGAGTGACTTGATTCCCGCAAGGGATACATAGGCACCCTAAGGTTGGACTTGGGAGCAGCCGCAAAACCAAACACACACATTTTGTTTCTTTATGATGGAATCAAAAGGTTTTCCCTTGTAGTAAGGGATTGTAATTAAGAGACTTGCGTCTCGAATGGGTTGAACTTAAAATAATAAAACCTCATTAATTAATTAGTGGTGGTGAAATTATGTTGGGAGATTCACATTTTCCTTCAACATACCCATTTTTTAATTGACATGGACTTACAGGTGGACAAATAAATAATAAAAATTATTTTTAAATCATATTAAAATTATTATTTTTAATAAAAAAAATCCTCTCTCTTCTCCTACCCAACCCTCTTTCCCTCCCGACTCAACCTAACCTTTCAGCCACCCCTCTCCCGTCGCCCACCCCCAAACCCAAATCTTCACCTCATTTCAGGTCAGATTTCGGCAAATTCTAATAAACCTCCTACTCTTTTACAAGAATTCCCAATATTCCGTACAAACACCAAAGTATTTCTAGAGAGAATTCCGCTCAAGGAATTGGCCCCAAGCTGCCTCCTAAGTTGAGGTAGGATCTCTCCAGTGAGTCTGTTGCTGTTCAAATCCAACCAAACCAAGCTGTTGCAATTGGCCAGTTATCCTGGTATTCGCCCACCCAAGCTATTGTTCCCAAGTTGCAGAACAACCAGTCTTGTCCAAAGGCCAAATTCTTTCGGGGATTTCACCACTTAGTTTTTTGCTTGTGAGTGATATCCATTTGAGATTTGTGCATCTGAACACTTCAAATGGGATCTCACCAGTTAGGCGGTTATTGTTGAGAATAAGATTCCTACAGTTTCCCAAGTTTGGTGGGATTTTTCGGGTCGGTTATCTCAAGTCTGGTGGGATTTCTCGTCACCTTCTTCGGATCCAGACCCTCCATCCGAGTCGGTTATCCCCCGAATGACATGTCCAACCCCTTCTCCTTCGTCGTCAAGACTGGGACCCATGACGCCATTCTACGACTCAACTAACTCGGCCACCAACTCAGTCCATGCCGTCAAATCTGTGGTCAACTTCCTCAACGATAGTTACTTATCTGACGTGGATGCTCAAGACGTAGAGACTGAGCTTTGGTGGTAAGGGTAGATCAGATAGAAGAGGGTTTGGTGGTAGAGGAGGATCGGACGGAGGAGGGTTTGGTGGTACAAGTGGATCAGACGGCAGAAGGTTTGGTGGTAGAGGCTATGGTGGAAGAGAGAGTGTTGATTCAATTCCTAACAACTAAAATGAGTTATTAAAAACAACAACTTTAATTCTCGCAAGTGCACGAACCGTTTATAGTATAGCTTATGTAAATACGAGGTCGATCTCACGGAGAATGGTAACTTGGCTCTAAGTTAAATTACTTAGAATGCTAGAAAAATATAGGACAAGGAAACTGACTAACTAGCTAAAGGTAAGGTCGAATTCAACAATGCCTCTCGCTAATTACTCAAGGTCTATGATAGAATCCTAGCATCACACACGCATTCGAAATGGGGGGTTTTTGTTGTTGAAATGAAAAGAAGAAAGTGAAATGAAAGTGCTCGAAAGTAAACAATGGCTGCAATTAATAGATTGTGAAACAATAATTGAGAGGTGTTAGAGCCTTGGAATCAACCACTAGTTTTCCTATCCAAGTTATGAATGCATAGAAATTGACTCAATCTTCATCAACAATAGATTATCGCATACAAGCCTATGGTATCTAGGTGCAGGATGCATGATTCTCCTAAGGCATGTGATTGTGCATGGTATCTACTTAGAATAAAGCATACAAGAGTCATTAAACTCCTTGAGAATATGATAATCACACAAGTCCTAGAACATGGTATCTGTCCTAGTCAACCTATGGTTATTAACCCCTTGAATGATTCTTGGGCAATTCATGTGTTGCTTGTGAAAGGAGATTAGAATTGGTGAATCTAAACCCCTTCGCAACCTGTGCTAGATGCATAAAATCCTAGTTAGCTACTCTAAGAAAACATACATCAAGCACATAATAAACTAGAGATTAACAACTTGATAATGAAAGCAAGGAAATCAATTAACTATAAAATCATCCATAACATTGAATATTCATGACTAGGGCTTCATCCTAAGCCCTAACTAAATGGATTAGTTAGGCATAACTATGAATACAGAAAATAAGAAATACATAGATAGGATAAAGAGAGGAGAAGAACTAGATGATGGCAGCAAGGAATTCCCAGGACAACTCCAAGCTCTCTTATCTCTTTGTGGTGAATCTGAATTTGTGTATGAGAGTAATAGGTGAAGTGAAAATGTGTATCTGACTCTCTATATCTTTGAATAAGTGTGCAGCCCTCTATTTATAGAGTTCAATTTCGTCCTCCCCTTTGACTGGTGAAGCACACCTCTCTTAGCTGCTCCCAACAACTCCAGTGGCCCATACTTGCCACCTGCTCCAGATGCCCATACTTGCCACCTGCTCCAGTTGCTAAATACATGCTTTGGTATGGTACTTGTCACATCCCAACTCTCGAATTTACAAAACCTTGGGTTAAGACGTGATTCACACCTTAATTATAGAATTTAATAAAAACTATAACTAAAATGTGAAGAAGACATTTAAATAAATAAAATAGATATTTCACATAAAATATTCAGCAGAAATGCGGAAACGATAGCATTTGAAATCATAAAAATTTTACATTATTTTACAAGTTAGAACTACTCGAGAGTTCACTTAAAGAGTAGCTCATTATTCAACCACAAGCTATGTTACATTCTATAGACATGCCAAAAATCATCACAAGCTCTAGATTTCAAGTTTGGTACCTGCAAAATCTATTAGGGGGTGAGCAAAACCACAGCTCAGTAGGGACATAAACATTTTCACAATAAATTGGTATAATTAAATTAAGTGACAAATAATCAAGCAGCCAAATTTCACATTATTAGTAACAATGCATGAATGCTCTTCATCTAAATCCCGTTTAATTCATATAACTGGACAAGCAGACCTGCACGTCCCATACCATGCTTTTACCATTTGGTCCTGAATGCCCATTTATATGAACTAACACCCATTTCAATCATCCCATAATTCCCCTTTTGTTAGTCATCTTGTCTAACTCCCTTTCGCCAGTCCCGAATCACCCAATAAAAGTCATGTGCACTGTGGGATCCCTGAGACCTGGTACCTGCCAAGAGTTAGACTCAACTACACAAAAGACCATTTCCATTACTCTCTTTTCCACCATTATTTTCTCAACCCAAGAACTCCAAATAATTTACATGACATTATATAGTTCACATATTTCATAAAAATAATGTAATTATTTAAATATTACCAATGTACATATAATCATGCCCACATTATTCAAACAGTTAAGATTACGTAAACACCCAATACAAGTACCACGCATAATATAATGCTCACAAAATTTAATTAAATCAATCTTTGAAAAAAGGCCCCCAAGAAATCCCTACCTTGATACCAAAGTTTTTGGTAGAAATGTAATGTGTTTTCCCAAATTTCTACCACCTTCACAAACTTAGTCTTCCTCTCTATCTTCTTTTCTTTCTCACTTTCTCCTCTTTCGATTTCTTTTCTCTTCTCATGCACAACTATGCATGACGATTAGTAGTGAAGGGTCCTATTTATACTAAATAGAGGCGGCAACTATCCTATACTTTCATTGGCTGCATGTTGATTTGCTTCAGCTGTGGATAACTATTTTTAAAATCATAACAGCTCATGGTTAAGTTGCTTAGTCACAAAGACAAATGTGAGCCTTAGTGTGCAGCAAGCAAATGTAAATGAGTTCCACGTTTGCTTAGCTAATATGCAATGCAATGTAAACTTGCCAACTATAACAATTAAAGTTAAGAGGTGTTGCATGCAAAAGGTTACGTTTTCTATTGCCCAACTCTAACAAGATCATGAACTAATAGTGAAAATTTGCACAAATGCTAACTACGTGGAGTGTAAAATAACTCTTATGCATGAATTATTTATTTATTTATTTTTAATTTTAGATAGAAGAAAGAGTTCAAAATAACTATATAGGATAAGTAAATTATGTGAAGCAAATAAACAAGATGCTATTTAAAAGCAATTGTTTAAGAACATCATCAAAATTATTGAATTTGCATTAAGTGAAGCAAATAAAACATAGACTTTCATAAATAATTATAATTATAATTGAATACTTACTAAAAAATAAAATATTAACATTTTTAAGAATAAGGATTCTCACAGTTTTTTAATGGAAAACTTGACTTTTGTTCATCCTTTTGAGTTTCTGAGCTGATTTGACTCCCATGTGTGGCTGCCCATACTTAGCTCATGGCTTTAGGGATGTAGATGTGATGGCAGCCAACATGACATTTCTGTGAACTTGGTTAAGTCTTTGACGTGCTGAGGGCTCCAGATTTATCCAATTTGGCTGAAATTTGGATATGTGATAATAGACACCCATTGGAACAACTTCTATCAAGGATGCCTCCTCATCCGACCTGTGTAAGTTGCTGAAATGAGGACTGCAAGATGACCCACGAAACTGGACTGACAAGGAGTGTGACCTAAATTGGGTTTGTCTTTAAGCTCATATTCCTCTTATCCCAATCAGCCCTTAACAAGCATGGATTGCATCAAATGTGATCTCTTGCTGTCTTAACCTACAAAACAAACAAAAAGAGGTAAGTGACTCAAAATAAAGAGAAACTAAGCAAAGTCACTAAGTAAAGAAGTCATGCGAATGTATGAAATTATGAACTTATCAGAGAGAGATATATATATATATATAATAATTTAAAAATAATTTTTTATTATTTATTTGTCCACTTGTAAGTCCACGTCAATTAAAAAATGGGTCCCATAAATGCCACATAGGCAGATAATGGATTTTCTGACGATCTCGCTAACGGAGGGGGCAAATTGTAGGTTTTCTGCGATGTTGAGTATATACTTGTAAATGTCCATAAAATTGGGTATGAACTTGTAAATGACCCTATAGGTTAGGGGGTTTACTGTAGTTTACCCTATAAGAAAATATGTGCCTTTTATTGCTATGTACCCTATTTGGAAATTTGCAAGTGATCATGATGAGGAGATTGCATTTTATATACCAATTTGTGTACGATAAATTTTTGTATGGTGTATCATTTAATTACATGGGATATTTGAAAATATTTTATTTTTATGTCCTATGTGGTACACCAACTAGTTGGAACGTACAAAAATTACTTTGTATGTATCACTTCTCTAATAGAGGTGGAACCCACCAATACAATGGGTCTCACTTCTATTGGAGCAGAACAACTTTTATGAAAGCTATCCTTGACAAATCACAGATTGCGAGGTGAAAAAATTATCACGTATGACATACTGTAATTGACCAAAAATAATAAAATAGTATTAACCATGTTTCATGTTGTAAGTGTAATAAAAGATGCAGTATACAATGTGGTATAAAATGTGGTCTCCTTAATATTTTCCATTTGCAAAATATGTGATTAATTAGGATCGTATATAAGATGTGTCATTTGCTTTTACAGATACGTACCATATTGTACGTCATTGCATATGCATGCTTGTTTATTCTATATATTTTTGTTTGTTTTTGTTGTTCTAAATTGATACGCAATATGTAATTTTAATTTATGCCTACAATATTTAATGCTTAAGTGGATTCTTTTGTAATGTATCACTGTCAAAGTCATCGTGCTGGTTTTCTTATTCGTAAACAAATAAATAAGTTTTAAACCGAAAAAGAAAAAAAAACAAATAAATAAGTTTTGATAACTTGAGATATAATTTAACAAGAATTGATAGATTTGACAGCAGAACCAGTTTGTCGCAGATTCAGACCTGTGGGGTTCTGGCGTGCTTGCAGTATCCCTCTAAATTCTTCACCATATGAAATATATGTGGTCAAAATAGAAGTGGGAGATTTGTTAATGCCTACATAAATAAATCATTTTGTTATAGCCTTTGTTGACAGTCAACTTAGTGATTATGATATGAGTGATGACGTTTCGAAAGTGACGTCAATATTATTTAGACAACATTCAAACGCTATGTATTTTTTATTATCGTATTTTATTTTTTTGCTTATAATAACATCCACACAATAATAATATATAAATATTTGGATGAGAGAATAATATATAACAAATATGGTCAGATTATTATATCTAGGCCTTTCGTTATATTGAAATCAATAACGAGAGTCTCATCGAAAAAGAAATCAATAACGAGAGTCTTTCACATGGGAAGACTTTCATGGGTAAGTTAAACATCATGGTCTCTCCTTTCACACACTCAAGTTATCCCATTAGTGTGTATGTGAGAAAACAGGAAATTGAAATATTTTTATAGAGAAGGGAATTTGAAGGTGGAATATATATTAATGATCTTCTTGTAAATTGATGGCGTATATCACGTATATGGTTTGAACTCCTTTCTTTAGAATTGAAACTTGATTTGTATATATGGGTTATGTAAATTGACCATGATAATGAGTTCGACTTTGTGTGTTGAAGTTTGAGTCCTCTTCAATATAAATTAAATTAATTTAGAATAGTTTAAACTATTACTTGTATCGAAAAAACAATAACAATTGAGATCTGACTAGTCATGCACATGAAATTTTATTTAAATTTTTCTATATTAACATATAGATAAAAATAATTTATCAAAAACACAAAAAGAAAAAGTTTTGTACACATATCACATTACTATTTGGCAGAAATGTAAAAACTCCAACTTGCCTAACGAGGAGGGATATATTTGGTGGAGGGGAATATCCAACCCAGAGACAGCTTTCTTTCTATCCAAGGAATGGAAAAGACTGAACCATGGAAGCTTTATAGTTGTCTTTGACAAAAGCAAACACCTTACTTTAATTCTTCTATAAAATAACACAAGTTGAAATTATTTGCTAGCCCTAGATATTTCCTAACTTTATGTTTAGGCACATGATGATGCACATATAATTGAGACTAATTCCTGATAAATCTTTCTCCACAATCACTAACATATAGAACCCATCTTAATAGAAAAATAATGCAAAGATGGGTTAGGCCAACCAAGTTTCAGCTTCCTTCGTAATTTAAACCATCACTTGTAAGTTTTAATTTTTTTTAAAAAATTAATGCCATGAAAATTAGAGCCTAAAAATATCTTCCTATTGTTGGGAGTTGGTCAAGTTCATTAACTGAGAATCTTTTCAATAATAAATTGAATGGGGAGGCATGGTCAAAAGTCGTAGGAGTTGATCAAACTTACAAGTTAATTGCCTTGCCTCTTGGTGAGTTGGTCCAACAGCAATGACCAAAGAAATAAATAACAGTCAAGTCCTTCATCGTGCATGCTCCATCAACTTCTTCTAGTCCACCCTGTGCAAGAGGAGTGAGAGAGACCATGACAATGCATTCGGACGCGTCTTGACTTGGCACTAATTTTGATTAATTTCTTTAAATTAATGTTAGTCTAGAAGGTTTAACTAAAACCCAACTTTTTAAAAAAAAATGCACAAGTAAGCTAGATTCATAAATTAATAAAGCCATTTGCAAACTACGATGAGGAACACGATACCATGTGTATGACTGTTTAGGCGTGGCCTGTGTGTGCACGGTGCAAGCCCAATGCACATGCATGTAGAGAATGACACCCTTAAAACCGGTGATTCCCATGAAAAGCCAAATTCACTTTTCTTGAAGCTCTGGTTTTGTTTTTTTGCCTTTCGTCCGGAAAAAAAATAAGGTTTTGTTTATTTCCCTAAATTAAGTGTGCTTAGCAACTAATTTAAACATATGAATTGAAAGGCTTCTTTTTGTGTACGGAAACCTCAAGGGCCACTGGGGGGAGGCGGCTCTCTGAGTAGCCTTAGAAAGAAGAAGACGCTAAAATTACAGCCTGACCATACACTATTTAGAAAAAGGTACTTCATATAATCCAAAAGGAGAGGCTGCCCAGTGCTTTCACAAGCTCAAAATAATTGAACAAGGAAATAAAGTGCTTGGATAAAAATAAATTAGCATTAGAAACTAGGTCTATGCTAAGCTAGCACCAAATCTCAGCTGCAGCTGCCATTGCTAGTCCCCAAGTCTGGAACTGGAAGGGCCACTTTTAGTCCCTGGACTATTAATCCTCCATCCATCACGGCCTTTATTCTCCACCATCCCTAATTGTCCAAACCCAGCTGGGTTCCCACAGAAACTGTAATTACCATAATTTGCCAACTCTGCTGGATGCCAATATGACCCTGGAGACTGTAGAAAAGGCAAGAGCTGGCATGGATGGCAATGCATATTTGGTGCAGGCACAGCTGCAGCAGGAAGAGTAAATGGCAGGGTTGATGGTAGACTCATAGGGTAAGATTCTGGTCTCCAATGGAAATTGAACTCTGGAGGAGGAACTGAGACTCTTGGCAAAGGAGAGGTAACTTCAGCTAGTGAAGGATAGGATATGTCCCGGGACTGGTTTTGTGCTTGAACTTCTAAGGTGGGATAAAGAGATTGGACTGTATTATTAGCAGGATCAGGAACACTGGTTACTGATTCAGAAGAAGAACCAGTCTCCTGAGAATCATGAACTCCAATGTTGCTTTTGTTCTTCTTCTTCCTAATCACTTTGGAAGAAAAATTCAAGACCCCATTAGGCTTACCATCACAAGTCCGAACCTGATAGCTCAGAAACCTGACTGCCTCATTGACCTCATCAAGCAAATCCGTGAAGGGCACCAGGACTTTTCCCAGGCTTTTCTTGCCAAAAAGGATGCCTTCACAGCGCATGTCGAATTTGACGTAAAGATGATCCAACTTGTCAACCAGAGACATGTCTTTGGTGTCGAAGTGCACCGTATGGTTCCATTCTGGGTTGCCTTCGCCGTCTCTGTCAACCGGTGTTTTCTGCCGCTGCAGATGTTGTTGCTGCTCATCTTTCTTCATTTCGTCGTTGAAGATGGAGACCACGGCGTAGACCGACAGCTTCTTTAAGAAGTTGAAGGCTTTGAGATCCTTACAGGAGATGAGCTTCAGTTCTATAGAGCTGCAATCTGTCAGGTTCTTGACTTTCTCAGCTGTGGCCATCCTGAAAACATAAGACAGAGGAAAGAGAGAGCTCTGTTTTGGGTTTACAGCCACCAGCAATAATAACTTGTACGGAGCAAGAGCATTTGGAAGGTGGGAACAAATCACATAAATAATTCAGAAACGTAAACTTCAAAAATAGGACAGGCGGCATACAGAAATTAGGTGTGAGTTTGCATCATTGACCATTTACCGTTGATTATACGATAACGACCACCAGCTCTGTATGTGAACACAAAGCTTTTAGTGACACTAGTCTCTCGACTCTTTGCCCATTTCGACAACAAGAACACAAAGCTTTTAGTGACACTAGTTACAAAGCTTTTACCGTTGATTCGTAATGTCCATGAAGATAAAAAATGGTAAAGGTTGTTTACGGTCGTGTCCAATATTGACAAACAAGGAACGACCAACAACCATGATATGAAGCTCCCAAAACAAGGTCGCTTGCTAATGTCGTTAGTAGTACGTGAAGATTTTACAATGTATGGTCACACAGTCATAATAAAACTTGTGACTTTCAACCTTCCAAGTACCAATCAATCCCATGAACATTGGACAAGAAAACTTATAAATAGAAGGAATCTTCCCTTTCCAAACATACAAGAAACAGCAGAGAATCCATTCCATAAAATTAATCCCAGTGCAAGAAACCATTCATTGATTATTTGTAAAGCTTTGTGGTCAGAACTCCAAAAGAATATTTGTCTTTACAGATTGAAATGTTTAGATGACTGTTTCATGATCCCACGAGTAAACAAACTAATCAGATTATTACTATTATTGAAGAAATTATAACGAACAAAACTTGAAACTACAAGAATCTCAAAGCATAGGAATCTGAAGTCAACCTCAGCGGGTTTTGTTCTTTTTGTGGCCTTGAACTTGTACTGCTGCACAAATCTTCTTCCAACAGCGGATGGATATGAGCGTCGGTATTACAACCCAGGAGGCATTAGCAGCAACGTAGTATGCATAGTAGTAGAATGAACTTGCAGCAAAGTTGTCACCTTCCAAGTAGGATGTTATGAAGTATACTGCAGTTCCATAGAGCTGCCCCAACGAAATGGCAAACTGAAGTATGTAGCTATATGACTTGCCCTTAGCTATCGCATATCTGCCAAATCATCATAAAGATCATATTTAGCACCGCAAAGGACAAGAGGACTGCACATACGGTCTGGACTCTGGTGAACCAGAGATTGGAATTCGAAAATCAAAACTTTACATTATGAATGAAAGCATAAACTTCATGATAACAAAATTCAAAGCCGTACACTGCAAGAAGGCAAGCTGGACCTTCTAAAACTGCAGTTAGTCCTTCAACAGCAACAACGCCTGCATCCCGAGCGGCATATCTTGAATCACCTTTGCTGTACTCTTTCCCTGCCAATTTTCATCTATGAGTATAATAACTATATACAACCCACCCAATTTGCAACAAATGCTAATTGTATAGAGATGGAGGGAAAATGAGAAACAGAACTTACAAACTTCAGCAAGGTAACAAGCAGTCTTATCCTTGTAAAACTCGGGCGAGAAGGCAAAATAGCCTTCAAGTATCATGTGGGTGAGGCCCGTGAAGGCCCACCAACACATTAGCCATCTATCAATTTTTGATTTTTTTGGAGACCGCCCTGTTATATACATAGCAGGAAGTAAAAAATAAAACATTAGATTGTTAATTAGACCATTAGATTGATTTGAACAAAAACAAAACATCTGTAGCTACAGAGCATTATATTGCAAATAACAAAAACATGGCAACCATCAAAATAACAGATACAGAGCATTAGATTGTCAATAACAAATAAGAGTGTGGGTTTGTTTGTGCAGGCAAGGGACTTCAAAAATGAATCCATGAATCCAAAATGTGATTAGCAATGATATTGAGTCTTTCTAATGAGAGAATTGTCAAGTTTTTTTTATGAGAAATCTGGAATTGTGCGTTTGGATGTTGAGAAAGTTAGCTCAGAAAATTAGAAAGAAAAGTAAATCTGGAATTTTCCTCTGATTTCATTCACTTGAATAATGATAATTGCAGTAGGTTTACTTTTTATACAAGATAGAAACTTAGCTATGAATAACAACCTGTAACTAACATCTAACCATCAGCAATTACCACATTCAAAAACCAAGATGATGAATTCGCACGCAGACACAAAAATGGTATGAAGTTCGAAACTTTTTGGATCTCAGACTCTCTAGAGTCTCATCTGATGCTCTGCCTATGAGTCTATCTATGACCCACTTCAAGCATCAATTGCTTCAGTGAACTAAGAAATTCACAGAAGTAACTTGAAAAAATTGGATCTGATAAGAAAAGAAGTGAAGAGAGTACCGGAGAAGAGCCACGTAAGCAAAACGACGAGGAGGGAAGAGAGGCCATAGACCCCAAGAATGGTGGACTGTGAGAGAAACCCAGGTACGAATCCAGGTAGCTTTAGATCTCTGGGTACGTATGGATGATTCTCATAAATCCCAGAGCCAGACCCCTCCATTTTCGCTCGCTCGCTCGTACACTCCGAAACAAGTCAAATCAAAGACTCCCAAAAACAGATACGACTCCTCCTCCCTTTCTTTCCATTTTAAACTTCTTTTGGATTGGATCTCAGATATTGTAATGGGCCAATTTGGAATAAGCCCATTATCACTCTATCTGAGTAGGGAATTCAACTCGAATATATTGTCTGGATCGACTGGTCTAACCCACATCTGCGATAACAATTTAGTTTAGTGATATTTAGTCTTCACTTTTTTCTGTCCAAGTTAACATGGTTGATCTTAGGACGAACTAGGATGAGTTCTGTTTGCACTCCCATTTTGCAAACATTCCCATTTTCATTGATTCAATTACCAAACTATCAAAATATGGGAAAAATGCAAATATCCAAACTAAGAGTGTGAAAATTGTGACACAGAAAAAACTAGTTCTCGCCTGAAAACACATGGATACATGTTACATGACGTGTCTTATTCAACCATAGAATAATGCAAAGGGTTATTCAAAACAGATTACGATACATATACAAACATTGAGAAGCTTATTTTGTGGTTTGTAGAGTTGGGGTTATATTTAATACTTAACCCTTCCTCCTAATTCCCAACTCAGAGGCAGACCTTGAGGCTTTGTCAAGAACATCAGAGAAGCGAGCGGCTCCGGTTGAAATGTAGTTATTGTTCATAATGGCAGTGCCCGTGAGCCCGGCTGCCTGCTCGACAACATAAATTGCTGATCTTGTTTGTCCCATGAGCACTCTGCCTTTCTCCGACAGCTTCAACTTCTCTAGATCTTCCTTGTTTTTTTCTTAGCATATTGGCTTCTGGGATGACCCCCTGGCTTTTGGCCTGAATAGCACACACATAGATACTCATTATGCCATAATGCCATTGCTTTTAGGGCCAAAACAGTTGAAGCTTGTTTATTGCAATTCAAACAGATTTTGAAGCCTTTGGGAGTGAAGTAATGCTATTTAGAGTGAAACTTTTTCCTTCAAATGTGAACAAAATGTTGCAATTTGACAGAGCTGCGTGCTCAATCAGTGGAACTAATCATAGAATTACTTAATAGAGAGAGAGAGCGAGAGAGAGAGATGAACCTGGGTGTGATCAATGTCTCCTGAAACTATAGGAATTTTTGTAGCACATGCAGGTAATATGCAAATTGGTTGGCCTTCAAAGATAGCATTCTGCAAAGTGATCATTCCTTCCTTTCAGACACACTACTAAAATAAAAGGCAATAAAACAGTTTTTTTTTTTTTTTTTTTTGTTGTCTTACATTAAGGAGAAGAGCAGTTTGAAAAGCATAAGGCTGGCCAAAAGTCACCAAAGCATATGGTAATTGATCTTCAACTCTGCGATCGAAAAAAAGAAAAAAGAAAAACATGAAATTAATCAATAGAAAATATGAAGATATAGTAAATATATGTAATAAGAGGTTGTTTAATTACCTCAAGAGCTGGATTTGACGAACAGTTCCACAATAAGAGAAGAAGGTGTTCAACTCTGCAAGAGTTGTTCTTGGAGAAAGGTTGAGAACCTGAACAGTCATCGAATCCCCTGCTCCCATTATTATTATTATTATTATTATGTTCACAATTCTGATTCATTGCGTTAAGTAACTGGCTGCTATTACTATACAAACCCAGTGCCTACTATTTCATGAGCATCCAATCCAAACCTGACAAGGAATTTTGAAAAATCATACAACGTGGGAATAAAGCAAGGGAGAATCGAAAAAAGGGCTCCAAAAATATCTATCTGGGGATTAAATTTAATCATTAATGGGAGTGGGATTGACAACGATGATATTATTAGTGTTTTTTGGGACAAGTGATACCTAAATTACAAAGGAGGAGATTTTTCACACACACAACACAACTATGATGTCGTGGGAATTCGAATTTGAAACCACTAGTCTGCAAGTCAAGCTCAAGACCTTTTTATTATTATTAATTTTTTTAAAAATATTTTATATACTAACGATATTGAGTGAGGAAGAATCGAATTTATAACTTCGAATACAAAAATAAATACTCATAACCACTTGAATTACAAGCATTTCAAATATGAGTAAGACAAGGAAATGTTAATGAACATTTTGCTTCTTGTTGTGGTCTCTAATTAAGGTCTTGCGTGAGCTTGAGACCAAATAGAAAAAGGTGTTTTGGAGGCAAATATTCTTGGAGGCACGTTGGAAATTGCAAATGCGTCGCAGTCATGTAATTGCTTTTGACTATTTGTTTTTTTCTCTCTGTTTTCAGGCCTTGAGCCACATGCCTTATTCCTTTCTTTCGCTTTCACCTTTCACATCATCCAAAGTTACATATTAGTCGATAAATTTATTAAAGATATAAGCACTATTAAGGTAAATTAGATTAGACTTATCCAAAATTAGTATTCATCAGGCTATTCCCACACCCCACACACGTGCGAAAATTTTCGGGCAATTGACAAAATAGACACTTAATATGTACTTATTATCGTACTCTCTTATTGTATTATGTATGAAATTTGAAATAATTACTCTTACCATGCAAAATAAATATTGACTAATAGTATTTCTAGTCATTTCAAATATCAAAGTGATATATTGTCTAGTTGTTTTCAATACATTGTATCGTGTGCTTTTCGTTTGGGAGCTGATTTTCTCACTTTTTTGTGTACTTACATTCACTTCGTTGGAAATTATTTTCCCACTCATCTTTTGCTCACTTACTCTTCATTGTATGTTATAGTAAAAAATATTTTAAAAAAAATGAAATGTAAATGGACAAAAGAGAAGTAGGAAAATCAACTGGGTTCATATATGTAGGAGCACATCACATGAGTTTTCTTTCAGCTGGCAAATGGCTCAACTGGGTTCTTGTTGTACCACCCTAGACCCTAGCATTGAGTTAAGCATTCAACCAATTTTGTTTTCATGGTCAAGACAATTGGAACCGGCTCCAAAACAAAACGAAAAGAAAAAGGTCACATTACTGACCCCCCAAAAAAAAAGGTCACATGACCAAAAAAGACCAAGAAACATTGATAGCTTTAGGAAAGTGGTTGCCGGCTCGCCGCTGCAATTTATAGGCTCAAATGGATCCATTGGGCAGCCCTTTCTCTTTCAATATGTGAAATCAAATCATGGAAATAAAGAAAAAGATAAAGACAAAAACAAAGCAAAAACTAAAGGAAAATGAGGGGCCAAAATTTCAATGCATGGGAAGGCAGGCCAGCCAGGTCCCAACTAAAACACTTTAATTAGCGATTTAATTGCAAATTAAATTTAATAAAACTTGGGGTTGTTTGTTTCATGTTAGTTGGTGCCTGCCTCGTGGCAAAGCAACAAAACAAAAGCCAAAGCAAATCCTCCTAAACTAAGCTCATCTCTCTCTCTCTCTCTCCCTCTCACATATCAGCAGTCAGCTACAGCCTACAGCAAGAGAAAGCTCCGGCGAAGACCACGTTCCCCTTTGTTTCTCTCCTCCTCCTGTCCTCAGTCTAAGTGATATTATTAAAAAAAGAAACAAAATTTAATGTAAAAGGGTGCAAAAAATAAAATATTTATATAATCGGAAAAATCGGCGATCCGAGTCATTGGGAGGGAAATCGCCACGGGAGCAGAGCATTGTCCCTCTCGGACTTGTAATCACTACCCGCCTCTTCAAAGACCTCTTGGGTTTGGAGACACCGGAATTCCCAGTCTCGTCCCCCGATCCGTTTCAGTTTCGAAGAGAGCTTTAATGGCGTTTCAAATGCATTGAAGGGAAAATATATGAACGCCTTCAAAAACTGAACCCGAACCCTTCGTTCCCACTTTTACGGCGACAGAGCTCCGGATTCGGTTCTCTTCTCCCCATTTCAACAAAACCCAGAAAACGAAAAACACACATGATTAAAAGGTGCGTTAAAGATTTGATTTTTTATTCACCTCCTTCTTAAATTGGTATGAATTTGAGAATTTATTTGATTTATCCCTGCCATCATGTCATGTCTTCATTTTATAGATTGTAAATGTTGAGCTGAGTGTTCTTGATCCTGGTTGATGCCACGAGCATTGTCTTTACCGAGTTGGGACGTCGTTGAGGGTTGGGGTTGTGTGCGTTGCAGATCCTGCGGATGGTGGTGGCTCAGAATCAAATGTGTTGAGCTTCAGGAATTGTAGGGGAGGCCATGAGAAAAAACGACATGGTCAGAACGCAAGAAAGAATGTACACAACTGCTCTGCCTCCTCAGCATTCTGACTCCGACAGTCGAATTATCGACACCCCTGGCCCGTCCCTGCATCTCTATCAAGTTTGGAAAGGAAACAATGTAGGTGATGATGTCAATTGCTACTTACATTACATGTAAAAACAACAGGGAATGAATGCAAATCTGTATATTTATCAGTTGATTATGTTAAATGTCATATGTTGTAGATTGGGCTTTCTTTGGATTGAATTTTGTGTATATGGTTTTAGAATCCCATTTGGTGGAATTTTAAAATAAGGTGTATGTGTCTCATGGCCTTACAATGAACTCAGTTTTGCTTGATGTTTTGCAGAGATTTTGCTTCAATGGCAGAATTATATTGGGTCCAGATTCGAGGTCATTATTCCTTACCGTGTCCCTAATCGTTGTTCCAGTGATCCTGTTCTGCTCTTTTGTTTCTCAAAGACTAGTTGAGCAATTCCCACGCCATATTGGCAATCTTATTGTGGTTCTCTGTCCCCTGTTTGCAGTATATGTGAGTTCTTCCTCTTTATATGACTGGTTTTTCAATTTCCCTTTTAACTCTCCTACCAGGTGAAAATTGCCAAAATTACATGTAATCACATTACGCTAAGGGGAAAAACTGAGAGAAGGAGAAGAAACTTCTACTGATATACTAAGAACATGAAATTCTCTGTATCACTCTGCCAAGTAATTGCATAAGTTAACTATTATTTTAATGTTCGGAATCCAGAATGTCGCAATATAAGGTTTGAAACTCAGATGGAGCATAAGGACTTAAGAAGTTTATTTCTGCTTTAAGGCAGAGAGAGACAAATGGTAGTTTTATTGGTTTGTAGCCCCAATATGGGATTTTCTGAAATAATAATATGTTGGACACATGTTGTTGATGTTTGCCGCACCGAACTTCTGTATACATTTGATAACTGAAGGTTTTTGGCTTATTGACTAGTGCAGGTTGTTATTCTTCTCTTGATTACATCTGCAAGAGATCCTGGCATTATTCCTCGTAGCCTGCATCCTCCAGAACCAGAAGATGATGGCTATGTCTCTAGTATCTCTTCTGATTGGCCAGGAAGTCAGAATGGGCCTCCCGGTGTACCACCCACAAAAGATACTATGGTTAATGGCGTGATAGTCAAGATCAAATATTGTCAAACATGCATGCTATATCGTCCACCCAGATGCTCTCATTGCTCTATATGCAACAACTGTGTTGAGCGTTTTGATCACCATTGCCCATGGGTGGGGCAATGTATTGGGAAAGTATGCTTCATATCATTAAACCCGCATTTTAGCTTGAATTTACTTAGTTTTTTCATATTTCTTTTGTAATGTGGTGTAAGGTACAACCTTATAGCAGAAGAAGCTCTCACAGAAATTTAATACATATATTTACATATTAAAATTTGAATTGTGATATGTTGATTCCCAAGAATGATGACAATGTTATCTCATTGCGCTATTATTCTATCAGACAAACTCTTAGTTCTGACATGTTGAGTTGAGTGTCTGTGTATCACTTCCTACTTGCACGCTGCATGCATTTAGGATTGTGGATTTTCAACCCTCACTTCATCCCTACCTTAAGTTATTGCCCAGCATATATGCATACTCCTGCATCACAATCTATGGTTCTCTCCTCGTTTGAGTTGAAGGGGATAAGTTATATTAATTACCATCTTTTCATAATCTTTACACGGTTGAAGTTATTTTTCACAGAGGAATTACAGATTCTTTTTCATGTTTGTGTCCTCCACGACCATGCTGTGCCTCTATGTCTTTGCCTTCTGCTGGGTAAACATAATGAAGATAATGGATGCTTACCATTGCAATCTCTGGAGAGCTTTATCAAGGTCGCCTGTTTCAGGATTTCTAATTCTCTATACATTTGGAGCTGCTTGGTTTGTTGGAGGTCTCACTGGATTCCATCTCTATTTAATTTTCACCAATCAGGTTCCTTGCTCTTTACCTTTTGTTGCTTCTTGGTGTTCGTTCTCTATTTATCTCTCTTAGAGTAAAATTTCATCTTGTGTGCAGACAACCTATGAGAATTTTCGGTATCGATACAATGTGAAGATGAACCCGTACAATCGTGGGTGTTTTCGCAATGTTGGGGAAGTCTTCTTCTCTAAAATTCCGAGATCTAAACATAACTTCAGGGAAATGGTTAAGGGTGATTCGTCTTCTGTCTATGCCAGTTCAATGTCATTACGCCATCCCATGAGCCCAGAGATTCCCAAAACAAGTTCTGACATAGAGATGGGAAAACGACAAGCTGTTGCTGCTGAAGATCTGGAGGATATACAGAGTCAGATTGATAGGGTTGGTGGATTGGAGAGGTGTGGAACCCAGCCAAGACATACAAACTGGGATCACAAAACCAACTGGGAGAGCTCACCTGATATACAAATGTTGGCTGCTGAGTTTGGAATGGAGCATGGTTCAACAGGTAGACAGAAAATTGAAGGGGCTAATGACCTTAAGACCTAAATTGTTGGTGAGCAATTGTATGTTCTGATCTTACAGCCAAGATGATAGCTGCTAACCTGGATAATTGAAATTGGTTATTGACATAGTGCTGAACTCCCCCACTGGCAAGATGTTGTCACACTCAGTTCTTTGTGGATACTTGGGGCCAAGTGTGGTGCTGAAAAGCCCTCAGCAAACCAAGGTCCGCATCTGATTTAGTCCTTATTCTTGATCGAATCACGGAAGAGCCTGCTCATTGCTGTAAGAGTTCCGGTGGTGGCTTTGATTCATGTGAGCATTTGAGATCAATAGACGTATATGTGAGTTGTTGTACCTTTTAAGTTGAAAAAATTGAACAGACAACTAATTTTTCGTCCAGAAATTAGACTTGTATAAACAATGTCCTATGAAAACTTGTGTAATATATAGACAGTTTATCTCTTAACACACCGAGACACTGAGGACTCTAGGGAGGAGAGAGGTAATAGAAGAACAAACTTGTAAACTAGTTTAAAATAGCTAAAAGGCCACAAGAGGCAATGATGTATCACGAAATATGGGTCAATTATGGTGTGAAAAGTTAATTAAAATAAAGTGGCTCAAAGTTGGAAGGAAATCATGTAAGAGGAAAATTCTAATTAAATGTCAATTATGGAGCTAGGAAAAGAAGGAATGTGTATCGTTGGGATTTTCATATCGATTAAGGAAGTTTGAAGCAATTATGATTATGTCAAGATCTGTATTTAATTTAATGTTTAATTTTATATTTTTAACAATAAGTTATCTATTAGGATATTATTTTCCTAATATGATTTTAGCTAGGATTTTTATTATTTTCTTGTTGGCTACGTTTAGGAATATTCTAGAACCTAGGGTTTCCTACGATATTGGGGTTTTTTTGTTTTCTATTTAAGCCAACTCATGGCGTTGTATTTGTTAGTTTATTCATCTTATTTTCAATTAATATATTTGAGGTTTACTCAATTTCTCTGGTGGGTTCCAATTTGTTGGTAGATTCCGACATTGTTACTTGTAGGGTTATCGAATCTTGCTGTGTCAAGCTGAACTTGAATGCTAATGGGGCCTTCCACCTTGTTTGTTATGCTGAAAATGCCAAAAGGTTTGCTGCTAGAGAGGAAGTTACGTGGGTGCTGGAGATGGCTTTTTGCAACCCATTTTTGAAGGCCCCTGGTACCCTACAACTTCAAGTGATCCATGCAATTAATAGTGATAGAGTATTTTATGTCCCAACTACCAACTACCAAAGCAATGTGCTTTCTTTGCATGAACCCTTATGCTTTCTTGTTCTTGATCTTCAACCCAACTACCAAAGCAATGAGCTTTGAATGAAGTTCAAGAATAAAAATAAAGGGATCCTACAAAGAAACTGGTGGTGAGCAAGCAAATCTAGATTGAAAGCACGTAACACAATGACGCCATGTGTGATTAAGTTGTAGACACCAATGCCACTGATGAAGGCGAACCACAACAAGATGATCGGAGCGAAGGCGAAGCCCACTTTATCAGTCCCAAATTGTTGAACATCAAACAGAATCACCAAGATTTGGCACGTGATAACGGGGGCTTCAGCTTTGTTCATATTTTTGTTTGAGCAAATTTCTGCATGGAGAATATTCGCACGTAGATTCGTCGACCCTCAAACGTCTTTCTCTTTCTTCTCCCTTGGTTCATGTAAAACAAATCTAGGTCAATGGACCACACCTAGGGGTCTTGGCAAAAAACCCTATGATGCCTAAGTTCGATTGGATCTTGAGAAAGATACGACAATAGCTAAAGTGGATGGAGTTTTCTCTCACGGAGAGAGCCAGGTGGCCGAAGCCGAGAGAGAGAGAGAGAGAGAGAGAGAGAGAGAGAGAGAGAGAGAGAGAGAGAGAGAGAGAGAGAGAGAGAGAGAGAGAGAGAGAGAGTTTAGAATTTGTGTAGGGTTTCAGAATTAGAGAAGAATTACTTTGAGTGTCTTGTGTAGCCATGTATTTATAGTGCTCCTTGTATACTAGGGTTTGGGAGAATAATCCTTATTTGGTTTATTCTTTCCCAAAAAGATTATAGGAATTAATAAGAGAGATTTGCTGAAAATTGGTTCCTTAATTTAGGGAGATATTCACATCTTAAATTAAAGATAATTACCAGTAGGATTTAATTAGGGTAATTAGTTGACCTAAGGAATATCTTTTTTCCACATGTCGTTTTCTTATTGGCCGTTGAAATATGTGTTCCCACAAATTCCCCCCAGCTTCTACATGGCGCTTATGAGGCGTGGAGGAGATGAGACATATCCATTAGGCTTTCCAACTGCATCTGGGCTCCCTTCTTGGAGTTGGGCACCTTTTGCAAGTTGGGCTCCTAATTGGAGTAGGCTTTTGACTTCTTTTTGGAGTTGGGCTCTTAATTGACCTAGGATGCCCAACCTTTATAAATACAAGGCTTCTCTTCATTCCTCTTCACATTGCAAACTTATTTCCTCTACTTTCTAGCTTGTGAGAGAGATCTTAGAGGATTGTACTACTTGTTGAGGAGAGGCGTTGCTGTGCATACCAAAGTATGTCAAACTTATTATTTTTTTCTTTGATTTTTCTTCGCGGCAAGGACTGGCTGGCTTGACTAGTCGATTGTCGTCATGATGCAGTACTTGGAGCTACGACGGTAGTGGTGGCAGTCATTGGCAGTAGCTGCTGTTGTGGCAATTTTTTTTTCTTCTATCGTGTTGTAGCTTGAACCGCATCTTGGAGAAGTGGCAAGGAATGCTGGCGCTGGTCCGGGCTGTGCTGCTGCTTAGGTCTGTGCTGGCGATTTTGGCCGTGCACCTGTTAGCGGCTGCTGATTGTGGTTGGTTGCTAACATTCCCTATCAAAGTTTGAGTCGTTTGAACCAGTCAAGGGATGAGGGTCGAACTGAGAGGATTGCTCATCCATTTAGCCATCGAATCCATCTGCCGAGCCACGAGCAGTAAGCGTGGGATTGATTCAACATCGTTGACCCCTTTGGAGGCGAGGATGGCTACGGCTAAGAAGGTCAGAGAGTCATTTGCTCTGGCAAAGGGTCATTCGGATACTCGAACATCTCATCCAAAGGTTGACAAGCTTAGCTCCGCATAGGATGCTCGTTATGGAGCTTTGACCAACATGTCATCTATGTGAACCTTCATAGTCTTGCTGATCTGCTCTTTGAAAATCTTGTTCACGAGCCTCTGGTATGTTGTTTGGGGCTCTTTAGCTCGAAGGGCATGACTTTGTAGTAGTATGTGCCTATTTCGATTATGAAAGAAGTATTCGCTTTGTCGTTTTCATGCATTATGATTTGATTATAGCCAGAGTAGGCGTCTATGAAGTTAAGCCGTTGGTTACCGGAAGTTGAATATACAAGCTGTTCAATTTTGGGTAATGGAAAGTTATCATTCAGGCATGCCTTGTTGAGGTCGGTGTAATCGACGCAAACTTTCCACTTGCTTTGATTTTTCTTTGCCACCATAACAACGTTGACCAGCCACTATGAGTAGAAGACTTTCTCAATGAAGTTGACAGCTAGGAGCTTGTCAATATCGACTTTAATGATGGCAACTCGCTCGGGAGCGAAGTTGCGTCTATTTTGTCCTACTGGTTTGCTGGTTGGGTTGACATAGAGCCTGTGGCAGATGATAGGGTCGATTCCTAGCATGTCAGATGGTGACTGCGAACACGCCTTTGTTGCTTCACATTCTCTTCTGGGCTTAGATGCGAGTTGATCCGCGTTTTTCTCTCTAGCTTGTTAGAATTAAGGGGTACTAGCTTAACGTCCTCCTTCAGCTTTCATCATTCTTCAGGAGAGATCTCCAGACAAATTCCATTGTTTTGGTCTTAGTTCTTTAATTGCTATTAAGGAATGACCATTCCTTTCCTTTCCCTTCTGGTCTGCTTGACTGTCAGGAACGAGATATGCTTCCTCCATTACCTGTTCTGTCCGGCTCACTGGTATGAACTGTACTTGCTTACTCTTCTTCAGCCCTTGAATTGAGCATATTCTTGCCATCGACTGATCGCTATTGATGTGCCCGACATCGCCCCCAGGGATTGGGTAGCAAATTTTTTGGTATATGATGGAAGTGACATGCTTGCCTACTAGGTCTACCTTAGTTGGAGCTTGCATATGCTTGTGACATGCTTGCTTGCTAGGCAACACGCTATTGTCCTTCTCATCGCCTGCTGGTTCTTGCTCAACCTGCTTGTGTCCTCTCGAACCTCCTGCTGGTGCGTTCATTCTTCCTTCTCTCTTCACCTTGAGATTCAGGGCCAAAGTCTCGAACAAAGTTGATCTACCTGAGGAGCTGTCTAACCAAGTTGTTTTGGTCGTTTACTCTTTGGGTCAACTATAAGACTGAGGTCTACCTAATTGCTTAGATTAAGGGGAGAGAATTGTGTGGAGCCTAATTGCACACGAACTAGGGTTTCATTGTAGGTATATGCAGGTGCATATGTCAAGTGCGGAGGCAAAGGAGGGAATAGATGTAATTGTTCCATGACAGAGCGAAAGTTGGTGGCGATACAAAGTTCGCCATGACTGGTGACTGGGCTGTGCATCGCGGCGGTGCCATGGAGGTGTGTATCGGATCCTACTGCGAAGTCGTGAGAAAGGTGGTTGCTGGAGCCAATCGCTAACCCTTGCGGTAGAAAGGTGGTGCTGGCCGCGGGGCTGAGAGGAGGCCTGGTGGAAGATGGTGACATAGCACTCTCGCCATGGGGTCAAGAGGAGGAGTAGCGCTGGTTGGAACCATGATGGAAGCCACGGTTGCGGCGTGTGGAGCTGTAACTTTGACGGTGGATTGCGGCGGTTGGTTTGACACAGCCTTATGCGCTTGCTTCAAACCATGGTTGTTTAGAAGGCTTCGTTTAAGGGATGAATATGAGGAAATAGATTCCTTTGAGTCAAGAACACGCTTCGAGTATAACTCGTGCTCTCAATAAAATCACCAAATATGTTTGAGCAAATTTTTGCACGAGGAATATTCACACGTAGATTCTTCGACCCTCGAACATCCTTCTCTTTCTTCTCCCTTGGTTCATGTAAAACAAATCTAGGCCAACGGACCACACCTGGGGGGGTATTGGCTAAAGACCCTCTGATGCCTAAGTTAGTTCGATTGGATCTTGAGAAAGATACGACAATAGCTAAAGTGGACGGAGTTTTCTCTAATGGGGAGAGCAGGGTGGTTGGAGCCGTGTGGGAGAGAGGAGAGAGAGAGAGAGAGTGGCGGCAAGAGAGATAGAGAGAGAGAGAGAGGAGTTTGTGTAGGGTTTTAGAATTACGTTTAGAATTTGTGTAGGGTTTCAGAATTAGAGAAGAATTACCTTGAGTGTCTTGTGTAGCCATGTATTTATAGTGCTTTTTGTATACTAGGGTTTGAGAGTATAATCCTTATTTGGTTAGGATTACTCCTTCCCAAAAAGATGATAGGAGTTAATAAAAGGGATTTACTGGAAATTGGTTTATTGATTTAGGGGATATTCTCATATTAAATTAAAGATAATTTCCCTAATTAAATTAGGTAATTAGTTAACCTAAAGAATATTCCTTTTCCACTTGTCGTCTTCTTATTGGCCGGTAAAATATGTGTTCCCACAATTATCACCTTGTGATTCTTGTTCTTCAGTGGCATTAGTCTTACAACTTAATCACACATGAAGTTCCTGTACGCTGTGCTTTCAATCCAGTTCTTTTGTACGTCTTTCATTACTTTTGTGCATTGCTGGTGAGTATACTGTATATCTAATTTATCCAGTTTATATTTTTAACCATGTCTCTCTCTCCTTCTAAATGTTCATCTAACTAGTCACACAAGCATCATGCTCAACTCCAAAACAGAAATTTACTTAGCATGATTCTACCTGGATACGGTGGCATTCAACAGGGTCTCTATACCGTAATTGGTTTGCAGTGCTGGACTTCTTTATTCAATTTCATACTGAAGGCAAAGGCTCATCTTCATCAAGTGGAAAAATTCACACGAAACTATATATGTATATAAAATCAAATTGCTCAAAACCACTTCCTAGCTAAGTTACAATGCATGCCTCTGCCTTGTATGATATGAACACACATATATATTGCTTGTCAATTGGTGTTGGAGCCGCACACAAATTAGCACATTGAGAAGCACATTACACAAACCACTCCTTCTCACAAACACTGTCATCTCATATCTCATACGTCATTCCAACTTTGAGGAGCCTAGTCCTTGGGATTGCCATGACTTGTTCCCCTTGCCTGAAGTTTTTCCTCAAGAAATCGTAGGCATAGTTGACAACAAACTTCTTGAACAATGACGAGTTCTGTGCGGCCAACACTTCTGTCTCTCCCAGCAGATAAACTATGCCGTCCTTCATAGCTCCTTGCACATACTGAATTTCCTCCTCAGCTCCTTTGATGGGTGCAGAGACAATTCTGCTGGATGAGTTCACCGACCTTGCAGCATTGAATGACTGAATGGACCCCGTTGAGACCCGAGGCATGTTAACTTGTTGTGCTGATTCTTCACCATTGAATGACTCCCCATCTTTCCCTGCCTCCTCTGTTTTCTCTGTTGCTCCTCCATCAATTACGAAGTGTTCGTAAACTTCGTGGCGGATGAATTCTTTCAAGTTCTCAACCAGTTGGCGCTCGAACTCTTCAGGTTCCTCAACTCTGTCATTGTAACCATACCTTGCTACACAGCGGAACATTCTGTACTCTCTTGGCTCCAACTGTCGAAACAGAAACCTCTCCTCCAGTGAAACTTTGCTGAACGGGATAGGCTTGATGGAGACAATCACTATAACAGAGTGGATGGAGGGTACATTGTTGACAAAGTGAGAAAATATAGGGGGAATTCCCTGCACAAGCTCAGAATATAGAAGTCCAATGCCTGGCACCCTATTTATGTTGGGGTTACAGGCCAGTTGTTTCATGTATTCTGTGGAAACCTTGTTGTTGAGCTCAAACATGTATTTTTGTTTGTGCACATAATGCCAAATCCCCATGATTGCCATAAGGACAGAAGCAAAGACCAGTGGAAGGAAACCACCTTGCGCGAATTTGTACAGCACGGCGGACGAATAAACCACCTCGATGGAGATGAACACCACAAAGAACAGACCAATCAACCATATGCTCGTCTTCCATATCACCAACATAATCAGAGTAAGCAAACATGTTGTGATGACCATAACACTGACCACAGCAATTCCTGCATCACAAACAGGTACATGTCATTTTGGAAATCTACAAATTTGTGCTGTACGAATTCAAAATGCATTGTTTGTGCTTAATTACCATATGCATTGCCAATCTTTCCGGTGGTCTTGAATGCTGCAGTGACTATAACACAAGCAACCATAAGCAGGTAGTTGATCTCAGGTATGTACACCTGACCCTCATACTTGGCAGAGGTATGAACAACCTTAACTCTCGGGAAACAACCCAAACTTAGGGACTGGGAGATGATTGCAAATGCCCCAGATATCATAGCCTGACTGGCAATAATAGCAGCAGCTACGGCGATGACGAAAGTTGGCCAATACAAAGGGTCTGCACATTGCATACCAATGAAGATAGTTATTAACTTAGTTAAATTGTTCAAGCACAGTGGTAAAGTGCAATTACATTGAGAAGTGAAAACTCACCTGGTATTGAGTCATAGAATGTGTCCTCCACCTTCCCTGGGAACTTTCTGAGGAATGCTGCTTGCCCACTATATGCAGTTATTAATGCAGGAAATGTGATGCAAGAGAAAACTGATCTGCACACATTTATGGTGCAACCTGCAAGTGCAACCTTTTCCTCCTTTTTTTTTTTTTTTTTTTTTTTTTTTTTTTTTTGAGACAACCAAAAACACAAAAATATACACAGGGTATTTGCTCTGCTCTTACTTGGATTGCTTTGACATTGAAGTGACCCAAATCAGCAAACATGGCCTCAGTCCCTGGTTAATTTAAGCCACTAGTTAAATCCACATTCACAAGGAGTGAAGGACATCAGATATGTTAAAACTATATATAACCGTGCGCCGTCACATACCAGTAATGCAGAGGAAAACTCCCCCAAGGGAAACCCATCCTTTTTTTCCATTCCTTTTGAAGAAATCTATGATGTATTTTGGGTTGAAAGCACGCAATACGCCAATGTCATGTTCGAACAAGTTGTAGAGACCAATGCCGCTGATGAGCAAGAACCACAGCAGAATAATAGGTGCAAAGGTGTAGCCCACTTTATCAGTCCCAAATCGTTGAGCAGAAAAGAGAACGATCAAGATTACTATGGAAATCCCCACAACAGCATCTGTATCAATTCTCAGGCTCAGCCAATGTTAGAAAACCGCTAAAATGAATGTCTTCTGATTTGCACATCCAATTCTCCTCTGTTTTCTTCCCCTTTTGTTTTGGTCACAATATCTGGGGCAATACAAAACAAAGCAAAAAAATACAAAAAAAACATGTATATATGTTACCTGTGCCTAAAGACTTAATCCCGCTCACTGCAGAAAGGACTGCACGCAATATGTATATAGAATTTGTGTCAATATTCAACTCTTGCACGAAAATATAAATTAGTACAAGTTTTCAAATACACACACTGTGTGACACAAACCACCTTTTAAGTCCACCCACAATGTTCCAACCAAAAAAAACAGTCCACTCACTCACAATGTTGTTTCTTTTTTCTTTTTCTTTTTTGGTCAGACCCACAATGTAGTTTTATGATCTGAATCATTGTCAATTTTTTAGGCCCTTATCAAGATCATCCATAATCGAAATAGATGATACTTCATTTACAATTTGAGTAAAAATTATTTGCAAGGATGATCTTTTTACGAAAATTAAAAAATAGAAGTCTAGATTATGAAATCACATATTGAGATGTGTTTGAAAATTCCTCATAGGTAAATTACCTATTTTTGTTGTTGTTGGAAAAGATACTTTATTAGAACACCATAAGATTATACAGCGGAAATAATGAAAACATCCAAAACCAAACATGAAAGCCAGAATTGTGTGCCTTATTTTATTTTATTTTATTATCAATTGAAGTGTACTAATTACCTGAAATGCATGGAGTAAGAACCCCATCTCCAATGACCATGGAAGTTCCCATAATGGTCACAAGGAATAGAACGTATTGGGCCATCTTACTATTCTCCAACTTCTTCTTGATGGTTTGGGCTCGTTTTAACTCGTCGGATGGTCTTTCCAGTTTATAGTTGGATAGCTCCCTATCCTCTGGCTGGTTATTCGGAATTAAGCTCACCTTCGCGTACCGACACATCAATGAATACAGTGCAAACGTTCCCCCTACAAATTAATGTGCACTTAATTAGTTTTTCAGGGTAATTAATGACAAATTAATTCGTAAAGTTATTGGTTTATTTATAACAAGTAGTACTATGACGAGTCGGCCTCGACACATGTTCGTATATCATTTGTTTAGTTGAACTTGAAAAAACTGAAACATTGTTACGTGAGTTGGGATCGAACATATGATTATCGATCTTACCATCGCCGTTATCGTTGGCCCAGAGGACGATGAAGACATACTTGAGCATGGGCACGAGAGCTATGGTATAGATGATGAGAGACAATACCCCTAGAATGTCATCGACGTTGTCAATACCATCTGTGAAGGTGCTCGAAAACACGTAGAGCGGAGACGTCCCTATGTCCCCATACACAATCCCTATGCTCTGAAACGCCAAACTCAACGTTCTTTGCCAACTTACCTGAAACAAAAGTATTATTAGTTGCTGCTATTTGTACCATCTTACCTGATCAAATATCCCGTCTTTAATAAATAGTAGAAATTAAGCGAGATTATATGTCGTGTTAACGAAATAATAGGTCAAAGAAATGATTGTTTTTATTTGACAGTGCGATATTCTAAATTACTCTAATGAACTATGAAATTGATGGCAGAACAGACCTGTGAGCCATGGCTCCGGGTCGTGGAAACTCTTCCAGCCTCTAAACTGAGAGAGTCCACGCGGCGCAACTTAGCCCATGACGCCTTCCTCTCCTTCAGGTGCTGGTTCGTTAATTCTGCCTCCCCTTCTCTCATGCTCACCACTTTCTCTGCCATTTCTTCTTCTGGTACTTGTCTTAAAATTCAACACTGCCTCGTGTTTTTATAGGCGAAATCAAACACGCATGCACTTGTGACCTGTTAGCTTATTAATTTATTTTTCCATATCCATCTGCAAAAGTATATTCGTGTAGACGTGTCAGTTACTCGTATTGTTTATAAATGAGCAATAATATTTAGAAATTTGACCGCCTTCCACGGTAGGGGGTTTGGTGTTGGGGTCACAAAGTCGCATGTTCTTTCGTATTCCTTCTGACATTAGTACATATTTATCTGCAGTTTTCAAATATGAACCTTCGTGCGCTTTGTTTTAGTAAATTATGGATTAGATTTTTTGTCTTTTAGTGGAAATCAGTTTATGGTATGCCGTCAATGACTTAATCATAGGATTAAGATAATCAGACGAAGATTTATGGATGAACAATTTTGGTAAAAGACAAAGAAGTTTATATGGATATACAATTTTGGTAATCATGCTGATTAATGTAGGACTACGAGATGGTACGGATCAATATGAAAATCCCTTTACGCGTTCATTCAACGTCCAGATGTTAATTAATGTACAAATGAAGAAATGCAAAACAAAATATTGAAAATTTTGTTTTTAGTTACATTGGGAGGAAAGAAACCCTAAGATTTTGATCCCGAAAACATTGGAATTTTCATTTGACAGAAAAGTACCATAAAAATTCAAGGCCCAATTGTTGTAGATGACAATTTGGGATCTAAAATTATCTTGAAAGCGAACTTCAAAGTAAGAAATATTATTTTATCAAACATTATTGCAATGATTACCAATATTATAACCCATATAATAATTGGTGAAAATGTAAACCAATAGCGTCCTGAAGTAAGACATCCACACATTGATTAAAAAAAGAGAGGGGTTAATTTCAATTTAGTACTCTGAACTTTTATCTTTAAGGTACGTTTGCTCTTGAACTCTCAATTTTAACGATTATATACCCTAAACTTTTCAATTTTGTGCAATATGGTTATGGTGTTAACTTCATCATCAAAATTTTGGTTAATTGCTTGCGTTATAAGTCTGGGTCCTATCTATTCACTTACTTCAATGTGAATTGAAGGGTATTTTGTTAAAAAATGGTTTGGTATTAATGCATGTAATGTGTTCTTCATGGGCGGGAAGACACCAATTACTTGAAAATACTCTTCAACTGACATCGAAATAAGCGAATAGGTGAGCCCTATACCTGCCATGCAAGCAATTAACGGAAATTTTGATGTCAAAGTTAACATCGGAACTAGATTGCAAAAAATTGAAAAGTTTAGGGTATGTAATTGTTAAAATTGAGAATGCAGGAACATATGTACTTTAAAAGTAAGAGTTCAGAGTACTAAATTGAAACTAACCCAAAAAAAATATTGCGAACCAACAAAAAACCAGAGTTGAAAGAAATTTCAGTTCAAACCATGGAAGGTAACATTGTCCAAAAATAAAAAAACAAAAGAAAGAAGAAACTTATGGGACACAAAGCCTTAAGCTTTGTTTGACCTAATTACATGTACAAGTAATTTTACATAGGGAGAGGGCGGTGCCAACCTGGCGAGGATTTGCAATAATTGCCAATATTAAATACTTTATTAAAGGCGTCCCACAAATTCCAAAGAATGTGATTGGTTATCAAGTCAATTATGTTGTTTTAATTTTTATAAAAATTTTAATTTTAATTTGGCTTAAATGTCAAAATAGTCCCTGTATTTTAACCATTTGGCCAATTCAGTTCCCGTGTTTTTAATTTGGCTAATTTAGTCCTTGTGTTTTACTCTGTACGCTAATGTTGTCCATTCCGTTAAATTATTGTTTAAAAAAATTCATTAAAGTTTTAAAAGTTAATAAAAAAAAAGTGTAATTGTTTGAAATAAATAAAGAAATTACAAGTTCACTTTAATGATAAACAAAATAAAGGCTTGCAAGCCTCAAATTCTCCGATTGATCACCACCGATTCAAACCCTCTATAATAAAAAACTTATCTGATTTGCATCAACGCCGCCAGTCTCTTCTACATGCCCATTATACATCCATGAGGTGGATGAAAACATTAGCAAGAGCAAAAGGGTCTTGACAGCCATGAAAAGAAGGATGAACAACAAATGGATTGCTGGCTCTTGCAATCATGATTATCCTTTATCTTACCCGCTAGCCTACTGTTGCACTGCCTTGTGCTTATTTTTGTTTCTCTTAAAAAAAAAAAAGATTAACAAAATAAGAAAATTTTAAATAAATAAAAAAAATTTGGAAACCCAATCTCTAAACCCTCTCCTTCTCTCCAGCAGCCGACACCAACCACCATGAGCCGTCCCACCCCAGCCACTCCCCCTGGAATGTGGTGGCTGGTCTTTTATTTTTAAATTGAAATTTATGTTTTATTAAATAATTAGATATTTTTAATTAGTTTAAATAACATTTATGAATGTTTTAAACAACAGTTTAACGGAATGGACGATATTGACTAATGGAATAAAACACAAGGAGTAAATTGACCAAATTGAAAACACGGGGACTAAATTAGCCAAATAGGTAAAACACAGAGACCATTTTAACATTTAAGCCTTTTAATTTTGATACAAATGATATCTGAGGAGGAATACGAACCGACCTCGACCTCAAGTACAAGAGTACACCCTGCACGGTTGAAACTCTGGTTGTGAGGTATCAAAGTGAAGGTAACATATATGAACATGACCCTTCTTTTTTAAGTTATAAAAGAACAATCGTGGAATACAAATAATAATTGTTAACACAGCAGAAAAAAGAAAGGGAAATGAGCAACTCAATTTGGTTTTCAAATAGCAGCCGCCCAATCTAAAACAAAGGGTCAACTGGTGTAAAAACTCTCTGTCTTACGTTTACAAGCTTAGCTAGTTAGCTTTGCCGGGAAGCAAGCAACGAGCGTGCATAATTTGAGTACTTTATGAATTAATAATTTACTACTTAATACAAAATTTTATAGATATAGTTTTATTTGAGGAATCTCGTAAATAAGTTTATTTGAAGGACACTCTTCTAGGGCCCACTCCGTATTTTATTTCACTAATCCAAATTGTCTATTTTGTAGATATTCATTCTATCATCTCTACAAAAACTTACTTGAATCCAATATCATTTGACCGTTCAATTAAATTATTGAAATTTAAGTACTTTCTTAAAGCACCATGTTCATTGATTTTGTTGGTCTCAATTAGATGCCTTAATGATTTTCAATTTGTATGTTTTTTTTCAAGGATGATCTAAGAATGAAGACTTGAAAAATAGATTGTTTGGATCATTGAAAAAAATTCATAGAATTATACCTTAAAAGGCGTCCCTAAAATGAAAAAAGTTCCTCGAATAATTTTATTTGAGGGATTTATTTATTTTATTTTATTTTATTTTATAAAATTTTATTAGTTGGACTAAAAACAAAAACATTGAATAAAAACAAATACAAAAAAAAAAAACAAAAAAAAAAAAAACAAATAAATTTGACTTTCCTTCATCATTTTATGCTATTTTATGGTCATTATTTTTGGCATCAACTTCAATCATTGCTATTATTTTCTGCCCTTAGGGGCCCAATAATTTAGTTGACTTCAAGAATTATATATAAAATATGTGATATTTTAAACCAACAGCTCCGACACACGCTTAATTAAACGATGTCATTGCTTAATTTAATATACCATTAGATACTAAATTGTCCCTTTAATTTTGAATTATATATGAACTATATGTAGCTAACACATCCTGATGATGACTTATGTTCTTAAGTTTGATAAAGAACTAATTTTAATTATTACTTCAACTTTTGCGGCTTCAAATGTCAAATGACGGATAAATATCAATACCATGTGCTCATAAAAATCTTAGTTATCAGATCATGATGAGAAATTTAGGCTCAAATGTGAGCTCATCAGTTAGTTTTGCAAAGTAATCTGCTCCAAATGCATGACACTTTTGGCATACATTACAAAATTTTCATGATAATGTCAAATTTCGGAGAGACATGTTAGCAACCCACTACTAGCAGCACATGTATTGTCCTCAATTTAAGCACCTACAAAACCCAGTAGTTGTGAGGTTTTATCACTCGTCATATGTTGTGTTCATTTTGTCAAGTTTCCGACATGGAACTTTATATTCTTCAACAGAGAAGTGTGCAATTAATCAAATGTTTTAGTACCAAATGTCAAAGTAGAACCTAATAACCTTTTTTTATTTTATACAAGAGATATGGGGGAGGGCGAATCGAACATAGGACCTCAAGTACATAGATAAATACTCTTAACTACTTAAGCTACAAGCCTCTTGCGAAGTACCTAATAATGTATTTGTGCCTTAAGGGCCTTCAAAAAGAGCACGTCATAATAAATTGGGCTTGTCCAATATAGATTCCTACAATTTCTATTTCCTAGACATATACCCATCATTCTATAAATCTATGTGTAAAACCCAATTTCAAACTTAAATGACTAGTAGGATATAAGAGGTCGTAGTATTCCTATATTTTTACATCCTTGCCATTAGACTTCATATTTTATTTATAATTTATTCCAAGCATTTCATTAATTGCCATAATTGTAATTAAAACTCCCTATTAATAGCATATCAATCACCCCATTTCTTTTGGTTGACATTCCCTCTAACATCTGGCCCCTTAAAATTGCAAATAAAAAAAATATGTAAATTACATATCCAATAATGTACATATGAAAAATATAAATATAAATATATACGTATAGAAATATAGGTATATTATTTACCGAAAAAAAATTAACAAAAAATAGGTCAATTACTTTGTAATTGAAATTTTCGTACATTTTTCATAAATTAAAAATAGGTACACAATAATTTATAGAAAATAGGTACGTTGTATAATTGAAATTTATGCACATTTTTTTAAAATTAAAAATAGGTACATTATTTTGAGAGGAAAAATAGATACATTATACCAGGTAAATTGTTTAGGGGAAAAAATAGGTACATTATTTTGAGAGAAAAAATAGACTCATTTAGAAAAAAAAATTTGTTTTCATAAAACAAACAATAAAAAGATGATCAAATTATTTTTTATAAAACAAGTAATAAAGAAAAAAAAAAGGGTACAATATTTGGAGAAAAAATAGGTTCGTTAAAAAAATGTTTTAAAAACAAAAAAATAAATATTATCAAATTATTTTTCAACATAATTAGAATGTACACTATTTATTCATAGAACTATAATACAAAAGAATATTGGTCGTATAATTCATAAAAAGAAAAAACATTAATTCCTAAATTTAATATTGAATTTAAATTATTAATACTTTAAATAGATTACTAGTCGTAATTCATAGAAGGAAAACACCATTAATTCAAAAATAGATTACTAGTCGTAAAATAGATTACTAATACTTTAATGTGGAATTTAATATTTAATTTCAAATAAGTTTCTAAATTAGTTCCTACATCCATTACAACTATTTTGAGATATTTCCAAATTCAACGGGTGTCATTAGTTACACCCCCAATAACACATTAACTTATAAATAATGGTAGTTTTGGAATCCGAAAAGTACAATAAATCAGATTTTAATTAAGTTATTAGGTAACTTGCTTAGTTGGATCCTAGTCATCGGGTATTATTTGAAAAATTGGGTATTTTACATAGAAAACTAAAGGAAAGGGTTGTAGGTGATTTAAAATGAATTTTATGGGTCTAAGCTCAATTTACTTTAATAAATTCTGTTTCAAAAAGAAAAACCTAGTAGTTGTAATCAATAAAACAAGAAAATAAAAGTAAATAAATGCTACTGTAAACAAATACTGGAAAACTTGACATATGAATCTGATTAAAATTCATGGGTGAAGCCAAAAATGAGAGAACTGAAACATTTATTCCTTGTGTAAGAATAGGCTGCATCTACTAAGCTCAACTACATTAAAAAAAGAAAAAGAAATTGAAAAACCCTAAATGCTTAATTTTATTGGGGCGAAGAGTAAAATATAGAGCTTAGTTCTAAGTATACTAAGTCGCCCGAGGAGCTTCATTATATATCGTAGGTCATTCCAACCCTAACAAGCCTGGTCCTTGGGATCGCCATCATGCTCTCAGACTGCCTAAAGTTTTTCCTCAGGAAATCATAGATATAGTTGACAATAATCTTCTTGAACCAGGAAGATTTCTCTTCTGCCACCACCTGAGTCTCTCCCAGCAGATAAACAATACTTTTTTCCATTGCCTCTTGCACAAACTGAGTTTCCTCTTCGGCTTTCTGACGACCGCTTACACCTTGATCTTCAGAGGGCATCAAGTGTTGGTGACAAATAAACTCTTTCAAATTCTCAACCAATTGTCTCTCGAACTCCGCAGGCTCCTCAACCCTGTCGTTGTAGCCGTACCGCGCCACGCAACGGAACATTCTGTAATCTTTTGGCTCCAGTTGCCGGAAAAGAAACCTCTCCTCCAGCAACACTTTGCTCACAGGGAGGGGCTTGATCGTCACAACAACCACAACGGAGTGGACCGAAGGTATGTTGGAAACAAAGTGAGAAAATATAGGAGGAATTCCTTGAACAAGCTCCGAGTACAAAAGCCCAATTCCGGGCACCCGGTTTATGTTAGGGTTAGAGGACAACTGCTTCATGTACTCGCTAGACACCTTGTGGTTGGCCTCGTAAATGTAGCATTGTTTGTGCACGTAATGCCAAATCGCCATAATCATCATGAGTACAGCGGCAAAGCACAGAGGAAGGTAGCCACCTTCACTGAATTTGAATAAGACCGCAGATAAATAAACTCCCTCGATCGCAATGAAGATGATAAAGAAGATAGCAATCAAGATTATGCTTATCTTCCATATGACCAACATGATTAGGGTTAGCATGCAGGTTGTGATCACCATCACACTGACCACCGCAATTCCATAAGCGTTGCCAATTTTTTCTGTGGTCTTGAAGGCCGCAGTGATGATGACGCAGAAAATCATGAGGACGTAGTTGATCTCGGGGATGTAGACCTGGCCCTCGTTTTTAGCTGAGGTGTGAACAATCTTGACTCGAGGGAAACAGCCCATGCTTAGGGACTGGGAGATGATTGAGAACGTCCCAGTTATCAAAGCTTGGCTGGCAATAATGGCGGCAAGTACAGCCACCACAAACGTTGGCCAGTACATAGGGCCTGCATGTATGCATACGTACCGTTGAAGATCGATACTTAAGTACTAATTAATTAGTTTTCAACTACTTCATCTCAAGATAAAGTTATTTGTTCTGCATTTATTAATCACCTTGTTCACTTTCTTTCTAGCTTATTAATGTATGTGGATTCCATCTATATTAGAGAGGTGATCATTAAAAATAGTGTTGATCATATAGAGAAGTCATGAGAACTCACGTGGTATTGACGCGTAAAAAGTCTCCGACACCTTCTCTGGGTACCTGGTGAGATATGCTGCTTGCCCAAAGTATGCAAAGAGTATTGTGGGAAATGTGAAGCAAGTGAAACTGATCTGCGTGAAGACGTTAATTGTGGTGTTAACTGTTGATTAGGACTAGCATATAAATGCGTACGTTTTAGTTCTAGTTCTTGAAAGATCGAGTATGGCTGGTTCAAAAATTGAACTAATTAATGCACAAAACAGAAGAGTAAAGTTTGAAGAACATAAATTCATGCATGTCAGCATACTGAATTTACAATTTACTTACTTGGATTGCTCGAACACTGAAGTGACCCAGATCAGCAAACATGGCCTCGGTCCCTGGTTAATTTATGTCACTAGTTAATTAACGCAACGGGGTAACACGTTAATTACATAATTAAAGAGTTAATTAGTTACCAGTAATGCAAAGAACTACTCCCCCAAGGGAAATCCATGCTTCTTTTCCATTTCTATGGAAGTAATGATAGATGTAGACCGGATTGAAAGCACGTAACACCGTCACGTCATATGTGATTAAGTTGTACAGACCAATGCAACTGATGAAGACGAACCACAGCAAGATGATAGGACCGAAGGTGAATCCCACTTTATCAGTCCCAAATTGTTGAACAGCGAACAGAAGCACCAAGATTACCACGGAAATCCCCACAACAGCATCTGGGATTAATAAACAAAATTTAAGTAAACCAAGTAATTAAGATGATCTTATCTCTTTAATTGAGAAATAATTAACTTAATTGTGGTGTATGTGACAAATTAAACATGCATATATAAATATATATATATACCTGTGCCTAATGACTTGATCCCGCTCACTGCAGAAAGGACTGCATGCACGCAAAAGAACACACTTTTGTTAATTCTTGCAAGAAATTAGATTATTAATTACCTACTTACTAATTATTTACCTGAAATGCATGGAGTAAGAATCCCATCTCCAATCACCATGGAAGTTCCCATAATGGTGATAACGAAGAGGGCATATTTGGCAGATTTAGTATGCTCAAGCTTCTTCTTGATCGCTTGGGCCCTCTTCAACTCGTTGGATGGTAATTCAAGTTTGTAGTTGGATAGCTCTCTGTCTTCTGGCTGGGTATTTGGAATTAAGCTCACCTTCGCATACCGGCATATCAACGAATACAATGCAAATGTTCCCCCTACAAATTAATATACTTAGTAATTAGTTCGTCATCAGAGTACTTAATAATTATAATTTTCTTAAGAAAGTTAATAGACGATTTCGATCATTGAAACACACAACGCATGAGTAATTGCCTAAATTTAAAAGTTGATATTTTTCGTGTATATATATGGAAATTGGGTTACCCTACAAGCTAAGCTAGAACTTGATTAATTAGCTACACCCTAAAAGGATGGGGGAAATGATTGAATTAACTTAATTGAAAAATCTTACATACCTTCACCATTATCATTAGCCCACAAGACTACGAGTACGTACTTAACCAGGGGTACGAGCAATATGGTATAGATGATGAGAGAGAGCACCCCCAGAATGTCATCCTTGTGGTTAATACCCTTGGGGAAGGTGCTTGAGAAGACGTAGAGTGGAGACGTCCCAATATCCCCATACACCACTCCTACGCTTTGAATTGCTAAACTCATTGTTCTCTTCCAACTTAACTGAAAAACGAAAAAAGAAAGAAAGAAAAAAAGGTGCACAAATTAAGCGCCAACGAACTATATGAATTTATTTCAAGTCTCTATCAAAAAGAAAAAAAAGTGATATATAGTTGGAATGAAGACCTTTGAGCCATGATCATGAGCCGTGGAAACTTTTCCAGCCTCCAAATTGAGTGAGTCCGTCCGACGCATCTTATCGTCGGTCTCCGCTTTCTCTCCCATTTCTTGTTTTTCTTTTCTCTTTAAGTTATCTTGTTTTTCTTCTTCCGATCGACTCTAAGATGATCGTGTAAATCAGAAAAGAAAAGAAAAGAAAAGGCTCTAAGATGACTATCTTTTACATGTTGCATTGAGTTTTATATGCAAAGATGTACGTAAAACTCTGACTAGTTACGCGTATAGTCTGTGTATGTACGTTTTTGTAGGCTCCCATTTCTTAGGGTATGTTTCTTTTTCTCTTTCTTTTCGAGATAAATCAAAATTAAAATGACTGTAACTAATTAGTGACAAGCTTTTGTCATGGGGTGTAGTTTGACTGACTTGGTAATAAGCTCCAACACTTGTCTAGCTTCAAATATTTGTGTTGTCAATAGAAAGAATGACCTTAATTTGTTAGAGCTGACGAAACTGTCTCCAGCCCCTCGTTTCCTGTCAACGTACCTAAGCTAGCCTAGGGAAAGCCATATAGTTCGCGCGAGGTAATGACTTCCCCATAAGCCATTTGGTGATCACAGGTTTCAGTCGTAAAAATAGCCTATCTGAAAATAGCAGTATTCATGTACAACGAGGAGCGCTAACTACACTCGCTTCATATGACACTCTCCACTGCTCCTTTGCTTTCCACGTGTAGGAGAAAATATTTTTATTTTTTATTTTTAAATATATTTTTTGATAGGATGTGTAGGATGAAGTTGTGGGAAAAAAAAATGTTTAGGAATATAGCAGTGGTGCTAATTTTCTTACTCATCATTTAACACAATACTGGTCCTTTGTGGTTGTTGAGGTCCAAACAAATCCACGGTTGGGCCCGAATAAATTCCCGGCCCAATACGACACATTATTGAGAAAATACCCAATTTGGAGCACGCAAAAGTCCGCCATGCACGAGTCACACCTCACGTGCCATGCCAAATAAATAATCCATCGTGCTAGGAATTGAGATAAAGATTATAAAATGCACTAGCTCTACAAATTTATGCTAATTACCCCGTCAAGCATCATAATAAAAAGCATGTCATGCCAAGCGGGAGATTATTATTTCCCACCTAACTATGCTACAAGTTTAAGTGGGCCCAAGCCACTCAAATACCTGAGGCTTGCTTAAGTGAGTTGTGGTATGGATGGTGACAAGTTGTCATGAGGCCCATTGATGGGCCAAGAAATGGAAGTCTCGGGTTGCTTGGGAGCCTCAAAACTCAAGCCCATTTCTTAAGCCCAAACATGTGGGTGAGCATAAAAGAGAGAGAAAAAGTAGCCCAATATCCTAGAGAAATTAGCCCAACACCTCAACAAAATAGGCCAACACTTGGTGAAGTTAGCCCATTTATTTGATAAACCAACTCATTGTCCTAGAAGGCCCATGTAACTAAAACAAAGACTATACTGTAAAATTTGTTGAGGTTTTCATGTTTGGGAAAAGCTCAAGCTCTACCTGTCTTGGTTTTTTGCTGAACCAAATTTGTAATGAGAGAAATCTCGTTTTGAATGACTTATTTTCTAAGTCTGAACCTTGGGAATTCTGATCTAAAGTTGGTTTTCACTTGGAATTCAAGTGAGCATCTGGTTGATTTTGAGTTGTTTATTTGATTGTTGACTTGAGTGTTGGATTGATTGTTCTTTTTGCCTTGTTCACTCCTTCTTGTATTTATAAGAGATGTTATCTGGAGTAGGGCAATTCTTTTAAATAATGGGCGGCAATTTCTTAAAAAAGATCTTTCATTTTTAATTGTAAAGAAATGGGGTTTTGATCAATTTCTGGTAGATAAGCTCTCAATAGTTAGTTCTTAAGATCACTTCCCTGTTTTTCTTGAAAAAGAACCTAACCCCTCTTTAATTCCAACTGCCCCCCTGTGAGAACCGTGATGGTTAGTCTAATTCTCAGTTTTGAACAAGTCCCTGTTTTCCTGTTTATCTTTCTCTGAGATTGTGTTTGCTTATCTCTTTGGGAAAATCACCTTCTGAATAGAAGAAATATCTCTAAATATATTCATGTGTAAGGGGATTTGATCTTTCAGAATTTCAGAGATGTCCCTTCCCAGTTTTGCCAGTTACTGACCCTCTCTAATCATCTATGTAATGGCTGGTTTTGTTGACTTTTCCAAATCTGATAAAAGGGTGTCACGTGGTTTTTTGAAAAGAAATGGGTCTTTTCTTTTATTAAAATCGTGCTGGGTTTATTTTTGTCTGGAGCCCGAATGTGACTTTTCTTTTGAGGCCCAAGTTTTACTTGTCTGTTTTGATAGATCTTGGGCTAGGCCTTTCTGGTTTTTGGGCTTCTGTTTCCCCCCTTTTTTTTCAAAGACAAAACTGTTTGAGTTTTGTGGTTTTATTATGGGCCTCCTTTGTTGCTCTAGGCGTGTCAATTTTAGGCCCAAACACAATGTATAATTACCAACAAAAAAAAACCAAAAGGAAGGGAAAGGAAATCTTAAAATGCTCGGTTTAGTCAGTTACCATTTTCAGTTTTGAGACACTTTTCTTCCCCTTGCTGTTTACAAGATCAAAAAGGAGCCACAGAGGAAACAAAATGTAACTCCCAAAAGACATCACCGAAGTTGGTCGACAATTGTATAAGCGATGAGACAGGCTAATTCTACCATTAAAAAAAAGGCTATAAATATCTCTGGTTTACACATGCTCAAGAAGATAAACTTTCCTGAAAAATCAACTAATATATAATTGACTTTCCAATTATGAGGAGCTACCATATTCACAACCAAATCAGTAGTAGTTAAAAATTAATGATAAAATAAGATGATACAAGCACAAGTACCATAGTTGTGAAAAAAGAGCAAAGAGGATATGAAATTACAGATTCTGTGCAAATTTTGGGATTTAAGAAGGACAATATACGATACCTTTATATATTTTGTCCTTTTGATCATAGAAAAGCCTATGGCCCATAAATTCAAACGGGCTTTTATGGATTTTAATTTGGACATTTGGATCTTTTTACAAAGTAAATTGACATTTGAAGGAAAATGTATGAGCGAAATTCTATAGTGAGGGTGCCATATATGATACCTTTATAAATTTTGTTATCACTTGGGTGTTCTGTTTACAATTCTGCAGTCAATCAATTCCATCATCTGGGTTAGTTAGTTGAAGTCAAAATTGGAATACTTTAGTGCACATATGAGCAGCAATATCAGGTTGAATTCTGCAGATTCATATACTTAATATAATTTGGTTAGTTTGATTTGCATCAAATGGAAGCCACAAGGGATCTGAATTTTATTTATTTATTTTTGTAAAACACCATGCTATGCTAGAGGTCTCAAATACAATAGCAAATGCCAATATAATGATTTAGGGTATGGTGTCTCTGTTTTATTAGAACAAACAAACCAAGAAAACAAACTAAAATGGGAGCCTCTCACACCTCTGATTAATGTACTAGTGAGGGAGGGCCTCATAACCCATACGACATATTTTGTGCATTAAAACAAAAGGCTATGAACATAATATAAAAATAAAAAATAAAAAAAGGAAAACAGATGGCGAAAATTCTATTTACAATGTCACACCACCATGGTGACCATATATTCTAACGGGACCAAGCATAGAAATTGATGTTTTTGGATCTTAATTAGAGACACAATCCGATTGTTGAGATGGAAACTTCTTAGCGACGGCTTGGGTCCACTCCAGCAGTCTTGAGCGTCTCCGCAGTGCGAGGCCTGCAAGTTGCAACCAAGCAACCTTCATTAATATTGCATATAAAAAATGTACGATCTGCCAAAACCTTTTCATGTCGGACAATTTGACTACATAAGATGTTTAAGTTAGACGATGAATCTAAATTTTTAGTTAGGTTAATTTTTATTTGAATGTGGAGTTTAAATTCACAAACAGCTAACGACGTGACATATATTAATATACGTATGCATGTATGTATATACCTAGTGAAAGCGTCACGTTGGACTGGATCAGGCATGGTGGGGTTGCCAGGATCCTGGATACGACCCACCTTCCTGAGGAAAGATTTGTTGATAAACCTGTCGGATGAGCTCACGGCAACATCTGGTTGCTCGACCTCGAACATGGATTCCCTCTTCTTCTTATCGAAGACGACGCTCGGGGCATGCATCAGCTGCTGTTTGAGGCTGTGCAACCCAATAATAATAGGCACCGTAATAAACCCTAGCACTATGGCAACCGGTGCATTCTCTGGCTTCGTAAGAAATTTCCTGCTTGGATTGAATATTGCATATATTACATACTTCCACATTTCTTAATTATACAATGCTTCACAAACTTTGCTATTCCCCTTTTAAGATTAAATTTAAATACCAATTTAAATTATTCAAAATATAACAAATTTCATAACCACCGGATAACCAATTCGTGTGTCGATTGACCTACATGTATTTGTGTGCCGGTCGACCGACATGCACTGAGCCGGTTATCCGGATGTATAGTTAACCTTATATTAGAAAATTTGTACAAATGAATGATTAATGTTTAAACCTGATACGGCGGAAGGTAGACCCAGTAGGTTCACTTGCATGAAGGTTTTGTGTAATGGGTTTCATCTTGGGAGCGGTTGAGGTTGCAAAAGCTCGGTTCTCTCCCAACCGAACTAGCATAGATCTCCAATTGTTCTAGACAAACCCATATTAAATCATCATTTCACCATGATTAGCATCATATTAATAAGAACGTAATTAAGGCAATCAAATCGAATCAAAGAGATGATAATACAGAACAATAGAAAAGAGTTTGGGTTAGACTTACGGTTGCCCTCAAAGCCATTCTTCTTCTTCTTCTTCTTCTTCTTCTTCTTCTTCTTCTTCTTTCTTTCTTTCTAACGAATTCAGCAGCAACAAGATTCTGAGTTAATAATTTTGATGACACTGTTTAGATAGTTATAAAGGGATTAGGGAGGCCGTGGTTTTTGCTCATCCAATAATAGGCAATGGCCAATAAAATAAAGGTCCTATGGTCCACTCCTAAGCTTATCTATTTGAGCGTTTCATCATGCACTTGCCAAGATTGAAACGGCACTCACGGAGAATCTGACTCCCTTGCTCCCATTAATTTCTATACTTGGTTTTAGTTTGGCCATGGCTCATGATGAGTCTCAAGCTCTGAATCTAACTCAGACCAATATGGGCCTTGCAATAGGCTACTGGAAGGCAATATGGGCCTTATAGTTGTAAGGCCAGCACCCATTAGTCTAAAACCCAATGTCGGGTTTGATACAATTGACATCGAGGAAAGTGGAATTTAACATGGGACTTCCGGCGGAGGGTAAATGCTGCTACATGATCCTTGCCATAATAGTTCTGTTCTCGTCTTCATGTACAAGAGAGAGCAAAGATCAAAAGTGTGACATATATAAAAAAATTACGAGAATTTGTACACTATCTAGTAACTTGAACAAAGTACTTCACAGCTGTTTCTTTCACCAACTTATTGCTAAAGCCTATCTATATCTCTAGAGTATGGTATGCGCTTTGAGAATGGTATGCTATCATCTTCAAAACTTGATCTAATGCGGTGCAGTTTCTGTACAATGCAAAAATGGCAAAAGGATCACATATACAATATTATTATACACCTTTAGAAGTATGAGGACTGCTCCGGGATGATTTCCATCTGCCTAAGCACCAAAGCTGCTTTTTTCTTAAGCTCATCATCATGGAGGAGTTGGATAAGGATCCTCTCGAACCTCTGCTTTAATGTATCACTGATCGTTGTATGAACCAGGATCTTCTGAAAGAGGTCTAAGGCTTTGGTTTTGGCAGATAAAGATCCTTTGTCCAAGACTTGCAGAATGGCCACCACACCCTGGTTGTCCACAATGGCAGCAGTTGCATGTGTAAGTGTGCTGTGGTCTGTCAGCAATGTTTCAAGTGCCATCAGAGCAGCCTCTGCCACACCAGATTCTGTGTTACTCAAAGTCCGCACCAATGGCCTCACCGCGTCTGCCTTGACCAGGCAGAAGGTATCTCTTGGTGAACAAGCAGCACCATGAACAGAACATATATTTCCATTCTCTGATGATGCTGAAAAGCACCAGAAAAGCTTCATCAGATCAAAGAGGGGCGTCGAGGGCTTGGTTTGCCTGATGGTTTCTTCGGAGACTGACAGACTAGTAGACTGGGATAGTTGGGCAAGTGCAATGGCTGTTCTCTGCTTAGCTAGTGAGCTACCCCTGGTTAAGACACGAACTAATGATGGGTACACTTCAAGCTTGCCCAATTGTCTCTGAAGTTCAGGCTTGGTGGGTTCTGTATAGCGCAGAAGGGCTGCTAGAGCATTCTCCAGTAGAGATGTGCCTTGGATGGAAGGTGCTACGTTCCCCCAATTTTCCTCATCCATGCTGCAAATTACCTCATGAATGGCTTTTAGTACTTCTGATTTGCGGAGTATCTCATCAATACTACTATCATCCCTAGGAAGCTGGCTGATAATTCCTGCAACAGTGGACCTTTCTTCAATGTCTGGTGAATTAATGAGGATGGTTGCCAGGGTGTTAATAGCAGTTTCTTTTGCAGGGGATGGCGGTAGTGGAACCCCAGCAGTATGACCTTCTGATATGCAATATATGAGCTTCATTGCCCATCTTCTCACCACACGATGATCACTGTAAAGGGAAGAGAAGAGGTGAGCAATTGCATCCTGTTCAGATCGTATTATATCTCGAGCTATCTTTGATTTATAGCTCAGTTCAACCAGTAGGTGCAAGAACTGAATCTTGGTTTGATCTTCAGCACTGGTTACAAGCTGCAACAGTAGACAGACATTGTGCTTTGATTGGAGCTCTTGCAAGCCCTGATACTTTTGTTGTTCAAATTGCTTACTGGCTCCAATCATGTTAGCCAGAATCTCAGCAGCTTCTTGTTTCAAGTGTGGATCAGACTTGTTAAATGAGATGAGGCCAAGCAAATGTGGTACAGTGGCAGGGTCTTTCAGAAGTCGCTTTACAATCTTGTGGTGTGCTACAAGCTTCTTCATACATTTTAGGCAAGCAGATTTGCATGCTGGTGAGCTCGAAGAGAGCATCTGAAGTAAACTCTGCATAAATTGCCGGTCCTTTAATTCTTCAACACTATTCTCCTTGAGTGGCATCTTTACCAAGGCTGCAGCCATCAATGTTCTGGTCTCCTGAGGTGCTGCAAAAACAGACCACGGGAATGATTATCTTGTGCAACAGTAGAAAGGTACATCAGTTACCTTCATTTTCAGGCATATCAATTTACCTTCATTGAAGCGAGCAACAAAAGGCTGGAAGTGTCCTGCTTCAGCCATCTTGACAACAAAATGCGTGTTTGACGAGAGGTTCTGCAACACCTTACGAGCTTCCTGTGACACATCAGGGTTATTCTTATGGAGTAAAGAAACCAGAAGAGGAATACAATCTTTTGTATCTCCTATTTTCTCCCCAAGGGTTTCCTTTGCTGACAACTCCAACAAGACTGCAATGGCATCCCTTTTACTTCCTCCTTTGTAGATATACTTCACAATTCTTCGAATGGCCCCTGCTGTGACAATGGCTTCCTGAAACAAACAACAAGACCACTTAAATTACATCTAGAATATATTACAAAGTGAAATGGAATTGGGATAAGCAACACCATTTGTTTTCTTTTACCTTTTGATCTTCATTAAGTTTAGCTAGGTAGTAGAGGCATTTTAATACTGCCACAGAATTTATCGTATCGTCTTTTAAGATCACTACCAACTTTGTTGCAAGTCCTTCCTCCGCAGCTTTGGTTGCATATCTAGGCATTTCCAAAAGAAACTGCATGTCCTCTAAAGCCTTGTCCATTTTAGAGCGGTCACTGGATTTGACTCCATGGACTGCAGCTTGGAATTTTAAATCCTTGTCTCTCTGATTCCATTCTTCAATAGAGTTTCGCAGAACAACATTAGGCGTGAGCTCTAGTGATGAAAGCTCCTGTCTGCAGATGGGGCAGTTCCTCTCTCCACGCCCAAAGTGTTCCTGAATTGCCTTCCTCTCAAAGCTGTGGCCACATGTAACTGCTACTGGGTCTTCCATCATCTTTTTGCAAAGTTCACACATGAATGAATCAATTGGATACTGCTGGTGGTATGTAGAGGTTTCCTCATCATTTGGTCTGGTAACAATTTCTGTACTGTAGAGGAAGTCAATCAGTTGAGATAGCTGAAGTGCCTCCGCCTGCTTCTTTTGAGCTTCCATGTCTTCTTTCTCTTGCTTCAAGAGTGCCAACTCATTTTGTACCAAGGATGCATTCGCTCGAGCACCAACGGCTTCTGCAACCTTCTCCAAAAGCTTTTGAGAATTCTCCCTATTCCTAGCATTTTGGGATATTGAATTCTCCATCTCTGAAGCAATTGATTCCGTTGCACATGCTGACCTGAATTCCATTGATCCTAGATTGTTGATGATCTGTTTGGTCATAGTATTCAAGCTCAGGGAGATATCAAGATTGATCAGCTGAAAAGAGGAGACAGTCTTGGCAATATCTTTAGCTACATCCTCCATCTTCAAGAGCATTGAGTGTGATTTAAGCAAGAGGCGGAGGCGGCTTCCGCATTTGTAATCCTTGATGATCTTGCTTGCTTTCTTCAACTGTATGTTCAATGTTGTCAGTGCAGCCTTTGTGGACTCTAATCCCAGTGCATTTTCAACTTTTCGGGCATTCAAGCTACGGAGAAGGATATTGAGCTCAGAAATACTCCTGGAGAACTCCAGAAAGCTGTCCTTTTCAAACAATAGATCCTTCATTTCGCTCACAAGCCCCGTGGCCTGAAATCCCACCTTATTCCATAATTCCTGTAGTACTGCCACTCCTACATCCTCAATTCCGATATTGAAGTCCATTGTGTTCATTTTTAGCTGCAGATGAAATCTTAAGATATCTGTTCCAATCCAAGTTTCACTAGTTTCCTATAATCTCAGTCAATTTCATTCATAATCCCATTCAATTCCATTGCCATCCGGACCTGCAATCCTCCAAACAGTAAAAAAAAAGATATTAAGGGCCCGTTTGATAACCATTTCAATTTTAGTTTTTAGTTTTCATTTTTCATTTTTTATGCTACAGTATAGAGGAAAATGAGAGTGAGGATGAGAGGGAGGAGTAACAAAAGTGAAAACAAAATCTTGAAAGTGAAAACAATTTGAAATAGATTTCAGTTTATAGTTTTTGTTTTCACTTTTGTTACTCCTCCCTCCCTCCCATCCTCTCCTCTCATCTTCCCTCTCAATCCCATCTCCAGTCTCATTCTCACTTCCATTCTCCCTCCTTTTCCTTTATACTCTAGCACACAAAAAATGAAAACTAAAAACTAAAATTGATATGGTTATAAAACGGCCCTAAGATTAAATCTGTATACCACTTCATTTCTATTATATATTTTCTTCCTCGTCTATTCTCTTTTTCATCTAAGGGAATTATTGTTGGCCAAAAATAAAAGAATTTGTCTTTACCAATCTGCCCAACCATGTAGTTAAACACGTAATCCTGTGCAATGTAAAGCAATTATAATGAGAATATGATCAGTAATGGCTGTTGGGCAACACCCAAAATCTGCCTAAAATCAGTTCCAAACCAGACTCCAATTATCTCTTTTTCTGTTTGTTCTGTCAGCTTCTTCTTTTTTCCTTTTTTTTTTTGTTGGGATAAATTATTTAAAAGAGAGATATTGTTTTGTGTAATTTGTTCAGATACTTCCTCCTTCACTTTCATTACAAATTACAAGCAAGGATGAAAATCACAAATCATATATCTTGCATATATATTAGAATTCAGAATGTATTTGATGCAACTTGGAAACCTTCAGGAGGAGAGAGATACACTCAAAGGACAAAGCCGAGAACACAAGGGAACAAAATTACGAGAGAGAAAGAGTTAGAAGAAGTGAATTCCTGACCTCATTGGTTGACCAAATTCATGACCGCAGATAATATTTCAGGTTCACTCTTAGTTGTAGCCTTGAAGTCTCTGTTTGAGGTACTGGCACTCTGGAAAGGGACTTGGAAGATGACTAATCTGAACTCTAAGTTCCACCATCCATGGAGGAATTGTGTAAAAAAGAGCAGAGGTTTTTGCACAAGGCAAGAAGACTTGAGGAAAATGAAGAAACTCAAATGTAGGTGGAAAAGTCAAACCGAAAGACAGAGAAAGTCCTCATGTCCTTGTATATGTATGCGTTGGGGCCAAAGTTGAATTTTTCTCACGCTGGTGGTCACTGGCTGAGAAACCATTTGCTGCTGCTTGGTAAAGTTGTATATTTGATTTTAGTTTTACTGATACGTGAATAATTCAACGCACAAGTTACACACCAAAAAATAGAAAGGTAAAAACAAAACCCAAAAAGCTCATCGCAACGAAAACGCCAAAAAGAAATTTTAACATTAAGAGTGACAGATTCATCATCTTCTATCAGAATAAAAATTAATCACAATTCATCGGGTCGTGTTTTTTTATAGTACGGACAAATTCGTACTAACGATGCATCTTGCAACTTGCTAGAATTGAATTGATCCACAGCTAAAGACAAAAAGATACCAATATTAGAATTAAAAGCGCGTGTAAAATTATTTATCTAATAAATACTGACATAGTCATTAATTTACTTAGAAGTTTCATTGCCTAAAAGCAAAGACTAATTCCAAATTCCTTGTGACGTACAAATTGATGGTTCAAATCAATTTCAGTATCTAAACTGTGGCCGCTGACTGCCCCAGTCTTTCTTCCAAGCCGTGTTTGCGTCTCTCCAGTGCCAACAACAGCTAACACGACAACAATGTCAAAGACTGATGTGACATCTTCCGCTAAGTTGCCTTTGCGTGACAAATCGGCCGGCCATTATTAAAACTAACAGGATTCTATTTTTGGGCTCAGCAAATTACCAGTTAGCTCCTGCTACTTTGTTCCCTCAATGAAACGACATTGTTTAGCTCCTAATGGTGGGCTTAAAAGGGTAATTTGCTGGGTCCGAGATAGCGACCTAAAACTTTATATGCAAATGTAACTTGCACCCAGAAAAAATAGTACCATATTTGTATAACTATCTTTGTTTTTCAAGTGGTCTCTAATTTTGGGGAGCAGATCTGTTGTCCCCAATTTGGTGTGCCACACTCCCAGCAAGTAGTTCTTATCGGTATCGCGCGCAGAAAAACGGGGAGGAAATTTATAACAATTGCAGAGGAAGTGAGTAGGGGATGAGAAAAGATGTCAAAAAATGACCATGTGCATTATATAGTGGCTGACACTTTTATATGAATCAATTGCAGAAGAAATACAGAGCAATTTCATTCTCCATGAATGCCATTGCACCAATGAATCTCCCTCAGACTGACACTGCTAACATGACTTATTACTCACCTAGCAGAAGCTCATTTGGATATAGAAGCAAAGCTAACTTATATAACTAGATCACTCTTTTGGGGGAAGAGCTGAAGCCAGATGTTGAATTAGGTTTGCTTCTCCACAATATGACTCTTAAGGAACTCCAACGCTGAAAGCCGCTGCATTTAAAGCAAAATGTTAAGTCAAACTGGTCAGAATCCAAATCACTTAATGAAGTCAAGCAAAGGAAAATCTTACCCGTTGCTTAAGACCAGTGTCTTCAAATATGCCTAAAGAGGTTATACATATTTATTTTTTTATTTTTCTTTATATACATATATTTTTCTTGTATTAGGTAGACTAGGGAATAGTCATGGGCCAACCAAGGGAGTTAATAGTACAAGCAATTGCAAGTCATCATGCTACAACAACTTTAGCATATGCTTGTATCTCTATCAAATTAGATACCTAAAACAAAAACAAAAACAAAAACAACACATAACGCTTGGTATATTAAAGAGTCAACCAAACTTTAAGTCACTTTGTTCCCATATCTCATTTTGATCACTCACTTTGTGGATCTCTAGTGCTATTGTGAATATATGGAGACCAAACAGCCTCCTAACCTCAACAATAAATCAATGTGGTGCTGCTAGACCTATAAGCATATACATGCTTTATACAAACACTGTCAGATGTCAACTATTTCAGAGTTAAAATTGTATAAGAATAAGGAAATGCCAATTGGTCTACCTATTCTAGTTCTTCTACTTTACCCCTATTTCTAGTTTAGTACTACAAGAAACACTCTTGTTTTGACCATCTTGTGCATCATAGATAGACATAGAGGTACATATGCTCAATCCACACCAATTTTCCAAAACAAATAAAATATTGGACAGAAAGCCGGCTATCAGATAAACAATTGAATTCTCATATCTAATTGGTGACCCATAGCCACCAAATCATATCTCATCAGATATATTTTCTAAAATCCAACTTAATTATATATAAAAATTAGAAATTAAAAAATATATGATTTGATAAACCTTTTTTCACCCAATTTGCACAGCTTAGGAACTTCCTCCACCAATCAAGCTTTGGTCCGTTGAATCTCCTCCCTTCTCGGCTTTCTATACATTTTAGAACACAATAAAACACCAGACACTCAAACCTTTTCGTTTCCCCTTTCTCTTCGTTCGAACATTTTCTCGGCAACCAAACAGAAACAATTGAATGAGGAACGGAAGCGATTCAAAGAAACCTGAAGAGCGGCTTAGATTTTGTCTTTGACGTGAACGAAGGCATTGTTCCCCTAAGAGCACTTCCACCCATTTGCCACAACAAAGGGCAATGGGAGGCAAGGGCTATTACTATTCATGTAAATAGTGGCAGCCTTGCAAAAAGCTTGTGGTGTTTCCACTCATTACCATGGCAATCACTATTCATATGAGATATGAGGAGAGGAATTTGTATAGAGTTTTGGTGTGGGAAGTGAAAAAATATGACTAAGTATTTATTTTTTAGTTTTTTTTACAAAAATTTTTTTTTTTTTTTTTTTTTTTTTTTTGTTTTTTGATGTCAACAAACCCAAGCTAGAGCAAGGGCTCGTTTTGCCTAAGGGCCAGCCTAGGCTTGTGGAGCCCACACCTAACCCAGGGAAAAAAGGCACACCGGAACACCTTTTCCTTCTTAGGCCCCCCCTGACCCAACCCTAGCTAAGGGAATAAGTGAAAAGATATTGCAAAATATGCCTAAATGAGATGCACTCCTAAATTGATTCTAATTGATTAAAATATCAAGGAAATAAAATCATATTAGATTCCAAAAAGCGTTCCTATTATGAGTGCATGAAAAATGAGATGTCTTACCCTTCATATCAAATGTCTCATATGTGTTGGATTCACAATTCTGGAATTTGGGGATTGCTGAGCTGTTTCAATCCTGCAGTTTCTGGAAATCAGATAAAGCAATTTTGATTCAACCCCATAGCTAAATGACACTTCCAAACTAATACTAAGTTCTAGGAAATGCCAACACAATTTCATACTAACATAATTATATTGATGTGTACTAATTAAAATTCGTCATATTAATAAGTGGCTAATATTCTTTTAAATGTGTATAAATGCACCTATGATAAATGCAGAAAGATCTCGAAAGCACATCTATCAATTCATGTGGATTATTTATTTATTTATTGTCAAACTATGTGGATTATTTGTTTGTTGTTCAGTTAATATACCTTCGGGGACTCACAAGCATGACATTGGTTTTCTTTTAATATTGGGCGTGTTAATCCACCGCTAATCTCATTCTTACTTTTATTTGCTCAACTAACTTGTTCCTCATTGGTTTTCCTTTTCTTTTCTTTTTTGGGTCAATGTGCGTGTGAACTAATGTACCATGCACGAGAACATTTAACATTTACACTCTCTGAGAAGCTCAAATTTCTTGCAATATAAAGAGCATACCCATTACAATATCATCAAGGCAAACGTTATCTTTTGCCCATCACAAAACAAAAACAACTTGACCCCCCAAAAAAAAAGTCGAAAAAATGAAAATAGCACACTTGAAGATTAGATAGGTTTTATAAAAACAAGTCAATAGAAATAAGCAGATGATGAACCCAAATCAAACCCATCAACACCCGCATCCGAAACAGGTGGCATGCTCCCAAACAGTGGGCTGTGCTGCACAAACTCGTTCGAGTCAAAGCCCATGTAGGATCCATTCATCATTGGGTCAAGCCCATTATTTGTTGTGGGCTCCGAAAACCCGAAATAGCCCATATCCATATCAGAGCCCATAACTCCGTCAGGCCCATAACAAGTGGAAGAAACACATGGAGGCAAAGGTGGTAGCTCAGTGTGAGACCCAGACCCAGACCCAGACCCAGACCCAGACCCGGATTCATCACCACCCGAAACTGGCCCGTAAGACCCACTTCCGAACCCGCCAGAATACGGGTATGCGTCAAATGGGTCCTGAGTAAAGAACGACTGCTGGTGATTGGTCGTTTGGGGTTGGGGCTGGAGTGGGGTAGCGAAGAAGGCTGACATGTCACGCTGTGATTCGTCGGGTGAGATAATGGAGGTGACAGACGAGCCATGCGGCATGTCCGAGTAGACAAAGTTGGTTCGAGCCTTGGAGCCGCGCATGGAGCGAGCAGCTCGGTCGTAGGCCAAGGCGGCCTCCTCGGCGGTGTCGAATGTTCCGAGCCAATGCCTCTCTTTGGTAGAAGGGTCTCTTATCTCCGCCGCATATCTGCCCCACGGCCTTCTTCTCACTCCCAGAAACCTCGTCTCCTGCTGCTGCTGAGGTTGTTGGGTTTGCTGGTTTTGTTGCTTTCTTTTGGTCTTTGATGAAGAAGAAGGGGAGGTGTTTGCTTTTGACGAGTTGTTGAAGAAGTCCATGGCTGGTTTCAGTTTCTGTATAATCTGGAACTGAAAAAGAAAGGAAGGTGTTTGTTTTAATGCCTCAGAGAGGGAGAGGGAGAGAGAGAAAGAGAAAGAGACACTCAAAATGCTTGGGGAAAGAGATTGCCAGTGACTTCTCAGTCAGAGAAGTGGAATTTTTGAGAAGGGAATGATTGTAGGCTTGTTGGGTTGGTTTGGTTTTCGTCCGTTGCATGTTGGGTGTTTAAATAAGGGAGATTAATAGTGTAATTAATAATTAATAATTAATAATTCAGATTAATGTTTTTGTAATTGACAGAGTTGCCCCTAAACCAAATAAAATTGGCAAATGATGAGCAATCTCATACAGTCACGCATGCTAATCATCTGAAATTGGGTCCATCTTTCTGTGACTGACATCATACACTCTTGCCACAAGCGAATCATCCATGGCTGTTGTTTCTCTGCTGCTGACAGCAACTTCATCAATTCCTTAATCATTTAATAATTTAAACACACAAAAAAACTAATTAATTAAATTAAACCACCGCAGAACCTCTTGTCAATATTGCCTTAGATTTTCCGGTTGATTGAATAAATCCCAACACAATTTTTTAAACATCTTTTTGTTTATTTGGCATGCATGAATGATTAGCAACTCATGCCCATTATTATTATTGCTGTGCGCTGATTCATGTAACTTTGTTGCAAGTTTATGTTCTTAATAATTAGCAGGTTTATTCAATTGGATTAAATATTGTATGGTACTTTTAAAGTTCTGATTATCATATCTAACCCAAAGTTTGCTCGCATGTGCTTTGGGAAGGAGAGAGAGAGAGAGAGGGGTCTGACTTGAAGTGAATTGAATTGAATGTATGATCAGCTACTAATCATGGACTACTTGTACTAATTATCAAATCAGTCTTGTATTATGAGCATGCACGCCTTGGAAGAACTTTATCCAAAACCCCAAAAGCTTTGTAAAAAGGACTTAACCTGCACCATATGATTGCTCAATATATATAACACATCACAAATCTAATTATCATTCCCATGATCATTCAATTGTCAGTACCCATCATTGATCATCCCAATGCAATTATTTCACCATTTTAATACCTCCTTTCTCTTTTCAAGCATACTAGATCATCTCTCCAAGATTTTTCTTGATTCATTTCAACCAAAAATGACATGTTATTACACATATGCATGCATAAGTATATAGGGTTAACATTGTATTGCTCTACTCGTGTTTTTAATCCATATGCGTTGTTAACATACATCAGATGTGTGGTCGAAATTAGCAGTATGAAATCTATATTACAGAACAAATAAGAGAATATTATTGTATTTACATAGATATGTATAAATATTGAGAAAGGATTGCAAAATGGTCATGTTACCCTATACATTGCATATGGAGACTTTTACGTACATGCAACAACATAGGGAATATAATTATCTCAGCCACGTGCATCCAATTTGAGCTTAATATAATGACATGATGCTCCACACCTCCTTTCCCAACTTTTCAACCCAAAGGGTTTCGTTTTATAATTTGTTTAATTCCATGGAAATGGCTTTTCCTCTTTTATTTTTATTTCTGGGTTTGGAGCTTCCTTGGTTGCTCATGAATATGAACACGCATATTGACATAGGCCTCCAAATGAGGGAAAGCCATGTTGGGTTGCATGTGAGAGGACACAAAGGGCATTGCTTTTTGAACAAAACAATCACTAGGAAAGAAAAGACCTACGGAATTATTAAAAAAAAAACCATCAAGAGAGACTTGACCCAAATGGACCCCATTTACTTGGCCTTTCGGTACACAGTTGATGTAATTTTGCTTTAGATATATATATTTTACTATTTTGAGTGCTTTGAAATCCAATTTAAGACCGTGTTATTGGCTTGTGGATAACGAAAACTAGAAAGAAAAGTACTAAGATGTCATACCTTAATGAAGACATCAGTCAGCTTAGTCTAAATTATTGATGGTGGTAGTTCAGATCCACATCTTAGTCTTCTGTCTTATCTCCTTTCCAAATATATTTATCTTTAACAAGTTCTTGTAACCTGTGCTAATTGTAAATTTGTTATCAACTTAACCCTAAAAACGCCATTAATCCCCAATGTGTTGATGGATTTGGTTAATGACAACCAGTTAGCTCAACGGGTGGCTAATGGGTCCACCCGTTTTTAACACGACCCGATAACCTCTATCCAAATACTAAATTTTTCTTGCAAATTTATATCGTGTCAATAAGTCGTATACAATATTGTCATGTTTAATGTTTTGGTCACAATTATAGGTCAAAATTTTGCATCTACTTGAAATGAGAGACAAATAATTTTTAATATATATTTACTGAGGACAACAAGCATGCAAGTTGATATAAAAGGTCGGTTAACACTTTGGCTTTTAATCTCTACTTTATGTGCTAATTATTATTAACATTGTAACTTTGTCTTCCCAGTTTATGATTCGGGTTACATGTAAATATGATCAATGGCCTAATTAGTCTAAAGGCACCCAAAATGGCCTTTCGAGTGAGCTTATAATCTAACTTGATGAACCTTTTTTCAGGTATATTATATATGGCTAGCTACTATGATCTCTAGTCTTGCTTTTTCTAATCCATATGGAAGCAAAGCAAATGAGGTAGAGTGTAGAAATTTTTAAATATTATTAATTACTAATGCAAATGAGATTATAACTAATTAACTACCATCAAGAAAGTGGAAAGGGAGAAAGCTAGCAGCACCAAGTAGCTAGAGAAATTGGCCCTTCGTGATTCCTGGACAGAAAATCTGATGAATTTTGGTAGGTGGGTCTATGAGAAAATTGGCCAAACAAGGCTTTATTGCGGATTCACTAATATTATTCAATGATATATATATAGATAGAGCATCAAAATGGTATTCTTTTTAGACAATTTGGTATTGTTTTTTATGCTGCATTTTGACTGAGATTATGAGATAGGCTCTCTCTCTCTCTCTCTTTGACTCATCACTGACAGAAGACTTTTCAATTTTTATTAAACAATTCAGACAAGAGAGAGAGAGAGAGAGAAGAGAGAGAGAGAGAGAGATTCTGCAGAGAGCAAGCAATCTTCTCATTTCGAAATCGATGGTTTTGTGATGGCAAATTATACAGTCTAGTGAGTATCTGCAATCATATGCTAAATAGTTTGAAATTAATAAAATAGGCCATCGTTTTCTTAACCATAGATTGGGGAAAAGGAAAAAGAAAAAAGTTTGGAGCATTTTAGTGGCATGGCCAACCCATGTGCCTCCTTTATGCAACTGTTCAGACATCATGCTATTTTGTGCTCTAGTAAACTAACAGTACTGTTCGACCAAAAAAGAACTAAATTAACAGTAATTCTTTTATTCGGATGTCTACATGTTATTATTGAAGTAAATTAAAAATATATATATGTAATAAAAAATACATGATGTTTGCACAGTAATAATATCCGAACATTCGCATATTGTACTATTTCGTGAACACAAAATCTGAAATTTCAGGCATCATGCATATGTAGATTGTATATACTTTCAAGTGAGAAAAGAAAGAAAAAAACCAACTAGATTTTAGTGTCAGTAGTGTTATAATAATGGTTAGAAAGCTATTATCTATTGATTTCTTAGACAGAAAAATTAAATAAACAAAAAATTAATGAAGAATGAGAAGAAGAAAAAAGAACGCGGTTTGATTTTTCTCGACATGATGAATGACGATAAGAACTAAGTAGGTGAACAGTGGTTTGGTGGGTGAAGAAAAAGCGTCAAAAGTCAAAAAAACTCAAATAAAGGGCAAGAGGGTTTTGTGAATCCCATGAATCTCCAATTTCAAGGCACAAATAAAACAAATTAAGTGAGTGAAAAGATGTGTTGGAAAGAAAGGCATAGAGTCAAAGGAACCCTCCCCGTGTTACGTGGAACAAAAGTGTGTAATCAAAGGGTTAATTTGATAAAGGTGGCAGTTCAAAGATTTCTAGACAGACTTCATTTAGGCGCACACACGGCCTCGTTGATCCTTTCCCATTTGTTCATGTATATTCTGCTCCTCTATCTATACCTCATTTGGTGACTCGACTTATTTCGGTTAAATTGGACTAATGTTTTGATTGCTATTTTATGAACTTAATGTTAGGATATTGTGTTTTATAAGTTTCATCTATATAAATGCGACACATAATAATTAGCTTGAACTCAATTTTAATCCAGTTCGGGCCGACCCACCAATTGATGCTTTAATATCTCACCCTAATTTTAATGCAGCTGCTTGCTCTCTAGCTAAACCATCCATGGTGAAGCAAAAAGATCTTTGTCAATGCACAAGTTCGCATAGTCAATCATCTCAGAATATTGAGATACGGAAAGGGCAAAAGTACAAAGTTCAAAACCCCACAGCCTTTGGAATTAAAAGTTAAACTAAGCCAGAAGATTAAACAAAGCATTCTCTCTCAAGGGTTGAATGGTTTTTGTGCTGTAATTCATTTTGCAAGGTTTTTAAGTTTTCGAGGGAGCGTGTGGAGGTTTGAATTTTTCTTGTCGTGTTTGAAGATCATTCCCGGACTTTGAGATTTTTTTGGCTCTTTTCTGCTTTGGTATTTTTCTTCTTGCTGATGACAATAAAACTGTCTTTGTGCAAGCATTAGCAGCATCTCTTGTAATTGATTGTTTCAGCAAAATTGAAACAGATGTTAACATCATGAACAAGGGTTATAATGAACAGTTGATTGCATCAAATCTTGATTTGATTTTGATTACAGAGTTTGTACAAATGATGAAGAGCTAAACAAACTCACTAAAAAAAATAAACAGAATTACTAAATAATACTGCAATTTAAGACCAGAGAGAATTGCTAAACTGGCAACTTTCAGTACACGAAGTTTATACGTGACTCTTTCGCAACCCTGTGCAATGCATTTGCATTTCCTACATGGATTTTCAAGCTGCAAGCTGCTGGATGCTAGGATGACTGCCAAAGCAGCCTTCAACTTCTGAGATTGGCCTCAAAGGAACTTCCAGTTCTTTTATTGTGTCATTTTCCCTGCTCTCTGAGAGAGCTGTCACAAATTTTCTAAGCGCTTCCCGCATCCAGTCATACCGACAGACTCTGAATGCTTCTTCTTTGGTAAGCTGAAAATGGTACACAGCTAACTCTTTATTTCGAGTCCTCACTTATAAATGGTGTCAAGAACACAGTTTGTAAGCTAAACTGACAGGTTTTTAGTGCTTGTTTCTAACACAGTATAAAAAAGAAAGAGTAGATGCTATTTTTCAACTTGTTTAAAGTTTTAAAGATGGTTATGATGGTTCCCAGAATTTCATCTGGTGGCCTAAAATCTACATCAATATAGGACTCACCCATTTCCTTCCATAGTTAGCCTGCTCAGGCCAGGAGTCGAGCTCTTCAGTCACCTCCATTGCAAACATGAAACCTCTACAACCTCCTTGCTGGCTGCAGCTATTCTGTTTGCTCTTGCTTCTGAACTCCCAATCTCCCAGTGGAGTTTCCTGAAGCAAATATGAAGTAGTATTTGTTTATTTGAGTAGGCATTAAGGTAATCATCTTTTATGTAGAGAAGCATACTTCTGTCTCAGTATTATGCATGAGACATTGCGATCATATTGAAAATGTACCCATGAGAATGGGATAAAACCACGAAAACAGATTCCAAAACTATTGAAACCGCATATAAACTTAAGAGACTTTCCAAGGAAATGCAATCAACCCCGCTTACTCATGAAGTGAGAATCCATTGCAATGATATGTCACATGTGAGAATATTTGTGGTTAAAAATTCCTACATCTAGAGGTCCAGTTACACATTTCTATTGCAATTAAACATTACAGTGCAAAGGTGTCCATGCCTGTTACCAAGCAGGGCAGAGAAACCTACACCAAGAACTCCCTTCACTCCTGCTTCCTCCCAGGCCTCACGACGGGCAGCTTCACTCATCGTTTCATCATCCTCCCATCCACCCTGATCACAAAAGAAGGTGTTTCTAGGCTCACTATTTGATCTTAGTAGAGCTTTAAGTACATTACAAATAAACAAGAAGATAGATACCTTTGGAAACACAAGATCATCCCGACTTGGTGAAGAAATCATGAGAACAAGCAATTCTTTCTCCATACTGCGATTGCAACCCCCAACACTCTTTTCAAACTTATAAGGAATACACCTATTTTTACACCAAATGAGTAAGTCAAAGCCAAAAGTCCCTCAATACATTCCAGCTAAGTGAGCGAATATAGCTGGTTGAAAAGGAAATACAGAGTTGTAAGAAAGTCCCCACGAAACCCTCAGAGAGAGAGAGAGAGAGAGAGAGAGAGAGAGAGAGAGAGAGAGAGAGGGAGGGAGGGAGGGAGGTGCTCAGGGAAGAACATCATCCACACAAAAAAAGGACAGGACTAACGCAAAGAATGAACTAGTTATGATGGCATGTCATACATACTAAACCGTAGTTACCCTATTATGAAGCTTCCATGAGTTACCTACATTCCATAAACAATAAAGTCCACCTTGAAATTAAGAGTCCAATTACTCACACTCTGCCTAGCTAGGTAGTTTATGCTCAGGCTAATCAATAAGAGGAAGGCATCAATTCAAGCAGATAGAGCTAATGTGAGAGAATATAGCTAGTTGAAAAGGAAATACAGAATGAAGAGAAGGTCCCCACTAAACCCTCAGAGGTGCTGAGGGAAGAACATCACCCACACATGGATAGGATATCCAGCGGAAAATAAAGGATAGGACCAAGACAGAGATGCACTAGTTATGATGTATGCTATACCTATGAGCCGTATTTTATGAAGATTCCATGATTTACCTACATTTCACAATCAAAAGGGTTTGATCTCTAGATTCGAATCACTCTCACACTATGTCTAGCTAAGTAGTTGTGCTGCTAATCAATGACATGTAGGTATCCATTCCAACGCATAGCAGATGTTATATTATGCCTCTCATTATGTTGAAACCAATTGGAGCAAAAAGAAACTCCTATCATCAAATACATTTTTAAAAAAAAAACAACAGGAACAAATGAAAAGGGGATACTAACTCAGTTACATTGTCAGCAAAATTTTGCAGCATTTTCCGGCATTATTCATGAAAACTAAACACACACTTGAAGGTTATCTTGTTTGTAGGCATAATTTTTCTTCCTAATATGCAATAATGGCATCTAGTCAAGCAACAGAAATCCAAGTAAGAGTACAATACAAACCCGGACTGCAAATACAAATAATATCAATTACTATGGCATCCAACTTTTCTTACTGCATTATTTAGAATGAGAGAAATGTGTTGAGATTTTCTGTTTTATACTGTCAGCTCAATATGAAGCGAAAACTGATAAGTTCAACTCATTACTCAATTGGATTTTCCATGTCACAAGGCTTCAAATCAATGAATTTTTTTGCAAATATAGCAAAGTGACATACGCATTCATACACACCTGATAAGATTCTTAACTGATGACATGTTTCTTGGCCGTTAGGTAAGATATCAACAACTGAGATGCATCCCAACCATCCAAGTATAATCTAAACGATTAAGAGTCATATTATTGTTTAAAGACTTAATCATATTCTTGTTTAAAGACTTAATTATATACTAACTCACAATAGATAAACATTACTGTGGAATGACTAAAAGGGGAATTTCCAAATTGCATATGGTGTGTGAACACAAGTGAATGGAATATAAGTCATGAGCTATCACAAGTCAATTCTTAGGCCCAATTCTGCCACACACTTGGCCACTAGCGAAGGACGTTAGGCAACTTGTAAATGGAAACATTGGGACCCAAAGATAAGCTTTTATCGCCTTGATACGAGCTCCTGTGCAAGTTTTTCCACACAAAAGATTGCAACTGTTTAAGACATGCTAGCTGCTATGCAAAGCTTTTCCCCAGAAAAGACTAAAACCATTGAGACATAATTAACACATGATGTTCTTACAGCATTAACAACAAAAGTAGTATATTAACAGTGACAGGCTTGCTTCATCCAGGCCGAAGAGAAGGAAGGAAGCAGATTATGATCAAGAAAGCAAAAATTGGAAAGTGTACCAAAAAGAATACCAAGGCTGAGAGTAGTGCTCACCCTGAAACAAGCCTCAAATGGCCCTCGTAACGTTGTCTCTGCCTCCCTGTTCTTGCTGTTAAACAAGACATGATTATAATCTGCAGACCCAACAACCCTAACAATCTGCACAATTGGGGGATTTGCTCATCTGGGTTTGCTTAAATTTCTGAGTGTGTAGGCTTCAGATATGCAGAGCATACCAAGAACACCAACCAACTAGTACCCCGGGGAGAAAATGAAGCAGCAGAATGACCCTCATAGCTCTCTTAGAATTTAAGTAGAAAAGAAGAGAGGAGAGAGGAGGGAGTTGGAGAGAGAGTCAATAAGGGCAACGGTGACGCTGAATCTATCTATGTTCTAATCTTGAACGTATTTGAACAGATGAACCTTGGCTTGATTTGTTCGCTCCTTCACAGAAGCTGCACTCTCCTTTTGCACAATAACTCTGCACGAGAAAGCTGTATATATAAATGTTTCCGCGGGAAGACCAAATCAACGCTAACCACTTAAATTTCATGTCAAATGTCAAACCTCAGGTGGACGGGTGACTCAAGACATTTTTTTTTTTTTTTTGTTTTGGGGTCTTCTTTTCTCTTTCTCTTCTTCCATCGCACGCAATAATCAAAACTGTCTGAAACCATCTTTGTGCCAATGTATCTTTCCCATGGGAATTGATGTAATAATCAAAACTATCTGAAACCATCTATGTTTCAGGCTTGTGTTTCCTAAGTAGTTGTAGGCAGAGTCAAAAGACAGGCCTTGCTGTTCAAAAAAAAGAAAAAAAGAAAAAAAGAAAAAAAGAAGCCTGGGGGAAACTCAGACCTCAATGGATTTTCAGGTACTCGCAATTTTCAATTAAAATATAATATACTGTTAGGGTAGACCCCACCAATAATTGGCCGACCAAATTCAAATTATACACCACTGTCGTGCACCGGTTATCATGTAATTTAGATTTCAACTTGAGAAATTTGGAAAAGCGGACGATTACTTATACCTAAATTGGAAAAACAAAGCCATTGGGTTGATCGAAAATCTGTTAAATTAGTCGAGTGGGGTTATTACAGTGGTTATGGCTCTTCCCCTTCTTCCTACTTGACACCCAGGATCACAGTGGTTGTGGCCCTACCCCTTCTCCCTGCTTGACACCCAAGATTGAAACCCCCGAGTTCTTTCCTCCCAATATAACCTCTCAAAAAAAATAAAACTGTGAAATGAAGGTATCATATTTAAGGTGTAACAGCAGAAATACACCAATAAGAAAATGTTCCTTTTTCTTTCTTGTTTCTGATTTGTTTATTTGCTATGATTGTCGCAGAGAACTTAGTGGAGCCTCTGGAAGTTCTAGTCGCGTGAATTATTAAGATAAAAGTGCCACAACATACAAACTAAAAGCGCCAAAACCGTTTACTTGGGGGTCAACGCTCTCATCATCTAAAGGACCATCTATTCGAAACCTAACAATAAAACTAATATCAGATAAGATCATTGAGGAAAGAGAATTGTAATGTCACAATTGCTCATACGTGAACGACTGACAACCATTAATTAATACCTTGTAACATCCATAAAGCTCACCACAATAAATAGTGTTCAACAACATCCTGCAACTGCAGGCACAGATCATTGACGAATTGCGGTTTTTACACCCCACCCCACACCAAGCGTAGACGACAACACGTCAAGGACATTTATCTTGTTCGTGGAAAAGACCCTACGATCGTTCCAGAGGCCAAGCCACATGTAAGATGCTGGCATCCCTTATTAGATGAGGCACACCATTAGGATACTACTTTTTATCTCTTGGACTGAGTTGAAAAGGAAAGTTTTGAAACAAACCAAGGGAAAAGCGTGTCGTCCAAATAAAAAAAACAAAGGGAAAAGCGTTTCGTCCAAATAAAAAAAACCAAGGGAAAAGCGTTCTAATATAGGAGAGCAAGAGGGATACGTAGACTAGGCCTAACGGGCTTGGGCTTGAAACCCCAATAATCGACCACAGACAAATAAAATAAAATATGCGAATTTTAAAGAGCTTGGGCAAATAGCCCACAACTGTTGAGGAACAGTGGAATAACCACTAACAAAAGGAAAGGAAATGAAATATATTTAGAAACGTTTAGACGGTACTTGCATATTGCATGAAACCTAGCTGTGCGAAGACTTGTATCTCCAGTCCAATACTTAACCACATCCATGATAACAGCAAAGAAAAAGTCTCTCCTTTGAACCTGTTAACTGGGAACTTCAGAATAAACGAACTCATAACCTTGCAATTTGTACAACACGAGCCTTAACCACTAATTAAACATACCACTAAAACAGAGTCAGACAAAACAATCCTGATAACCATAATACAGCCCTACAACCGTGCTCCACACAAATGGTTGAAAAAGATACACATTCTAAACGCCGCACAATTTGTGCAATTTGCTATACGAGCATTGACCACTAAATAAAACTACCACGAAAACAGAGTCAAACAAAACAATCCTGGTGACCATGAAACAGCCCTACAACCGTACTCCACCCAAATGGTTGAAAGAGACATGCATTCTAAACACCATAAAGGCCTAGCACAATTAAGAGCACAAATGTACCCAATTTGAATGAAATAGATCATTCAAATCCTTTCAGACACATAAGAGGTAACTGAACATTATATCAGGCAGGGAACATGAAATTTTTACAAGCACTCAAAGTCAAAACCTATGACAGTAAACAAGCATGTTATAGATAACAAAGTGAAAGGGCAGGAAAACACTTCAAGAATAATATCTAATTTGAAGATGTAATTGATATCTGATAATGTCAAACAGCAAACTCAATTAAAGCAGAATCAAAACGCAGCACTGTCATACTAAGTTCAGAACGATCCTAACAAAATTAAACATTTAAAACCAAACCTAGATAACTTGACAATAACAACAGCACCCATTTCTTTTCTCCCATGAAATCAACCTTCAAAGGCTCTCTTGTAGATAAACTAATAAGAGTCAAAAGTGTTCTGGGCAGAGCATCAGTCCCCCTTCCTCCTGAAAGAGCAACCCTCGGTGAGCCTGGCACGCCCACCAGTAGGCTGGCACAACACTGTCTGGCAGTTACCACACACCACAACTGTTTGCGAGTGACTGAACACAGTGGTTCTGCAAAAACAAATTTCAATTGCTTCACCTCCAAACAACAACAAAAATTCTTCCTTATATTTCAAATTCAAAGCATATATATAGTGATAATAGTTCAATGAAAACAACACAAGGAGCTAAAACTTACATGTTAAAGCACCCCTGGCACTTGACGTCCTATGCAAGTTTAAAACAATCAAAATTAGCATCATCCCACTATAAAATCAAAATTAATTTAATCAAATAGGTAGTCCAAAAATATATTAGTATTTATACCATGAAGAAAGAGTTGGGAGACTGCACAAGCCTCTTGAGCTTGTGCTTCCTCTTCTCGAGCTCAGCTGGGGGATGAAGCAAATCGATATCGTTCTGAAGCACCTGTTAACAACCAGCAACCAACATCGATTACAACAAAACCCATTTTCTGAAATGGTTAACTTATTTCTGTTATCTCTATTTTCAGATATTCATTTCATTAACACAGAATGAATGGCTAACAGAAAAGTGCGTTATCTTCCAGTTTCTGGGGAAGTAAACAGTGCATCTAAACCCTAAACAACGTTTTGGACCGACCCAGAAGAAAACGAACAGCGTTACAATTAGCTAGCCTAATATATTTCCATTGCCTTCTTGCTCCAAGAGTATTTAAACATATATAGCTAGCTGTCTTCTACGCTAACGCAAATGATGAAAACGATAGAGAATTACAGATCAGAATAAAGGAAGGTCTGTTGGGCTTACCATCTTGATTGATAAAGAAGATCGTAAGAAGCAAACGGCGACCGCGGAAGAGACTCTAGCGAGAGAGAGTACGCGCAACGATGGCTGGTGAGAGGGGATTTAGGGTTTATAATTAAGGGTGAATATAAACGAATGGCTCAAAGATTCTGGCCGTTGGATTTAGAAGTTCAGATCTCAGCCTTTCACCTCATTTAGGGGTATTCTCGTCCGTGCATTCTAAGTCTTATATTTCGTTTTTGGCCTTTGCGGTATTATACTTTTATTATTGTCACATTTGCACCAAATGGTCCAAATCAGCCTTCGCTCTTGATTTTGTTGTTGTTGTAAATATTGATTTATGAGCTTAGTAAATTACTAAAACCTCGTCTTCATAGGTGTTCACTTGAAAGACAAAAAATAGGTGTTCAATAATAAACTTTTTTTGTTTAGTAGGAGGAAAAAGAGGAGCTAAGTTCTTTTTCTTTTATACAAAGGAGCTAAGTTCGAAATTATAGTTTTGAATTACAAGTTATGAGAAGTAGTCCATGAACGTGGTGGATTCATTATTTGAAAGTTGAATGGGCGAAACTTATCTACTAAATTCGACGGTATAAGCTAATTTGATTAATAAACATTAAAAAAAAATACTTATAGAGGGAACAAAAAATAAATGAGAGAATCATAACCAAAGATTCTTGTTGGATAAGTAGTAAATTAATCAAGACATATATGCACACCTATAATTTACATATCATATTTCCCTTTGAGTTTTGTTTTTTCTTTTGTGTTTTTTGTTCTCATTTGCTGTTTTTTCTTCTTCTTGTATGTGTTTGTTCTTTCAAAAAATAATATGACTATCAAATCATTATTGAAAAAATAAAATCTGAAGAAGAGAAAAAAAAAATTAGAGTTGTAATGCACAAAGAGTAACTATATAAAAGAGGAAACTATAAGAAGACTATTGTATACTATTAAACTTTCCCAGCATTGAAAATATATATATATATATACTATTTTATTGCCTTCGAGCATTTTCAGAAAGGGGCCCAAGGGGAGGGCTAGGGGGCAAACCCAAAATGGTGTTTCCAGCAACAAAAGTTTACCAGGGCAATGAGTGGGGCCCATCGAACTGGGCTGGCCCGAGGGGGAGGGTGGCTTGATAAGGTAATAATTTCACACATTTGTATGTCTTCTTTGCTTAGTAATTTTGTTTAGCTTATCTTTATTTTGAGTCTCTTACCTATGTTTATGTGTTTTGTAGGTTAAGACAGCAAGGGGATGACATTTGATACAATTCATGCATGTTAAGGGCTGATTATGAGCTTAAAGACAAAACCCATTTGAGTCACACTCCTTGTCAGTCCAGTTTCGTAGGTCATCTTGCAGGCCTAATTTCAGTAACTTGCACAGGTTGGATGATGAGACATCTTTGATAGAAGTTGTTCCAATGGGTGTTTATTATAACATATCCTAATTTTAGCCCAATTGGATAAATCTGGAGCCCTCAGCATGTCAATGACTGAACCAAGTTTAGAGAAATGTCATGTTGGCTGCCATCACATTTAATGTGGCTACATCCCTAGAGCCATGTGCTACACATGGGCAGCCACCCATGGGAGTCAAAACAACTCAGGAACTCAGAAGGATGAACAAAAGTCAAGCTTTCCATAAAGAAACCATACCAAAGCATGTATTTGGCAGCTGGAGCAGTTGGCAAGTATGGGCAGCTGGAGCAGTTGGCATGTATGGGCAGCTGGAGCAGTTTGGAGCAACTAAGAGAGGTGTGCTTCACCAGCCAAAGGCAAGGACGAAATTGCACTCTATAAATAGAGAGCTGTATACTTATTCAGGAAAGTGAGATACACATTTTCACTTCATTCATTACTCTCATACACACATTCAGATTCACCACAAAGAGATAAGAGAGCTTGGAGCTGTCTTGGGAACTACATTGCTGCCAGCTAGTTCTTCTCTTCTCTTTATCCTATCTATGTATTTCTTATTTTCTGTATTCATAGTTATGTTTAACTAATCCATTTAGTTAGGGCTTAGGATGAAGCCCTAGTCATGAATATTCAATGTTATGAATGATTTTATAGTTAATTGATTTCCTTGCTTTCATTATCAAGTTGTTAATCTCCAGTTTATTATGTGCTTGATGTATGGTTTCTTTGAGTAGCTAACTAGGATTTTATGCATCTAGCACAGGTTGGGAAGGGGTTTAGATTCACCAATTCTACTCTCCTTTCACAAGCAACACATGAATGGCCTAAGAATCATTCAAGGGGTTAATAACCATAAGTTGACTAAGACAGATATCATGTTCTAGGACTTGTGTGATTATCATATTCTCATGGAGCTTAATGACTCTTGTATGCTTTATTCTAAGTAGATACCATGCTTAGGTTGCATATTAGAGATCACGTGTTGTGTAGATACCATGCATAATCACATGTCTTGGAGAATCATGCATCATGCACCTAGATACCATAGGCTTGTATGCGATAATCTATTGTTGATGAAGCTTGAGTCAATTTCTATGCATTCATAACTTGGATAGGAAAACTAGTGGTGGATTCCAAGGCTCTAACACCTCTCAATTATTGTTTCACAATCTGCCAGTGTTTACTTTCGAGCACTTTCATTTCACTTTCTTCTTTTCATTTCAACAACAAAACCCCCCATTTCGAGTGCATGTGTGGTGCTAGGATTCTGTCTTAGACCTTGAGTAATTAGCAAGAGGCATTGTTGAATTCAGCATTGCCTTTAGCTAGTTAGTCAGTTTCTTTGTTCTATGTTTTTCTAGCATTCTAAGTAATTTAACTTGGAACCAAGTTACCATTCTCCGTGGGATCGACCTCGTATTTACATAAGCTATACTATAAACGATTCGTGCACTTGCGAGAATTAAAGTTGTTGTTTTTAATAACTTTTTTTAGTTGTTAAGGATATGCTCAACAAATTTTTGGCGCCGTTGCCGGGGAACCGGTAACGATGGTGCTATAGTTAGATAACTTTGATTGTTTTGTTTTTGTTTGTTTCATTTGTTTCTTTTCGTTGGTTTTTCTTTTAGTATTCAGTCTTTGTATTTAGTTGTTATCTCCATTGAAAGCACCGAATTAAGTTACTTGGTGTGTGCATGTCCGAATCTGACCAGAAGTAAAGTTCACCTGAGCCACTTTCACCAAGAACTGCTATTGTATGTGCTGGTTTGAGGAGAAATTATAGTTCTTCAAGCACTTATTCTTAGAGTTACGAATCTGAAGGTTCAAGCAAGATGGCAGAGATTCCGAACAACAACAATAATGTTGAAGGAGGTGGTGCGCTTGTTGTCCAACCTCGAAAACCCCTACGTGAGTTTTCCATTCCCAAAGTCACCGATCAACTTTCGTGCATCGTCTATCCTTAACTCACAGTTGATAGGTTTGAGCTTAAAAGTGGTATGATTCATTTTCTTCCAACTTATTATGGTAATACCACTGAGGATCCTTGCATGCATATTAAGCAATTCTTTGAAATATGTGCTACGATCAAAATTCAAGGCCTTGATGATGAGCAGATTAAGATGAGGCTATTCCCATTCAGTTTAAAAGATAAGGCTAAATCTTGGTTATACTCTTTGCCTAATGCTTCAATTCGTACTTGGGATGAGCTTTCTAATAAGTTTTTGAAGAAATTCTTTCCGGCTCAAAAGACTAACAAGATTAGAAAGGAAATCCTTGGTTTCACACAAAAGGAAAGAGAAGCTTTTCATGAATGTTGGGAGAGGTACAAAGAGATAATAAGTTCTTGCCCACACCACAACATGGAGAGTTGGATGCAAATGCAATCTTTCTATAAAGGTTTACTTGATTCCAAAAAGATGATGGTAGATGCAACTAGTGGAGAAGGACTGATGAACAAAACAGTAGATGATGCTTTTACTCTCTTTGAATCCTTAAGTGCTAACTCTCAACAATGGAGCCACAATAAAGGAAGATGAGCTCCTATGAAAGTTGTGGTATCTGAGGTAAGTACTAATAATGAGATTGCTGCAAAACTTGATGTTATGTGTTCTTTGCTTCAACAGGCAGTGACTGACCTTCTAGGAAACAAAGTGGAAGTTCAAGATCAATCTTTTGCAGTGCACATGCTAGAACAAGCAAATGCCCTTCAAGCAAGGAATCCTAATAATGATCATTACTCAAACACGTAAAATCCGAGGTAGAGAAATCATCTTAATTTCAAGTGGAGCAATAACTCAAATGTGCAACAATCTCAAGGACCTTCCCCAGGATTTCAAATACAACAAAGGCAATTCCAGCAAGCTCCCCAATGAGTGCAAGAGATCAAATGGGAGAATTGCAAGACAGGTTCAAGAATTTCATGGGGCAACAGATGCAAACCAATCAGAATCTTCAAAATGCAGTGAACAAGCTAGAAGTGCAAGTTGGGCAGATTGCATCCTCCTTGAGCAAAAGAGCATCCGAAACATTTCCAAGCCAAACGAAGGTGAATCCAAGGCATCAAAAGCATGCTAAAGCAGTACACATCTTGAGAAGTGGTAAACAAGTTGATAATAAGGTTGGAGATGCCAATGAAGAGCAAGAAGAAAGAGAAAACGTGGAGATCATTCAACCACCACAGGGGCAGCCCACAGCTTCCAACAAACAGTCCCTCAATCTTTTTGGAAAGAGCACAAACCCTAAGGTATCATCTAATGCTAATCAAGTTCCAATTTCAACTAATGCTTTTAGGCCTATTGCATCTTTTCCCAGCAAGTTATCAAAGTCAAAGAAAGATCAAGGCTTGGATGAGATAATGGAAACATTCAAAAAGGTGCAAATCAACATCCCATTGCTCAATGCCATTGCCCAGATTCCAAAGTCTGCAAATTTTTTGAAGGATCTATGCACTAACAAGAGGAGATTCAAAGAGCATGAACAAGTTACATTGACTGAAAAAGTAAGTGCAGTGTTACAAAGAAAGCTACCTCTAAAGCTAAAGGATCCAGGTTTGTTTTCTATATCTTGCATAGTTGATGATTTTAAGTTTCAAAAAGCTTTGCTTGATCTTGGTGCTTCTATAAACCTTGTGTCATATCATGTTTATGAGAAACTTAACCTTGGTGAGTTGCAATCCACATCTGTGAGCATTCAATTGGCAGATAGAATTATTAGGTACCCTAAGGGCATTCTAGAAGATGTTTTGGTGAAAGTGGAAGAGCTAATTTTGCCAGCAAATTTCTTGGTGTTGGAAATGGAAGAAGCACCAATTCATGACAATCAGTTACCACTCATTCTAGGTCAGCCATTCATGGCAACTGCCGGTGCTATTATTGATATGAAGAAGGCTACATTGACCATGAACGTGTTTGATGAGACAATAGCATTCAAAGTGTTTGAAACCTCCAAGTTTCCAAGTGATGAGCATGAAGTTTTCCAGCTTGATGCAATTGATACTATGGTGAAAGAAGCACTGCCAATGAGTTATTTGGAGCCCATTGAAGCATGCATCACACAAAGCATAAGGAAAGAAAAAGTGGACAGCTTAGAGGCTGTGATCTCTCATTTACTTCTTGAGCTTGTTTGCAGCATGGATAGCTACATAGAAGTTGGAAAGAGGTATGCAAATCAATTTGAATCATTACCCCCACCTACTAATAAGGTTTTACCATCTATTGTGCAGGCACCAGAGTTAGAATTAAAGCAATTGCCAAAACACCTTAAATATGCTTATTTAGGTGAAAATGAGACTCTACCTATTATCATTGCCTCACATCTCTGACCAAATGATGAAAAGAAGCTTTTGAGAGTTATAAAAGAGCACAAAACTGCAATTGGGTGGAGCATTGCAGATATCAAAGACATAAGTCCAACACTATGCATGCACAAGATATTATTGGAAGACAACGCACTGCCTAAGAGGGATGTCCAAAGAAATTTCAATCTAAACATGAAGGAGGTGGTAAGGAAAAAGATAATGAAGCTTTTAGATGTTGGTATTATTACCTTATTTCTGATAGTAAATGGGTGAGCCTAGTGCAAGTTGTCCCCAAGAAGTTAGGTATCACAGTGGTGAAGAGTGAAGCAAACAAGCTTGTACCTACACGGGTGACTACGAGCTGGAAAGTTTGCATTGATTATAGGAAACTCAACACAGCAACAAGCAAGGATCACTTCCCTCTTCCATTCGTTGATCAGATGCTTGATAGATTGGCTAGTCATAGCCACTATTGCTTCCTTGATGGATATTCAGGCTACAACCAAATCGCCATAGCCCCAGAAGATCAAGAGAAGACTACATTCACATGTCCCTTTGGCATTTTCGCTTAAAGGAGGATGCCTTTTGGTCTCTATAACGCCCCAGCCACTTTTCAAAAGTGCATGATGAGCATTTTCTCCGACATGGTAGAAAGGTTAATTGAGGTATTCATGGATGACTTCTTTGTCTTTGGTGATTCTTTTGATCAATGCTTGCATAACTTATCCAAGGTGTTGGCTAGATGTGAACAGACTAACCTTGTGCTTAATTGGGAAAAATGTCATTTTATGGTTAACCAATGCATAGTTCTTGGTCATGTCATCTCTAGTAAAGGAATCGAGGTAGATAAAGCTAAGATTAATTTCATTGCCTCCATGCCCTCACCTACTTCTGTCAAAGAAGTACGTTTTTTCCTTGGCCATGCAAGTTTCTATAGGCATTTCATTAAGGAATTTTCTAAGATTGCGAGGCCTTTGTGCAATCTCCTTGCCAAGGACATGGATTTTGTCTTTGATCAAAACTGTGAGAATGCTTTCAATGCTTTGAAGAAGATGCTCACAACTGCCCCAATCATTATACCACCGGATTGGAGCTTGCCTTTTGAATTGATGTGTGACGCCTCTGATTATGCCGTTGGAGCTGTTTTGGGACAACGAGTTGATAAGAAGCCACATGCCATCTACTATGCTAGTAGAACCCTCAACGATGCCCAACTCAACTATTCCACCACAGAGAAGGAGTTATTAGATGTCATATTTGCTTTAGAGAAGTTCATATCATATTTTATTACTAACAAGGTTATTGTTTACACTGATCATGCAGCATTAAAATACTTGTTAGCCAAGAAGGATGCCAAGCCACGACTCATTAGATGGATTCTCTTGTTGCAAGAGTTTGACTTGGAGATAAAAGATAATAAAGGAAGTGAGAATGTTGTGGCTGATCATTTGAGTAGATTGGTGCATGTATCTAACGAAGAGGAGGATTCATTGCCATTACGTGAAAGCTTCCCTGATGAGCAACTTTTCTCAATTTGTGCTTTGAATTCTCTCAATCCATTGCCTTGGTTTGCTGATATTGTTAATTATTTGTGCACTAATAAACTCCCTACAGGGTTATCTACGTTCCAACGTGACAAGCTTAGGAAGCAAGCAAGATACTACTTTTGGGATGATCCATATTTATTCAAGCATTGCCCAGACCAAGTAATTCGAAGGTGTGTGCCTGAAGGTGATTTTAAGAGCATTTTGGAGTTTTGTCACTCCCATGCATGTGGAGGACATTTTGGAGCAAAGAAGACTGCCAACAAAGTGCTACAATCAGGTTTCTTTTAGCCTATCCTTTTTAGGGATGCGTAATTTTTTTGTGCTTCATGTGACAGATGCTAACGGATGGGTAATTTACATGCTAGAAATCAGATGCCTCTCACTAATATCTTAATCATTGATATATTTGATGTTTGGGGAATTGATTTCATAGGCCATTTTCCTTCCTCTTATGGATTTGAATATATATTAGTTGCTATCGATTATGTTTCTAAATGGGAGGAAGCCATTGCCACTAGAACTAATGATGCTAAGGTTGTGATTGGTTTACTCAAAGGAAATATTTTTACAAGGTTTGGCACACCTAGAGCAATCATTAGTGATGGTGGCTCCCACTTTGTTAACCAAGCTTTTGCAGCACTCTTGAAGAAATATGGATCAAGCATAAGGTGGCAACACTCTATCATCCTTAAACTAGTGAGCAGGTTGAGATAAGCAATAGAGAGATTAAGCACATACTTGAAAAGACAGTGAACACAACAAGGAAGGATTGGTCCATGCGTTTGGATGATGCATTGTGGGCTTATAGGATTGCTTATAAGACCCCTATAGGTATGTCTCTATATAGATTTGTTTTTGGTAAACCTTGTCACTTACTAGTGGAGCTTGAGCACAAGGCTTATTGGGCAATCAAGGCCTTCAATTTTGATATGAAAGCTACCGGTGAGAAGATGAGGCTTCAACTTAATGAGTTGGAGGAGTTGCAACATGAAGCATATGAGAACGCTAAACTTTACAAGGAGAAAACAAAGCAATATCATGACAAGAAAATTCTTAAGAAGACATTTGAGAAAAGGCAGAAGGTTCTCCTATTCAATTCACGCCTTAAGCTCTTTCCAGGTAAGCTTCGTTCTCGGTGGATTGACCCTTTTGTTATTACTAATGCGTTTGATCATGGCGAAGTGGAGATTCAAAATATTAAGGATGGTAGCACCTTCAAGGTGAACGGACATCGGTTGAAACCTAACTTTGATACCAATATTGAGTCTCAAGCACTCAAGGAGCCTCCACCACTCTCTTGATGCTCACCAGAGTTTGGACGTCCGGCTGAAGACATAAAACTTAGCATTTCTTGGGAGGCAACCCAAGGTGACGAGGAGAAGATAGAACATGCAAGGAAGCCTGCTTGTGTCCTAAGCGCTACAAAAAGGAGTTTTTCTGAACTATAATCTTTGGTTATGTTTTTCCCTTGTCTTCTTTCCTTTCATTTATGAGGCATTGCTTTTTTTTACACTCTAAACATTGAGGACAATGTTTCATTTAAGTTTGGGGGGAAGGATTTAGTTATGTTGTTTCAAATTGTCAGATTTTAAAATTTTGAGTGTGTCTAATGGCCAAAAACGTAGGATTTTGTGTGTTGTTTCGTTATCCTTCCAAACACCTATGATAAGACTTGGATTTAATACTAATATGGTTTCTCATAAATTGATAGTCATTGTTTAAGGACTTTGTGTAGTTCTGAGTTAACTCTGTCTTGCATGTCATCCTTGCACTTATTGAGTACTTTGCCAAGTTAGTCCAATTTTTTGCTACTTGGAGACATTATGCAATTCTACTTATCTCATGATCTTGGTTTTGTACTCTAGAACTTATTTGAATATCTCTTGAGACATTTTGTTGCCATACAATGCTTAAGAAGTGATTTAGGCCATGTTTGAACCGTTTGAGCCTTTCTAACCATCCCTCTACATGTATTCATCCCTAATCAACCCATTTGAGCCAACGTTAAGCCTTTCTTTATGTAAACTATTCATACCATAATGAACCTCTGTTTTCTTATTCTTACTTATTCTATGAGCAATTAAAGCTATCTTCAAAAGAGAGTTATAAAGAATGCAAGGTTTTTGGAGCAAAAGTGAATCATTAGTGTCATAACCCAAGTGTTGAAAAGAAATAAGTTTGGGGGTATTGGTAACCAATCAAAAGAGGTAATGAAGTGTGACCAATGTAGTCACGACACTAGGCTATTATAAAAGAGAAGATCATGGTGATTTAGGGTAAAGAGCCACAAAATTAGGCCAAATAAACATATATGAAGGTGCTGAAATTCTATTGAAAATATGCTCATGTATGTGTTCCTTGCTTGTTACAAAGATCAGTAATCTCTCATGCTCTTACTTATGCTTTAGTTGTGCTCAAAATGTTGTTATATAACTCATATCCCTTCTTTCATTCAACCACTACCCTAAACCTCATTACTACCCTTGTAAAGTCCTTTTGATCCTTGGTGTTGCATGGTATTACTGTGGAGAGCAAATTGGATAATGAGCTTATGGGGTTCGGAATTCGTGATTTTGCTCTAAGTGTGTGCGCATGTACTTATTTGAGTTGCAAGTGTTGTTCTGATTTGGCATTCACACATTACACTTAAGGGTGTCATTGTGAGCTTTGCTTTCTCGTTAATCATGTATGGAACTTAGATTGTGATTGTTGTGTTTCTTTGGAACCATATACGTTGGTGATTCTTTAAGGATATTGTTTCGAAGGCTAGTTGCTTATTTCTTGATACATAAGTTGTAGTTTAATTTTGTTTTGCTCGAGGACTAGCAAAATCTAAGTTTGGGGGTATTTGATAAGGTAATAATTTCACACATTTGCATGACTTCTTTGCTTAGTAATTTTATTTAGCTTCTCTTTATTTTGAGTATCTTACCTATGTTTGTGTCTTTTTTTGGTTAAGACAGCAAGGGTATGAAATTTGATACAATTCATGCATGTTAAGGGCTGATTGGGATAAGAGTAATATGAGCTTAAAGACAAAACTCATTTGAGCCACACTCCTTGTCAGTCCAGTTTCGTAGGTCATCTTGCAGGCCTAATTTCAGCAACTTTCACAGTTCGGATGAGGATACATCCTTGATAGAAGTTGTTCCCATGGGTGTCTATTATAACATATCCCAATTTAAGCTCAATTGGATAAATCTGGAGCCCTCATCACGTCAATGACTGAACCAAGTTCAGAGAAATGTCATGTTGGCTGCCATCACATTTAATGTGGCTACATCCCTAGAGCCATGTGCTATACATGGGCAACCACACATGGGAGTCAAAACAGCTCAGGAACTCAGAAGGATGAACAAAAGTCAAGCTTTCTATAAAGAAACCATACCAAATCATGTATTTGGCAGCTAGAGCAATTGGCAAGTATGGACAGCTGGAGCAGTTGGCATGTATGGGCAACTGGAGCAGTTGGGAGCAGCTAAGAGAGGTGTGCTTCACTAGCCAAAGGCGAGGACGAAATTGCACTCTATAAATAGAGAGCTGCACACTCATTCAGGAAAGTGAGATACACATTTTCACTTCATCCATTACTCTTATACAGACATTCAGATTCACCACAAAGAGAGAAGAGAGCTTGGAGCTGTCCTGGGAACTACATTGCTGCCAGTTAGTTCTTCTCTTCCGTTCTATCCTATCTATGTATTTCTTATTTTCTATATTCATAGTTATGTTTAACTAATCCATTTAGTTAGGGCTTAGGATGAAGCCTTAGTCATGAATATTCAATGTTATGGATGATTTTATAGTTAATTGATTTCCTTGCTTTCATTATCAAGTTGTTAATCTCCAGTTTATTATGTGCTTGATGTATGTTTTCTTAAAGTAGCTAACTAGGATTTTATGCATCCAGCACAAGTTGGGAAGGGGTTTAGATTCACCAATTCTACTCTCCTTTCACAAGCAACACATGAATGGCCTAAGAATCATTCAAGGGGTTAATAACCATAAGTTGACTAGGACAGATACCATGTTCTGGGACTTATGTGATTATCATATTCTCATGGAGCTTAATGACTCTTGTATGCTTTATTCTAAGTAGATACTATGCTTAGATTGCATATTAGAGATCACATGTTGTGTAGATACCATGCATAATCACATGCCTTAGAGAATCATGCATCCTGCACCTAGATACCATAGGCTTGTATACGATAATCTATTGTTGATGAAGCTTGAGTCAATTTCTATGCATTCATAACTTGGATAGGAAAACTAGTGGTGGATTCCAAGGCTCTAACACCTCTCAATTATTGTTTCACAATCTACCAGTGTTTACTTTCGAGCACTTTTATTTCACTTTCTTCTTTTCATTTCAACAACAAAACCCCCCATTTCGAGTGCGTGTGTGGTGCTAGGATTCTGTCCTAGACCTTGAGTAATTAGCAACAGGCATTGTTGAATTTGACCTTACCTTTAGCTAGTTAGTCAGTTTCTTTGTTCTATGTTTTCTAGCATTCTAAGTAATTTAACTTGGAACCAAATTACCATTCTCCGTGGAATCGACCTCGTATTTACACAAGCTTTACTATAAATGGTTCGTGCACTTGCGAGAATTAAAGTTGTTGTTTTTAATAACTTATTTTAGTTGTTAAGTATAGGCTCAACATGGCCCGAGTTCCAGCTTGCGCTTTGACGTCACGACGACGTTATCGTTTCTGTTTAAATTTTTTTTAACGTGCAACGCACTCGCCAACGTTAAAAAAAATAAATTTGACTCAGCCGCTACAGTGCCCCCCAACGACTCTCTTCCACGTGGGTGGCTTTGAGCTCTCCGATCCCCTTTTCTCCCAACAATCCAACGGCAGCCAATTTTTTCCCAATAAAAAATTTGAAACATTTTATAAAAAACCCACTACAGTGCCCCCCTCCCCCCAGCAACTCTCTTCCACATGGCTGACTCTGGGCTCTCCGATCCTATTTTTTCCAGCAATCCAACGGTAGCCAATTTTTTCCCAATAAAAAATCAAATGGCTCTCTTCCACGTGGCTAGCTCTGGGTTCTCCGATCCCCTTTTTTTCAGCAATCCAATGGCAGCCAATTTTTTCCCAATAAAAAAAAAGAAAAAAATTGAAAAGATTTTTAAAAAATACTGAATTTTTTTTCTATAAATACCAACCAATACTCTTCACTTTTAACACCAACTCCTCATACATTTTCTTCTCCTATTACTATTATTCACTTTCTACTCAATATTTTTTTACTTTAAAGTTGTTTTTTTTTCTGTATCATATTATAGGTTCTTCTAGTGAAACCGGAAGAGCATGGAGCATGATGGAAGATGTTAGCTTGTGTGAGTCTTGGCTCTAAATTAGTCATTGTCCCGTAACGGGCAATGAGATAAAATTCTGTCATATGTGGAAAAAAATTCATCAGGATTTTTGTGAAAGGGTAATTGGTTAGACCCGTACGGATCATGCATTATCTAGTATGTGGAAAATTCTTAATAAAAAGTTGGCAAAATGGAGAGATGTCTTGGCAAAAGAGATGAACAACCATAGAAGCGGGGAAAACCTTAGCAGTGAGGTTAAATATTTGTAATTTTCGTTTTATTAATTTCTATGTCATATTAATTTTTATTTAAATGTCTCTTGCAATTTATATATTTTGTTAATATTTCTTGTATTTCCAATATTAATATGAATGTTTCTTGCAATATTTATATTTTGTTTTGCATTTCTAATAAATTGTTAAAGTTTCTTGCATTTCCATTATTTTTTTTATATACTTGTTGATTGCCGATTTTTTTTAAAGTTTCTTGCATTTCCTTTTTTTTTTTTTTTTTTCTTGCATTTCCATTATTTTTTTTTACTTGTTGCATTGCCAATATTTTTTAAAGTTTCTTGCGTTTCCAATTTTTTTTATAGGTTATGCAAGCACAAATGTTTTGGCGCTACTGGGCAAGGCAAAAAAAGTTTCAACCATACCCTATGTTAGGAGGTGGTGAAGAATTGTAAGAGATTCCAAATTATTCCAACGGGTCCGACGGTAGTCTTGAACGAGACGCCACTCCATGAGACATCGGCATCGGATTCACCTATGCATTCCCCGGTGAGTCAAGACTCACCTATTGAAAATATTCCAAGGCCTATTGGGAGGAAGGCGCCGAAGGCAAAGAGAATGAGTAATTCTACCAAAAATGCATCTAAATTTTTGGAGGAGCTTTCATAGATGCAAGCCATGAGAATTGAAATGGACATGAAACAACAAGAGCACGATAGGGCAATTGAAGTAGAATATGCAAAATAAAGGGAGTATGTACGCCAAGAAAAGATTGAAAAAAATGATCGAAAAACCATGGCCATGGATATAAGCCATATGTCCCATGAAACAAAACAATTTTGGAAGCTAGAACGAAGGGATGTTATGAGACGAAGACTTTTTCGTGACGATGGACCTAGCAACACGGATTGGTTAAATGATCAAAACCATTAAGTTAGTTTGCTTGCCTTTCATTTCATTGTATTTTTTGTTTTGTTTAAAAAATTAGTGGTAATTCATGTATTTTATTTTATGAGTTGTATTGATTTTCTTTTAGTGAATAAAGAAAATATTCAACAAAATTCCTTTTTATTCAAAACATTCCATACATAAAAAGCAAACCACAACCAAAGCATAAAAAATAAACAAACCACAACTAAAGCATAAAAAAACAACAAAGCATAACTAAAAATACAACATAAACATAATAAATTAAAAAAACATCTTCACTTCACTTCATTCACCTTCATTGCCTTTCACCGCCCACAAATACTCCATCAAGTCAACTTGACGGTGTTCATGAATATACGACGATTGCATCTCCGTGTATCGCTCAATCATACAAGGCATGAAACTACCGTTTCTAACCAACGGATCATGCTGCACTAGTCTCCATTTGGCCTCATGGCCGTGTTCATGGGATCTGATTCATACACTTCATCAGCATCGTAATCATACTCATCTTCCACAATCATGTTGTGGAGGATGATACAAGTCATCATTATACTCCTAAGCACCTCCTCGTCAAATAGACGCGCCACGCCCCTGATAATAGCCAACCGGGCTTGAAGGATACCAAAGCACCTCTCCACATCTTTTCTGTACCCCTCTTGATAGGCAGTAAAAAAAATTTCCTTATGGGATCGGGGATGTGAAATTGATTTCACAAATGTTGTCCACCTCGGGTAGATACCATCAACTAGATAATACCCGTTTTGATAGACGGTATTATTGATTTGATATGTGATATTTGGGCCTTCACTTCTCAGAACATCATTGAATATCGAGGATTGACCCAGGACATTCAAATCGTTTTGAGAGCCGGCAACTCCAAAGAAGCCGTGCCAAACCCATGTATCAAAACCAGCAACAGCTTCGAGGATGATGCTTTTCTGCTCTTTCCGATTGCCATAATCCCCTTGCCAAGCAGTTGGACAATTTTTCCATTGTCAATGCATGCAGTCAATGTTACCAATCATTCCAGGAAATCCATGAGACTCATCTTTTTGTAGAAGCCGTTGTAGGTCCCTGGGCGTAGGTCTGCGCAGGTAGTCCCTGGTGTACAGAGTTTCCACTGCATCACAAAATCGCACCAAGCTCTCCAAAATAGTGGACTTCCCCATCCGGGCAATCTCATCCACCTAATCAGCAAATGACCTATACGCTAACATTCGTATCACAGCTGTGAACTTTTGCTCGAGAAGAAGCCCCAAATTCCAGCACAATTTTTCTTTTGAACAAAGTATTCATCATAATTACAAATATCATACATGACTTTATTGAACAAATGGGGTTGCATTCTATATCTCGCTCGAAAATGAACATCAGAGTACAAAGAATGTGGGATAAAATAATCTTCCAGAAGATTCTTACCCCAAGAATGTCTATGTCTATCCACATTCAGGGCACGACATTCTCGTGAACCACGGCAGCTCTAGTTTTCTTCCTCCAGCAAAGCAATGGTCATGCCAAGTTGCTCATCTAGTTCTCTCTGCGCCCTTTTGCTTGCAGCTTGTCGACGCATTCTTTCTCTCCTTTCTCGCTCTTGCCTTTCCAAAACCTCTTGCATGTCTGCCATTGAAAATGGAGAATGAAATCTAAAATATGAGAAATGGAAATGTAGAGAAGATCTGGTGTGGGAGGTATGAGCTGAGCCTCTGGTTTTATAGAAAAATTTAGACATATAGATATGACACGTGACGCAATCTTAGATGATGAAAATCTTATCTGAAATTTATCTGAAACTTGAATTTCGAAATGTATATGAAATTTGACATTTTGAATTTATATGAAATTTGAATTTTGAAATGTATCTGAAATTTGAAATTTATATGAAATTTGAAATCGAAAATCTTATCCGATATGAATAGTATTGACATGTAGGAACCCAAAAATCTTATTCAAAAATATTATCCAAATTAATTGTTTAAGTAAACAAAGTTGTGAAAAAAAACAATAAAATGAATAGTATTTGACATGGCAAGCCTAAACTGCTGAAAACACACTTTGCTGGGAGGGTTAGGACAACTACCATTCACGTGAATAGTAGCTGCCCTAGGGCTCCCCTTGCCATGACAAAGGGCTAACTGGTGGAAATGCTCTAAAAGTAGTGTATCTACTCGTGTCATCAAGTAAGTACACTACCTTGATAAACTGACCTAATTTATATATGTTGCACGTATTCATCCTTTATGATGGTTTGCGGATTTGCATGTCATGTACATATCGTAGGCTGGAATAACTGGTCTCATGCGCTTGGGATGTGATGCAATCATGCAACCACCTCCAAAGAAAATGCTTTAATTTGGCTAACAATACCCGCATGGATGCGTGACCTTTTTTGGTTATATAGACACCCCAAAAAAATCAAATGTTTCACATTATATATAGAAAAGGACCTTTCAACCAACAAGTATATACTACTTTTTAGTTTGCATATTAATGTGTTTGCCAATGAGGTCGAGTGTGCTTTTTATAGTTGCCCTTGTGCCGATGCTCTTGTTAGCATGGCCTGCAGCACAAGAAGTCGTCCATGGTCAAGAGGCCTTGGGGCAATGCCTCACAGTTTGCTTCCAAGAAATGACTTCATGCATGGATTGGTGTTCCGACAGAAGCCAAGCACCAGATGCAGAGGAAAATTGCTATAATGAATGCATCGATTATAACAACGGATGCATGGACAATTGTACTTGCTGATCGTTATCCTCTACTCCACATCCATGATAATAAATTAACGTAAGATTGTGTCGCATTATTACTCTAAATTATGTCACACATCAAATAAAACGAAGGTTGCATGTCCCAAGCTTTCATCAAAGTATGGTCAAATAAAACTATCAACTATCTAGCTCTTGATATGGTGATATTTATATTTTTCAATTATTAACATATGTCACGGATCACATTATTTGATTATGGATTTTTAGATTTATGTGGAAGTTCAAAAAGCCCGTGTGTGAACTGTGATCATGGGTCTTACATGTATTGTTTTGGATTTGGGTCGTGAGTGTTGTTGTGTAGGGTTTGTGTGCTACCAGAGTTGGCTTCCTGTTTGAAACCAATTGTTGGCTACATTAGAATAAAGGTTTGGACCCATGAAGCACGTCCATACGAGTCAACCAAACCCAATTGTTTGACCCCAAAAAAAAACCCAAATGAGATTTTTCCTAATCCCTTTTGTTTTTGTTTTTGTTTTTGTTTTTTTTTCTGAAAACATAATGAGAAAAACTTGCTATATCTTTTCCCATAGAATGCAAATATGGTGGCGAAAAGGGGGCTTTAAAGAACCAATCCAACGTTATTTTTAATATTTTAGCATAAAGGAAATCCCACGGCCAATCTCATGGCCATGCAAGTAGAAAGCCAATAAACTAATACTTTAGCTTTATTGGTCACCCTTTCATCCCAATGAAAGGGCTTCCAATCCCATGGCCAATGCGCCACTTCCACTCTTACTCACAAAAAAAGACCTTTTGTTATTTGACAAGTGATAATAAACTACTTTAATGTATGGGAAGAGGGATTGAACTCAAGTACAAGGAAACATGCACTCACAAAAGAGATTTTAACCCTCCGTTTGAATGAAGGAATTGAAAATTACATAGAATTCTAAAATGACGGAATTTAGATTTCCATCATTTCGATTTTTGGCAATTGAAAATTTCAGTATTTGGATTTATGTACGTCGAATTTTGTAAATAGTACTATGAAAATTGTGAAATGAAGTCTATTTTGGTGGAAATTAAACTCTGGAATTTGATGCCCCAATTTCCACTATTTTTTCCTTGTGTTGTGTCATTTAATAAATTATGTACTGCCAAACAAAGGAATTTTCAATTTCTCTTATTAAATTCTTGACTTTTAGTTAAATTTGGAGTTATTTTCCCTCATCCAAACAAACCAAATTCAAGCTCATGCGGGCTTTTGAACAAATGTGCATGTGACATTATGTACAAAATTATACAACCCTACGACCCTATATATGCATGATTGTATAACCTTTTAATTATAAATCCATCTTTAATTATGATGCGCAAAAAATATTGAATTTTATTTTCATTAATGGAAGTGTGACAGATTCCCCCAAAAATGTTTGAATGTCAAAGAGGACTGCATTGACCATCACCGTCCCGCCCATTAATATATGGGATGGGCCGCCCTGATCTCATGTGATCCATTTCCATGGATGGGTTTTTTTTTAACTTACTCATGTTCTGGCCCAAAAAAAAATTATAAATTATTTTGACATATATTATGCATATATTGATTAATTATTAATATGATGTAATCTCCAACTTGGAGGTTTTTAATAATGGCTTAATGAGAGCCCTGCTACGTGGTCTTGGATCTGCTGCTTTGCGTCAATGTCCCGCACTTAAGATATTGCGAGTAAAATTCTGTCAAACCACTCATTGACGCAAGATTGAAAAATAATGTTGTGATGCAGGAAGGACTTGAGGCCGGCCCTCTTGCCTTCAGGCATATGATAAGGTTTTTGTAGTAATTCCACATCAAGATTAAACAAGGATTATAAGTTAAACAAGGATTAGGCTACATGTTCTGCCCCATTAATTTAGTCCCAACTTGCTAATCGATAAGGTTTTTCGGTTGGCTTTTGAGTCAATGGCGCGTATTTGCTACAGTAAACAGCCGACAAACATGTTTTTATTAGTGCTTAAGCAACACTTATACAATTATGGCCTGCCTCAAATCGAAACTTCCTTCATTAACTTATAATAAAACAATACAATTAAATATCTCTGGTGGAAATGGTGGAGCTTGGTTTATATTAAGAACTTGAAAAAGGTGAAATTGTGTTTACTTTTTGGAATCACATGCAATGATATGATACATATTTGACAATCTCTTTGCTTTGAAATGAAGTGATCAGAGATCGATGTAATCTTAGTTGTAATGTCAAACAAAATTCAACAAAAGAAAAATGTTGCTCTTGCTCATGCAAAATTTTGTTTGCATGAAATTAATTATGTGGGTTGGCTTTATTCTTTGGTTGGAGTGGAGATTTGAAGTTGGAACACAGGATCTTGGATGTATGAGTAATTATAATTTAGGATTAGAAAGAGAAGTATCACTACGTTATAAATTTTAAATTCTAAATTGCTCTTAAGCACTTGAGTTAATAAATATTTTACAGATCACTTTTAACATTAGAAAGAGAAGTATCACTGCACCGAGAGCTGGACACATCTTCAATTTTGCATATATAATGTGCATGATATTGATATAGGTAAATAGCTCACTGTGCTGTCATTGACTTGGTCATTAGAATAAATGGAGGTTGGTCAAACAATTGATAAATATATGGTGGGGAAAGTGGAGAGCGATCTCACTCTTCCTCCTCTGCTATAATATCCCTCCCCACCCTTTCTTTGCTCCTCTTCCCCTGCCCATTTCAAGGGCGGTCTGTCCCCCCATAAGACGCCTACTTTGTTTTATCTTAAACATGAAGACCTAGAAAACCAAATCTAGCAAATCCCGATCAATATGTCCTAATATACTGATTAGCATTTATTTTATCATTTTTCCTTCCTCTCCAATTTGCGTACCGAACAACTGCTTCCTAATATTCAATTGCGTCCTCAATGTGCTTGCATGACGGCCTACTCTTTTACCTGAAAGAGCCAAAGCCAATCTATGTGAAGTCGTGGATGTTTCAAGACCAGAAGGGAATTTGCATTCCCTTTTTCTGGGCCTAACTTCTAAAACAGCTAACTGTATCTCCCGCAAGTCTGCAAGTATCCAACGTAGCCAGTTCATAATTTACAATAAATAAATAACTTCTCATTTTACCAAAAATAGAATGAAAAAAAGAGTTACAAAGCCATCAATTTTGTATGGTGTTTTGTGTGTATGTATGTTATTGTTAATCGAGTTTTGACTCTACCCTTTTAAAAGAAAAAAAAAGACTTTTCTGTTCTTAGGACATGAGTGGAGCCTATGAAAGACTAGAATTTTAGCTGTATGCTGGGTTGTGTGCATGACAATAATTTACTCAAAACAGTACTCACTTTGTCCTCAGATCCTACAATTACCAGGTGGGTCAGATGCAAGCCAACAGTTTCTTGACCGTATATGTAGTCCAGATGTTTATAATCCCAACATGGGGCTTTACTGGTTTGGATCCTGATAAATTTGTTCCATTGGTTGGCCCAATCATAATTTTGGTGATTTCAGAGTAGGGTCCTTGAAATGACATATGATTCACTACTCACTACCATTGCAGACATTGTCTGCGTCTGCGTATATATATGTACAGTTATTCTCTCATCCGGACGTCCGCACGTTATTATCGTGTTGATGCCAATCTCCCTTTCTTTCTCCCCAGGATTGAACTATTCATAATACACCTGATATGTTTGTGTTCATGGCTAAAACAGAACAGAGATGAAGAGGGTACATAGATTTTAATATTGTTACACAGATGTAATATTTGAAATATAGTGACTTAAGCACCTCCTCCTAGTATTAGATTAGGAATGAGATATTGACTTGAGAAAACAATGAGGAAAAAAAATCATTAGCCTGAAAATATTTCATTTTCTTTAGAGCCACAAAAGTCTTTATGTGGGTCAAGTATATGCCTGGTGGTGGAAACTTCCAAATCACCCTATGGGCAGCTTCTGTGAGCTTGAAATCAGTTTATGGTATCAGCCAAAGAAAAAAACCCTCTTGTTCTGGAGCATAATCAGCCTATCATGCAGACCATTAGCTTTCATGTATAAATGCCACCAAAATAATGTCTGCCAAAATTATCAAACCATGACTAAAATCTATCAGCCACCCTCTTGAAAAGATGTTTCCTGATACAATAATCTCTGTGTCTCTCAGCAGATAAAGCTGTAAAGTGAGCATCTGCATGATTGTTGTTTTGATTGGCATTGTCCTATTCTTCTTGCAGGGTCTTCTTGTTATATTTTATTCTCTTTTTGCTGAGAAATTTTTTTTTAAAATTAATTAATTATTTTTCATTCCATCTGTCTAACTAGACAATTAATAGCTAGGTCCTTGGCAGCACTGGCAGCAGTTGTGGTTGAATGCTTAAATGCAGACCAAGCTTATCTTAAGCATATATACAAGCTGTTGATTTGAGTTTGAAATTCTAAAAAAATAATTATTTTATATAATTGGCTGTAGGAAAAAGAGGTAAAAATATTGAAGGTAGTTTTGACCAACCTTTTTATATTTATAAATATATTCACCAGCTTACCAGACAAGGCCACGTGTGTAGGACCTCCCCTAGCCTCAACTTCCCTTACATTTCCTTCTTTCTTATTTTAAAGATGTTTGAATATACACCATTTCCCAAAATCCCCTCCAGAATCTGTTATTTAATCATTTCCCTCCACCCCCTCTTATCAGCTGCTGCACAGAAACACATTCAGACAGAAGCCTTGTATTATAAGACAATGGCTCATACAAATATGTAGCACTTTCTCTTCCTTTGTTGTTCAAGTATTTTCACTCTTCTTCTTCCCTTTTCCCCTTCTGCAAGGCAACTTTACAAATTATAAAATTCAGTTCAAAAGGAAGAGAGAGTCTGCCTTTCTAAAAGTTTCAAGGTCTTTTCTGATCAATCAGCCTGCAATTTCATTTAATTTTTTTTCCATTCTTTGCATGTGTGCCAAACAGCTCTCAGTAAATAACATGTCCCAGAGCCACCTCTGAACCAAAGGTTGCATATTAATTCTCCTTCCTAATGTTGCCAAGGATGATTCCCAGCTATAATCCAAATGACAATGAATATGGTTTGAAGCTTTTGGAGGACCTGACAACAAATGCATATGAAGTACAGCAACAGGTGTTAGAAGAGATACTTACAAAAAATGCACAGACAGAATATCTCAGTGCCTTTCTCAATGGCCACTATGACAGGAAAGATTTCAAGAAGAAAGTTCCTGTTGTGAATTATGAAGATGTCAAGCCTTACATCGAGCGAATTGCGAATGGAGAGCCATCAGATATCATCTCAGCTCAAAAAATCACTGAGCTCCTCACAAGGTATGGAAAATATTGTTCACAGCTCATTTTCTATATAGTAAAAAATACAATTTCTTTTTCATGAATTTTGTTGTAATTAGTTATCTCCCTTGCAGCTCTGGAACTTCAGGAGGGCAGCCTAAGATGATGCCTTCAACTGTTGAAGACTTGGACAGAAAGACATTCTTTTATAATCTCCTTGTGCCTGTGATGAACAAGTGAGAAGCTTAGTTTTTTTCTCCTTTTGGTGTGTCATATTAAATTTCATTGATGGTTCTATTTTAATGTAACAGTGAAAACAAGGAAACTGAGCAATTCTGTTATTCTGAATTTCAGGTATGTGGATGGCTTGGACCAGGGAAAAGGAATGTACCTCTTGTTTATCAAACCAGAAATTAGTACTCCTTCTGGGTTGGTGGCAAGGCCTGTCCTAACCAGCTACTACAAGAGCAGTAACTTCCGAAACCGTCCTTTCAACCGGTACAACATCTACACAAGCCCAGATGAGATCATCTTGTGCTCAGACAGCAAGCAGAGCATGTACTGCCAGTTACTTTGTGGTTTAGTTCAGAGGGATAAAGTCATGAGGGTTGGTGCGGTTTTTGCTTCCGCTTTCCTAAGGGCTATCAAATTCTTAGAGGACCACTGGAAAGAGTTGTGCTCTAACATAGGATCAGGTCATGTCAGTGATTGGATCACTGACCTCAGTTGCAGAAATGCTGTGTCCTTAGTTCTTAGCAAACCAAATCCAGATTTGGCCAATTTGATTGAGCATGAGTTTAATAACAAGTCATGGGAAGGTATAGTCAAGAGGCTTTGGCCTAGAACAAAGTACATTGAGGTTATAGTCACAGGGTCCATGGCTCAATATATCCCAACTCTTGAATTCTATTCTGGTGGACTGCCTTTGATTTCAACAATGTATGCTTCCTCTGAATGCTATTTTGGGATCAATTTCAACCCATTAAGCAAGCCACATGATGTTGCTTACACCCTCCTTCCTAACATGGCCTACTTTGAGTTCCTACCAGTGGAGAAACACCATGAAGAGGTGGCCCTTTGCAATGGTGTTTCTGATCAAAGTTGCATAAAGGAGGAGGAAAAGGAAAATCTAGAAACAGTTGATCTAGTGGATGTGAAGCTTGGTCACTATTACGAACTTGTCGTCACAACTTTTACAGGTATTTTACTTCCTATCTTTAGATCTGACCCACATGCTTCATGTATTTTATGTTTTATTTCTTAAGCAAAGAAAACCAACCTATCTCAAAGACTCAAACATCCAAAGAATTTTTTTACCTTTGTAACTACATTACCCAACTGTGAATTTACCATCCAACTCACCTCATCATAGTTGATTAAACACATTATTCTCTGAAACACCAGACTAATTTGTCAGACTGTTTTGTTTATTCGTTTATTTGTTTTTCCTTGTATGCAGGCCTATACAGGTACAGAGTTGGTGACATTCTAATGGTGACTGGTTTCCACAACAAAGCTCCTCAGTTCAGATTTATGCACAGGAGAAATGTGGTTTTAAGCATTGACACTGACAAAACCAATGAAGAAGACCTTTTAAATGCAGTGACACAAGCAAAGCTCCTCCTGGATCCCCTTGGCTTCCTCCTGATCGAATACACAAGCTACGCAGACACTTCCTCAATCCCGGGCCATTATGTACTGTTTTGGGAGCTTAAAACCAAAGAAAAAAATGACCTCATAGAGCTTGACACTAATATAATGGAGCAATGCTGCTCCACAGTGGAAGAATCACTGGACTCTGTGTATAGGAGGTGCAGGAGAAAGGACAATTCAATTGGGCCACTAGAGATAAGAATTGTGAAGCATGGAGCTTTTGATGCACTCATGGATTTTTCTGTGTCTCAGGGCTCTTCTGTTAACCAATACAAGACACCCAGGTGCATTAAATCTGAGGAAGCCATTAAGATTTTGGATTCAAGGGTGGTGGGAAGATTTTTCAGTAAATCAACTCCTCTCTGGGAGCCATTTAGAATGGAGACTAAATAAATGACAAGAAAAAAAAACATGGTGAAATTTACTTTGGTCTTCTTTTAGACTCTGGCATGGGCATTATGTGGGCCATCCAGGATTAATTTCCCTAGCATTGTACTAAGAACCATTTATGATTTGATCTGTAGAAGTTCTAATATCATTCTGCGTTTTCCCTCTCATTGTGTATGTTGGATTTGGATTAAAATTAGAGTACTTTTAGACACTTCTGTCTCTGATTGTAAAACCACAAATCTGTCCCTTGTGTACTAAAGTCTGGTTCATAATTCATATGAAGCTTGCATGGCAGTGAAATTAGTACAGTTTCAGGCATAACAGGTACTTCCATTGCTGTAGGGGACTGGTACAAACACATGAGGAAAGTGATATATAAACATGCTAATTAAGTAGTCCAGGGAAACATTTAATGATTCACATGAAGAAAAGGGGATCAGACAACGGAGTTCAATTATCGTTTTCGAATGCCATCGTTTTCCAGTAAATCAGGTGGATAAATATTCATCAAGAAAATTAAAAATAACATGAAACAGAACATTTAGAGGATCAAACTGATATGCCCAATTTTTTCTTTATAAGAAAAAAGAAAGAAAAAAAAAACCAGTTAAGTTAGCACCAGATGTGTTCTGTCATCTAATATTCTTACGAATATCTGATATGGACATAAATTTGGCAGCTTGGCAGATTCAATCAGTGCTCTGCTCATTCAAGAATCAAGACATCATCTAATTTCCTTGCAGTAGAATCACTTCACACACTAATATACTAACTTCCTATTTTTTCTTAATGGGAAAACTAATTTATATGTACTAATTTCTTCAGTTAAAAAACATGGACATAAATGGAAAGGGAAAACAACAGACATGGGCTTAGCCAAGTTGGCTAGAGCGGACGTACTCTCCATTATGCACACGAGTTCGAATCCCCCTCCCATAGTTCAGTAAAATATTGTTTGTGTGAAAAAAAAAATGGAAAGGGAAAGCAGTTGAGAATTCTTTTTACAGAACTCAATTATCATGGCGTTTCCAGGCTGTTCCTCTCATGCTAAAAGACAAGTAAATCGACATCCATATTCCATTGAATAAAACACTTAATTCAATATAGCTAGCCTACTCTTGAAAAGGGTATGCATATTACATATACTACCAGAAGCAGAGGCACCAATACGAGTATGACCAATCGAATTGACGTCCACGTCCTCTTATAAGATATCTTAAATCACAAAATAGGAGCCCCCTTCTCTTTTTTCTCCTTTTTTTAAAATAAAAAATAAAAAAATGTATTAAATAGTGGTGAAGGCAAAATAAGGCTAAAATGCAGCCACGCCTGTGGGAAATTAGGCAGAGATTAGAAAAACGACCATGGAGATAGCCAAGGGGACAATGAGAGCAACCCAAGGAGACATAAGAAACTGTACAAGCAATGGGGGCATATAAGTCTGTATAAGCCAAGGCCTTTGGATCTTTCTCTTACATTTAATGGGGAACATGTGGTCTTAACCACCACCAGCTCTACCCCATTTTGCAGCAGAGGAGGGAAGGGCCTGGACACTCATCTCACTCTCCTCTTCGCTTTGGTTATAAAGTTCTGTTCTTTCTTTTTCATTTCAAAGTTTCTGCTAGCTAAAACTATCAATTATTAATTTATTAGTTGACGGGGTCTAATATAGTGGAAAAGGTAATTTGCATATTAGTGGTCTCAAGTTCAAATCTTCATGGCACCTTGGTAGTGTATGTATGAAAAATTTCATCCCCTTGTAGTTTAGACTATCGCTTGTATTTATTAAAAAAAAAAATTTATTGAATTAAATGTGCGGTGTTTTCTGTTTTGTTTTTTCTATTATTTATGAGGACAGTGTGGAGAAACATTAATGAAATATGATGCAATCAATCTGTATGTACTATTTGTTTAGGCACAAATGGAAATTTTAATTTACTTGAACTGTATTTTCTAACCTGGCATTTTATAGTCTTAGTCTTTCATGCATGCATTTGCGCATGGACAAGAGCAAGCTGACATGACATGACAACCTTTGTTTTGTGTAACCCAATCCTGCCTGTCCTAAATACGTATCAAGTTAGGCATAAGGCGGCTGATATGGCAAATGTGGTGAATGGACATCTCTAACATTGTTCTTGGGAAGTTTTGAAAGAAATTGAACTAATAGAAAGAAAAGCAAGCAATAATGAAGAAAGAATATTGATATTTGTAATGGAAGGAAGAATACAACAGTGATTGGATGTTTAAAATGGAAAGGAATGGAAGGAGACATTTTAGTCGACCGCCATGACTTAACGTACAACAATTATCGATTGATTGACGATATGAGTTTCAACATGAATCACACGTCAACTACCAACTCATAATCATGACAACTTAACGTGCAACAATCATCGATTGATTGACGATATGAATTTCAACATAAATTACACGTCAACTAAAGGCTTGCAATCATAATGACTTAACGTGCAATAATCAACGATTGATTGACGATACGGGTTTCAATATGAATCACACATCAATTAACGGCTCACAATCACTTACACAGGCAAAGTAATCGTATTTTGTTAAAAATGGGGTAGTAAGATGCATTAATGAATGTCTAAGGCAGAATGAGATGGATGTCACTCCCCCCCCACATATTGTGAATGAATGTGGTTGGCGTTTGGCAGCTAGTAAAGAGAGAGGTCCATGAAGAAAGATCACACCAGCCAGACACACGTGTGGTGGAGTGACGTTCGGATCCATTTTGGGAGAGAAGAGGACAAGGCTCTGTAGCTGTCTTTGACTCAAACCCAGAAGGTTGTGCGTCCTTTCTATAGCCTTGCAACCCCACCCCCCCTTCCCCCTTTGCCTTCATGGCAGAGCATGCAAATAGAATTGAGATTGGGACTTTTCCTGGCTGCGCTCTCTTTGGGGATAAGGTCATGTCATTTTGCCATGTTGAGAAAATGAAAGGACTATGAGCATGGGTCCTTGATGGTTCCACATATCATCTCACTTGTATAATTTGGTTGATAGTAAAGTATGTGATAAATAGGGATGGGGTTATGTCACTTCGATATAGGATTGAATTGGATCAACCAGGTTCAATCATAAAATTTACAATCACACAAAAAAATACTAGTGTTTATAAGTTCACTCAACTCAATTTGAGTTTCAAATTACGTCCATTAGTATGTAATATGTATTTCACTAGAGCGGGAGTGTTACATCAGTAAGAGGATTGAGAGCCTAAAGAATTGAAAGAGTGAAGTGAATGCAGAGAGATTACCATGAGGGGTGAGGTTATAATGCGGAAAGAAGGTCTCACGTTGGGCTTGAATTTGGACTTGAACTTCCATATTGGGCTCAGACTTGGCCTCTGCCAATCATTGAGCCAAGTCGAATAACAACACAAACTCATAGAAAAAGACTAGGGAGTGCAATGCATCAAAGAGACTGTAATAATAGGTTATAATGAGGGGTACTTAATAACCATATGATTAATTACGTAGTTATTATTGAACATCATGACTAAATATCATTTTGGGTATAGGGTATATAATAGGGTATATGTAATAGGGTATATAATAGGGTACTCTGTATACTATTATCCCTTTTTTTTTTTTTTTTTTTTTTTTTTTTTTTTTTTTTTTCCTGGAGGAAAAGCAGGAAAAACATAATTATTATTTTTTTAAGGTCAACATAGCCCAAATCATTTGGGTAGAGTAGAAATATCATTTTGTACGGTGGACTACAATTTGGCGGGTTATTCTAGTCAAACAAAATGGTGGGTTATTGGGTCCAAAGTATGATTGGCCCAAAACAACAAAGTCAAACCCGTGGAGAAAAGTCCTACCTAACCAGCGCCCGTATTGGCGCGCTCCAAAAGCCCATTTAACACCCACTGGCACTAGAGCAGCTGGCACACGCCGCACAGTCACAGAGACTCACCCTCACCATTTGTAGCCTGCACTTGCAGCCACAGCCTCCGGTGGATCTGATCCAACGGTCAGAAATCGCCCAATACACGTCACGACCTCCATTTCCAAAACCTCCCCAAACCTAACACAAGAAATGAAGTGAAGATCAGTGACTCGGAAGCCGGAATTGTCTCTCACACAAAAACGCACACTCTCTCAGAGGAAGATCAGACAACAACAGTCCTCAGAGGGACAAACAATAGATAAATAAATTTAGAGAGAGAGAGAGAGAGAGGCTGAAGCTGAAGCAAGCCACGGGCGAGCGAAAATGATGCCGCCGGAGCTGCAACCGCGGTTCTTCCGTCCGTACATCACCACTTCGGCGAGCACTTCCTCCTTGAGCAATGGCTCCCCAAACCCTAGCCTTAGCCACAGCCCCAGCGACTCAGTCTTCAACAATGGCGGAGGCGGTCCTTCTAGATCTCTCAAGAACTCTCGGTTCTCGCCCTCCACATTCGCCCACAACGCCCGAATCGCCGTCGCCCTCGTCCCCTGCGCCGCCTTCCTAATCGACCTCGGCGGCACGCCGGTGATCGCAACCCTAACCCTAGGCCTCATGGTCTCCTACATCGTCGACGCCCTCAACTTCAAGTCCGGTGCCTTCTTCGGCGTCTGGCTCTCCCTCGTATTCTCCCAGATCGCCTTCTTCTTCAGCTCCTCCCTCCGCGCCACCTTCTCCTCTTTCCCCCTCGCCGCCCTCGCCGCCTTCCTCTGCGCCGAGACCAATTTCCTCATCGGCGTCTGGGTCTCGCTCCAGTTCAAGTGGATTCAAATCGAGAACCCTTCGATCGTTCTCGCGCTCGAACGCCTCCTCTTCGCCTGCCTCCCCTTCGCCGCCTCATCCCTGTTCACCTGGGCCACCATCTCCGCCGTCGGTATGGCCAACGCTTCGTACTACCTCATGTCCTTCTCTTGCCTCTTCTATTACCTCTACTCAATTCCTCGCATCTCTTCTTTCAAAACCAAGCAAGACCTCAAGTACCATGGCGGTGAGGTCCCTGATGAAAATCTCATCCTCACCCCACTGGAGAGCTGCATCCACACTCTTTTTGTCCTCTTCTTCCCCCTCCTCTTCCACATCGCCTCTCACTACTCCATTGTATTCTCATCCGCGGCAGCAGTCTCTGATCTATTTCTCCTCTTCTTCATTCCTTTCCTTTTCCAGCTCTACGCCTCGACCCGGGGCGCGCTCTGGTGGGTCACTAAGAATCCGAACCAGCTGCGCGGCATTCAGGTGATGAACGGTGCCGTTGCTTTGGTTGTTGTGGTGATATGTTTGGAGATTAGAGTTGTTTTCCATTCGTTTGGGCGGTACATTCAGGTGCCTCCGCCGTTAAATTACCTTTTGGTGACAACTACGATGCTCGGAGGTGCAGCTGGAGCTGGTGCTTATGCGTTGGGTATGATATCTGATGCTTTCAGCTCCATGGCTTTCACTGCTTTGGCTGTTGTAGTTAGTGTTGCAGGAGCTATCGTTGTTGGGTTTCCTGTTTTGGTATGCATTTCCACTCCTTAGCTTCTCTATTTTACATGTCTATAAACATACATGCATTTTTAGCTATGTAGCCTAAAATGATAGCTACCGTTGTGAGAAAGGGTTTGCAGAATACATGGTTAGACTAGACAATAAAACATTGCAAGCGACTAAGTCTGTCATTGGGACTTTCACTGCGCTGTCAAATTTGTCGGCATAGTTCAGAACAAGCAAAACGCCATTTTGATGTTTCTTTGTGCAATTGTAATGTATGAGCTTGCGTTCTGTTTGTACTTGGTTAGAAAGAATCACAATTGGTGTATCAATATTTAATCTTTGAACATCACTCTAAATGAAGTGTTGGCATGAGTGATACTGTGTTTCATTAGTATGTGAAAACTCCAGTTACCTGTGTGGTGGTGCAGTCTTACAAACTTGATGATAGTAATGTATTTAGGCAAAATTCACCAAACCGGGAATGTTGTATTATTGTGTGTAATATGCTTGTTATTGGAAAGGGGACTTTATGAGTTTAATGCATTATTATGTGCCTCCGAACTCTAATTTAAACGTTGAACAAGTAATAATTGTTGGTCATCCGTTGTCTTGCAGTTCCTTCCGCTGCCTTCGATTGCCGGCTTCTATTTGGCTCGGTTTTTCACAAAGAAGAGTGTTTCATCATATTTTGCTTTTGTTGTGCTTGGGAGCTTGGTGGTCACATGGTTTGTAGTTCATAATTTCTGGGATCTAAATATTTGGATGGCAGGCATGTCCCTGAAATCCTTCTGCAAACTTGTAATTGTGAATGTTGTCTTGGCCATGTCTATTCCTGGTCTAGCGCTACTTCCTTCAAAACTTCACTTTTTGATAGAGATTGGGTTGATCGGCCATGCATTGCTTGTTATGCACATTGAGAATCGGTTTTTCAATTACTCTGGCATATACTATTATGGGTTTGAGGATGATGTAATGTACCCAAGCTACATGGTTATAGTGACAACATTTGTGGGTTTAGCTTTGGTGAAAAGACTATCTGTGGATCGTCGAATTGGTGCAAAGGCAGTATGGATTCTGACGTGTTTGTATTCAGCTAAGCTGGCTATGCTTCTTATTTCATCAAAGTCTGTCGTTTGGGTGTCAGCTGTTCTATTATTGGCTGTAACGCCACCGTTGCTTCTTTACAAGTACTTATTCTGTTTTCACTTGATTTTTAGTGTTTCATAGGTCCTTAATCTGTAAAGCATCTACGTTATTAATTCTTTGGTTGTTACGGTTTTCAGGGATAAGTCAAGAACAGCCTCAAAGATGAAACCTTGGCAAGGTTATGCACATGCAGGTGTGGTTACCTTATCAGTCTGGTTTTGCCGTGAAACAATCTTTGAAGCCCTCCAGTGGTGGAATGGAAGACCCCCATCTGATGGCTTACTCCTGGGTTTCTGTATTGTTTTGACGGGCTTGGCTTGTGTACCCATTGTGGCTCTCCACTTCTCTCATGTCTTGGTAACATGTTTTATTTCTTTACTTTTCTTTCATTGTCTTTAAATATAATCTACTGTGTAGGTATGGAAAGAAAATAAAAGTATTTACATCTGATATCCCACCTAAAGTTTTGGGCAGCTATGTATTTTCTCTCCCCATTCAGAGTTTATATATGGCTATAATGTGTGATTCATTACATTTTTTATTCACATTGATAGTGCATATCTTCTTATAGTACTACTGTTGTATCAAATTAGTTATTGATATTGCGTATCTTCAGATTTCTATAATGTGTGGTCAGATTCTTTCTTGATCTGTGAAGTTTTTTTTGGGTCTAAATAATCAAGTAAGTTCTATCCGTGTAAACTGATCATTTTCTACTTTCTCTGTGCAGTCTGCCAAGAGATGCCTAGTGCTGGTGGTGGCAACTGGGTTGCTGTTTATCCTTATGCAACCACCGATCCCAGTATCATGGACATACCGGTCTGACCTAATTAAAGCTGCTCGGCAGACTGCTGATGACATCTCCATATATGGCTTTGTGGCACAAAAGCCTATGTGGCCATCATGGCTTCTTATTGTGGCAATCCTGCTTACTCTGGCAGCTGTTACATCTGTCATACCCATTAAATACATGGTTGAGTTGAGAGTGTTTTATTCTATAGCTATGGGTATTGCTCTAGGTATCTACATATCTTCTGAGTACTTCCTTCAGACAGCTTTCCTACATGTTCTCATTGTTGTCACCATGATCTGTGCTTCTGTGTTTGTGGTTTTCACCCATTTTCCATCTGCCTCAAGTACAAAGCTGCTTCCTTGGGTGTTTGCTTTACTGGTAGCTCTCTTCCCTGTGACATATCTTTTGGAGGGCCAAGTGAGAATTAAAATGATCCTCGGAGATAATGGATTTGGAGATATGGGAGAAGAAGAGAAGAAGCTCACAACTCTATTTGCTGTTGAGGGGGCAAGGACATCTCTTCTCGGTCTTTATGCTGCAATTTTTATGCTGATAGCTCTGGAGATAAAGTTTGAACTTGCCTCATTAATGAGGGAAAAGGCTACTGAAAGGACTGGAATCAGGCATAGTCAATCTGGTCAAAGCACCTCTACTAGCTTTGCTTCAAGAATGAGATTTATGCAACAGCGTAGGGCTTCTACTGTCGCATCCTTCACAATCAAGAGAATGTCTGCTGAGGGAGCCTGGATGCCAGCAGTTGGTAATGTTGCTACTGTGATGTGCTTTGCAATATGCCTCATCTTGAATGTCAATCTCACAGGTGGCTCAAATCGTGCAATATTCTTCCTGGCACCAATTTTGCTGCTTCTCAACCAGGACGCTGATTTTGTTGCTGGATTTGGGGACAAGCAAAGGTATTTCCCTGTTGCAATAGTGATAACGGGCTACCTAGTCCTGACCGCCCTCTATGGCATATGGGAAGACATCTGGCATGGCAATGCGGGTTGGGGCTTGGAAATTGGTGGTCCGGATTGGTTCTTTGCTGTCAAGAATTTGGCCCTCCTCGTTCTTACATTCCCCAGCCATATCCTTTTCAACAAGTTTGTGTGGACTTGCACAAAGCAGACGGACTCAATGCCATTGATAACCATGCCCCTTAATCTGCCATCTATCATAATAACAGACATGCTGAAGATTAGGATATTAGGGCTCTTAGGAATTATTTATTCCCTGGCCCAGTATCTAATATCTAGACAGCAGTACATCTCAGGATTAAAGTATATTTAGACAAACACACACTCTGTACAATATGTTTTAGCAATTTTCAGATCAGGAGTGAAAGTTCAGGTTTGTTTCTCACTTCTTTTCACCTGTTCTTACCTTTCTTTGGGATTTTGCGTTCGCCGATTTGCCTGAACTGTCATCTGCCTTTTGAGTCATCACAACCAGTAAATTCCCAATTTGGCCATGCAGCAAGAAGGTGCTAATTATTTGATCACCTCATATGACCCACATTGAATGCCCTTGCATCTGGCCAGACTGTAACATGCATTTAGACATATAAAATGACACGGGATATTTGCTCCGAATTACCAGCTTCAGCAAAGTCTGATGCTGTGCACTGCGACCCTATGTGTAGAAACTTGTTATGATATTTGCCTTTGAGTAGTGCAGGTATGGATTGTTGAGCCCTTACCAGGGAAATTATTATTCCTGCTGCAGAAATAGTTTGACATTGTTGTAGACTATTGTTGTTAAGTTCTAAACTCACATAAGTTGAACCGTGCTTGTTGGAGATAATGGGATGCATATTGCGTTTTGCTAATACATGGAACGGGTAAAGAAACAGCAGGTACCCATAAATTCCCAAAATGACTGAATGATTTTACTTACCCACCAAAAGTAGCCAGTCTAGCATGAACACTCTTTCGCAACGGCATCGACTTTCATTTCTTGCCTTAGCATCACCTGACTGTAGATTATTGTATGACCATGAACTTCAATGCAAAAATTGTTTCTTTCACCATATGAATCTGAAGTAGCTTAATAGAATTTTCTAAATTTGATGAGAAGTGCTAAAACAATAATTTTCAGAGGCACCAACCTTTTTTGAACATATAAATCTGAAGTAGCTTAATAGAATTTGCTACACCCGGTGCCAGTGGCAACTGTGGTTAATCATTCACTGGAGGTTGCGATGAAAAGAAACAGGAAAAAAAGGATTCTCAGAGGAACATTTTGATTGTTTTACAGAAACTTTGTAGTGTGCAAATTTTTTTGGGTCAAACTTGCTCAAACTCTCTATTGCTCAGCTTTACTGTGTTTTGGGTCAAATTTTTTTACTAACCAAACCCCCAAAAAATCAAAAAAAGAAAGGACACACACATGGGCCCAATGGGCTTTACTATGCACACCCAAACTAGAGCCACGTCACCTCATTTTACTTACACTTGGATATTGGATGATACAAATGAAATCAAGAAGAAAACCGTCACCTACCACACGCGTCCTTCTCTTCTTTAAACAGCAATGGCTTCTCCAGTGGCCAAAGCCATCACCACCTCCTCCTCCGTCGCAATCCTCCTCATCATCCTCCTTAATGCCTCTCTCTGCAACTCATCGATTTCAGACGAAGACCCATCGCCAACCCCATGGCCCCACCAATTCCACTCCATTTTGGTGATGAACTACACCGGAACCCTCCAGCTGATCGACCTCTGGTACGACTGGCCCAACGGTCGAAACTTCAACATCATCCAGCACCAGCTGGGTTCGGTCCTCTACGACCTCGAGTGGAACAATGGAACCTCCTTCTTCTACACATTGGACTCCGCCAGAGAGTGCAGAACCGCCCAGATAGAAGTGGGTATTCTCCGACCCGACTGGCTCGACGGAGCCAAGTATCTGGGTCGCCGACAGGTGGATGGGTTCCTTTGCGATGTTTGGGAGAAGGCCGACTTCATTTCGTATTATGAGGATGTTGCTACCAAGAGGCCTGTCCATTGGGTCTTTTACACAGGTGTGACACACACTAATAAACTAATACTTTCTCTTTGCAATTTCTAACTTGTTTCATTTTGTTTTAATAATTAATTAGTTCATATGCCACTTCTGCAATTATATCATATATAAGTGTTTTTGACTGAAATGGTTCCCAATTCAACTGTTGTTATTGCTCGAGTATCATTTTGGTCCATGAACTAACTTTTTCATTTTGGATCAAAAAGCACCTCATGGAAGCTGCAAACAGGATATCTCTTTGACTTTGCTGTGAAGGGATGGACACAATTGGAGGACTATTGAAATGAAAAATTTAGTTCACGGATCAAAATGATACTCGAGTAACAGATGGGGATCATTTTCGGTCAAAAACCCTATATATAAGAACATGTTTGCAAATTGAAATTTTCTTGTTCCTCTATCATAATGTGAAATCAATATTGTGCAGGGAGGGAGGCGCATGTGATGACATTTGAGGTTGGGGCAGTGCTTGAGGATGCCAAATGGCAAGCCCCCTTATACTGCTTTGATAAGAAAACTGAAACTCACCCACAACCAGAACCAGAAGCAGAGTTTTCCATCACTGGTGGTGGTGCTTCTTCAATGGTTGGATTTCTCAGAGGTTCAAATCAATTGGGATTCAATATGTAATGCTGTTTGTTCTGTAATTTTTGTTCCCCTGTGATCCGATGGTACTCCGTACCTGTATAGATAAAAATAAATTATCTTATAGTTAATTAAGTTAAGCAGCATTGAATCGATTTCGACTTCAGTTTTTAAGGGGTACTGAGTCACCCTCATCTTATTATTTGGCCAAGTGTAATCTGGACATCAAGCCTTTGAAATCAGTATTCTTTTGTCGTGGTTTTGTACCTAATCCGTTCAATGAATGTTAGTTTATCATATCTAGCTACCTAAACAAAACAACTCATTCCAATCCATCTTTCTATTCAATGTTTTATATTATGTAGCATTGACGATTTTTGTTTCTTTCAATCTTTTTTTACTTAACCGAGAAACGAACCGGTTATTGGTCTTGTAGTATTTCTCTTTTCAATTTTCAAGTGTCAATCCCTAGTTTTTTGTTGCATTACGAGTCACGACAACATCTTTTTGCCTTATTTTCTTAAATGTTATGTGTGTTAATAAATTTTTATCACAAGGCTGGTCCCCTAGTGAGTTAATAATATGCGGCGTTTAAAATCAAATGTAAGATTTGCAAATTTCACACTTACATACGTATTTTCACGTGTAATATACATTTTGTGTGTGCTTATTTTTCAACAATACACATATTATTTGTATTTTTTGAAAATTACAAATAAAAATTATTAAAGTATTTGCGTATCGTATTTTTTATATAAAAAAACATATCAAAATGTATGTATTTTATGACGCATTATTCCAGATCCGTATTTTACTAATTATGGCTGGTCCCTATACATTTCACCCATGAGTCATGATGACTGAAAAGGATCCGGATCCTCTGCTTTGATTTTCTCTGCCATGATCTGCTTTACTTTTGATCTCTATACGCCACCTCATTAAAATTTAATCTAACGGATTTAAAAGTTAACACATCATCCTAAAACAAAAACTCAATTTACTCCTAATTAAAAAAGAATAAAAAAAAACCCTAACACCCAACTAACGGGATGTTTAACGTCCAAAACTCTTTTTTTTTCTTCTTCTTCTTCTTCGTGTTCTGTCGTCCTCTCTCTTTTTCTCCTTCTTGCTTCAGTTTTGTCATCTTCTCCTTCTTGCTTCAGGTTTTGTCCTCTTCTCCTTCTTGCTTCAGGTTCTGTCCTTTTCTCTTTATTTAAGTTCATATTCATCTTACCTTAAATGTTGAATGTCAATCACAGCTCCAAATACAGCTATTACCCTCGCATCAACCCCAGAAGAGAACTAGGCGGTCAACCCTCGAAAGGAGGAAGAAAGGCTATGAACTTGATGATATCTTTTTTATAAGTCATGGTAAGTTTTTTTATTTATTAAAATCAATTTTCATAACTACCTTATACAGGCTATGAACTTGATGATCGATAAGCCACATACAGCTTCAAATGTTGATCAAACTGGAGATGGCATCTGGAATCAGGGGTATATTATGCATTCAGTAATACCTTTATTATGAAATTTTATTTGTATAATACTAACTAGTTTTTTCTTTGTTTTTTTATACAGGTCAATATATCAATAGGAATGCTTGCCAAAGATACACAACTGTTCTTTCTTTTATTATTGATGTGTAAATTTATGTTTGTCATGTATTTGATGGGAAGATTATAAACCTTTTGTCTTTTTAATGGAGATTATAAATATTTCTTCGATTCTATTTCCTACATCCATTCTTTTGTTTTCTCTTTAGCACTCTAGTTAGCTAGATGATGGCATGATGGTTTATGCAAGGAGAGAAAAATAGGAGAAAATGGCAGAAAGAGATAAAGAAAAGAACAGAACAGAAGTGAAAAAGAAAAAAAAAAAAAAAAAAAAAAAAACAATAAGGAAAACGGAAAAAAAAAGAAAAAAAAAGAGAAGCTGGACGTTAACTACTGTTAGTTAGGGTTAGGGATTTTTTTTATTCTTTTTTAATTAAGAGTAAATTGAGTTTTTGTTTTAAGATGATGTGTCAACTTTTAAATTCGTTAGATTAAATTTTAATGAGGTAGCGTATAAAGAACAAAAGTAAAGCAAATTATGGCAGAGAAAATCAGAGTAGAAGATCCGGATCCGACTGAAAATCCATAGAATCGCTGTGTGTATATGGTAGAAATACTAAAGAGCAGAGTAAAGAAGCTTCTCAATTTCATCATAAATAATCTATTCCGCTGTTTGAGGCTTTAAGCCTACCACTCTATAATGTTCCCAAAACCAGAAAACCATTTGCGTGGACTCTCAAGTCTCCGTCTTCCCTCCCTACCTTACCTTCTTCTGATCAGACGATCTTCATCGCTCGCAATCTAATCGCTTATCCACAGCACAACACAAGGTACTCTGCAGCTCTGAATTTTTAACCTTTACTTGCTTTCCCAATTGAAAACCCTAGAAATTTCTGGGTTTCTACTGCAGTTCTTGAAATTTTCTGTGCAAGGTTCAGTAATGTAAATGAATAATCAATTGTTCGGCTAAAACCATGTCTGGATCATCGTAAGTGTCAAAGATTGATGCTTTTCTTTTATATTGTGTAATGTATACGCATGGGTGCATTTGGGAGTCTCTGAATTGGGGGCTTCTCCGCTTGAAGGCTACTTAAGTGGGTATTTATTATTGTTCCCACACCATCAACAGATTGATGGTGTGGGAAGAGAAAAGCATGGATTTTGTCTTCTTCCCTGTGCTGTATTTATCTTATTTTTTTGGCATCACTCAGTATTTTGCTGACATTTGAAAAGATTGAACTCCAGGAACTCATATACATTGGAGGAGCCGCCTTGGTGATGAAAGTATAGTATTTGTCTTTGCAATTCGTTTCGTGGACCCTTTGGTATTTATTGGAAAAGCATAGAGATGGGTGCTCTTTGCTGCTGTCCTTGTAGTGAGGACTTTGAAGAATATGCTCTTCCAAGCAATTCAGTATATAGGCATTGCACATGCCTAAGATACTTCTTCCATCAGTTATTCAGTGGGTATAGTGCACCGTTTCAAAGGCTTGATGGACGGCCACCTTCATCACCTCTCCCAGGAGCTACTTTGGTATCATCCGGAGTAGGCACAACACTCCCGAATAATTCCTTGAATGATACTCAGCTCTCAGTGTCCAGGCCATCACCCTTTGATGCTGATCAAAGATACTCGCGTTTGCAGCGTGATGGATTAGTCTCTAGGCGTGATAAGTCAATGACTCATTTGCAAGAAGATGCGCAACAACTGAGAAGAGGCAGTTCTGGCACAGAGTCCCTGGGTTTTGGGAAGAAATGGAATGGAGATGATAATGAAGAAGATTGTAAGTTTGGCCAATCTGAGACCTCAGAAAAGGCTTTGGCAACAAAACTGGCATATGGACTAACTTTCGTGCAACCCTCATCTGAAGATGAAGATGTTTGCCCTACATGCCTGGATGGTAATCTAAATATGCAAATGTCATAGGATAGCTAATAACCAGTGGGCATTGCTAGTATATGGTTTAAGTTATAATTGTGAAGTCGTAATATATGTTGGTGCTGCAAAATATAAAGATACTTGCTTGATTGGTTCTTTCCTATATTGATAATAGTTAATTTATTTCCTTGCAGAATACACTACAGAAAATCCTAAAATCACAACAAGATGTTCTCACCATTTTCACCTTGGCTGTATTTATGAATGGTTGGAAAGAAGCGAGAGCTGTCCAATTTGTGGCAAGGTAAGCCAGACTGTGAAATGTAGTATAGATCAATTATATCTCTTATGAACTGTGCGCCCATGGCATTTTGCACGGTTGTTTTGCAGCAGTTCTTACATTATCTAAATTAAGAGTAGACTTCCTGAGTAATTCATACTTTGACTGTTCATTTCTGGATTGTCAGGAAATGGAATTCTGTGAAAGCCCTTAACTTTTCTCTCTGATTTCAAAGCAATAGAGCAAATATATATGGAGCGGCTATGAGTTTCTGTAAATAAAAGTTGTCATGTTTATAAAGGGTTGCATAGAGGGAAGCAATTGTTCATTTTGTGTCACTAGTTTGTAATACTTGTGGTGTTTCTCCATGCTTCATGGTTGGTTATCTTACTTGTTGTATAGAACCTCCACAGATCTGTGTGGAACCTTATTAAGTGATTGTAACATAATTGGTATGAAAACATCTGAAGGGCTCACGCCATCCATTTCTTTCTTGCTTGTACTGCTTGTGATGGAAAGTTCTCAAGCCTTCACCAATTAATAAATCTTTCTACCATGGAAAAGCAATCAAGGCAATTTCTGTATTGCCTGCAGTTCTTATGATTTGACATGAAAAAAAAAAGGTGCAAGAGTTATTTCACCTTTTATTTTCCCACAGCGGTTTGTCTCAGATCAGTTCTGTTGATTTTGATAGTATCATTGACATTGCAAGCTAAGTTTGTGATCCTTTGGGTGTATTTATCTTTTTGGTCTGCACAAGCTCCAAGTATGGCATTTGAGCACAAACATAACATATGGTTACAAATAGATTGTTTAGCTGATCAAAGTTTTAGGTACCAGTGGCCCAGCCAATTTAATGATACTTTCCCATAATCAAGTAGCTGTCCTATAAATCTTGTAGACAATGTTAGGTTTCTTGTTTCTTTTTTCTTTTTCTTTATAATGCACACCAAATTTTAGCTGTAATTCTGTACTAAAAAAGGTGGGTGGACAGCAGTGAATTGAATGTGATTGGTCCATTGGACCAACCAATCTTTAAGGGGGATTGGTTCATCCTCCTACCCTTACTCCTATAGTTATATGCACTTCAAATTGAATATTTTGTGAAAAACAAGTAACCTTTTGGTGACATAGTGACAAATAGATGCAAGTACAACTTGTTGCCAAATAACCAACCAATGATACTAAACACAAACAGTAATTCCTGCTTGCTTAAACACTTGCTTACATGTAAATCTGAATTTTTTTTTAAATTTTTATAACAAGTAGCAAAATTAAAAGCTAGGAATATAGTGGGAAAACGACATTTCATCCCATTAATGCTTATCTATCCACTGAGCGGTTGTTCTTTTATGTTGGCTAGAATCTGCTTCTCCATCTTAACCCCCTGCTCTGTCCTGTACTTGTACCTATGTGCGCAATATAGAAAAACGCAGAAATTGATGACACTCAAAACTGTGAGCAGCCAGTAAAAATAATCAAATCTGCCAGTATTAATGTTCTGGGACAGCCAAGATGGCTTCTCTGAGCTTCCTGTGACAGATTTGATGATGCTGTTCAATATACTGGCTGCGAAGCAACCTAAACCCCCGGCTAGAGCAGCGTAAGCGGAGCCTATACTTTTCATGGCATCTGGGGCTTCTTCATATAGAAATTCTAGCAACCCCACAATGCAAAACACTTCAGCTATGCCAATGAGGCAATATTGGATCAACAACCAGAATGCACTGAGGTCTGACATTGCACTTAAGAAACTACTCTCATATCCATGCTCTATTGCATAATTTCTTCGGTACCTTTCGAAAATTGCAGCCCATGCCACAGATAGGATTGAGACTGCCAAGCCTATGCCCACTCTCTGAAGCTGAGAAGCTCCATGAGGGTGGCCGGTGATGCGCCGAGACAGCGGGACAAATGTAGAGTAATAGAGGGACAGTATAAGAAATATGCTGAGGCCAGGAAACACTGGCATGCATGTTACTGGGAGTTTAAGTTGACCCATATGGGTGTTTAAAGTGTATGCCTGCTGGACTGAGAGAGTCAGATACTCTGTCAAGACTGCACTCAGCATTATTGTGCAAGCTGGTATTGGAATAAGTTTCAAAAGGATCTTCACTTCCTCTACTTGAGTCACAGTGCAAAGCCTCCAAGGACTTGGGTCTACACCATCCTCCTTCAACTGCAGAGCTGCTTTGTCCAAACATCTGCAACACAGAAAACATCAGATGTTATACAACAGAAGAGACGGAACATAATAATAAGTTTTGCTTTGAAAAGCCAAAAGTAGGATTTAGTGTGGAACAAACAAGGAATTAAAATGATCTCACATATCTAACTCAGAAAGAGCAGTAAAAAGTAAACGAAAAGATACCTAAAATCGTTGGTGTGAGCTATCTTTCCACTGCCCTTTATAGCAGATTGTTTTCCAGGAACCTCATACAAGCCTATCAACTCACTGCTAGAAAAAGGCGCGTTCCTCTTCCTGTATGCAGCCACCAAAACTTGAGCAACGCGTGTTAGAGGGCTGCCTCCTGGAAGTCTATGCCTGTATAGAGGGGTACCAACAAAGAATACCAAGTTTGATATGCCCATAGCTAATGCCAGTGACCCAAAGGCAAATCCCCAACCAAGTTTGATTTGGATATAGACTACCGCAGTAAAGGCCACAATTGCCCCAATGGTGACAGAAAGGTAAAAGAAGTTGAAAAACCTATCCAGGTGAGACTTATAATCTTTACTTCTTTCATCAAACTGGTCTGCCCCAAATGAAGAAACGCATGGCCTTATACCAGCAGCTCCAAATCCAGTTATGTAGAGAACAGTGTATAGGTACATCATCTGCCATGGTTTTGCAGGCTCACACTCGCCCAAAAGGAGGGCCAGCTGATCACAATGGTCTTGTTTTGGCGCCAAAATGTCCATTGTAGCACATAAGGTTATTCCTGTCAAGCCCTCCATGAAAACAAATAGAGAAAGAAAAATGTGGAAATTATCAGCTCACTATTGAGTTTAAATGTGGAAATTATCAGCTCATATATGGCTACCTACCGCAAGGTAGATGGTTGTGAAGATTGCTATTGTCCGATATCGGCCAAGATATGCATCAGCCAGAAACCCACCAAGGACAGAGGAAGCTTGTGATATCCCAAGGAAATTGTTAACCGCATTTGATGAACTGCTGAAGGGCCTATGCATAACATAGAACATGAAGGCCACCATGTTAACTGAGAGACCGAAATAAGCCATTCTCTCTGCCATTTCATTTCCTGGAGAAATTAAAAGTACTTTGATTGTGATCAATGCAATCTATTGGACTAAGCTGGAAGAGGATATTGATTTCTTTTCCTCAACTTTGGAAGCAACCGAATTAAGAACTATACAGAAACAAAATATAAAAATTATGCTTATTTACCGAATATGAAGAAGGCAGCAATCCAACCACCCGTTTTTGAAAGATCAGCAATAGGTTTGCCATGGATATTAACTGGTGTAGTTCCTCCAGTATAACCCCGTCCGAAAGCCGTCCGTCTGTCATCGGATTCAATGAAGTAAAGTCCAAGCTTCTTTCTGTGATTTGAGTCAGGATTTCCATCTAAACTAGCTGGTGTCACTAGCCCTCCTTCAGGTGACTTAATTTCTCTGGTTCCCATTTTCTAACTCCCTGCAGGAATCCCCAACAACCACAATATTTTTATGGTATATGCCTTACATACAATGAGTATCAAAACTCTAAAGTAGGTTTACACAACAAAAAAAATGAAGTTTCTTGTGAACAACAAAGATGAAATCATGAAACTCTAGAGCTTAGAACAAAGCAATTTCTTCACACCTAAAATACTATAATCCTCCACTTTGAGAAACAAGCAATCCATGGTAACTTGAAAATACAGAGTTTTGGGAACACTCTGAAATCTTTTCCATTTTCTAGGGGAGTGGATTACAGGGAGGGGGCAGAACATGTGAATATGTGAAGCATGGTCTCCAAACCCTTTGAAACTAATCATCAATTCTACTCACAAACAAATGAAACGGCAAAGAACAAACAAAGTACTACTAAAAAAAAAATCATATACGGCTGATTCATTGTCATACAGAGGGCATGTTATGCATGATCTCTGAACAGTTGAGCTTGCAAAGTCCTACATATTTCATGAACAACCAATTTAAAAACAGAAAATAACACACCCCCCATCATACCCTGATTTTAATTCCCACCCTTATGCGCATATGAGGAACTGTCTGAAAGATTGAAGCTTGAAACTGTGTAGATAGAAAGAATTAACCTTGTGGGTTTGCGAGTGATGGCATTTTAGACCAAAAAGGAAAGCGGCAATAATAAAGGAGATCCAACCAACACGTGAAGATCTATAGAAATGGATCCAAAGGCAATAAATGGTACTGACAAGATTTGAAATAAAAATACAGACAGAGAGATTAGAGGATGCATTTAATGGCCAACTGTGTTGGAGGTTGTGTGTGAAACAGCCACACTGCAATTGCTGCTGAATGAGAGGACGTACAGCTTCATTTTCTCCATATCATTTAAACGAACTAGCCTAGTTAGCTTGGTTTTGAATTTGATCACCACACCCCATAGCTTTCAGCTGTACTATCTGGCATTTGAACGTGAAAAATATGGGTAGCCATTGATATCTTTCGAAGGTGTTGATGTATGGTTAAATGCCGTATGGTCTGCTCTGTTCAGCTGCTTTTTCCTAGTTCACTTTCTGGTCCACCAAACAGGATTTAAGAGTGGCCAGGCTGTGGGTCAAGTTTCAACTCAATTCAACCGAGTCTTTAAGGAAGAACAACAAAAAGGAAGATGGAAGTTGGAGGATAGGGTTTGATGTGACATCAACAATGAATCAAATATAAATTCCAACCCAAAAAAGAGATAACGCAAATAACTCATTCTTTAGTGTAAGTAAATAAAATTGGAGTGGGGAAATCATCACTCTTATTTTAATCTCTCTACTATCTAGAGCACTCAAAATGGGATCGATTGAGCTCTCCACTAGGGTGATCAAATTATGAAAGTTCGGAATTGGACCCTAATCTAATTGAGTTTCTATCTACCACTACATAAATACTTAGGTAAAAAGTCATCATCATCGTTGTAAGAAATTTTCAAATGCATTTTAAATGTAACTTAACACAACTCAAAACTCTTTTTTAGACAGAATCAAGAATGTAATTTATATTTCAAATTGTTTATTTTTCAATGCCCTACCTAAGATCATTTATAACAAAATAAGCCAAATCATAAATGAAGAAATCATCTAATTATAATTGAATAAATAGATACACAAGTTTTATTTGATAAAAATACTACAAATATTATGATGATAATCAAATAGATGATTGATTTCTCATACTAATGATCTTCGGTAAGGATGATTTTTTTAATATCGCGAAGTTACATTGTAAGATAGTCCCCAATATGATAATTTGTGTCGCGTTAAGTTACACACTGCTTTCGCCTCAATAAAAAAAGAGTTTTTATCAAAACTAGCCAAAATTTACCCTATATTTTCATAAATATTAATTTTTATAAATTTAAAAAAAAATAGCCAAAAACTCAGTTAAATAGACTCAAATGCTCTCAAAACTAAAACCCACGTAAATCTAAAAACCCAAAAAGTGTTTAGGAGGTTAACTCAAAATCAGAGATGATACTCCAGAAATTTTTTCTTTTTTGGCCAAATAAAAAAGAGATATGGTAATATAAAGTTTACATCATGTGCGACAACCATGCTGGTCCAACATTGTCTCAATTGCACTCCAACTCACCCAAGAAACAAACGCTGCCAGCCACCAAATAAGCCAACTTTTTGTTTTGATCCTCAAACTTCAGAGATACCCATGGAAACATAGTCCATAAGTTAAAACTACAACTTTATTATTGGCTTACTAAGAAGCAGATGACAAACTTTGGATTACAAAATCCAAAATGACAAGATCATGCTATGGATTTGGTTTGGTTGAAAGACAAAAGGGTTGAAAACCTTCAAAATCCTCACATCATACACTGGTTCAAATTGCCCTGCGTCCCAAGAGCTAGCTTTGCTGCAAAAGTAATATTAAGGTCTTCTTGTTGGGTGTAGCTTTTTATTATTTATTTATTTAATTTTTTTTTCTTTTTTTCTTTCTTACAGTGATACTAGTGAAAGTATATCCACTAGCAATTGGGATTGTCAATACATATCATTATAAATAAATGACATCCCACATACATTTGTTTTAGAAAAATGTTGGACAGATTTTACTTTATTTATTTCTCGCAAGTGCACGAACCAATTATAGTATAGGAATGTAAGAATGAGGTCGTTCCACAGAGACTTGGATGAAAGACACTTATTAACTACTACTTGGACTCACAAGTAACCTAAGACTAAACATAATTTAAATGAGGTTGAGTTTAGTTATTTTGGAGAGAAAACTTACAAAAAGGGAATGCAAAATAGCAAGTGACCAGCAAGTAGATATTTAGAAATTTTAGAGACAATAAAACAAGCACTAGGGGTTCAACTTCACCATGACAATCCAATTTCAAGCTACAAGTTAACAATCACCTAAGTTGATTAATTCAATTTCTGGGGTTCGTTCTTTCTTATATATGATTATCCATATGGTGTTTGGTTTTAATCAAGTACTCAGAATACACAATTTAGCTATGATGTTGTAGGAGCTTTTTTCTTCCGACAGCTACAAATGAGCTGGGCTGCCGTAAAGAGCAAAATGAATGAAATTTCTCCTTGTGTCTGAGTTCAAAGATTAGACCCCAAGAATGTTTTGAAAGGATAGTGCAGCCTTAGGAAACACCCTGGTCACTTTCACCAACAAAAACAATGGCTGCTTACAGATAAATTCTTAGTGCTTACAGGTAGAATCTTAGCTTGGCATGAGAGGCTTGTGGCATGGGAGCAAAGTTGTCATGAGTTTAGCCTTAAGGGAAAGAGCTGTGGGTTTCTATGAAAAACAAGGGTTCTAAGGAAAAGGAGGAGAGGATTATCAGAGGATTTGGCTGAGAAGAGGAGAGAGGCTAGGCAATGGGTGGCTTAAGTGTTTTTCCAGTAGCTCGACAGAGGTTCTGTCAAGTATTAGAACAATCTGCCAAGAGCAAAAACAAGGGGAGAAGAATGAATAGAGCACGAATTTGCTGGGGTTGCAAGTGAGAGAGGAAGCTTGCTCTCTGGATGTGGTTGATTGTTGTTGGGTAGAAGAGGCCTAATTTATAGTCGCTGGAAGCTATTCTTTTCCAAGAAACCCTAATGGTTTCTATCCAATTTGGCCAAACTTTTCCCTTTCTTTCTTCTCCCTTCCTCTTATTTATCTTATAATGGTAAAAATCCCCTCAGACCAATCTCACAAAATTAGGGATTTTTGGGAGCTCAATGCTCTTTCCGCAACTACCCTAGTGGAGAACTCCTATTCTCAGCCATCCCCTTTCCTTTCTTTCCTTCCTTCTTTCATGGCCAGATTTGATGAAGGAAAGAAATGGGTATACATGCTGGTTCGAAGGGTGCCCCTTATCCTGGCAGCCTGCGCGCTAAAATCCCCCTGTCATTTGGATGTTTTTTGCTTGAAACTTGTTCCTTCCCATGTGCTGGAGCTTCCCAGTAGCTCTGCGCATGTGGACTCCCTTTGTGGCTTTTGTTTTTCAGCCAAGTGCTGAGGCTTTTACAGGTCTTTATTTTAGTTACATGGGCCTTCTAAGACAATGGGTTGGTTTATCAAATAAATGGGCTAACCTCACCAAATGTTGGCCTATTTTGTTGAGGTGTTAGGCTAATTTGGTTAAGTTAATGAGCTATTTTGGCTGAGGTAATGGACTATTTTCTCCTTTGTGCTCACCCACATGTTTGGGCCTAAGAAATGAGCTTGAGTTCCGAGGCTCCCAAGCAACTCTCGGCCCATCAATGGGCCTCATGACAACTTATTACCATTCATACCATAATCCACTCAAGCAAGCCCCGAACATTCGAGTGGCTTGGGCCTACTTAGGCTTGTAGCGTGGTTGAGTGTGCAATAATGATTTCTTGCTTAGCATGGCATGTTGCTTGGTATGCTTTTAATTATGATGCTTGACGAGATAATTAGCATGGATTTGCAGAGTTAATGCATTTTATAATGTTAATCTCGATTCCTAGCATGACGGATTATTTATTTGGCATGGCACGTGGAGTGTGACTCATGCATGGCGGACTTTTGCATGCTCCAAATTGGGTCTTTTCTCAAAGATGTGTCGTATTGGACCGAAAATTTATTCGGGCCCAACCGTGAATTTTCTGGGCCTCAACAGATGTTTAGTCTAAACTATGAATCTAAATCCATTTAGCTTAAGAAGAACACTAAGGAACCAAGTAAACATTTAAACATGATGTTTGTTCTAAATGCATACCCACTAATTCACTAATTAGTTCAAGAGTCATATGGTGTTTATGTAAACTTGAACTAGATAACCAACATGCAAGTGTTAATAGTGGCTAGCTATTTAAACATGTATAAAGATTCAACTAAGAACAAGTGAATGAGACTAGAAAATTGGAAGTAATCAACAAGGAGTAACATTAACTTGAAAACATGAAACTGTCTTGTCAGGCTACATTGAAACCCTAGCTATGGTAATTAGTTACACCCCATTAATGGAAAATACATTTGAATCATAATAAAAACATGGAGAAGGTAAGAAAAAACCCGTGAAGAACGAATTATGTTGTTGAACAGTTCCTCACAGCTTCCACCATGTATGCTTGCAGCCAGAGATGAAGAATGGTGTGGATATGTGGATTGTGTGGATTGTGTTTGGGAAATTATGGGAATGTGAAGGATGAAGTGGTTTCTGGGAGAGGTGTCTAAGGTTGTGGTTGATGAATGTTTGAGTGAGAATTATGCTGGGATGGGTGATCTGGTAGGAATTGGAAGAGAGGGATTGTGAATCCCAGGATGTGATTGATGAAAGTGTTTGGAATGGAAGTGGTATTTATAGGGAGAAGGAAAGGGGACATCTGATTTCAATATGACTTCTACCTACAACACTTGCAATTGAAAATCAGTTTCTTGGTTGTTGCACTTCACCAACAAATCCCACAAGAAGCAATACCTTATGAAAGGACCTGACCCAATTTCCACTTTGAAATCCGGGTCGAAACCTGTTTAAAACTGACACCTGATAACCGTGGGTCGCAAATGACCAAAATACCCTGAAAACAGTAACACAAACCCTGAGGCCCTAACTTGTAGCTGCGCCTGATAACTGTAGGCTGCCTACGTACTCTTTTTGAGGGATCAAGCCACACGTAGTTCTTTCTTATGTTCCTGATATGTAATTGAACTGTTTACTGTAAACCTGGTTCTAAGGTTGGCATTCCTGGAGTATCCGGGACTCTGTTTTACGATCCGTCAAACACTATACGATCCTGGCCAAGTCTAGATTACCATATCCAAAAATGGTTACGATCCAACGGTTCGAAACTATTGAACCCGGAAATCACACAATATGTGAGATCCGTTCGGGGTTCAAACGTTAACCAAATTGAGATCTGCGAATTCCTACATGCTCGTGAATACCCAAGGATCATTCTAGAACTGAAAGTGGTCCCTACCAATCTGCCCACGCGCCACCACACTCACCGGCAGCGTGTGGGTGGCTTGATCAATTTTCGGCGATCGGAAAAACTCCGAACCACCAGCCCAAACTCCTAAGTTAGGTAAATTACCCAATTTGGAACAACTTTTGTTCTTGGACATACCCCAAAAAGTGACGGGAACTGGCCGGAACTGTGCTCTCAAAACTGGCTGAAACCTAACTCGTAAATCGAGCTATCTACGCTTGAAATTTTTGAAATCCTACCCAACCAGCAGCTAGAGCATGAAAAATATGTAGAAAAACATACCTCACTCGTCCGATTTGGTGGCCGGACGACGGAGAACGAAAGGTTGGAAGTTCTGTAAAAAATTGTCCAGCACCGCCGTTTCCGAAGAATATGACGGCGGATCAAAGCTGCGAAAGGCTGGGGCTGGAAGAGGAAAGTTTCTTGGTTCATTTGGCACTGGTCTTACCTGAATCGGAGGTCGGAGCTGAGAGAAAACAGCTCCCAAAGTCGGGAAGTCGTGCCCCCGAATCCAGAAATTTCTGGGTTTATATAAACTGAAGTTTGAAATATTTACGGTTATGCCACTGAACTTCTTTTAATCGTAACTCATTCGTTACAACTGCGATTTGAGTCAACTACGTGCCTACGGACTCGTTTTGTCGCTCTCTACGCAACGGTACAACTGAAATCCCCAAATTCCTTCCCAGTCAAAAAGTCAACTTTTATACCATTAAAATATTCTAGGAGTATAGTGGTCTTTTATTGGAATAAATTAATAATTAAATATTAATTAAGGACCGGGTTGTTACACCTCATGCATAACTCATCATGACCAAGCATCAATTATGTCATGCTAGGGTCAGAATGACGAACAACTTTTTAGGCTCATGAATTTGGCTTCTCTCAATCAAATAACGACTTTAAGCCCACCATCTTCAAGTTCAGAATGTCTTCTTTCCAACCACATGTAATTTGGTCCAATCCAAGCTCATATGAAGAAGATAAATCCGAAATGAATTTCTAACTCAGTCTTTAGTTTTTGTAGGTTTTTGCACCATTTTGCTTCAAATGCCTCAAGTGGTACCTAGAGCTCAATGAACTGAATAACAAACACAAAATGGATTAAAAACACAAGATTTAATGTAAAACATAACCAAACAACAAGGTAGAGTGCTACAAAATGATACAGAATTATGCATTGATGAACACCCCAAACCTATATTTTGCTGGTCCTTAAGCAAAACTAAAACTAAAACATCATAAAACAACACACAAAAAAAACTGACTACACCATTTTTGTAGGTAACACGATTGCATTGAGCATATGCAACAATCGTTTAAACCTGTAGGTGTCCCTAGTAGGAGGAGTTGTGTCTCCTGAGGGTTTACAATGATGACTCCCACAAACATCTACAAATTATGCAAGACAACTAATTGTTAAAGAATCACTTTAGACAAACTAAGGAAAACCAATGAATGCACAATCACACTTTCAATATTAATGGTATGCCACTTTAGATCTTTACACTAGGGTGTATAGTAGTGTATTGCCACTACAAAAAGAATTCTAGCATTGAAGTCACCCTACTCAAATATTTAGATAGAAATCGCCTCAACTCTAGGTCTCACGGGTATCACTCAAATTTTCACAAAGAACCTAGGGTTTAGCTTCTCAACAAGCATATGTGATGTAAAGGGAAACAAGTTTTTCACATATGAAATAATCATAAAACAAAAGCACGATTTTTGGAAATAAGATCTCATGAAAGGAAATCAAATGCTAAGAACATAGAAAGAATACATTGCATACCAGCATCCATGAACCGGACTTCCTCAATGATCAGTTAGGTTTTAAAGCTTGTAATGTTAGGCTGAGGTAGGGGTTATGAAAAGAAGGGGCATGGAAACCAAGAACTTAAGAACATACCAAGAGTGCTCCTTCTTGCTGCCTAGTAAATGGCTACATTTTGTGAATCTTCAAGGCAATGACTTGTGCTTCTTTGAACTGAATTTGAACTTTGATCAAGAATGCCTTTTTTTTTTTCTTTTTGTATATACATATATTTTTCAGAATTTTTCAATCTCTTGATTTTCTCTTTCAATTGCATTAGCCCATTGATTCACCACATTTGATAAGTAGGTGCATCCTTGCTCTTCATTTTGTTGGATCTTGACATGTTTTCCAGTTATAAGGTATGGCTAAACAGGGAATGGTATCTTAGATTAAGATACAAAGGTACGAGTAATGTGGGTGATGAAAGAAAGGTTTAAGTGTTTGGATGCAAAATTGGTAAAGGAAGCACACAACAGGGAAGGATATCAAAGCCTTTTAGTGACTTAAACACACATAGCCTACATCATATCAATGGGTAAATCCTTTCCACAAATGTCAGAAAGCAACATAGTATCTGCAAAAGATCAAATAGTTCTTAGTATTTGATGAATATAATGAGATCATGATAAGAGGAATCTGGGAAGTTGTAAGAGTAGAAACAAATAAAACCCTCTCAAAGAATGGAATAGGCTCAAATTAGCTCACTAGGGCAGTCTCCACTATTCTTCTAAAGATATCTGAGTATGGCACCTTGTGAACCGAAATTCCAATTGCGTGACAATGTGTACGGCAGAATTCTGATGCAAACACTTTCATGGCAACACATCAACAAAGAATTAGTGACAATGACATTGCATTTACATCTTCATTAGTAAGCAAACGAAATCTGTCACTAAGACTCAAAAAATCAACAAGATTCACCCCACACCCCAAACCTAAATGAAACATTGTCCTCGATATTTAAAAGAAAGGAAATGCAATGCAATAACCAAACTAGACATAAAAGGCACAAAAGGAATCAACTCTAAACTAGAATAAAAACAATAACAACATATCCTGGTTGGGTTGCCAATTGTTAGAGTGTGGTGAACTAAAGGGAGTCCACAACTTGTGTTTCCACTACATCATCCAAGTATTGTTTCAATCGCTGCCCATTCACCTTGAAAGTTGTCCCGTTCCTTAGGTTCTCAATTTCAACAGCTCCATGAGGGAAAACTTGAAGCACCTTGAATGGCCCCAGCCATCTAGATCTCAATTTACCTGGAAAGAGACGCAAACGTGAGTCATACAACAAAACTTTCATACTTGGCTTGAATTCTTTCTTGAGAATGGCCTTGTCATGATAACCTTTGGTCCTCTCTTTGTAGATTTTGGTATTCTCATAAGCTCCTCAAATTCATTGATCTACAATTTTCTGACATATATATATATATACATTCTTCTTATTTTAGAAGTGGTTATAAAAGGTCCCTTGCTTGAGCTGGGTTCCAGCTTAAAGCTGAAAGGCTTCATTCCTTTTGCCCGATTGAACTAGTTTGATGGAAACTCGGACTTAGACCAAATCAATGAGCTGCCCGTGTAATATCATGGTGGCATGGCATATCTCTCAGTACATTTGCTAAACAATTCATTATGTTTGGTTCATTAGGCGTGATGAAAATCCTATCAATCTCTTTGGCCTGCCATCTTTTGATGTCATTGCTATTAGGGGCTGTAGTTGGTTCCCAGTTGTTTCTTTAACATGTGTTTTTGAGGAATTGAAGAAAAAATCTGAGTCTTGACCTATATTTGCTTGGTCCATATGGTATCTTTTGTGGTTTGTTCAAAAGAAGTTTTATGTGGGAAGTGTAGGGTTTCCTCCTGACAATTTAAAACTAGTTCATAAGAAAACTTATGTATCTCCATATTGCTGCGCAAGATACCTTGGTACATATGTAAGATATCCATCATTAAAGCTAGAAGTTCTAGTCTACTTGATAAATTGATTGTGCTTTCTATATGTAATTATATTTGTATTAAACTAATGTTCTATTTCATTTTTATTATCAGAACTCTTTGTATTCCACTAAGGTTGAGAATTCCCAGTTGAAAGCCATTGATGTTGGCTTATCAGATTTTGCCAAACCAGGTTTTCCTTTCTTGAATAATTCAGCTCTTTTTTATTATCAATGTCTCAGTCTTTGGAGTTTGGCATGGGATTTTAATACTCACTCTGGCTTATAGATGAGAGACTTAATGATATTGTTGGAAACGCATACTAGGTCACCCTTTGATAACAATATTAGTTAGTTTGTTAAGCTGTCATGTGTGCTCACGTGTTGTTAGTTAGTAGTAACTGTAATTAGTTAGAGTGTTAAGTCTTGGTTATTGAGATATAACACTAATGACATGGCTGTTGTAATTCATTCTGTGAAAATCAATATACAGAGCATATCATTTTTTTCTTCCTTCTTAGTCTACTCAATTCTTAAGCTTCCTCTTCTAAACTGTTATCATGGTATCAGAGCCCTCAGTGGCTATCACCAATTTAATCCTTCTTCAAAATCCCCTTTCTTTCTCTCCTCGTTCTCTCATTCTCTCATTCTCTATTTTGTGGATCCCCAATTTCTTTCTTCCGTTCTTCAGACCTTTTGGTTTCCATGGCGGCTTCTTCGATTTCTTTGTAATTTCTTTGTCCTTTCTTCGAGTTATGTGGTCCGTTCTCTATGTTTCTTCTTTCTTCCTGGATCTTGGTTCTCAATTTCTCTTCTTTTCTTCTCTCATTCTCTACTTTTCGCTTGCTCTATCATGGCGTCTTCTCTCAAAATTGAGAGTCTCCTTGGTCTGCTCACCATTCGATTGAACGATATCTCAAATGGAGCCATTAGCTCGAAGATTTGCTTCAAGGGTATGACCTATTTGGGTATTTTGATGGCTCGGTGGTTGCTCCTCCAAAATTCGCTATCTTAGATGAGGAATGTGTTACTTCTGAGATTACTGAGGCTTACAAGGCATGGTTGTGTACTGATAAAGCCTTATTGAGCTTGCTTATTGCCTTTCTCTCTGACGAGGCAATCGAGTATGTCATCGGTGGTGGCACACAACACGAAAGGCATGGCTCAATCTTACAGATCGTTATGTGTCCGTTTCTAAGGCTCACATCAATCACTTGAAGACTGAGCTGCAAACGGCATAGAAGGGCTGTGATTCCATCGAACGTTATCTACTTTGTCTGAAACATGTGCGCAATCAATTGCAAGCCATTGGTGTGAAAATTTAGAATGATGATTTCATTATAGCAGCACTGAATGGTTTACCACAGGAATACGATATGATCAAGACAGTCTTGATTGCTCGTGATACCCCGATTTCTTTCAAAGATTTCAGAGCTCAACTTCTTGCGGCTGAACAGACTGCTGAGGCGAAAATCATTACTCATTTTGCCATGTTTACTCCACATTCCATATCCAATGCTTCTAATGCACCTGCCTCTATGGGCTATGACGGTGCTTCCTCCTATTTTGTGCATTCTGGTCAAGGTTTGCTTGCTACATCGGTTCAAGGACCAATTGGCTATCTTGGGGGTGCTCCTTAGAACTTCTCTAGTTCTCGTTCTAATTTCAATGGAAATTATGGCTGTGGTAAGGGTGCCTATGGTAGAAGTGGTTTTCGTGGTGGTTTTTCATCAAATAAATTTGGCTATTCCTGAGTGTCAGATTTGCAGTAAGCGTGGCCACATCGCTGCTAATTGCTATTATCGCAATTCTTCTCCTTCTAATGTTGCCTCTTCTTCTGTGCTTGAATGTCAGATTTGTGGTAAGAAGGGTCATGGAGCTTTAGACTGTTTCCATCGGTCTAACTATGCCTTTCAAGGTCAGCGTCCTCCTCTTTCCTTGGTTGCTATGACTACTCAGACAACTTATAATCCAGATCAAGTGTGGATCGTAGACAGTGGTGCTACACATCATATGGTGTCTAATTTGAATCAGCTGACCAATGTGACTGCTTGTGATTCTGTTGAGAATGTTACTATAGGGAATGAGGAAGGTTTGCATGTAAGTCATATAGGCAATGCTAAACTTCATTGTGCTGATTCTTCTTTACATCTTCCCTCTGTCTTTCATGTGCCTCAACTCAAGGCCAATTTATTATCTGTGTACCAATTGTGTCAAGATAACAACTGTAATGTTGTATTTGATGTGTCTGGATTTTATATACAGGACAAGTTCACTAAGCAAATCCTCTTCCAAGGCAAGAGTAGTCACGGTCTATATCCCATCCTTAGTTTTGTGTAGTCTTCTCTGCAGAAATCAAAGCATTTAGATTCTGGTTCGAGTTCATCTGTAGCTTTTCTTGGTCAGCCGGTTAAGTCATCTCTATGGCATCACCGATTGGGTCATCCAAATAATGAAGTGGTGCAGCTTATGCTCAAGAATCACAACATCTCATACAGTGATGATTGTTAGTCTTTTGTTTGTCGTGCTTGTCTACATGGGAAAATGCACAAACTTCCTTTTCCTACCACTCACGTAAGAGTCTCTATTCCTTTTCAGAAAATACATAGTGATGTGTGGGTGCCGTCTAGGGTGAAGTCTGTGGATGGCTATAGATTCTATGTAATTTTTGTTGATGAATGTACTGGTTATATGTGGTTATATCCACTTTATCATAAATGAGAAGTATTTCCTATGTTTCTCAAATTTTATGCCTTGCTTGATAATCAGTTTAATGCCAATATCAAGTGCTTTCAAAGTGATGGCGGTGGGGAGTTTGTTAGTAAGGCTTTTACTAATTTCTTGGCTTCTAAGGGCATTGAACATCAAGTTTCTTGTCCATATACTCCTTGGCAAAATGGATTGGCTGAGAGAAAGAATAGGCACTTGATTGAAACCTCTATCACCCTTTTAATTGCTGCCCATATTTCTGGTTCATTTTGGTTTCATGCGATTGCTCATGCTGCTTATTTAATAAATCGAATGCCTAGTAAAAGCTTGTCTTCTCAATCTCCTTATTATCGGCTTTATGGTAATGTTCCTGATATTACACATATTAAGGTGTTTGGGACTGCAATATATCCTTATTTGAGACCTTACAATGTACATAAACTTGAGCCTATGACTACTCCTTGTGTTTTTCTTGGATATGCTCAAGGCTATAAAGGCGTTATTTGTTACAATCTTCATACTGGAAAATTCGTGATATCTAGACATGTAGTCCATGATGAGACCTGCTATCCTTTTCAAGGGTTTACAGAATCTAGTTCCACGCTATCATCTATGTCTTCCTCTACTACAGCTCCACTCGTGATTTCTATGCCCATTTTAGTCTCTAGTGATTCTCATAGTTCACTGTCTCAAAGAAAATTCAATGCCTTGGGATATTGGCCCAATTGATTCCATGCAACATGATATTAGTACATTTACAGTTTCTAATGCTCTAACTGATCAATAGTTACAAGCTATTCTACCTAATACTATTGCCTCTTCTAGTGATGATAATTCTTCTGCATCTAGTGTGTCATCTACTTCTCAGTATACTAATGTTCATCCTATGCAGACTAGGGCTAAGAGTGGTATTAGCCAACAAAAGACTTTTCCTGATTATCATTGTTATCATACCAACTTACCTATTATTTATGAAGAGAATGAACCCTTTTCTTATAAAGTAGCATCTCAGTCTCCTACTTGGCTTCAAGCAATGCAAGAGGAGATTGATGCATTGCTGATGCAAGGTACTTGGTCTTTGGTCCCTCTTCCTCAACAGAAAAACATAGTTGGTAGCAAATGAGTTTACAAAATCAAGAGACATGAAAATGGTTCTATTGCAAGGTATAAGGCTCGACTGGTAGCTCAAGGGTTTAGTCAAGAACCAGGCTTAGACTTCAGTGAAACATTCAGTCCTGTCATATGACATACAATAGTGAGGTTAATTCTCAGTCTCGCAGCTATGCACAAGTGGTCTTTGAGGCAATTGGATGTTAAGAACGCATTCTTACATGGGGAGCTTGAAGAAGAAGTTTTTATGAGACAACCTCAAGGTTTTGAAGACCCCAAGCATCCTGAGTTTGTGTGTAAGTTGAATAAGTCTTTGTATGGACTTAAGCAAGCACCATTTACAAGATATTTACTAGCTATAGGGTTCAAATAATCTCATTATGATCCCAGCTTATTTGTCAAGCATCACGACACTGATATTGTCATTTTATTATTATATGTTGATGATATCATCTTGACAGGCTCCAATGCAAAGTTATGCAGACAATGATTGATGATTGAGGAGTGGTGTTTGAGATGAAGGACATGGGTCACCTTACCTATTTCCTTGGCCTTCAAGTGTCTTACAATTCTACAGGTGACATTTTTGTCCATCAGCACAAGTATGCTAAAGATTTACTGCAAAAGGCTGGTCTGAGTAATTTTAGGGCTTGTCCTACTCCTTGCAAGCCACATAATCAAGTCTTAATGTCTGAAGGAGAACCACTGCATGATCTTACATTTTATAGAAGTATTGTTGGTGCCTTACAATACTTAACTTTCACAAGACCTGACTTATCCTATGCTGTCAATACTGTGTGTTAGTATATGATTGCTCCCACTGAGATACATTTCAACCTTGTCAAAAGAATTTTGAGATACATTCAAGGTACCATGAATTATGGGATTCACTTTACTCATGGTCCTTGGCAATTACAAGCTTATAGTGATGCTGACTGGGCGAGGGATTTAAATACTAGGAGGTCAACTATTGGTTTTGTGGTATTGCTTGGACATAATCCTATCTCATGGCAGTCTAAGAAGCAAGGGTCTGTATCCAGAACTTCTACAGAGGCCGAGTATAGGGCATTGGCTAATACAGTTGCAGATTTGGCTTGGATTTGACAGGTTTTGCTAGACTTGAAAGTGTGTTGGCCTCAACCTTCTACCATCTTCTGTGATAATTTGTCTACTTTGGCATTTAGTAGTAATCTTGTATATCTTTCACGAATTAAACACTTGGATACAGATTTTCACTTTGTTCGTGAAAGGGTTCAAAGGAATGATTTGATTGTTCAGTATGTTCCTACTCAAGAGCAAATTGCAGATGTGTTTACTAAAGGACTGCATAGTCCTATTTTCTTGAGTCAATGTATTAGTATGCGACTTGGAAATCCAGAGCAGGATCCAGAGTTGGGTTTGAGGGGGAATGATAACAATATTAGTTAGTTTGTTAAGCTGTCACGTGTGCTCACGTGTTGTTAGTTAGTAGTAACTGTAATTAGTTAGAGTGTTAAGTCTTGGTTATTGAGATATAACACTAATGACACTGCTGTTGTAATTCATTATGTGAAAATCAATATACAGAGCATATCATTTTTTTTCTTCCTTCTTAGTCTTCTCAATTCTTAAGCTTCCTCTTCTAAACTGTTATCACCCTTGAGGTTCTACATAGATCTTATAGTACAAAGGTTGACGTTTGGAGTATAGGTGTAATATCATATATTCTTTTATGTTATAGTCGCCCATTTTGGGCACGGACTTAGTCTGGGACTTTTCGGGCGATGTTGAAAGCTGATCCCAGTTTTGATGAAGCACTTTGGCCTTCTTTATCTCTTGAAGCAAAGGACATTGTTAAATTCTTGTTAAACAAGGACCCTCAGCAATGAATGAACCAAAAAATTCACGCTTCGGCCCAAATAAATTATCGGCCCAATACGATACCTTATCAAGAAGAAACCCGATTTAGGCATGCGAAAGTTCGTCATATACGCTTTGCACACATGCCACGCCAAACGACACGCCACGCTAAGCAAGGAATTATCATTCCGCACCTAATCACGCCACAAGCCTAGGTGGGCCCAAGCCACTCAAAAAACCCGGGGCTTGCTTGAGTGGGTTGTGGCATGGATGGTGATAAATCAACATGAGACCCATTGATGGACCGAGAAATGGAAAGTCTCGGGTTGCTTGGGAGCCTCGAGACTCAAGCCCATTTCTTAGGCCCAAACATGTGGGTAAGCACAAGAGAGAAAAATAGCCCAAAAGCCCAAGCAAAATAACCTAGCCAAGAGATAACCCAACCAAAAAAATAATAAGCCCAAATCAAGAAGCCCAACAAGCCCATTTGCTTAGAAAGCCATCTTGGCCCTTAGAAAAACCCAAAATAGCCCACAAGAGCTTCAGCTCTTTTGAAAAGCAGAGGACACGTGAAGAGCAGATGGCAGACTCCTTAAGCAAAGCTGCTGGAAACCAGTCCCAAGCCAGAGACATCCAAAGAACCGATGAATACCATCCCGCATGCTGTCAGAAGCATCCCTTGGACCAGCATATATTTTCACCTCTTTTCCTCCATCAGATTCAGCCAAAGAAGAGGAAAGAAAAGAAGAAAAAACAGCAAACCAAGAGTGGAAGCTCCCATTGCACAGCCGCGGGAAAGGAGGATGTTGAGCCCCCAAATCCCCTGAATTCATGAAAATAGACAGAAGCAATCTTTGCCAAGAAGGGGAGGTCAGAGAAGGGGAGGAGAAAGGAAGAAAAGCTTAGCCAAAGTAAGTAGAAGTCATTAGGGTTTCTTGAAAAATGGTGATTTCCGGCAGCTATAAATTGAGCCTTCCCCTACCCAACAAAAACAACTCACAACTTGCAGAGAGCAAGCTTTTCTCTCTTGCAAAACTCAGACTCGTGCACTATTCATCTTCTTCTCCAATTTGTTTTTCTGGCAGCTGCCAGAAGAACTCTGCCTTTCTTTTTCCTCTTTCCCTAGTCGAATTACTCACAAAACACCTCATTCCTTACTTAAACACTTTCTTTTCTCATAAACCAAGCCTAATTTCTCTCTTAGTGCTAAACCCATGTTGATTTTGCTCCCATGCCACATGCCACTCATGCTGAGCTGAAAAGACTATCTGTAAGCATGCCAAAACTATCTGCAAGTTACCATTATTCTCGTTGGTGAAGATAACCAAAATACTTCCTAAGGCTCTACTGCCTTTTCGAGGTATTTTGGGGCTTAATTTTCGAACTCAGGCTCAAGGAGCAATTTCTTCCATTTTGCCCTTTACGGCAGTCAGGCCCGTAGTAGCTGCCGGAAGAAAAAAGCCCCTACAGAGAGTTTCTAAGAATATCTTCAACCGATATGTCAAAAGTGCCATATAGACATTTAATAGTTAGAAATAACATCTCACATCACTCCAACCAATGTGTCAAAGCTGATGTGGAATGAAGGCTGGAGGTTGAGATGTTATTATTAACATCTCAAAAGCAAGATGTCAAATGAATATTTTATTATTATTTCTTTTCTTTTCTTCTTAATACAAATAAATCAACACTAAAATATAATAAAATAATAATTTAATTTGATATATCGGGTGGAGTGTAAAGCTGTATAAGATGTCAAATTGCCACATCAGCCATCAAATTTAAATTTGATGTTTGGTATTTGACTTCTCCCTTGGAGATGCTCTAAACATATCTGACTTGGCAAATTACCATTTTGCCTCTCTACGTATTTTAATCGTATTTCCTTCGTTATAACTCCGATTCGAGCCTACTACATGTCTACGGACTCGTTTTGTCATGCTTTACGCAACAATGCCATCAAAATTTCCAAATTCCTTCCCTGTCAAAAAGTTAACTTTCCTTTAATAAAATATTACAGGGGAAAATTAGTTTTTTCCCCTAATAAATTATTAATTAAAATTTAATTAAGAATCGGGTTATTACAGATATCATTGTTTTTTTATTTTTATCCAATTAAAATTTGCGATGTGAAAAAGTTATCACTCGTGACGTATCATAATTGGCCAAGGATAGCAAAATAGTGTTATCCCCGTTTCATGTAAGTATTTCTCTCGAGCCTAAGTGTGTAAAAAACTTGTATGATGGGACAGACCGTTACGTGTTTAACTTTTTAGTCATGATCCTTGTGTGTGATGAGAAAGAAAGACAAATAAGACAAAGTTTTTATGTGAGATTCTAATCTCAGACATTCATATATTAGATGCGTTAGTCATTTTAATATGCATTGTTCGTGCTAAAACTAAACAGATAGAAGTAGAGCTAACTTACAGGTGGAGTGGGGGGTTTGGACCCGAGGAGCCTTCGGTCCGTAGCGTCTTTTCTTAAGGTGTAGTGCTGGATTCAACATGGAGAAAGAAACGACAGGTGAGGTCTGGGACACTAGTGTGGTGTCGGCCGAAGACCCTCCAATGCCAAAGTTAGTGACTAAGAGCAATTCTTTTGACAGTGTGAAAGCACAAGTCAAGTAAAACCGTCTTACCTCTCGACTGGGCCAAGGGGCTCTATTTATAGAGAGCATTTGTGATGCTCTTAGTACTTAGTTTCGATGTGGGACTCGTGAGAGTGTCTTCGACGATCGACACATGCTCTAACAAGTTCTGGCGGGAGTTTTGAGGTTATATGTCAGAATCGACTGGATGTGCTGATTCGTCGATCGGCAAAAGATGCCGAAGATTGGTGTCGGTGAGTCGGTCGGTAGCACTTGCTAATTTCTACGACCGTGTATCAATCGGTGATGTGTGCCGATTGATAGTATCAGCATGGCTCACCCAGCAGGTTTTTAGTGTCGTTCACATTCCACGTGTTATGACGTGAGTGGGGGGTCAGATATGGTACAAACATGCATTGTACATATATTTCAATGACTGAGATTAAAAAACCTTAATCAACCCTAAATCTACATACACTAACTCATAAGTTTTATCTCAAATTACAATAGGTAAGGACGGATTCATGAATTTTTGAAAGGGTGGATTAGCTAATTTTGTATCCTCATACCGTTCATCTATATATATAAAGCACAAGGTAGAGAATGGTGAAATATTCAAAATATCATAAAATGTCATTGGTTAATCCAAACATTAAGAATTAAAATTATTAATTAAATGAGGATAATATGGTAAATGCACACTTTTCATATTTAAAAAAATAAAAATAAAAATAAAAATCAGATAATGAATCTTATTTTTCTAGAATACAACTACCAATTATCTTTTTTAATTATAAAATAAAATAAATTTTTTTTTAAAAAAAAGTCTCTCGTAGGCGTGGAAGCGCGTGCGGAGAGGCTAGTAAAACTCTAAGTAAAATACTATCAGCCAAACTATTCATTGTTCATTTTTAACAAGCTTTGTGCATATACATAAAAAGAAGAAGAAAAGGAATCACACTTTTTCAAGTTTGATACAAAATATTCAACAAAAGAAGTAAGATTGTACATATATTAATGGGCTTAATATAATATATTAAGTATTCTCTCCAGATTTTCTATAAAAAAGAGAGAGGCTTTCAAGTGTTTCTCTATCTCCCAAAAGAAATGCATATCGTCTCAGTGAAGTACATATAAAAACAGCGGACGTAACTTGATTATGAGTAAACATACTCAAACACATGTTTATATCTTTGAGATTATGATTTTATCATCTAAGATGTTGATCCAAAATTTGGTGTCAACATTACTAATATTTCGTAGGGTTTAGGGTTTAATTATAAAGGCTACGCAAAAAATAAAACACGCTTCATGTAACAACCCAAACATTAAATAATTTTTAATTATTAATTTATTCAAGAAAAAACTAAAATGCCCTTAGAATAATTTATTAGGTTTAAAGTTGACTTTTTGACTGGAAGGAATTTTGGAATTTCAATTGTACTGTCACGTAAATAGCATCGAAATAAGTCCATCAACACGTAGTGGGCTCAAATCCGAGTTGTATTGAGGAAGATACGATCAAAATACGTAGAGGGGCAAAACCGTAAGTTAGCAAAAATCAGATTTTTATCTCTCTCTCTCTCTCTCTCTCTCTCACCGTCGCGACAGAACCCTTCCCCCTGCCTTCGAAATTTTACAGCCGCCACGCTCCTCCTTGCAGCCACCGCTTCCGGCCACCAGAGGCCACGACACCGGAGCCAAACGAACCGGCCCGTCCCCGCCTCATACTCCAGCTTTCCCCCGCCGTCAGTCGCCTCCAATTCGCCGGAAACAGTCGAAATCGCGCCAGTTTTGACAGAAACTTCACGGCCGTCGTTCTCCGTCCTCCGGCCACCAATTCCGGCAATCAAGGTATAAATTTTCGACTATTTTCCATGCTCTAGCTGATGGTTGGGTAGGATTTGATCAATTTCTAGCCTAGGTGGTTCGATTTAGAACCCAAAGTTTGGCCCGATTTCGGGTTGAAATTCCGCCCACTTTCGGCCATTTTTCGGGGTAGGTCCAAGAACAAAAGTGGCTCCAATCGATGTCCTAAACCTGTCGTAGGAATCTTGGCCCTCAATTTTGAAGTTTTTCCGGCCGCTGGGATCGCTTAGGATACCCACGCGCTGCCGGCGCGTGTGGCGGCTCGTGGGTACTGTAGCAGAGGGGCATTGTGTCCTGATGCGATCCCCTAGTTGTCACGAGTGCGTAGGTGTGCTCGGATTTCAATTTGGATATCGTTTGAGTCTTGAACGGATTTCACCTATTGTGCGATTTCCGGGATTGATATGCTCAGACTGTTGGATTGGACTCAAATTCAAGTATGTCGTACCTTGTATTTCTAGGATCGTATAGGATTCGACGGATCGTGAATCGGAGTCCCGGATACTCCGAAATCGTGAACCCTAGGGCTGGATAATTGTGATCAATCCGACTATCCGATTCGGACCAAACTTGCAGGGTGGGTTTAGAAGAGTGTGTTGAACCTATAGGAACTCCCGGATTTGTGATCGGAGGTCGTGGGCCTTGTGGGCCCGGTTGACCAAGTTTAGGTAGTTTGACTCTTCGGTTGACCGTGAGCCTTCCGAAGTAGTTTTATCTTTCGAAAAGTGTTAGAACAGCCACGTAACGAGTCCTGACCAAAAGTTGAGTTGTTTCGGTTATATTAGGATTAGAGGATTGTTTTATGGTACCTTATAGGAAATTTACGCTTATGTGAGTATTCATCGGTTGTAATGGCAGTACTTTGATTGATAAAATTACCATGCACTCTATTACGGATTTATATGATTATGGAATGAGTATAGATATGTTTATATGTAGATTGCTAAATTGTGCGTAGTTTTATTATTTGCGAATTGGTAGTGTATTTGATGGAATCTCTAGGAGAAGTGATTATTTATATAGTTATTTAATCACTTATTTAATTATTTGTCTAGTTATTCGTTGCAATTAAGATTATTATTATAGTATCGGAATGGTTTGCTAATCGGAGTTCAACGTGATTAATAAACTAATTAAATATTTAAGTGCATATCTATATTTAATCCATATAATCAGTAGCTGAAAATGATGAATCATGGATCTTGGTTTTTATCAGATTGTGGCATTTATATTTTAAGTGTGGTCGAGAATCAATTTATTGGAATATTGATATAAAGGTCGGAAAATGGATTTGTGGAATAAAGGGAAAATTTGTGATAAGTTTCAGATATGGTTTTTCAAACCCACCACAGGAGTACCCCCTAGTTGCTTTGAAACAGTCTGTCATTTATACGGGATACGCCACTAAATAGCTTTCTGAAAATTATAAGCACCTTTGTTGGACTATATGCAGGGCAGCACGAGACAATCAAGAACTTGCTTCATGTTCTTCTGGACTGACAGAGAGGTAGTTCTCATCTACTTATATAACCTTATATCTGCCGATTGGAATTTCTATAATTTTTATTTATTTATTGAAAACTAAAGTGGGCATCAAAACATGGTTAATTTATTTGAGTGATCTTCTGGTTTTTCCCTTCTGTTGGATTTAAAAGATTTGAATCTTAATGTATGTAAAGTCAAATACTCAACTGTAGTTAGTAGGATCTTTTCCAAATATAATTAGATACGTCACCGATACGTATCAAAAGTTGCTAGCTATGAGAAATAGCTTTCACAGCTAGAAAGAAAGATTGAGGAAAACACCTGGAAATATAAACCTCTTCTAATTTGTAATCACATATATGTCTCAAAGTAAGTAGCGGCTCAAAACTTGGATTATAAACCTTGGAGGCAGAGAAATCATGGTACATATCAGCTCATGTTTCCTTTACTTCCACATCTTGACCATAAAAAGTTGAGAGTAGAAAATTGAATCATGATTTTGATAATACTCATAAATAGGTGAATATGTTATAAGAACTCTGCTGCATGTTGTTAAAGGTTCAGTGATATTTTCCCCTTTTATTATTCCCTATTTAATTGGTCATGTAATCTGGTAAAGGTAAAACAGATTTGCAGCTTGTATGAGGCCATGCATTCTTGGAATGAGTTTTATCTTTCAAACTTTTTGTATTATAATTTCTCCTTTTCTATTGATATTATTTAGGAAGAACTAGTTTGAATGAGCCTTTTGCTGTTGTATTCTTTCCTTGAAGTTGTTTGGTTTAGATTAGGTTGCTCTAGTTTAATATTTTTACTGACATCTACAGTTGTCTCACAACAATTCCAATGTAGATGTGGTCTAATAAGAATCCTTTTTTCTTTTACTTAAATGAGCAAAATTATGCATATAACCTATGAGGTGATTGACCCAAAAAAAAACCCTATGAAGTGATTATTCTGCTAAACGTGCAATTATGTCTTTTTTTTATTTGTCTTTTGTAATGAAATTTACAGACATTGTTGTAGTATCTGAAACTATTTGTTATTTATCAATTGGTCCTTTTGCAGTTAAGGCCAATATTTGGCACGTGCCACGACGACTCACGTGTGTAGGAAGTCACTTCACACTACAGCTTCTTTTTCTATTCTTCACCCACCTCCCAACCCAACTCACTGTAACTCAATGGCAACGGTGGAGCCAACCGAACCCCCAACAGTAGAAACTTCATGCCCAGAAACCCCTTCTTCTTTTTCTTCTTCTCCTCCGCTTTCACCAAAATCAGCAACCACATGTCCCCAAAACCCAACCCAAAGCCCCTCACCGTCGTCAGTACTAGCGACACCGCTGGCAAGGCTATGGAGACCCACTGCACAGAGAAACCTGAGAAATCAATGGTCCAAATTAGCTTCTTACAGACAACAATGGGCATCTTCTTCTTCTACTGCACGATCACATGCCACCGCTCTTGTAAACGCCTATCTTTCTCAAAAGTACTACTCTCCAGTCTCTACTTATACATGTCTTTTTATCACGGAGACCATGTGCTGTTCTGGGGCATGGTTGGAATTCAATTTCATGCTTAAAAATCCATAATTTTGCATAAAAGGTTCATATTTACTGATTCTTTCAGATACATGCCTTCCATGGAGTTGGGCACCTTGAGGGATATTCCTAATATAAAAAAGAAAGCTTCTCTGAAATTGTTTAAGCAGCAGGTAACAGTAACAAGCAAGCTTTTACTTACTTGACTGCTTTTACAACTCTTGTATCGTGATTAGTGTACAGGTTGTGCTACTTTACTTAATTTTGTTTCAGGTGCTTCATCGAGGCAAACTTTTATCATCATATAAACACATGGTACTTATCTTCTTCTTTTACTGTCTTATTTTCTTTTCTTGTTTTATTAGAATTTAGACATCTTTATTTTCTTTTTCTTTTTTGGGAAAAATTAGATTGGATGAGGAACTAGAAACATTTTTCGTCTTAGTTTATCATGTCTTCAAATTGTCAAGTGCTTAACTCCTAGCAGGAGGAAAATATTCTGTTCTTATTTTAGAGTGGGACTTACATCATGTTGATCACATTTTCAAAGAATACAGTAAGTCTGGTTCTGGTGTTGGACTTGTTCACAACCTCAGACTATAACAAACTAGAATCTAGCTGCTACTTGATAATATGACTTCTTATTGTTTATATAATCAGCGAGTTGTATTATCTAATCTAAAAGTAGACAGCACATAGTGCTTGTTTTGACTCAAACATTGAGGATATTAATTTTAGAATAACACATTGGTACATCAAATGTTCTTTCAGGATCATGTCAAAATGATTCAGATAAGCACTTTGGACCTAAAAGTTACTGAATGATAAGTTTGGTTTGACTTATCTGGTGATTATCATCTTTATGACGTAGAGTTGCATATTAAATAATAAGCAAGGATCTTTATGACGCAGCATTGTTTAATCTCCAGGTCTCAGTTGTAACTCACATGGTTAACATTAGTAGATCCATGAAATGCTTTCTCAAAGGCGCAAGCAGTAGTCCACTTGTACACTTTTCTGGCTATTCCGAAGATAAGAATGATCCTGGGGATGGTGGTGAAATTCTAGTCTTTACATTTTGGACGATCTCTTGCTTCGGTTAGTTAAATTAAAGATCATCTATACTGTGTCTTTCTATATGATATTGATTGATCATGCCTGTATGTTTTGTTCTTATTCAAACAATCTCAACAGGAATAAACCCAGTTTAATTTTGGGTTCAGTTCTTTAAATTAATTTTTAGTTATTATTAATTGGGTCATGGAAACACATTTGATTCAAAATGGCTTTCGCTAGGTCCGATATGCACCTACCAAATTAATTATCTTTGTTAGTTTTTAGGAATAATATACACAATCGACATGTGGTTGCAGAACATCAAGAACTAACTCTTGATTTATGACAATAGCATTTGATGATATTATGCAAGGAAAATACAAAATTATGCTCTGTCATTATGTAAGATTATGTTTATCTTGTCACAATGTGGAAGGTTTTTGTTGCTTGAAAATTTTCAGTTTCCAATCTACCTTGTGTGGTTACATGAACACGTGCATGGTATAGAGGTTCAAATTTTGTGATGAGTTTCTCACCATTTTGTTAATAACTAATTTGAGAGGTTAGGGAATAATCTCAACTGACAAAAGACAGTACGGGTTAGGACAAAAAAAAGGGAATATAGTATATGAGGGGTCTCTATTCAAACTTTTCCATACTAGCAACATTTGTCCCTTGGTACTGTACGGTTAGTAAAAGAGTCAGCAAAAGAGTGATTGTGGTATTTTGCATCAAAGTAAAAAATCTGTATATGTATAAAGCTATTGTCATATAAGTTCCACATGATTGTGAACTGTGAATCTTAAACAATCTCAGAAGAAGTGGCAGAGGAGCTTGTCCAGATGTTTATATTGGAGTTAAATTTGAAGGTAAGTTGCTGCATATTTGCTTCTATAGTAATTTCAACATGCTCTTAGTCACATTTTTTTTTGGGTCACTTTATTACTTGTTTGTGCTGTTTTGTTTGTGCAGCGTTTGCTTGTGGTGGAGTTACTATCCATTAGTTGCAAAGTTCCACCTTTAAACAGTTTGCCTTGGTCAGATGAGCTTTATCCGGGAGAATTTAGTGATTTGAGTATGTGTAACTTATACTCTGAGGAAACTTGTAAGCCAGTCTATCCAAGATTGAATGATCAGAAATCTGAAATGCCAGCTGCGCGATTTAACCAGCAGCCAGATCATGATGTTTTGCAGGTATGGTTGCCATTGATTTAAGCTATTGGTAAAATATGTTTGTGCTCAAATGGGTTCTCCTCTATTTTCGTATTTACCTAATACATATGGAATTTTCCAGTCAGGATATACAATATGGAATCAGTTTTCTCGGATGGAAAGAATTTCCAGTATGATTCTTAAGAATTGAGACCGATGCAGATTCAAAATGTTTTCTTATTCACTTTCAAATAGTTGTTTACCTAAGTGAAATGGAAAATTGCGCATTATAGTCGAACAATAAAAGTTAGGATGATATTCAGTTCCTCTGGGAGGTTCTCATCAGCACTAGGCCTCACATTCTGAAATGCAAAACATCCCTTACGTCATCAGTAAAACTTAGCAGTACCTAAGCATTTTGGAGAGTAACTAAAATGATTAAGATGGGAAATATCATATAGATGGGGAAGGTATGTTTACTTTAAATGCAGCTGCATATGCTGCCTGGAGAGATGACAATATCATTCAGTCCTAGTATTTGCTATGGATTTCAGTACCTCTAAACCAATTTGATTTTGCAGGTTTATCTAACAACATGGCTTGCAGAGGTGAACATAGATTTTGAAAGGTTGGAATTATCTTGGTTACTTTCTAAGGTCATTTCAGACATTCTATTTCTATTTTGATAACATCTGCGCAGTTGCGTACTGTAAATTATTGTTTCTTAAGTCGCACAAAAATGAAATACCAGGATGCAAATTCATGTTTTAAAGGTTTGATTAGTTGCTTCTCTTTGAAAAGGGTGGATGAAATATTTGTGGAAGTTGGCGATGAAATGCATGTTACGATTTCATGAGTTGCTGGCCTGTCCAGAAACAAAACGTATGAAATTTTGTCAAGGAGGTATTTATGTTGATACGCTGAAGATTTGACTCTTTTGAAGCGTCCGTGTTAGTTGTAAAGAGGGAAATGCTTGAAAATGCCCGAAGGTCGATTCTGCCAAAGTCCCCAAGCCCCATAGACCACGGGAAAAAACAGAGAACCTTCAAAAGGTGTAGGCGTCTACATAACAGAAGTCACTTCAACTTTGCAAGTGAATTGAAATACTGATACTACTGTAGTTGTTTATGTTACATGACCCGTATTTAACATAAATTAGAACTAATTCCTATCTATTGCTTTTAATCTTTGCTTAAAGTTTTCGTGGACTATTTGACAATTTTGAAGCTGAAATTACTGAGAACTAGCTTGTGGGGCGGATTGGAGTGCCAAATCATTTTCTTTTTCATTTTGTGGGTGGATTGGATCTATAAGCGCAGGTCATTTTGAATTTGATGTCTCAGCCTCAACGACTCTTTTCAAGCTAGTGTGTTTTGACTTCTTATTTGGAAAGTGTATATGTATTGATCAATTATATCTATAATTGTATCTGTTTGCAGGGTATTTATTCTCACATAATGTCAAGAGCAAGTACTTATACAAACACATCAACCCACTATATAAAAGTGGATTCCCTTGATGAACATAAGGAATGTGGATGGCCACCATGACATTCATAACACCCACTATATGAATAGTGGGTAACTTATGTACTAATTTTTATAGCTATGGGCTTGTAATTTATGAGTTGTAAATGCATTTATTGATGTAAGTCTATAAATAAGAGGTCTTACAAATACAAAGGGAACAAGTTTAGAGAACAAATTCTCGTATTTCCCTTCCCTTTATTTCTCTCTACATTCTCTCTAGTTTTATAATATGTTATCAGCACAAGAGCTCTTGGTATTATTTCTTTCTTTGTTTAATTTGTTCTTTTACTTTTCGCTTGAGCTAGAGTCATGACATGGTTCAGAGTTTTTGCACTCACCCATGAGATTTCATGAGCTTTGATTTTAATTATTTACTGTATCTTATGTTTTTATTATACAAAAGATCAAGGCCTAAAGTCCATCGATCCTCATCATTTAAATAGATCAGGACCTAAAGTTCCTTGATCGAATCAAAACCTATAGTTCTTTGATTCTCAATAACTGAGTGTTACCCAATTTTCCAAAAATAAGGACATGAAACTCCTTGATTTTGTATTCATTATATTCAAAATTCCATAAGATCTACATATCTCACGGATCCGAACCAAAAGTTTCGGGCTTATATGAATTAACTGTATCAATTTTAGAACCCGAAGTTTTAATTGTGTCAGCCTTGAATAAGAAGTTTCGAGTGCTTATGAATTAATTTGAATATGAAATTCAAAGCACACATTAATTTAATTGGATTTACGCATTTAAACATGACACTTCGAATACATGTTATTGTGAATATGAAGTTCATAGTTTTTTAATAGATTTTAATATTAATATGAACCTGATGTTTATTGGTTCTTTGTGCCTATTTGACATTTGAACTTCATAGAACCTAAAGTTCTATATCCATGAGATGAATTATTAAGAACTCAAATTTTAGAATCACATGGCAAAATAGCATACTTTGAGGCCCATTGAATTGGTTGGAAATCCAATTATGAACTTGCAATTCTATTTATAAATTGAATACACGTCAAAATAGGCATATCTTAGATTTTCATAGTCTTTAATTATTTTATTTCTCGTTAATACCAATTCAATTTGTTTTGTATTTTATTATATTTATGTTTTGATTATTAGTTTATTTATTTCGTTTTACAATGGTAATATTACCCCCAAAATATTGACAACCAAAGGCATCATTTGGAGAAACTTAATACTTTCTTTTGTGGGTTGTATTACCCAACCACTAAAGTAGTTGAAGCCCATGCCATTTTATTTATTACATTATTGGTTTGATTGAGTCATGTTTCCAACGAACAACAATCCTCCTGTACATTTCGTTTTTGGCATTCAACTACATTTTATGCGTTTTTGGATGTTTATGTGCCTATTGCACAAACATAATGTACTTACCGCATTTTTTAAGGATTGTTCATTTGATAAGACAACTTTCCCTCTGTCAAAGGGAGATATGATAGTTCCTAAAGAACGTTGTGAATTAGCTTTGAATACATCCGCTTTTGTCTTATCAAGATAAGGCATATATAAGTTACATAACTATAAGTAACTACCAAATAATTAATATGTTGCATGCTTAAAGCATGACATATCTATAGGTTCTAAAGACTTCACTCCAAAAGTGGAGATTAATTGAAAAATTCAAGCCCTATCGAAAATAACTCTCTATAGGAGGTTATGATCCATATATTCTAAATAATTCATCTTAATAGAGATTTTTGTCCCATGAGTGACAACAGAAGCCCCTGAAGAGGCATTGGTATCCCAAAGCAATTAGATGCTTATAAATTTTGTACGCGCATGCACAAGAGAATTGTGCGATCACGAATTGATAAGACATTTGGTTTATTAGTAGCTACTACAATCATCAAGGGCTATGATTATGTTAAATCACGCTTCATGAATGTCGACAAGTTAAGTGATTGGCAAAAATGGAAATAGCATTATCACTAAATATGACGTGTTGGATATTGAACCTATAGCTCAAACACCGAATTACAAATATTAAGTTTCCAGGTTACAGATTTTGTTTGTGAAGTGAAATAAGATCACTAATATGACATAAGGTTTCCTGGTAGAGAAATGGTTTTAGTCTCTTATACCACTATAGATGCATCCACATTTCTGTAAGTACAATTGTTATTTTAATTCTAAACATGTGTTAAATGCATATTTAATAAGATTGCATGGTACAAGGGAATTCTCAGTGCTCATGAAATATTTGAGATAAATCCCATGAAGGGACTCCTTGAAGGATATAAAGTACTATGGTATTATTAATTAAGAGTTACCACTAAGAGTGAGAGTATTTTGAATTCAAATTTGATATTTGTAGGGACTTTTTGGTTCCAACAATTGCAAATGGGTTTGAGCCGCTATAAAGAGCAAATGGGTGAAGTGCCTCTTTGCTTGAGTTCAAGAATCAAGCCCTAAAAGTGCCTCGAAAATTTCATGGAGCCTTAGGAAGCACTTTGGTTTCTTTCACTAACAAGAGAGACAGCTGCATACAGATCAATGTTATGGCTTGGCTTGAGTAGCTTGTGGTATGGGAGCTGAGCCTTCATGAGTTTAGCATTAGAGAGAGAAAGCTTGGATTTCTTATGAGAAACAGAGATTCAAAGGAAAGGGAGAGGGAGATTTGGGAAGGTTTGATGAGGGAAGAGAGGGAGAGATGCGGATGAAGGGATGGGTGGCTTGAGAAGATTTTCTAGCAACTTGACGATTGCTTGGTCGTGCTTTGGGTGGTTTGCCAGAAGAGAAAAGAAGAAGATGGGAGAACATGGCTTGAAATTGAAGGTTCCAGCAGTGAGTGAGGATGCTTGCTCGCTCTGGCTGTGTTATTCTGCTGGGTAGGAGATGCCCCCTTTTATAGGCACTGGAATCTCCTTCTTTCCAGGAAACCATAACTGGTTTTCTCCAATTTTGCAAAGTATTCTTCTCTATTTTCCCTTCACTTCTTCCGATTCAACCTTCTTTTGTGAAATTTCCTTAATCCAAAAACACTAGGACAAGATTTTTTGGAGCTCCATAGTCTTCCTACAGCTGACCTCTGTAGAACCTTCCATCCCTGGCAACGCTCTCTCCCCATTTCCTTTCTTATTTTCTGGCATGAACTGATAGAGGAAAGACATAGGCAAGGGTGCTGGTTTGAAGAGTGTTTTACTTCCAGCAACACGCAAACTTGAGTTTCCTTTGGTTTTAACGATGGCTTGTCTTGGATTTGGCTCTAGTAATGTGCTGGAGGTTTTTTTGGGATATTTTCAAGATGCTGGGTCATTTCCTAAGGTGATATGCCTTTTTTTTTATTTTTTATTTTTTTCTTCTCATGCTTCCCCATATGTTTGGGCTCAAGAAATGAGCTTGAGTTTTGGTGCTCCTAAGCAGCTCAAAACTTCCACTCCTTGAACCATCAATAAGCCTCGTGAACACTTGTAACCATCCATACCGCAATCCGCATAGCAAGCCCCAAGAATTCGAGTGGTTTGGGCCCACTTAAGCTTGTAGCGTGTTTTGGTGCCAAGATAAAGGTTTTCTGCTTTGCCGTATTGTAATGGGCTATGGCCGGGCCAAATGGCAGTAGACGAGATAATAAGTGTGGATTCATAGTCCCAGTACATTTTACGGGCTTGTTATGACCTTTCTCAGTGGCGGGTTGCGTATTTGGTTGGCGTGGCACGTGGACCATAACTTGTGTAAGTGTACATGACAAACTCTTACGTATTCCAGTCAGGCTTCTTCCTCGGTTAAGTGTTGTACTGGGCCAAAAATATATTTGGGCCTAACCTTGGATTTTTTAGGCCTCAACAATACTATTGTAATACATTCTAATTATTAGATAAGTTTTTGATGCTCTTATAGAGTTCAATCATTTGAAAAGTGAAAAGCACTTTGAATAGTGTGATAAATGATCATGTATATAAAGACAAGGTTGCTCATATAACTATAGTTAAAGAAGGGTTCATCAAAGGTGGCGGAAGCAAAACTCTTTACCAGAGTTTTTTTTTCTTTTTCTTTTTGAAGTCAATATTCCAGATTTTATTGAGGATCATAGGGGATATGAATTAGGGGGAGCATCCCAGTTCTACTACATATATGATGTATGTGCGTTGTACTCTTTTTCCTTTAACTAGGTTTTTGTTACACCGATTCCTAGCAAGGTTTTAACAAGGTAGCATAAGCGCGTCTAACACCATATCAATGATTTAGAAGAAAGTTGTACTATTTTTCCCTTTGCTTCGGTTTTGTCCCACTGGGTTTTCTAAGGTTTTTAATGAGGCAACTATATCATCGTATGGTGGCCATCCAAGGGGGAGTGTTATAAACATAAGGAATATGGATGACCACCATAACATCCATAACACCCACCATATGAATAGCTTGTACCTTATGCACTAATTTCTATAGTTATGGGCTTATAATTTATGAGTTGTAAACGTATTTGTATCATTGTAAGCCTATAAATAAGAGGTCATACTAATATGAAAGGAACATGTTCAGAGAACAAATTCTAATTTTTCCCTTCCCCTGATTTCTCTCTACATTTTCCCTCTAGTTGTATAACAACTCCCATATATTATGTTTCAGAATGCCTTCAGATTAAATAATCCTTAGCTCTAGTAACCTGGTTGAATATGCCTCCAATATGGTAATCCCCTCCCCCCTCCCAATTTTTTTTTCATTTATATGTTTAAGAGTGACAATTTCGAATACGACTAAAAAATGACACAAGGAACAGTTGCAATGATAATATCTTGACGTATTTATAGAAAAGAAAAAAATATAAGATAATTCATGTATAAAGACGCAAAGGCTTGTAGTTCAAGTAATTACGAGCATCTATCCTGTACTCGAGGTCTTAGGTTTAATTTCCCCTTCCCTAATAGCAATTGTGTAAAAAAGACTATGCATAACTTCTTAATCTTTTCACTTGTGTTTTCTTTTTTCTTCGAGTTATCTCTTTAAGTCCATCTTTTACCTATTAATAGTAAGAACACTACAAGATAGCATGTGATTCTGTAATAATGATAGTCAACATAGGTGAACTGTAAAATGCACTTAATGGCATAGTATAATACTTCTAGATGGTCATCTAAATTTTGATGAGATCCCACAATATAGAATAACAATTTTGAAATGAACTATTAATTTACTGATGAAATAAAAATGAATCTTATTGAATGTTTTTTTTTATTGTTTGTCAATCTTGATTTTTTTATTTATTAAACAAGAATGGGATATTCGAACTTGGAACATTTCCAACATTAGGAAGAGACGTACCACTAGATCAAGAGCAACTTGTCATCAATCCTGAAGTAGAAAAACGTTATGGAATGATTTTGATTTAATTATAGGGATTCCAAAAAAATAAACTCAATGATCCAATATCATGCACGCTGAAAAGAAACTCAAGCATAAATTCACAAATCAAAGATCATGTACCATTACAATTACTTAAGTACTTGTTTCCTAATTCCTACAGTTCATAAATGCCTAGAAATGGCATTAAAACTGACCCAATCCACAGCTTGCCATCCTTCTCTTCCACTTCACTAATGAATCTCATACTCTTTCCCTCACAATCTTCCAAAACTTCCAAAATTTCACCTCGCTCACTTAACTTGATAGTGTTGGAAAAACAATTATCAATGACTGATTAAAACAATTATATAAACAGAATATATAACAATTTGTAACACAGAATAATATATTAACAATAAATAAAACTGACTTGAATTTGAGATAGAGGCTTGCAGATTTGATGCAATGTCCTAAAGACAGTAATTTCACCCCTTCTCGGTGCTTGAAGTTCTACAGGTGACTGCCTCCCAGGATTCAACTATCTATATTCTAAGCCCTAGCACTCGGACTTAGAATCTGGCGAACGTTGTTTGTTTTCCTCTCAGACAATATGAAAATGCTTGTAGAATGCTTTTTTTCTGTATCTAACGTATGAGGCCTTGTTTGATTTAAATAAACTTCTGAAACCTTATCAGAAGAGTCACAACTGTTAGAAAACAGTTAATAAAACTAATCCGAATTAATAAAAATTATTAATTCGAAACCAAAAAATAATTTTAAATCTGAAAGTGCCCCAAGGCCCAAGGCCCATCTTTTTGACCATTAAATATTATATATTTTTATATAATATTCAAAGCCCAAATCAATTTTGAAGCCCAAATTGCTTCCACTTGGCCTACTTCCATTTACTAAGTGTGGCACTTCCACACTTATAAGGACCTCACTCTTTCTACTTTCTATCAATGTGGGACAAAGGTTCTTGAATTTAATTCAAACTTCCAACAGATAGTAGTTGCATGGGCCTTCCTTCTGACTAGTAGCGAATGCAGTTGTTTAAAATCAAGGGGAAGCTTTAGCAGTGACTTCCCAACCAATCTGTTAGAGACAAACCACTTCGCGAAAAATCCCCTCTTTGCATGCAGTGCAACCCAAAACTCCCTTTTCGAGTTCCTTCTTATGTTGTCTGGGAATCCCAGAAGCTCTGCAAAAGTATTAGTATTTCCAGCATTTGGACCATGAAGCCAAAGCCTCAAGATCCTGCAAGTAGTTGTTTCAGCCACTAGCACAAAAGAGTGGTCTTTGCTCAATGCAACACCACCGTTGGCGAAGGCAAGACCTCGTAGTAAAACCGTTACTTCTTTGTTTGATTTATTGTATTTGAGTAATCTACCAGTCCAGTCTCCATTCAAGATTGATGACATGAATTGCCTGCAAGCCCACAAAAGCATGAAATTCTAAACTTTGAAGTAATTTTAGCAAAGAATTCCTAAGTATGGCAATGGAGTAATAAAATCCAAATGCAGATAGATCTTAGATTATGGAAATAAAGGATAACGATGGCGAAAGAGAACAACAAAACAAGAAAAGGGCTAGCACTCCCTTTCAACTCAATCTGGCACTGTTGATTTGGCATCCAAATTTTCGACGAATCAATTGGACATTGCAGCTTATAGAATGCAAAAAAGATACCATAACACCGAAATATAACTTTTGCATAGATATTTCTATTGGATGCTTTCTATAGGCAACACATCAAATATTTTACATAGGTTTTTTCATATTTTGAATCTTGATACATCTGGTCCAGATGATTTGGAGCCAAAATGTGTGACCATTGAAGTGAAGCAGACTACAAGTTATCTGGAGTTTGAAATTGAAAGAGCTTAAATGCCAAATTATCCCAAGAAATGTCTCTCGAACACACTACTCTTATGAAATTTGAAATTTTAATTTGCAGATTAAAATGTTGAAGGCTACATACTTTTGGCATGTCCTACCATTCCATCCACATTGTTCTCTGACAAAAACTGAAGTGGCTGGTGAAAGGGAAATTCTACTTCAAATCACTTTCATATGCAACCCTAAAGCCTAAGGAGATAAAGTAAGTCTTTGTGCTTAAATTACCTTCTATGGAATATTGTGCTTGAATCTGTGAAGTAAATCACATCCTTATGCTCATCAATGTCCATATCATTGGTGAAGCGAAGTGGCTGACCTTCCGGAGGATAACCTGTGTATGCTGCCAGTTTGTGGATATTAACTTTGTTTAGCCCCTAAACCCTAAACCCTAAATTTATAGGGGAGACTCTGCCGAATTTTCAGCATAAGTCAAACTTGAAGTAAATTTTGTTGGTGGTTAGATGCGCAATTTGGTCATTTGTGCTCGGCATCCGCCAGATGTCGGACACTCATAGGGTTTGGCTTAAATTCCAAAGCAGAAATTGGGTCGGGTCCTATCAATAGTGGACTTCCTCATCCTACCAATCTCATCCACCTAATCAGCAAATGAACCATATGCTAGCAGTCATATAACAACTGTAAGCTTTTCCTCCAAAAGAAGCCACAAAACCCTAGCAGCATCACACTTCTGAACAAAGTATGCATCGCAATTGCAAACATCATGCATGACTTTATTGAACAAATGGGGTTGCATTCTATATCACCCTCGAAAATCAACATTAGAGTACACAGAATTTGGAATAAAGTAATCTTCCAAAAGATTCTTACCCTGAGAATGCCTATATATGTCCACGTTCGGGCCACGACCGACTTGTGAACAACGGCGACGATCTTGACTTTCTAAATTGACCAAACCCACTGCCATGGCAACTTGTTCATCTTCTTCTTGCTGTACCCTTTTTTCTTCAGCTCCTCTACGCCTTCTATCTTTAATTTCTCGCTCTTGCCTCTCCAAGCATCTCCTCATGTTTGACATTGAGAGTGGAGTGTGAAATCTAAAATCTGAGAAATGAAAAGATAGAGAAGATCTAGTGTGAGATGTATAAGTTGAGCCTTTGGTTTTATAGAGAGATTTAGAAGATAGAGATGACACGTTGCGCGATTTTAGAGGGTGAAAATCTTATCTAAAATTTGAATCTTATCTGAAAAATTCATTCGAATTATGAGATATGAATTTTATAATAAATATTGACAGGTGGGAATCGAAAATCTTCTCCAAATTAATTGTTTAGGTTTAAAAAAAAATGAAAAAGTGAATAGTATTTGCCATGGCAATGGGTGGAAACATACCTTACTTTTTGCAAAGGCTGTCACTATTTACATAAATAGTATCTGCCATTGTCTTCCATTGTTTTTTGTCATGACAAATGAGTGGAAGTGCTCCTATAATGGGACCAAAGTTCAAAATTTCAAGTCAATTTTATTTGGGTTTAGTCCACCCAATTTACCTACTACAAATTTTCCGAAATAATAATAATTAGAAGCAAAACGTGGCTTAGACCCCAAAAAAATAAAAACGTGGCGGGGGTGATTTCGTCAAAACAGGAATTGGGGGTTCTGTAATTCTTCCTAGGGCTAGGGCGGGTCTCAAGGCCAAAAAACGCAAAAGTTTTGCGTCAAAACGCTGCACTGCAACCGTCCCTTGTTTCTTTGCCGCTCAATCTTACACAGGTACTCCTCTTCTTCTTGTACTTCTGGGGTTTAAGCTTGTTCAATCTGAAATTTTCTAATCGGTGAAGATGGGTTTATGGTGTTCGACAAAAGGTTTGAACTGGGGTTGAGTTGATTATATTGTTTTTTCTTCTTCTTTTATTTGCAGAGGCACTGCGTGAGTTTGTGAACTGAGCTGGCTGGTAGACGGAGGCAGAAAAAATGGATGCAGATGCTAAGGACGAAGGTTACAAACTTCCACCAGATTTTCAAGAAAATACTAAAGAAGCACTTGTCGATTTCACTGTGACCGACTCCACAGAGCTTTGGCTCATTGATTTGCCTAAAGATCAAGTATGTTTCTTTTTGGATGGGGGGCTCTTTTCTAATACTTTGTATCAATGCCAGTTTATAAGTTCAGTATAAAGAGAGACCAAAAATATGCAAGCTTTAATAATCTGTCCAAGTCATTCCAGTGTTGTGCTTTTCTCGCTTGAGAGGGGAGTGATTATGGAAAGTGCTTTTTTTAATCTGGGAAGAAGTTTTACACTGAACTAGTTGATGACCCAATTTGTGTTAAAGGAAAATAGGAACAACTTAAACCTTAACTAGCTGTCCGGAACTGACTTCCATGGCCTCAGGTCCTTATGGTGGAAAAATAGTGATCATGTCATTAGAATTTAGCAGTAGTGCTATTTTTGTTTCTTATTTTGATCTTTGCCAGTCATTGAATTTTGATGATGATTTTTGGGTATTGCAGAATCCTGATTTCAATGGTGTTGAACTGTCGCTCAAGCTTCATAATGATGGAACGTTGGGCAGTTTTGAGGCTCCATCAGGTAATTATACATAAACTTTGTTAATAGAAGAGCCAAACTTTAGTGATTTCATATCCAAAGAAGCTAATTTCTATATGACCCTGCAATGCCCGATTTCTTATTTACTATGGATAGCTGATACGATCTTTCTGATGTTCTCAGGGAAAGAATATGAAGTGGTCAGTAGTGCAGCTGAGCAAAAGGCTACAGTTTTTGTATCTTCTGCTTCGGGCACAAAAATTGGTACACTGGAAACCTATCATATTAAGAATCTACTGGGCATATATTAATCTCAACTTTGGTTCTTATGCTTACCTTTCAGTTCCTTATTAATGTTTTAAAATTGGGACTGAGCCTTGGCATCACAGTTTGACGTTCTGTCAAAACTTCAACAACCAACTTGAATTTAGTTGTTTTAATTGTTATACATTCATGATTCGTGTCCCATCTGTTCCTAAAACCTTGACATTGGGCTCACATGTGAGCAGAATATGTTCGTGTTTAGATTCTCAATATTGTTATTTTCCAAACAAGTACGGGTGATTTAGCTAGTTTTATTATTTGGTTATGTGAAGTTCTGGTACTATATTTTAAGTCTTGCATTTGCTGTATGGTCATTTTAATCATGGTAGGTTGAAATGATAAAATACAATTTTATTTGACCTTTTTCTTTGTTTTTGTCTCTTGATAAAATTGTTGTTCTTATTACAATTGTTGCTGTTGTTTTGTTGTCTTCACTGGCAATGGTCTTTGAGGTGTCTTATTTCTTATATTGAATTGATTTATATCTTGGCAGCTGGGAAGATTTCACGGAGAGTTTCTTTTGTGCATTACCCAGAGCCTAGTGAGCTTAAAGAAAGACTAAATTCCAAAAGATTGAAAAAAATGTATCAGGAATTACCATCTGGAGTGTTGACCCAATCTTCCAACAATTTTGCAACTCCTACACGAAGTTCAGTGCCGAGAAACTCACAATCAGCAGGTGGACGTTCAGCCTCTACTCATAGTAGCAGACCTAAAAGTTCCATACATAGTGTTGGCGAGCAATCACAGCATCGAAAGAAAAGGCATACACCCGAACCTAGTAGGTCCATGAACCGGTCTTCCCAAAACTCAGGACGAGGTAGTGCAGTCAGTTCCTTAGGACAAGGTAATAGTGGAATCAGTTCCTTAGGACAAGGTCATAGTGGGGCTACTTCCTCAGGACAAGGTCATCATGGTAAATCAAGGAAGAAAGTAAAAGATGAGAATTGACATCTCTATCCGAGGGTTCCAAACACCTCCTGCACAATGGATCTTGATGGAGGATGAAGTAATCAGTCCTCTGTATTGCTTTTCGGTTTGGCCAGACACTTGAAGCAGTTTTACAAAGTGCCAACCCGTTTGTGCTATCCTGGCTTCTTGTTGATTATATAAAGCTTTTAGTTAAATTTGTTTCTGGGATATTTTAGTTGAAAATTTATTCCAGGAGAACACGTACATCATTCCTAATTCCTAATTTCTCTCTTAATTGGTTCTGATGTGTCGGATCTCACCTGCTCAAAAATGTAATCTTCCTTCCATTTATTTCTTTTTGTATTACAGCTACTTATGTTTTCCAAGGTTGCAATTATACCTGAATATCCAGATGCTTGCAACATGAGCTCAAATTTGCCGAGGCCAATAGAAAGTCTAGCCCAACCGCGAATGGTTCACTCAGGGCCGTTTAAGCAAATTGGTTACTGTCGCTCGTTGATGCATGTAGAATTCATATTACATTTGCGACTAAAAATAAAATTGGTTACTATAACTCGTTGATGCACGTAGAATTCACATAACATTTACGACTAAAATTAAACTGCTCGTTCGTGTCCAATTGTACCTAGTGAAACTGATTTTGCATTATTGCGTGTACGACTGTCTTTAGTATGACCGATCTTTAGCATAATCGATCCGCATTATTATTCGTTATCCTCGGGCCATGGCCCAAAAGTACAATAAGGGGAGAATCTCCCTTCACTCATGGATAGTCCACTTGTCCTGACAGGCTGACACAAAACTACTCTGTCCCGCCATGCATTCTCCGCTCTCATCTATCAAAGCTCAGTTTGATTTGGTGTCTCCGACTTTTCGTCCCCTTCCTTTGCTACCCAACTTGGCATGGCACGTGGTAAATTCATATAAAATTTCCCACCACCAATCAAATTCAAACACGTGTACGACAAACCACCTTTGTCATAGACCCACCGTTTTCTAGATCCAACGAGCGCAGCCTTACACTTGTATCGTTTTCCATACAAAATTAGGAGCACCAATAAGAGATTAAATATTAGTATTTAATAATGGAAATTAATCTGAATTTCCCATACAAAAATAAACAAATAATTAATATTTAAAATCTTAGTGGAAGCGGACTAGCCAGAGTTGAGAGAGAGTTGTATTGTATCCACTCACGGCTCAGCTCAATTTTAATCCCTTTTAAAATCTTAAGCCTTTAAAAACTGAATTTCACTTCACTACTGGACTAGCTTTGGTGTTTTCTTTGACTGTTTTTTTCTCTCTCTCTCTCGCTCTCCCCCTATCCTTTCTGCGTTCCAATCTGCAATCAGGTACAAAACCCTAATTGCTGCTTCTTATCTCAAATTTTCATCCTTAATGATTATTTTAATCTCTCTCTAATTAATAGCCATTGCTGTTTGTGTTTATTTTCTGTCTTGCATTGTCTTTCTACTGTAGCTTTTCATCAATCTGATATATTTCTTTCCCGGATTCTAGTTTTCTTTTCATCCCTTGTTTGGTTGCCGTGAAAATCGAAGTTTCTATTCAATTTTCCAGCAACCCAGACGGAGGATTTATATAAATTGGTTTTGCTTGCTGCTCAAACTTAGATCTCATCCAAATCTAATATTAAAAGTCGTAATTTTTTTTTGGTTGTATTTCCGTCGGAATTGGTGGTCATTGGAAAGCTGCTGATTTTCTACACTTTGTGTGTGAATTTTGCGATTAGGTTCCTGTACTTGCACCAAATTATGGTGACAATGGATGTGGATAACAAGCTTTATAGTGTGGGTCTGATGATTGTGGCCACTCTAGTGGTGGCCAAGCTTATCTCATGGCTTTTGATGTCCCGATCTGGAAAGCGTCTCCCTCCGGTGGTCAACACGTGGCCTGTGATTGGGGGACTGCTCCGTTTCTTGAAAGGTCCCATTGTGATGCTTCGTGAAGAGTACCCTAAGCTTGGGAGTGTATTCACATTGAACCTACTTAACAAGAAGATCACTTTCTTGATTGGTCCTGAGGTTTCTGCTCACTTCTTCAAGGCCCCGGAGTCTGATCTTAGCCAGCAGGAGGTCTACCAGTTCAATGTGCCTACTTTTGGCCCCGGAGTTGTATTCGATGTGGATTACTCAGTGCGGCAAGAGCAGTTCCGGTTCTTCACTGAGGCTCTCAGGGTGAATAAACTTAAGGCATATGTGGATCAGATGGTTACTGAAGCAGAGGTAAGTGTTTGGATTGAATATATTTTTTGTTATCTAATCTGCTTTAGCCTTCAACATGTTTAGTAATTTATTCACATATGTCTAGGAGAAGACCCCCTCCGTATTCTTAGGCAAGTAGCAATATCAGATGTGACTCTAAGTCACAATTCTTTACCATCATGGCCTACACTAATATCCTGGGACTTGCAAGTTTTTCTAGTAATGTTGATTGGATGAAGGGCCTTCTCCAACTGGCATGTGTTTCTCTTTCATGAACTTTAATTTGATTAGAAAGACAAAAGCAAAACAGTAGCAGTTAACCTGAATTTTTTCAAATTGGAAGTACAGTATTGCATTAAGAGTACTTTCCATGAGCTTGATTTATCTGGGAAGACTTATTTAGATTCTCGTTTTATGTTTTTCCTAGGTTAGTAGTCTGAAGTTTGGGTGACTAGCATTGCATGCTTGTTAGGGCGTATATGCTTTCTTTTCTAAATTTAATCAGATTCTGACCTGAAGAATCACTACGCCAGGTTGTGCAGACAATATGTCAAATATATTGATTGTTTATTTATGAGAGAAAAATGCAACCATTGGCTTGTCTATTCATTAAAGACTGCTCCTAAATATTGACCAAACAAAAAAGATTGCTCTTTAATCGGAACAATTGAGAAGCCTTTAAGACCTGGTTCTTTTTTTTTTTCTTTTTCTTTTTTATTATTTTTAAAAGAGAATAAATTGCCACTAAGCATCAATTAGATGCTGGCAAGTCTGGGGCAACTTAAGCTTTCATCATTTTCCTCTTATACTATTGTTCAATTTAAGCGCACACGCAGGCACAAACACTCACAAAGACATGCTTGTGCTGTTTATTCTAAAGTCTCAAACAACTTGTTGGAACTTTCACTTGTGCTTGTACCTTGTTCTAGAAAACTTATACCTAGTGTACAGACATCTATGGTGTTAATCCTTGTCCTCAAACTGTACTTGGCAGGATTACTTTTCCAAGTGGGGAGACAGTGGCGAGGTGGACTTAAAGTATGAGCTGGAGCATCTGATCATCTTAACTGCCAGTAGATGCCTCTTGGGTCGCGAAGTTCGTGATAAACTCTTTGATGATGTTTCAGCATTGTTCCATGACCTTGACAATGGCATGCTTCCTATTAGTGTCATCTTCCCGTACCTGCCCATCCCAGCTCACCGTCGCCGTGACCAGGCACGCAAGAAGCTTTCAGAAATCTTTGCAAGCATCATAAACTCCCGTAAGCGTGCTGAACAGTGTGAGAATGACATGTTGCAATGTTTCATTGATTCGAAGTACAAAAATGGCCGACCAACAACTGAATCTGAGGTCACTGGCTTGCTCATTGCTGCTCTCTTTGCTGGGCAACACACTAGTTCTATCACTTCCACTTGGACTGGGGCCTATCTCCTCCGTCACAAGGAATACTTATCTGCTGTGTCAGAGGAGCAGAAAAACCTAATGAAAAAGCATGGGAAGAAGGTTGATCATGATATATTGTCAGAGATGGATGTCCTGTATCGTAGCATCAAGGAAGCTCTGAGATTACACCCTCCACTAATCATGCTTCTGCGAAGCTCGCATAGTGATTTTAGCGTACAAACCCGTGAGGGAAAAGAGTATGACATCCCGAAGGGGCACATTGTTGCCACATCACCATATTTTGCCAACCGGCTTCCTCATATTTACAAGGAGCCAGACACGTACAATCCAGAGAGATTTGCTACTGGGAGAGAAGAAGATAAGGCAGCAGGGGCATTCTCTTATATCTCATTTGGAGGTGGCAGGCATGGATGCCTTGGTGAGCCTTTTGCATACCTGCAGATAAAGGCTATATGGAGCCATTTGCTGAGAAATTTTGAATTGGAGCTGGTGTCACCTTTTCCTGAGATTGATTGGAATGCCATGGTGTGTGGGTGTGAAGGGAAAGATGATGGTGCGGTACAAGCGACGGGAGCTCTCTTTCGAATTAATGGCAATGGACTTTTTTTGGGTGGTCAGCAGGTTTTTTTTTGTGTGAGAGGTTTTTTTTTTTTTTTTTTTTTTTTTTTTTTTTTTTTTTTTTTTTTTTTTTTGGGTTAAGGTCAGCAGGTTTAAATTATTGTTCTCTAGGATGTTTTTGTCCCTCTTCTTATGTGTTGATTTTCTTCCCCGTTTTGCAATTAAATGTTGATGATGCGTACTTTTACTGGATTGTGTCTTGTTTAGTGTCTTATTTATGATGAAGATTGTAGCTTCTGACATGACTTCAGATTTACTCCAGTTTCATGGACTAGCGGCAGTTGTTTTTAGTTCTCTTATCTTCGAAAAAAAAAATTTGCTACGTGTAGAGGAGCAGTTGATGCAGCACAATGCCAGCTTTTTTTTTTGGGTCGGAAACACATCCATTACGAAGAGAAAACAAAGAGGAAAACAGCACAGGCGCTGCACCTCAAAGACATACAGGTCCAGTCTCCACAAAACGCCACAATGCCAACTTAGGTGATTCAATTTAATGTTTCACTTGCAGATGTACTGCATGAAAAACTTGAAAAGTATAGATTACAAAAAGCTTATCACAGAGAGAGAGAGAGAGAGAGAGGACAGGCTTGAGACAATTAGCTACTTGCCACACATTTTCATTTCTACTCTCGGCTTCATGGAAAGAAATCTTCTCCCTCAAGATTAATGGTATATAATCAAAGAAACCGGCTTTTCTCAGCTAACCAAATATCTTCTGGCATCCTGAATAATAAACTCATGATAAATAAGCCGCATTCTTTATAGCCAGCTAAGTAATTTCCAGTGATAAATGTTGAATTTCAAAGGAAATTCAGTTGGGTATGATCTTGATGAGCTCAATATCAAACAGAAGAGTCTTGTCTATCAGCCCCTGGTTCCTCAGTACAAAATCCAAGGCTCGTTGGCCCTGTGAAACATCGACATTCCACCTTTATAAGTACAAGCAGAATTTCATTACAAGAATCACCAAAAGGACACAAGAATTACCGAAAATGTTGTGGGTCTTGGTCCACTTTTGTTGTAGTCATTCTCAGGATATCCCAACTCTGGGGGCACTATGATCCTGCATCACTGTGAACTAGATTGTGAAATTTGCATATAATATGTGATGTATTAAACAGCTCATTCAACCTAACTTCTTGAAAATTCTTTAAGCAACTGCTATATGCTACAGAAAACATGCAGCACCTTCTAATGCCACCAAGTGCCATGCCTGAAACAGCTTCCTCAAAAGCTGGTATTACCTGAAGATTCAAGGACCAAACACCACCATTAGAGCCCACTAATCGAGTATTTGAGTAATTACATGCTAACAAGCCAGTGAACAACTCAAGATATACGGTTCAATTTAAAATGGTAATTTGTCCTCCTCACTCTTCCAACTGAATCCTTATCTACAGAGTTGCACAATATTGTATTATTAACGACCTTCTGATGTAGCGTTGGACAAACTATGAGACAAAACACATGAGACCATGGAGAATCACAAAGCAAAATAATAAACAAACAGCTGCAACAACCAAGATTGTCTGGTTGAATTGGTTCACAAATCTCTCACCTCCTGAGATCCTACTCTAAATTTGAAAAAAGCCTTGTCATCACCCTGCATTTGAGAAACCATGGAATGGAGTCTGTCAATTAAGCTCATGCAACTCTACGAAGTCCACAGTTAAGGAATGAGAAGTATTCCATACCTCAAATGAACCGCCCTTTGTCTTATTTCGAGCTTCAAAGATACGTCCATAATATCCTATGGTGTAACCATCCCAATCAACCTGGAACACATCCAAATATCAAAAACCACAATAACGACCGAACTTTGAAGATAAAAAACATTTGCAAGCCTGCATGAGTCTATGTTGACTTCATCCAAAATTTCCATCCAAAGTAAAGGAAGTTCGTTCTATAGATTTTCATATAACAGACAAATCCATTGATACAAATTGAACCTAATTTCAAACAGACACCTTATCTGAATGTAAGATTCCCACTTAGTACATGAAAAGTGAAAACCCAAGTAAAAACTTGAAAGCATGCCCTCAAAGAATGGGTGGCTTACCACTACTGTCTCTCCCATCTTGGGTTTGGGGCCATCTCCTAGTCGTAAGTCCTGCATTAGATACCACAAAATAAAAATAAAAAACACTCTGAAGAGCTTGTGAATTTAACTAAACCAAGGAGGTATGGTTAATGTTCCAGTAGGTGACCTTATACTGAAGACCTGATGCAGTTTCTGTGTAGTCTGGATAACTCATTTTCGACTTGCCATAGTCCTTTCCCCTAAGTGCTGGCACTGTAAGTAGTTGAAAACAATTCAGAATGAAATCAATGATATGCGAAAAAGCAACAATTTTCGACTGTCAGCAAAAAGCAACACAGTGACACAGTACACAGATTATATAAACATGTATAATATTTGACCCATGAGCAGCATTAGGAAAAAGAAATTACTCACTGTCAGCAAATTGAGATGCCAGGGCTACTCCATCTTTTGAAGCATTGCAAAAGGTTGCAGCTACCATTCCAATGGATGAAAAGACAAAACTTCTTCGTTCAATAGGATTGCTTCCACCTATCAAAGATTCAAACTTTATTCAATTGATAGCAAAATACAATCTTTGAATCTCGTGGGTCAAGCCCAATTTAACTAATCAATAAATATCTCAATGGTTAATTTACTAACCGCCTGCACCTGAATCAGAAAATTTCTCCGGTTCCGGAAGAAGAAGAGATTGAGGTCCGTGCTGTCTCTGGTGCATCAGAGAGAAGGTAAGCGCAAAACGACGTACCGGGTTTGAAGATTTTCCGACAGGTGAAGAAGACAGCGGTCGGGGTGGAGACCCGACGGCTGAGATTGAGGCCATTTCAGCTATAGTACTACTTGACTTGGGAGAAAAGGGTGAACTGTGTGAAGTGGTGACTGGGGGCCAGGAAATGTGTTTCGCGGGAAGATAACGGCCTCAACTTGTCAAGCTCAAGCGGCCAAGCCCTTTTTTTTTTTTTTTTTTTTTTCTTTTTTTTTTCTTTTCTTAAATAGCTTTCTTATTTTTCCCTTAAATAGTTTCCATCTTGTTTCATTTTTGGATATGGTGCGACATGTTATGTCCATAACACAATCAAAATTTGATTAACATATTTCAACAACAATAATTTTTATTTATTTATTTATACAAATGACAATCTAAGAGATAGCCAAGAAGGTAGGGGCCTGTATGGAAATACTTTTGAAGGGGCTAAAAGCGCTTTATGACAACTAAAATTGTTTCTGACAACATTTGACATAAAAGTTTAAAAGTGCTCATGAGTCACAATCCCAAGTGTTTTTCTATGAAGCAATTCAATTTGTTATGAAAATTTCAACATCTTTATAATAAAAGCGCTTATGAGCAGAAATACTTCCTAGAGAAGTAGTTCCAAACAAACCCACACAACCATGGCCACTAGCCTAGTCCAGATATGTTCAAACTGTTAATTTGTTGACATAGCATTATAAAACTATTTCCCTTCAAGTAGCAAACCAGTAATTAATATTGACCATCATCAGCTAGTTGGCCCATAATTCAATTTTATTCTCAAATCCAAATGAAAAAGTACTCGTACTCGTGGGTCGGGTCGGTCCACATATCCCATGTTATTCATCTGGCCACTGAATAAATAGCAAACCAGTCAGGCAGTGTGCATCAGATGTACATTTCTTTTAGATAACTGTCTAAATAGCTTTTTCGTAGGATGGGTAGAAAACATTGCCAAACACCAAAGCAGGAGCAAAATGTAATCTCTCTCTCAACTTGAAGCTGGTATGAACTCATCAAACGTAATTAACGTCTTACAAAGCACTCAGCCTAAATTTACAAGAAGACAAGGCCCCACCCCCCAGCTTTATTCAACTCATACAAGTAGTTCTCACAATCTTACATCTCACAGACTAATCAATTTAAGAGAGTTGGCCTTCTCTTGCAGAGTATCAAGCAGGCTGTCAAAACTCTTCTTGAAGGAATCCACTCCTTCAATTTCGAGTTGGTTCCCAACGTAGCTCCAGTCAATTCCTAGCTTCTCTAGTGCACTGTAAATTCCTTCAGCCTCGGAGACATTGGAGTCGATTGTCCTTGAAACAGTACCGTGATCGATAAATGCTTGGAGAGCTTGGTCTGGCATGGTTGAAACCTGAGGAAAGTTGGCATCAAACATTAAGCCATATTGATTAACAAAACAATATTGAAAAAGTTGGTATTGAATTCTGAAGTCTATTAAATCATGATAAATAATACCCATCAAACACCAGATATCATATTGGACTCTAAAATGGCTCACCGTGTCAGGGCCAATGAGAGGAGCAACATATAAAGTATCAGGGTAGGCAGGATTCTTGACGCTGGTTGAGGCCCACAGTAGCCTCTGCTTCTTGGCACCTTTTTTCACCAAAGCCTCCCATCTAGGGCCAGAGAATTTCTTCTGGTAGAGTTGGTATGCTAAAGCAGCTTGAGCTACAGCAGCCTAAAACAGTTAACTCGTGACATTAGCAAATCTCTACCTTCTCGGTTTTTGTTAAGAAAAAGAAGTTGAACATGTGATTTTGATTTACCTTTCCTCGAAGGTCAAGGGCTTCTGGAGTTCCAATCTTTTCAAGCAACTTGTCAATAAGGGTGTCCACCCTACTGACAAAGAAGGAAGCAACACTTGTGACTTTGGAGAGGTCATTTAATCCAGAAGCCTCAAGGCCATCCAAGTAAGCATCAATGACTGCCTCATATCTAGTGAGAGAGAATATAAGCTGTGCGCACATTAAGATAAAGTAAGAGTCAAAACATATATAATACGTAATTGTAAGATCATTATATAAAGGAGGCACACAAGTTAAAATACTAAAGAGTTCAAATGAATTAGAGATGATGCCAACACCCCCCGAAAACTTCCTCTCATGATAGGGGCCCAACAAGAACAAAGATCAGTCTACCCGCAAGAATTTATGATAGCTATAGCACAGCAGGCAGATTTTACTCGCACCATGTAAACAATCACTCAGGCAAGTGGGTCAGCCAACCCACCACACCGAATAAAAATTCTACTGAGACATATTTTTCCAACAACTATATTGGCCATCTATTCTGACCAAAGCAAAGATGAGAATGGAATTTTACCCCGCAAAGAAAAGGAAAAACAAAAAGATAAACAGAACTATACTTACAGTCACATTGACACTTATGCCATTTGCTATGACTTCCTTAATTGAAGGGACACATGGAGCAGTAGCAGGGATTTTTATGTAGACATTGGGGCGGGCAACTACTTTATGTAGCCATTTTGCTGCCTCGATAGTCCCTTGAGTGTCATCAGCAAGTTTGGGAGAAACTTCAACAGAAACATAACCATCACCAGCATCAGTTTGATCATAGATTGACTCAAAAAGTTTTGAAGCATCTTGAATGTCCTTCACCACAAGTTCCCAATATGCACTTTCAATGTCTTTTCCTGATTGTACAAGTTCCCTGCAAAGTCCATTAATTGAAGTTATTGACAGATAAACAAAGTGTATCAGATGGTTGCTACTTAAAACTTTTGGACTAGAAAGCAAAGAACAACACGTCCACCTTCCTAGCCCCAGATGCCCAGGAGCCTAAAACCACCAACTCAAATGATAATGAGTTGTGTATACAGTCTTTCTAATGAAGTACAAAACTCTACTAGAACAACTGATAAATCCATAAAAATATCGAACATCCCCCAGACACAACCCCTCCCGACCAAGACAATCATTGAACATACCTGAATTGATCATTATAAGCATTTGAAGTGGATATTGCTTTCTGGAAAATCTGCAATCATAAATTATAAAGAGCTAGTTAGATCGGATCGCAAATAATACACGAAAACCACAGAAGACGCATTTAAAGAAACAATTTTTCCAACATTTTGATCATTTCACTTCCAAACCCATTTCTCATTTGATCTCAGATCAAGAAAAACATTTTCCATACATGACAGAACAGTAAACATGGTTCAAAAAACACAGGAGAAATGTAATAAAAGAGCAAATCATTTGTAATTACCGCTGGGTTACTAGTTACACCTCTAACCCCATTTGCAATAAGTGGAAGCAGATCTGTAACAGGTCGGCAGAGGTTATCATACCATGGACTCTGCCCTTCCTTCTCGTAGAGATCATGGAGATATGTTCTCTTTGCTGGATTTCCATTTCCATCACCTTGAGAACATCTCACACTGCAAAAAGCAATGTTCCGTGAACCCAAATGAGCAACGTTTTCGATTCACAATCAATTACCAACCACCAAGAACACGAAATAAGAAAACTTTGAACACAAAATACGAAATTAATGAAACAAACAAAGCTCAAATCCAGCTATCTAAAAAACCAACAAAGCATCGGAAAAGATTAAAGATATGCACGGACCATAATCAAGAAAGCATATATATATATTACCAGAGAATATAAAAAATCAATAACAAAAACAGTAGACCCAAAAGAAGGAAACATACACCAGAGAGCCCTTGAGAGACGATTTGCTTCGTATGGACAACTTGGAAGAAGAAACTTTGGAGCTGAAGTTGGTGGTGGTGGTGAGGAAGCCGATCAAGCACTTGGGCTGGGAAGCTCTAGGGTTGAAAGTGGACGACAAAGAAGAAGCGGGGCTGGGATTGGAGAGCTTGGAGATGGAAGCCATATTAGATCACAGGGCACTTGCAGAAAGGGAGAGTAGGAGGGGGAAGGAGACAAAGCCAATGTGGGGGTTGGTGGAAGAATGATTATTGAGGAAATATTTCTCCTTTTATTTACGATGCGATACAAACGATGATTTTTTATTTTTTATTTTTATTTTTTGGGTTAAAAGTTTTTGTGATTTTTGGTAGACCCCAAACGGCAGCAGGTAGGGGACAACGACTCTCTCTCTCGACGGAACTGTTGGTACTTGGCGGTTGGTGGTAGCTAGCTGCGATATGCCAATGCCTAGTCAATGCTGACGTCATAATCCTAGATAGATATTTTTTTTTTTTTTTTTTTTTTTTTTTTTTTTTTTTGGTGGTTTTATTTTTAGCTTCTTCTGACCATGGCCTTACATGGGTTGTTGTTGTACAGGTTGGTGGTCGCCATGGAATTGATGGCTTGAATTGAATAGAGAAAGAAAAAAAAAACGTATTGTAGACAAAGTAAGTAAATCTTGGCTGGAATTTGTACCATTTACTATAATAAAGTGTAGGTGGTTAAATCTAAAAGTCAAGTTTGGAAATGAATCTTCCCTTAAATTTAACAAAATCGATGATACATGGTTTACATGTGTACGTATGTATTTATGTTGTTGAAGAATGTGGTACAATATTATAAGAGAAACGAGCATGAAGCTCATGCAACCATTGCCAGACCATTTTTTTTTTTTTTTTTTTAAATTTGAGTGAACTACACTTGAAATTAGCAATTTTTTTATTTATAGAAAAAGGTAAAATATAGGTTGTATTTTTTTCCCCCTTAAAAGGCTACGTACCTTGTAGGTGGCTTCGCCATTACTTACATGTTTAATTTTGAATTATAAAGATATTAATATAATTATTAAATTTATTTACTGACTTTTTTAAAGGTAAATATCATGAGGTGTCCTCACACACGAAGGGTGAGATTAATCCTCACTCGGGGTTTGGCTTGCTCCTGGCCACAAAGTGCTCCTAAATAGTTTTGAACCCCTACTATTGAGGCACCAAGCAGTTCACCAACTTGAGGTGGCAGTTTGCCAACCGCATCACACCTTTTGGTTTACTAAGTGACCCTTTGAAGATTTGTAACATATGCTTTTATCCGTAGTTAGACTAAAGATTCTTAAATATATGGAGAAAAAAAAATTGTAGCTTATGTTGTTAAATGCAATTACTACACATGTGGGTTACACCAATATCGCTTTGTCCAAAAAAAAATTGTAATTGAGTCCCCCTTCCCTAATTTTTGTTTGTATCAAAACAATTGTCAAATAAGCAAACTGAATTGTATCTGGTCACAACTTGCAAGCGTTACTTTAAAGCTAGACGCAATTCCAGTGTTTGATTGAGATGTATAACCATGTATACATTGTGGCGTGCAAGCAGAAAGAAGAAGGAAATTTTGTATCGTATTCTGCAGCCTCTATGTATATCAGATTCAGCACTTAATGCATATGTCATTAATTATTAGCTTGTGAGCTGAAAACTTGAAATGAACTCTCTCCAAAATGTAGAAGAGCAGATAAAGGGTTGAAATGTAGAAGAGCACACTCAAAATCACAGCAACGTGATGGTAGGTGGTAGGTGGATTGAAAGTTGGATATAAATTTCAGATAGTTAACTTATAGAGCCAAAATGGGTGAAAAATGAGGCATTGCTTTAACTTGGCTTACCCAATTAAACAAATATTTTACTTTGTTGCTTGACCCCCATCAATCCGGCTCTTAAGGTAGCTCAAGGGCTGAACTTATTTGTTATGTTGCTCAGGAAATAAGTCACTGCGACATCAATCAACACAGGGGCCTATTTGTCAAAATCAAATTGTAGATTTTGACTACAGTGGCAAAAAAGAATATCCAAAAGGCATCAACCATTCTGCAGCAGAGAAGAAGCACGCATGTTTGCATTTTCAGTTCAACTATTTTGCATCCAGAAAGAATCTGCTGAATGTCAGCACCTATACAAAACTCAGCAAGGAAGAATAATTTTTTTACATTTTCAGTAAAGTCCAGCCCAGCAGCATATCCTCCTCAATTTGGTACTGGGGACTAGACAGGATACAATGCAAGGCTCTTGCTCAAAAAGATATATACTACTTCCATTACCATGGTTTCAAGTCTCCCACTGGACCTTCTGTCCAATTTAAAATCTTTTGACCACCCTTCAAGTAAACACTTTGAGCATGGGGCAATTTGCGAGCCAGCCCGTTTAGTATCTGATGGAAAGCATCCCCTGGTTGTGCAGGTTGCGGGAACATCATCGCCCATTTCATCGAAGGATTTGCAAGTAATCTTTGTTTCCTGAGGATTACTTCTGGTGGAATAGAAGTGAGAATTGTGTCCAGGTTAGGGACATCCTCCTCAGCTAGAAAAACTCCAATTTCTTCCCATGGGATAGCATCAGCGAAGGGTAAGACAATATCATCAGCTATAATAACAGGGATGCAACCAAACACCACTGCTTCAACTAGCCTCGGACTCCATGGGGCCCAACCCAGAGGGCACAAACAGAATATCGATCGTTGCATGTCTTCATAATATGTAGTTGGATGGTCAGTGGAGATATCAAACAGAGGATTGTTCTTGAAATTCTCCCAAACAGCTGCCCTCGCACCTCTGTCAGTCAATTCAAAGGGTCAAGAGGGAGTTACATTTGACTCAAGAAGATCACGCATGAAGGCCAGATACAGAGATAATCTTTCATCATTCATGTCCATGTTATTCCCATCTCATAAAAGAGTATACAGAAAACATGTTCATAAAATTCAAAGGTAAAACACTTTCCTGATAAACGTACCTCGCATAGTAACCACCTTCAGGGTCATTATTAATGTCATAAAATAGACCACGGAAGTATACGAAGATGGACCGTGGAGTCTCTTGGGGAATCAGGTGGGCCTGCATCTTTTGTGGTGGAGCATATGGAGGAATTGTGATTGAACCCTCCTTCAAGCATACATGGTTTCTTTGCCCAAAGGTCTGAACCAAGGTGGCACGCTGGAGCAGTGGAAGAATCCCCCGTTCAATAGCTTTCTCTTCCTATAAAATGCCAGTAGTATAAACCTTATATTAGCCATATCCAGTACAAGTAACCTTTTCTTACTTTTGTGATTGAGCTAATTGTATAAATATTCTTCACAAAAAGTTCAATTTTCCCCTCAAATTTTGGGATGGATGAATTCATACTCTATTTTGCAGTGTGCACCTTTACAGGACTGTTAATTCATATAAATTTCTCATGTTCAGATTCAGATTACTTTTATTTAACCTAAGGAAATCATGCTTAGGTACAAAGTAGAAGGGTCCTACCTGGTAATGAAAGCAGGCTCCAAAGTCATGAGGCACAACAAAGAAGTGATCAGCTCCTTCTGTTCGATTCCAATAAGGCCAGTTTGTAGATATGAGCTGTATTGCACTTCTCATCATCCGCGGAGATTTGAAGGGCAACGGCAAGCCAGTGGGGGTAAGGTCACAGGTGGTGTAGATAGGGGTATAAAACCAATCTGCTTCCTCAGGATTGAAGGTTCTAACCGGGCTGGATAAGAGGAACCTATGCATGAAGATCTCAGCAGCAAACATATGGTTGAGACATCTTGGGTCTTTCTGAAGGATTTTCTTGTTGTATTTGTTAGGCAGCTCATAAACATAAACTTTCAACCTTCCAGTTGGATCATCCTCCAAGACATCACCAGCGCTTCCTGCATCATTCTTCCATTAGTCAATCGGAAAAAGAGTATGCATCAAATAGAATAAAATGCTACGAAATGCTTATGGATAAAAATTTACTGCTCGTCTTTCCAAGAATAAATTGGAGCCCCCCTTTTCCACTTTCCCGAGATTAATCTTTGATGTAATGTTTGTGAAAAAGGATAAAAGAACATCTACCAGTGAAACTGATATGAGATAAATAATCATAGTTTGGTATCTCATATACAAGTTACAGTATGAATTTCATATAAAATTGAAATGCAACCACTAATCATCTCGGAGCTGACCAAAACTAGTGCCCCCAATTTGGCCCTACAACGAAAGTCATCAAAAGAAATTCCAAAAATTCTGAACCTCAACTATTCTGAACTGGGACTTAATGGAAACAACAAAAGGGCATTTCTTCAAACACCTTAGTCTATATGGGGCAAATGTAGCAAAAAGGAAACTGCTTTAGAAACCAATTTGAAGCGAACAATGACAGAGGCATACCTGAAATCCTCTCTGTAGGCACGTTCTGATCAGCACCAATTTCCCAAGCAAACCCAAAAACAAAAAGAAGAGCAATAACCCACAAGCAAGTTCTCATTTTGACCCAACGGAAACCCACTCTCGGATACCTAATTTGACTGAAAATCGAAATGGGTCTTCCGGTTTTCGTATCATTGAGGTTGTAGAGGCAGTATATATGAAGAGTATATGGTTGGGACGTCGCGCGGGTAGTAGTTGGGAAGCTTTCTTAGACTCTAGGTTTGTGGAAATGGAATAAGAAACGGAGGTTTTCAGGTGAGCATCGATAGAGAAATTCAGAGAGGAATTGCTTGAAGAAACAGTGAAGGCGTGCATTTTTCTTTTTTATTTAGATTTCTTAAGAAGGATTTTGCAGCAAACAACATGTACAAATCCTTGTGGTTAGTGAAAGCTGTATTTGTTTTGCCGGTTTGATGACAAGTCCATTTCAGAAAGCTGAGTGTCAGATAAATAAAGCGCCAGGCTCTTGAATATATTAATTAATTCCCGCGCTTTCCCTTTCTCCGGTTGTTGCGTAATGACTGTAGTGTTAAAAGTCACCGACAAACAACACTTGGATAAATGTGTAAATGGGTAAACATACACTTGGATAATTATGATCAATCGACCCAACTAATTGAATACTCATATCCCAACGTGATACACTAATTCCTTGCTTATAACAAATATGATGTATGATTTTAATTGGGTAATGATATCCCTACTCTAATTTTATCCACTTACATTCATTTTTTAATTATAAAATAAAATATGAATTCAACAATTGGAGTATGTGCTTCAAGCATGACTTGAATTCAACAATCCCTTAACAAATGAAATATGAATTAAGTCCAACTATATAATCATTAGCCAGAAGGCTTACAATAGAAGGGGGAAACTCCACAACATTATAACCCAAATTGGAGTATGTGCTAGATGATCTGCACTCTATAAACACGAGAAATAGTACCGTCATTAGCAGCTCTTTGCAGTCATGAATGAGACTAAATAGAGGATGACTAGCATAATCTCACTTTTAATCAAGGAAGCAGTAATAGAGCTATATTCCACTTTAATTCTTTGGATACCTTCATTCCGACCTATTACTGTCAGATTTGCTGTTACAGAAATTAGCTATGAGATAAAAGCAGTTTGGCATTTGGTAAACTTTTTGTTAAGAGTGTTATTGGTACTTGTTGGGGTCTTTTTCCTTCGAAAGGCTCATCCGGGCTTGTTGATTCTTGGACAGCCATAGAGTAGTGAATCAAGCCTTTGTTGCCCCTTTTTTTGAGTTAGCGAGAACTAGACCCCAAGCATCCCGAGAGAGAAGCAAGTCCCAGAGGAGTACTTTGTTCTTTTTTCAGCAGCTACGTGTTTTGTGCTGATGTTTCCAGCAGCTTGACGAAGAGTTGCAGATGGTGCATTGATGTTGCGTAGGCTTGGCATGAAAGGTTGCTTTGGTGAATTAAGACACTATTAGGCTTGGCATGATAGGCTTGTGGTGTGGGAATTAAGAGAAATGAGTATAAAGAAAAGATTAAGACTTGAGATTTTGGGTGTTTTCGGCAACCAGACGAAGAGCTTGCAATGTCTGCGTTTTCTAAGGTAATGACTATGGTTTTGTTGAGACCCAAAAAATCCACGGTTGAGCCCGAATAAATTCATGGCCCAAAATGACACATTATTCAGAAAAGACCCAATTTGGAGCACACAAAAATCAGTCATGCACGAGTCACACTCTGCATGCCATGCCAAATAAATAATCCGTCATGCTAGGAATCGAGATTAAGATTATAAAATGCGTTAGCTCTACAAATCCATGCTAATTATCCCGTCAAGTATTATAATTAAAAAACATGTCAAGCAACATGTCATGCTAAGAAGGAAATCATTATGTCACACCCAACCACGCTACAAGCCTAAGTGGGCCCAAGCCACTCAAATATTCAGGGCTTGCTTGAGTGGGTTGTGGTATGGATGGTAATAAGTTGTCATGAGGCCTATTGATGGCCAAGAAATGGAGGTTCCAGGTTGCTTAAGAGCCTTGGAACTCAAGCCCAAACATGTGGGTGAGCATAAGAGAGAAAATATCTCAACCAAAATATTTCAACTAAAATAGCCCAACCAAAATGGTCCATTAAAATTAACCAGTATAGCCCAATACTTGATGAGATTAGCCCATTTATTTGGTAAGTTGACTTGCTATCTTAGAAGTCCCATACAATTAGAAGTAAGAAGCAGCAAAAGCCCCAGCATTTGGCTAAGAGACAAAGCCACGAAAGGAGCTTGGAAGACCATGTGCACAAGGCTACTGGGAGGGAAGGAGCAAGTTTTCAAGCAAAACATCCAAGGGACTAAAAGATATTGGCGCACAAGGAGCCACCTTTAAAACCAGCATGTATACCCATTTCTTTCCTTCATCAAATCTGACCATGAAAGATGGAAGGAAAGAGAGGAAATGGGATGGTTGAGAATAAGAGTTCTTCACTAGGGCAGCTGCGGGAAAAGGACCTTGAGCTCCCAAAATCCCTGATTTTGTGTAAATAGGTAGAGGAAGTTTCACCAAGATGGAAAATTCAAGAGAGGAGAAGAGAAAGAAAGGAAAAGATTTGGCCAAATTGGATAGAAACCATTAGGGTTTCTTGGAAATTGATAGCTTCGAGCGGCTATAAAATAGGCCTCTTCTACCCAATAAATAACCCACAACTAGAGAGCAAGCTTCCTTTCTTACTTTCAAAACCATTAATTTTTGTGCTTAGTTCATCTCCTTCCTCCTAAGTTTTCCTTCTTGACAGGTTGTTCTAACACTTGACAAAACCTCTATCAAGCTGCCGGAAAAGCACTCAAGCCACCCTTTTCTCTCTTTCCCTCATTCTCAACCAAACCTTTATGCAAAACCCTTTTTTCTCCTACCTTAATATCCCATCTTTCCCCTAGGAACACTTAATTTTCTCTTTAGTGCTAAACTCATGGCAACTTTGCTCCCATGCCACAAACCTCTCATGCCAAGCTAAGATACTACCTGTAAGCACTAAGAATTTATCTATTGTTGAGGCCCAAAATATTCACGGTTCGGCCCAAATAAATTCTCGGCCCAATGCAATGCTTTACCAAGAAGAAACCCAATTTGGGCATGCGAAAGTTCATCATATGCGCTTGCACACATGCCACGCCAAACGACACGCCACGCTAAGCAAGGAATTATCATTCCGCACCTAATCACGCCACAAGCTTAAGTGGACCCCAAGCCACTCAAATACCCGGGGCTTGCTTGAGTGGGTTGTGGTATGGATGGTAATAAATTGTCATGAGGCCCATTGATGGACCAAGAAGTGGAGGTTCCGGGTTACTTGGGAGCCTCGGAACCCAAGCCCATTTCTTAGGCCCAAACATGTGGGTGAGCACAAAAGAGAAAGTAGCCCAACCAAAATAGCCCATTACTCCAACCAAAATAGCCCATCACTTCAACCAAACTAGCCCAATACTTGATGAAGTTAGCCCATGTACTTGATAAACCAACTTATTGTCATAGAAGGCCCAAGCAACCCAAAAAAATATATCTGCAAATCTTCAGCACCTAGCTGAAAACAAAAGCCACGTTGAAAGCCAAAATATCCATGTGTGAAAGCTGCTGGAAAGCTCCAGCACATGGGAGAAACAAGTTTCAAGCAAAAACTTCCAAATGACCAAGGGATATTGGAGCGCAGATCACCATTTGAACCAGCATGCATACCCATTCCTTCCCTCATCAGACCTAGCCTTGGAAAAGGAGAGAAAAGAAGGAAGAAAGATGGCTGAAAATAGAAGTCTGAAACAGCCGCAGGAAAGGGGGCTTTGAGCTCCCAAAAATCCCTGATTTTATGCAAATGGGTAGAGTGGATTTCACCAAAAAGGGATGATTGAAGAGATGAAGGGAGAAAGGAAGGAAAAGCTTAGCCAAAATGGGTATAAGCCATTAGGTTTTCTTGGAAAATATCAGCTTCCAGCGGCTATAAATTAGGGCCTCTTCTACCCAACAAAGATCATCCACAACTAGAGAGCAAGCTTCCTCTCATACTTGCAAAAACCAGCAATTTCGTGCACTGTTCATCTTCCTCCATTTTCTTCTTCTGACAAGCTGCCAGAAGAACATAGTTCTTCCCTTTTCTCTTCCTAGCCACATATGCTTGAAAACCTCTTCTTCCTCACCTTAAACACTCCCTTTTCCCCCCTAGGAAGCCATATTTCCTTTTTGGTGCTCAACTCATGCTAATTTTGCTCCCATGCCACAAGCCCCTCATGCCAAACTCAAAAGTTTATCTGTAAACATGAAGAAATTACCTGTAAGCTGCCATTATTTTGGTTGGTGAAGATAACCAAAATACTTCCTAAGGCTCTACTGCCTTTTCGAGGTATTTTGGGGCTTAATTTTCGAACTCAGGCTCAAGGGGCAATTTCTTCCATTTTGCCCTTTACGGCAGTCAGGCCCGTAGTAGCTGCCGGAAGAAAAAAGGCCCCTACATCTATAAGCAACCATTATTTTCTGTTGGTGAAGGTAACCAACCAGAAGACGGATTATTTATCTATAAGCAGCCATTTGTAGCTGCCAGAAGAAAAGGCCCTTGTAGGTTTTAACTTAGCTTGATAGGATGGATGTTTCAGGTTTGGGATGGAGCCTTTTAAGAGAGAGAGAGAGAGAGAGAGAGATGGATGGAGATAAATGATGGGTGGCTTGAGTAGATTTCTAGCAACTTAACGATTGCTTGGTCATGCTCTGAATGGTTGAAAATGACTTGCTGATGTTGATATGAGATTATATGAGCTTGGCATGAGAGCTTGGCGTGTAGGAGCTAAAGACCCACAAGTTTGGCAAATGAGAATGCTTGTGCTTGGCTTGGTATTTGATATGCTTGAGTTTAGGTGTTGAGAACTTATTGTTTGAAGCTATGGCTATGATGGTTTGATTGATTGGCTGTGATGGTTGTTGGAATGCTTATAGCAGTCAAATGAATGGGGTTTCAAATAGCATGGCTGAGGAAAGAAAAGCTTAAGACTTTGAAGGCTATGGTGTTTGTGACTATGATTCTAGAAAGATTTATG